CCCGGCAGGCATGGACCTCCTCGGAACTTACGGCCTCCATACCCGACAGCTCAGCACCCCTCCTCTACGATCAGTTTGGGTTTCCCATTCTCATACCACAAAGCTTCCATTGACGGCTCAAAGAGTGTCATCTTCCTAAGACCTTGTGGAACATGGATGTTCTTGCTCTATCGAACGGCGATATTCCTCCGAGCTTTGTCCAATTCTTTTCGATTTGAATTTGAACGTCAAGCCAACTTGTATTGCGTCACACCTAAAAACTTAAGAACTCTTTCGAATGAGCATGGTCATTCTAGTGTTCTTCCCTCAAGTAGTGACAGGTCCTCATGATGATCACCGTGGACTGATATCATAATGCTTGATAGGAATCACACCCGCCCGTTTCGTTTTTCTCTCGGCCGAACATAAAACTATACATCGTTTACGGTCCGATAACTTCTAGTTGGTTTCCTGTTGCCGGTATATGTGTGTACTGGATGCCAGAATTCGGCATGGAGGCATCCTATATCTGCAAAAGATATACCCCAGCATTACGAACTACATAGAGTCCGGAGACTGTATTCAATAAACGATTACGATACTTCGGATGATAGTGGAGTGATGGGAGGAACTGGTCCTCAAGAATCCACTCTAAAGAACTCTTGCTTGGTAAATAAGTTTCAAACAACTACTCAGCATGAGGAGGACAAACCAACGAATTCGAACCTCAGCACTTTCACCCTTGCTCCAGCAAAGAATAAATTCGAAGGAGGTATGACTGGATAACCTAAGTATGGAGAATGGCCAGCCACTTTTGTTCTATAATCGACACCTATTGTGGGCTTTGGGGTCTAGATGATGCCGGCGGAGGCTGTGCTTTGGACCGCAACAGAAGCAATTCTGCCCTACAACTGAAGTCCGCTTCGGCGATAATAGGATGCCCGGACGGACCAAACCAATTAAAGCGCTTGGCCAAGGCATGTCGGTATCTACCCCATACTCTATGATGGTCTTTGGCAAATTCCCGAATTACGGCCTTGGTGCAGATATTAAGTTCTGTATGTCTGCCCCTCGTCATGTTGATAAAGTTGTGTCAGCCCATGCTTGGCGTGGACCCTGAATGCTTTATGTAAGCCATGTCTTGGCATGGAACATGGCTGTCGGTGAGAAAATCAGGCTTCTCAAGATGGAGGAACTGAGTGGACAGTACCGTGCCAACCGTGACTTGACGAGACTTCTGTCTTTTCAATGTTTACATCGGGTGTGATGTCATTCAAGATCACGAAGTCTACGAACCATAGCAAGGTATGTGCTCCGGTACACATGTTTAGAGTTCATTGCAACTAGGGTAACATGTTTGCTAATTATTTGTAGTTCCATGGACTACGTGTCTGAGGCAGAGTTTCGTTCGTACCTAGCGAAAGAACACTCAGACTTCTTGCGGCGTTGTTAGGTGTACACATGGAAGGTTTCCTGAGAGTTTGACAGTAGGGCCAGCAAAGAAGCCTCAGGAGCTCAAGGCGCAAAAGCATATCCAGAAAAGATTCTGGAACCTACCATCTACAATACGAAATTATCACGAATCGTTAAACGTCTACCCGAGTAACGATGGATATCCCATTCTTCTCATGTAATTCGTGCCGGGATCCGCGGACGCGGTAAAGACACAAGACACAGATGTTAAAACAATTGAAAATGATGGGAAACTGCAAACCAGCAGGGGGTATGCCGAGACCACATCTAACTAGCGGTAGCTTGAAAAGTGGTCTCTGTCAAAAGCCAAAATGGCCACGTATCCTCAGTTTTTGACAAAAAGAGGGGTTCCTGATTGGAAAGGTTCCAACAGTCTACGGATAATACAGGCTATGTCGTGCATGAGAACGGTGAACCCTTGGAGGACCCAATGAATTCGTATCTGGCCAAGCCGAGTACGAAGGAGGGACCCGAAAAACCAAGAGGCTGAAGTTGATATTCGCCTTCTCATGTTATTTTTTGCTGGCATTGGATATTATAATTCGAGCCTGGTGGGGGCTAGCTAGGCTGGATCGACAATCGGTAAGGGACTGACTGGCTGTTGCTGCAACAGTACCTGCGTATTGTGGCTGGGGTTCATTGGTTGTCAAATCAGGGGAATGAGGCTCAAGTTGCCCAAAGCGATTTTGAATACGATTCCGTACTGTTATCTTGTCGTATAAACAGGCATTCATTGTGTTGATGGATTTGGAAACAAGGCAACTGAGAAAGAATTGCTGATATCTCCCGTCCCGCTCCGAGACACGCATCCATTCAATCTCAAGCTTTACTGCTATCCATAATCCCCCTATCAACGCTCGAAAGAACACCTTAAAATCTGCCGCCTCAACGCTAATCATGGAGAGTCTAGGGGCTTTGGGTGATCCAGCCACCCAATCATATTCTTCGCGATACCACCTAAACCCCGTTTTTTACACCGCCCCTCCCCTGTGCCAGAGCTTCCCCTCCCCTCCCACGTCCCTTTTTGGCCCTGCCCCACGAAACGTGCAATCAGTTCATCCTCTTAAAAATAAACCGGCCGCAGTGCTTTTCCTCCCTCTTCCTTTCATCATCTCAAAGCTTTTGGTAGCCATTGAGATCTGTCGTCACAATGGCAGAGAAATCAGGGGTCACCGGCCTCGACTTCGAGTTCGTGAAAACTCCCGCCTTTCCCAAGCCTGACTTTGATAAGCTTGAGGATGTTGGTGTTCCTACTACCCGAGTAAGTATATTTCCATCATGATGAATGCTGTCCTTTCCAGGGTTATCTGCACTCAATACTAACCTGGATTTCCCTTGACAGTATCCTTCAATCAAGAACGCTCCCCTTCCCGCCGATGGCTCTGGTTCCGATACCTTCAACAACTATGTTCTCATCTCCCTCCTGACCCTGGTCCCTTGGTGGTTCAGTTGGAAGCTTGGTGGTGGCTTCAAGACCACCATCTTCTTTGCCCTCATCATCGATCTTCCTATGCTCGCCGCCTGGTGGCTTGTTATCTCTTCCGTCAGCCCTCGCAAGAATGACAAGGTCCGTCTTCCTAACCGTGGTGTCGAGTTCTACCTCGACTTCAAGAAGGAGGCCGACCGTGTCAAGTACCGTGGCCACAACAAGATCCCTATGGAGACCTTCTACGAGATGTACTTTGACGGCGATGTCGACTTCAAGGGTGACTGCCTCGAGGCTATGGAGTACCGTCATGACTGGGCCAGCTTCCGCTTCACCATTGGACTCATCAAGTTCTTCCTCTTTGGCATGATTCCCGAGGTTATCATGCACACTCGTTCTCAGGGTATGTGTTGGCACTCGACCTTGATTGGAATTTAACTGACATACCACAGATGAGGAGCAGGTCCGTGACCACTACGACCGTGGTGATGACTTCTACGGCTGGTTCCTTGGTCCTCGTATGATCTACACTTCTGGTATCATCTCCGACATCAACCGCGAGGAGACTCTTGAGGAGCTCCAAGACAACAAGCTTACTGTGGTCTGTGAGAAGATCGGTCTCAACAAGGGCGATTCCATGCTCGACATTGGCTGTGGCTGGGGTACTCTTGCCCGCTTCGCCAGTGAGCAGTATGGCGCCAACGTTACTGGTGTCACTCTCGGCCGTAACCAGACCGCTTGGGGTAACAGCAGCATGCGCAAGGCCGGTATTCCCGAGGAGCAGAGCAAGATTCTCTGCATGGATTACCGTGATATTCCCGTTCCCGTGGGTGGTTACAAGAAGATCACCAGTCTTGAGATGTCCGAGCACGTTGGTATCCGTCATTTCTCCAGCTTCTTGAAGCAGGTTCACGACATGCTTGACGACGATGGTGTTTTCTTCCTCCAGTACGCCGGTCTCCGTAAGGCTTGGCAGTACGAGGACTTGACCTGGGGTCTTTTCATGAATAAGTACATCTTCCCTGGTGCTGACGCTTCCACTCCTCTTGGATGGGTTGTCGACAAGCTCGAGGGCACTGGTTTCGAAATCAAGCACATTGACACCATCGGTGTTCACTACTCCGCTACCCTCTGGAGGTGGTACCGTAACTGGCTCTCCAACCGCGAGAAGGTCGAGGCCAAGTACGGCAAGAGATGGTTCCGCATTTGGGAGTACTTCCTTGCCGCCTCCACCATTGTCTCTCGCCAGGGTTCTGCCACTTGCTTCCAGATCACTCTGGTCAAGAACATCAACTCCACCCACCGAATCGATGGTGTTGAGACCCAGTTCGCCATTCATGGCGCTCTTGACAACTGCCGCGCTGACCTTCAGTCGTGGGCTTCCAGAAACAACGTCAAGACTCCTTCCGAGTACCTGTAAAGGTATGGCTGAGAGGCCGACGAGAACTAGTTCGTTTCTGGTCTGTGCCAGAACGGCAGCCTATGCCTTCTGGTAGCAGGCCAGCACTGAGTAACATTGTTACCTGTGTAAGGACTGGATCTATCTACATATTTAACCCGGAATGCGCCCCCTTGGTTGATGCAATTGGTTGAGGCTGGTCTCGTCGCAACGGGCAAGTGTCATGTTTCATGATAGATGTGTAACGGCAATGTCAAGGATAAAGAAAAGGCATGGACTATTACGTTATATAGATGCCGCGGAAGGGATGAATTGAAAAGTTTGTTCGGGTTGATTTAATTGTCTTTCGGTGTATATCAACTTGAATGCTTGTGAATTGCGATAGTGAAGTAAGCGTAAGTCATGATGAGCGGTTTATCATGACAACCGCGGCCCGAGCCCCGTGATTTGTGTCCAGCCAGTTCAGGATTGGTCAATCGACATCAAACCACCAAGGACTGCATTGGAGCACATTCGACTTTCCAACGACTGTATTCTCCGTACGACAAAAAGCACCTTTCATTTCCTCGGTTGCTGTCTTGGACCAATTGTGTGACAAGATTTCTCTCCAACCTTTCCCAACTATAATTTTTGGGCCTAATTCCAACAGTAACAAACAACCCCAATTACATACCAAAACCACACCTGCAAGATCTGCTTCAGCTCAACAAGCAGTGAACTACCATGAGGCCAATGCTCATTCTCAACCGCCAGTGCGGTCTGCGCTTTCAAAGAGCATATACCACAAAAACACCATCATCCATAGTTTCTGCACTCAAAGCCCACCCTCCAAAAATCATAACAGACTATCTCACTCCAATGCCCTCACATCTCCTTACAACTACTATCAACGACCTGCTCTCCCCTGCTCCCTCGGAACCCACAATATCCTCACCTCCTCGCGCTCTCCCACAGGGCCATCATCTCGTTTATTTCCCCATTCAGCTACCCCCCTCGCGTCTCATCCCTGACGGTGCAGATCCTGATCACTCGCCTGGTCCGCCGTATACTCGACGGGTTTGGGCGGGTGGTGAGGTCACGTTCAGGGGCGAGGAGATGAAGCTGGATGCGAGGCCTGTGGTATGTAGGGAGAAGATAGGAGATGTCACCCTGAGAGGTAAAGAGGGTGAGGAGAAGGTATTTGTTGATGTGTGGAGAAAATATGGAGTTGGGCATGAGATTGAAAGAAGAGAAGACTGGGATATTGAAGAGAGGAGGACGTTGGTGTTTATGAGGGAGGAGGAAGGATCTGCTCCACCGTCTGCGCGTCTCCTCAAGTGTAAGTTTGTGACTCGTGTCGTAAAACATCATTACTAACGTAGTCTCAGATCCTCATCCTCCATCTAAATCCATCTTTTTGACACCGTCACCAACACATCTATTCCACTTCTCAGCTCTCTCATTCAACGCTCACTCCATTCATTTCGATCCGCAATTTGCGCGAGACGTAGACGGCCATCGAGCACTTCTAGTTCATGGCCCTTTCACTCTTGCACTGATGCTCCGCGTACTGAACGACCAACTCGGCTCTGATGCGTCTGTTCACAAGTTTAGCTACAGAAACTACGCGCCTCTTTATGTTGACGAACGCATGAGCATCAATGTCCGTAGGGTGTCAAAGGAAAATGGCGTGGAAGGACGATGGGATGTCTGGATTGAGGGGCCAGAAGGGGGAATGGCTGTAAAAGGAACTGCGGACGTTGTTTGCCAATAGTAGACATTCAAGATAGTGCCACAATGTAGATGGTATGGCTATACTAGAAAAATGCGAACATGCTACAATATGAATGTTGAGTCGATGAACCCAAACTAGGCAATATGTCCCAGTATGACACCGTTCTATTCCAATACCAAGATTACCGCCCTTTTCCTTATTTATGCTGCCAACGAGATTCAACAAAGCTCCATAGCTATACATACATCTTACAACGTTTCTTCCTCAGACATACATCTAGTCAGCCCATCCAAACACTTCTCCAAGAGACAGAGTATTGCTTCGCAGACCTGTCAGCGTAACTAAGATAGTTACCAGGTCCAGCACAAGAAGAACAGTGCCGGCCAGCATAAAACGAGGGCTGAAGACCCGGTAGAGCATTAGGTGACGACGAAGCCAGCCAGCCCAGCTCATAGTGGCCAGGGCTTCAACGGTGTAGTAAACAATAAAGACACCAATGCCGCGAGTGGCCGTTTCCAAAACCCCCTTCTGCTTCGGCCCAACCTTCCAAAGAGAAAGTAGCGGCACGGACGCAGCAGCAATGATCTGGCCGGCGAAGCTGTTGAGGATAACAACCAGGGGTGTCCAAGGATAGCGGATACTGAAGAGAGGAATGAAGGCGCTGTCCCACTGGATGCTGGACAGGACAGCCTGGTGGCCTGTCTTGAAGTAGTAGAAGTTTCCAAGGATAGCCAGCATGACAGGCCCAATAGGACTTGATTTGAGTTCGTTGAGATCCAAAAGCTCAGCTAGTGTGAGGATTTGCCAAAACATGAGAGCAAGCGCACCACCACCCATGGGCTTGGATAGGAGGAAGCAACCCAACAGAATGTTGAGAGGTAGCAACAGGTAACGAGCACCAATAGCGTTGCCGTATCCAATGATGGTCACAACAGGGCGGCCACCAGCTCCAGCCGACTGGAGGATGGATACGCTAGGAGGAGCCCAAACAAAAGCAGTGCTTCCGGCGATGAAGGCCAGAGCAAGAACCATCTGGGCCAAGTACACACCGATGGTCTTCGGGGTTCCCTCAGGGAGTCGTCCCTCAAGCCAGCCTCCATTGTCAGCAGCATCAATGACCCAGTAGAGAGCAGAAAGGAAAAGACCCCCGCGAACGACGTAGCCGATCCATGTAGGAGCAAGACCCTCGTACGACCTGCTTGTAACAAGGAAAGATTTGATGAGAGCCGGAAGGACAAGACATACAGTAAAAGGAATGATTAGCTGCCATGTCGCAGAGGTGGAGGAAGTCGAGGAAGCATAGTAGGTAGAGGTGCAGTAAGGCATCTGCTCCTCACGGCAAAGTTTTGAGTACGAGGCAACACGGCCGAGGACAATAAAAGCAACAGAGTGGTAGATGCCCAAGAACTTCTCACGACGAGCCTCAAGGCGAAACGCAGAGACGGCGCTCGCTACACCAAAAGTGGTAATGAAGAAAAGGAGGATTGAATCTTCCCAGATTGTGTACGAGTTGGACGCGAATCCAATCGAGTGACTGACGGTAAAGATAACAGCCAACCAGCCCCAGAATGAAGAGGGGAAGACGTTGAGAATGCTTTTTCCCACCTCGTGGAGCGATGAGCTGAGACCAGCCATGAATAGCACCGCAACAAGCGCGACGACTCCCTCGACAGGTTGTTGACGATACAGACCAACACCAGTAAGAACAGAAACAGTGAAGAGAATCTTGGGGTCCCAGAGACCCTTGAGGATGTTCTTGTGGAAGATATCCTCAGGCTCAGGCTCGTCCTCCTTGAAGGCCATGATCTCCAGCTTCTTCTCAGCATAGTCGAGTTCTGCGTCATTCATAATGACATACTCGTCCTCCTCTTCTCGAGAAGAGTACATCAAGAGCAAGATGAGGCCGACGCCAAATACGACGATCCCCATGATCATACGGGGAACGTCGAAGCGAGCCCAGAGGTCCTTGCAAACAGATAACGTAGTTTCTTGGAATTTGGAAAAGGCAACATAAGCATCCCGATCATTCCTAGCAATGGCGAGAGCGGCTTCCCAAAGAGCAGCGGGAGACTCAAGACCCTCGCCCTGAACCAGACCCCGGGCCTTGTGGTAAGCTGCCTGGTATTTCTCAATACCAGCTGCAGCAATACGCGAGACAGCTTTGAGATTACGCCAGTCGTTGCCCTTGACACCAGCAAATGCCTCCTCAATGGGTGCTCCCAAGTTGTTGAAGGGAATAGGAATACCCAGAAGCAGTGCGAGAGTAGGAACAAGATCGATCTGGTTCACGGGTCGAATCTTGGCATTGGCTGGAGGAGCAGCAAAATCAGAGGAAGTTCTGCCAAAAAAGGGCTTCTTGGAGTACATCCACAGAGCAGCTTCAACCTCGTCGTCGCTTTCGCCGCCGTGATCTCCCTTGCTGTCCATGCCGTGATCGCCCATAACAACGAGAAGTGTCTTGTCATCTATGTTTTCAACCATCTTGCGAATAAACTCGTTCATCTGGCGGAGCTTGGAACCCATGGCGGGGTGATCAGGTCCGTATCGGTGACCGGCATGATCAACACCAAGACAATGTCCAATGAGGAGGTCCCAGTCGCCCTTTCGATCCGGCTTCAAGAGGGGGAAGATGTTGTCGATAACACCGTTGTCGACAGTGTGGAGATCCCAGACGTTAAAACTGTCGTAAGCCTTGCTAATGTTGGGCTCGAAGTAGCCAGGGAAGAGAGACCACCACGTGTCATCGCCAAGGTGGGCAATCTTCTTGCCAGCATCCTTCAACTGCATCAACAGATTATCCTCTTCGATAGCCGCTCCAGCAAAGTTGCTTCCAACATCAACAAAGGTCGGCAACGTTCCTGTTGTAAGACCCTTGAGTCTCTGCATCGTGGCCGTCGGGGGATCGGCGATGAAAGGGCGAAGGAAGGCATTCTGGGGCGACTTGGCGGCGGTCTCGTAGAGGTAGGGGAAAGCGTTGTGGAAGTGCTGAGCCTGCGCCGGATCCTCGGGGACTGTAAAGTCGTAGCGTAGCGCGTCAATTAGAACTACAACAGCTCGGTCGAACGACTTTGGATGCCAGCAGCCGCGGTCAACGTTCAGCGAGCCCTTTGTATTCTCAATTGGAGGCAGAGTGCAGTTCGACTTGTCGTCCAGCACGAGTCGTGTCAACAGGAAGCCACTTGTAAAGAGCCAGATGCCGAGCGCATGGATAGCGAATAAGACGACCCAAAAGCCAGCAGCCCATCGCCAACGCCTCTCATATGTCTTACGCCGCCTCTTATCAAGGGTCTCGCGTCGTCGCTCCAGAACCTCGACGTTCTCTTCGGCGGCAGGGAGCCCGAATTTCGCATTGGTAGCTTGCTGAGAAGCGCGAGCGCGTTCAGCTTTGGCCCATTGCTCTGCGATTTTCTGATGCTCGGTCTGCGGAGGCTGTTGTTGAGCCTTGGGTTTGGCCTTTGCCTTTTGTGGCATCTTGATGGATGAGGGTGGTTATTATTGAAGTTAAGGAAGGTAGTTGCTATCGCAGTATGGTTTATGCCTGTTTCGAGGCCATTGAAATGCCCAAGCGGCGCAAGATTGGCTATACAAAGGAAGAAAAGGAAAGCAGAAGAGAAGAAGAGATTAAATGTTAATAGTGGCCTCTGCTGTGAGGGACTTGGATGTATGGTAGAACAGCTATCAACCCTGGTGAATTGTCTGGTGGAGCTCTAATGGAGTAGAGTGGAGTCGTTGGAATTGGCCCCATGGAAGGGAGCTTCAACGCCTGCGCAGCAGTAGCTTATATGAACCCAATGAGTCCTATACAGTCACTTCGAGGCAATATTAGCGATTTGGCCTATGTATAATATTCATCTATTCGAGAGAAACGCAAATCCGAATTCGTTATCGTCAATTCTCTGCAAATCTCTCCATAATCCAATACTAAAAAACGTTGACATATACTAATTTACCATTCTCAAGCCAATCAATCAATTCGTTCGTTGGCATTAGTGTCGTCCTTCAAGTCTATTCGCAAACATTGAAATCAACGTGACATGACATAACGTTACTAAATCTGCAAACTTCCCCCAGAACGCCGGCCATGCTAGGATCCCGTCCCACGATGCATCACTTTTACCCCGTCACTCGAATGCCAGTCATCAAGAAATGGACTGGTAGACGATTGCAGCTCCACTTCTCAGCTTTCTACCTCTTAATCGAACATGTCGACGTTGGTGGCAGTCGTCTCAGTGGTCGGTCCGCTCGCGCGTCTCCTCTCGAGCCGTCGTCGTTGTCGACGGTTCTCCGCGGCCGATCCATCACCTGGACCTTCTTCAGGAGGCCCAGGTGGGGATGTGTTGACGGTAGGAGTGATGCCACTCCAGGTGCCGTGACTTTCAGCTAGACTCGACACTGTTTGGCCAAATTGAGCAGACGCGCCAGGTAGGGATGGAGCAGGTTGCCCAGAGTAATAGGCGGAATCCTTACCTCGCCGCTTCTGCTTTGCAAAGGAAGGGTTCGGGGGAGCCAAAGACCCTACATCGTCATCATCTGCTTTTCGCTCAGCAGCTGACTCAGCCCGTTTATGACTGGAGTCTCGTCGGTAACGTCGGCGCCCGTGAGAGGGGGATTCGAGGCCAATGCTGCTGGCAGAGTCCCTTCGGCCGCGTGCTGCCAATGCTTCCTCTTCTGTAAGTCTTCTAAGAGTGACATTTCGATCCCTATCATCATGAACCTTCATCTTGACACTGACACTGGCTGGTGAGGCATAGCGCTCGTAACGCGAATCCTCTTCGCCGGGCGCAAGCTTTGAAGCGTCTCGGTCACTTGGTCGGCCTTGGCGAGATCGTTGGGCCCTAGAGTTTGGCGACAAGCCTGAAGCTGTAGTCTCAGTAGGTGCTATAGGCGCTAGGATACCATGAGGATCAGCTGGCATCGCGGGCATAGAGACATGCTCACTGCTGCGTCTCGAGTGGTTTCCCGCGCGGCCAGCAACGGGAGGCAGATTGCTCATTTCAGTAGGTGGGACGTAGTTGCCGCGAGCAGGCCGGGGCTCGATGGTCGATTCAGACATCTCAGATGACAAAAGTGTATCTGTAGCAGGGTAGCCTGATTGTCGACGTTGAGCAGGCCGGCGACTGTCTCGCCTGGGAGGGGATGCGTGTCCATCTGCAGTAAACCTCGACAACGAGGTGCCGGATCTCAGATCTTCTTCATCACGCAGACGCTCGTCCTCTTTCGCTGCCCTCCTATCTGCCATCTTCTTTGTAAACCATCCAAAACCGAGGCCGCCTAGCAGTCCCTTGGCAAACCCACCCCCTGACTTTTCCGGCGGTGGGCGTCGAGAAGGACTAACGTAGGATGAATAGTCTGATTCCTCAAAGACGCTACGTCTCGAGTTGGGTGGATAACGTTTGCCTCGGGGTGTGACAGAAGGCGGAGGTGAGCTCAGCGCAGTTTCGGTATAACTCTGATCGGCAGCACTCCTCATCTGTGACATTGCAGGCGGCGGTGCACGGCTTCCAGATGGAGGGAGTAACGTTGAGCGAGTCATATCAGGCTCCCTTCTGTTGTCAGGTGTAGTTGTGCTGGTGAAGTCAGTCCTAGTGAAATCGGACATACTTGGAGCACTGCGGCTTGCACGATGACGTTTAGGTGTTTCGGTTGACACTGCACTATACTCGGAGTAGTCCCCATCTCTTGGCTTGCCCCGTTTGGAAAACAATTTTCCGAGACCTAGGATGCCCAAGAACTTTGCGAAACCGCCTCCTCCACCTCCTCCAGCATCTTTTCGTGAAACTTCTGAGTACTTTTCTCCAGTATATCCGGTGAGATAGCTGGCTGAGCCCGTTCTAGAAGGGAGGACCTCTGGTCTCTGGCTGCGATCGAATGACGGGGACCGGCTGCGGACTCGGCTGCCGTTATCTGGGGTCTTGTTCTTGTCCCGACCTCTTACGAGAGCCGCCAATCCACCGAGAGCCACAAGAGGACCTAACCATTTGGCTTTGCTTTTGGGAGGCTCCGACTTGTATTCTGAGAAAAGCTCAGACTCAGTGTATCGAGTACGAGTATCTTCCGTTGGCGCCAATTCTGAGCGCATTTCTGACCTTGCTCCACCCATATAGTAGTCTCGATGGTTGGCAGATCGCCAGCTGAGAATGAAGTACAGGATGACGAGCAAGAACATCCAGACAGCGTACATGATGAACAAGTAGAGGGGCGAACCATATAAGGCGAGTCCCAGAGGAACCTGAGCGATACCCAGAAGGGCAATCGCTCGGCCAAACCATTGGTGAATCATGACGCGCAATGACCGAGACTTGGTTACTCTGCGGACAATCCAACCTCCGAATAGCTGAATGAAGAACAGGGCGAATATCGCGACACCGATTCCATGATGGGGGTTAGATAGACTACGCTCTGGTCCAACTGCAAAGTAGCCCAGGGTGAAGACTGCGACTAATAACAGCCCAGCAAAGATATTGACTTGGGCGTGGTACTTAATGGCATAGCCTGGACGCCGCGAGTAGAACCTTGCTGTCATAACAGAGAACGGTATGAGGAAGAGGAATACTATAATTCCCATAACGGCGTGCGCCCGAATCAGGCCATGATATTGCGTAAGTGTCGAAAATCTATTTCCCATGCCTATCGGCTATGTTAGTCGAATCCATCAGGATGCTCGAGAACTGGTCCAAATACCATTATAACGCATAGTTTCGTAGTTAAGCCCTTGGAGATTAGGCAGCAGAAAAGTGTTCTTGTCGAAATCCCATGTCCCATCACCAACGGTTTGAGTATTTGAATCATAACTCACAGCACCGGGCGCGGAGAGTTCATCTTTTGCCGGCGCCATGACGGCGACGACGGGTAGAAGGTCTGTGTTTCAGACAGTAGATAGATGTCTCACGGGTTGAGGTTCAGGAGCGTTTAAAACCTCCGTAGCGTCGTGATCTGGTTCGTGTCTCGAGACCGGAATGATTGGAATGCTATGTTGACGACTTCGCAGGGTGCGTGGAGGTCGAAACGAAATGCGATGCCGGATGTCTTAGTCTTAGGCTATGGAGCTTAGCAGGAACATCTTTGCTTAAGCTTTGCCGTGATTGAAGTCGTAAATCGTTACACAAGAAACCGAGATAAGAAAAAAGACGCTTAAAGTTTTGTGTAGAAAAGAGACTACAGAAAGTCGATCCACGAGCCAAGCTTGAAGACTTGAGTCCGTTTGGGAGGGAGACGGTTTCGCTCTTCCCGTCACCGTTGCCAACTAGGTAGTTGCTAGTTGCTAGGGATGGGGATGGTTGGTGGGGAAACCGCGGCCAGAGTGAGACTAGCCAGCGCATTCATCATCCATTGTACCTGCCAGGTTTGGATCTTTCGTAATTATGGGCCCATCTACGTATAGTCTGATTGGTGGAGGGAGGTCAGCGAATCCTGACTGAGTAGGTGCGGTGTAGAAGAGATGGCATCGACGACTATTGTCCTTTTATAACGAGTATTTCATTGTGGGAATCCAAAAGTTGTGATTTGCTTAATATCAAGACTAGTTCTATTCAGAAGAGTTTTGAGCTGGATTACTACTATTCTTACGGAATAAAGCTTCATTTAGGCCCGAACCACTACCGAAGAATGACTCGTTTGGTTTCTTCACCGTATCGTTACTCTATGCCAGAACCCACATAGTACCTGGCATGTCCCAGGCCTGACGTCGATATTCTTCGGCTCCGATTTGACGTGTTTGCATCTGCCAGGCTTCTCTTCTCCCGAGGCTGTTTAGGCTGCTTAGGCTGCGAGGGTTCGCATTATGCCGCAGGGGAGCGGTCGAGCCGTGCGCTTCTTGAAGGTGCCCGGCCTAAGTTCCGTATGATCCGTTACGATTGTACCTGAAAAGAAAAGCCTGGTGGGTAATTCTATTACGCAAACCTCATTTAACTGATATAATAGGGCCTTTGGTTTCCCTAGAGATGCTAATATCTGCAAGCGACCTTATGCTGTGCTGCTGTCAAGCGAAGATCTACAGTATGCGGCGCTTCTTACAGAGTCGCGCCAGAGATCTCCCCACAAACCATGACACTACGTATGCAGCCAAGATATGAACAAACCGTTCCTTCTTCTTTCTCCTGTCAATCTTTTGGTGTGACTATTAAGGACAGTTTGTAAGTGAAACAATCGTCTAATGCCGCTCCACTGTTTGGCAACACATCATAGCCTGCACGGGAAACAAGAAGGGATTTGTTTCAACAACCAACTTAGGCAACATATTATCGTAGCAAAATCTCCGTATGTTCAAACTTCGAGAATAAATTAAAGGAAGCCTCGAGTTTCCGTGCTTTAATTAGGTTTCTTATAGTCTAGTCCAAGTCCATTGTGTTAAATGCCGACGACCTTCTATTTACGTTTGGAGCACCGAAGGATTGGGACGTAGTGCTAGCTCAACCATGAAACATCAAATAGCAAATGCTGAATCCTTCTTCCCCAAAAGGAGTGGCGAACACAGCCTCAGCTCATTTATCTACGTAGTATTGCAGTGGCATCATGAAAGCATAATTACTTTCCCCTCAAATTTCATCAACGCCCGTTTCATGTCTAGAGACATAACTCATAAGCAATGGTATTGCCCCAAGCTTGATAGATTAATGTGAGTCTACGATCTCATGTTCTCTTCTGTATTCAATAATATCGAAATACTACTTAACCTGTGATCTCACATGTTATCTTCTACCGTACTTACCGCACTTGCGGTTCTCGCTTCATCTGCCAACGCATGGCTTCCTAGCCAGGAGTCCCAAGGTCTAAACGAGCGCGACGGTGACGTCTTTACATATCCTCTACGATCTGGCAACGACAAAAGATGGCTTCCGGCGAGTAAAAAGATCCGTGGAGTGAACCTCGGATCTCTTTTCGTCTTTGAACCCTGGATCGACAGCCAGGAATGGGCAAACACTGGATGCGAGGGCGAAAAGTCAGAGTTCGATTGTGTTTTGAACAAAGGTCAAGATGTGGCGGATAAGAACTTTCAGGCTCACTGGAAGAATTGGATCAATCAGAGCGATCTGGATGAGATGCTCAGTTATGGTCTGAACACGATTCGTGTCCCTCTTGGATACTGGCTCAAGGAGGACCTAGTTGACAAGTCGGAACACTTCCCAAAGGTATGTCAAAAGTCTAGTTTGCATGACATACGCTGACTGTCACAGGGTGGATTGGAATACCTAACTCAGCTCTGTGGCTGGGCGAGTGATAGAGGCTTCTACATCATTCTCGAGTAAGTATTTCAGCCAGGTGAAGATACCTTGCTGATATCAATACAGTTTTCATGGCGCACCTGGTGCTCAGGAACCCAACCAGCCCTTCACAGGTCAATATGCACCTAAAGTCGGATTCTACAATGACTATAACTACGGTCGTGCAATTGAATGGCTCGAGTGGATGACAGACATTATTCATTCCAAGCAAGAATACCGCAATGTCGGCATGCTTGAGCTGGTGAATGAACCGCTGAACTGGGACAGTGCTGTTGAGTCCCTGCGAAGTTCTTATTATCCCAAAGCCTACAGTGTATGCAATTCGCCAAAACAGCATGATCCATCGCTAACAATACACAGGCTATCCGTAAGATTGAGGAGAATCTCAAGGTCTCTGACAATGATCGTCTTCACATCCAGATGATGGGCTCTCTCTGGGGCAGTGGAAACCCTACCGAGTTCCTCAGCGATACCTCATTCACAGCATTTGATGACCACCGCTACCTCAAGTGGGACACAAGCATCGAAGCCTCCCAAGATGCATACATCAAGCAATCATGCTCAGACGACCGCAATACCGACGGCCCCACGATCGTTGGCGAATGGGCCTTGTCTGTCCCTGATAATGTCGAGAATACCGAAGCTTGGAATCCTCAGACTCATAAGGAGTTCCACACCAAGTGGTTCTCTGCTCAGGTGCATGCTTACGAGAAGAGTACCCTTGGATGGGTTTTCTGGACATGGAAGGCCAACCTTGGTGATGACTACCGCTGGTCTTATAGAGGTGAGAACACCGATTTGACTAACTGGAGAAAGTTTACTGACAAAGTATAGATGCTGCACGGGCTGGAGTCATTCCCAAGAATCTTGACTCCCTTCCTAATGTCTGTTAACTTGATGCTGCAGTAGGATGACACCGTGAACGGAAACGCTTGGCTCTCAGGGCTTGGTGAATTAGTAATTCTTATCTTGTATTATCTCATATATTAGTAGTTTGGTTATCTAAGTGTAAACGGACGTATTTCTGAAAACTCCCGAAATCATGATGCCCTTGAAACCCCCATACAAACCCTCCTTTATTACCTTGGTTGACAACCCGATCTTATCTTCTCAACTTCAGAACCACCCATGCTGCCAGCCTATATCCAGCAACAATAGAAACCATGATACCCACATTCCGTCCCATATGTCCAGTCGAGTATCCATACTGCTCCAGCACAGCATGGCCATCGATCTTGCACTGATCTGCCAGAGAGGAGTTATACATACAGTTGCATCCCTCGCCGCAGCTATACACACGGTCCGAGAACTCGTTGACCATCATACCCTCAAACACATACTTCTGGTAATCCCAGTAGTGAAATACATATTTGTAGAAAACATTGAGGATCGTTGGTGGGACCATGAATCCTCCAACAGACATCCACAGGCCGTTTGCAAAGGCCACCAGCGCAAGCGAGATGACAAAGCTTGGAAACAGCGAGGTCATGAAGACGACGAGTGACTCTGCTGCCAACAGGTCTAGGAATAGCCACATAACCCAGGTGAAGAAGGCCTTTGCTGTGGGTTGGAAGTTGGAAAGCCAGTACGAGATGACAGAGAAAAGGATGGATATGATAAAAAGATACGGGATGCCGATGAGGAAGTTGGACACAATCAGTTCCGTCGCACCATACAAACCGTTATGGTGTTCCTTGACGTACTGAAGCCTGTCTTCGATGAAGGCGGGAACATAAGCCACCGCCATGAAACTCATAAAAGCCGAACCAAAGAAGATGGCGTTGATGAAAGGTTGAATAGATTCCTGAGCAGGGTCGAGTCTCACCCAGACAGTGCCCATCATGATAGCGAGACCGAGGTACATGGCCAGACGGATGCCATAAACCACAACATCTCGGTAACTCTTGATGAAGCTTCGATGCAGTAGAGTTAGAGTGAGACTTGGCATACTGGGTCTCTTGTCAATGCCCTCAACGCCCCAACCGCCGCCGGAAGACTCAGCAGTCTTGATCGCGTTGTTGATTTGGCTCGCCTGGAGTGAGTTCTGCCAAGAGGTATGCAGGGTCTCCAGATTCTGCGACGCCGTGTCTCTGTTTTGTGCAAAGTCAATGTTGACCATCTCGAGAAGATGCTCAGCCGGGTTGACATATTGAGGCAGCGGAAATCCAGACTCAGCGTAATACGTCGCAACGCCAGCCACAGCTCCAAAGTAATGTGTTTTCCCACTAGATAGCAAGAGAAGTTTGTCGAACAGGTTGAAAGTCGACGTGGAGGGCTGGTGGATAGAGCAGATGACGATGAGGTTGTTGCGTTTTGCCACGTCGCGGAGATATTTGACCACCTCCAGACTGGCAGCTGAGTCAAGACCACTGGTAGGTTCATCGAGGAAGAGGAGCTTGGGACTGGTGATCAATTGACTCGCAACACCAACACGACGCTTCTGACCACCTGAGATACCCTTGCGGATGGGCGTGCCAATGATTGTGTTGGCTTGCTCAATCAGACCAAAAGACTCGAGAAGATTATTGATACGAACAAGACGATCTCTCTTAGACAGAGAACTATTAGAAATTGACGTTAGACAGGTTACATCTTCAAGTTGACTGTGGGATACATGCCTTGAGCTGGCGAGCCTTGATGAGAACTCGAGTGTCTCTCGGACAGTTAATGATCCAATAAGAGCATCTTCCTGTTCGACGAAGCATGAAACTTCCCGGAACTCAGCCAGAGATAGATGAGTTCCATTGACGTGAACTTCAGCTTCGACATTACTGGCATTTGTTGGACGACGGGCCAGGACATTGAGTAGTGTTGTTTTACCGCAGCCTGATGGTCCCATCAAGGCACAAATTTCCCCTGTAGTTTTAACCATCAGTTGTCATGGTAATCAACGGTGAGGCGAGTAGACTAACCAGCTTCGACAATGCCCTCGACATTATCAACAATGCCCTTTGGCTGTTTCGTTTCGCGGTCCTTGACAGTCACAGTAACGCCACGCCAGGTAATGTTTTTGATTGTGCTGTTGAGCAAATGCTTTTCTGCAACAGGACGTTGTTCGGAATCCATGCTGCTGTCTAAGTCGTTTCTCATGTTCCTCAGTTGAGGTTTAGGATATAGGTTTGTATGAAACAAAGCAAAGGTTTGATGAACAACAGATATTGGTGGATATAATCTGAGGACATGATCTGGGTATTTTAAACAAGACAAATCTTCCATTAGAATGCAACGCGAAATTAACGGTGGTTGATACGGCTGAGACATAGTTTCCTAGCCTTCGGTCTCTTGAATAGAGCCCGTGTCGCACAACAACTTGCCCGCTCTTCTGCAGTCAGCAATTAGGTTTCAGCTCAATCTCGAGGCTGAACCTATGGATGAACGATCGGTCTCTTTTTTTCTTTTGCTTAGCTCTTGGGTGATGAAACGATTCCCCAGTTACTCCTTTGATCGGCTGCTAGAATAGACGCCTGGTGTTTTTCAGTTATCTGATTCAACCTCGGCTTACATCAACCACAGCAGATGAGGATTAGCATTCTCACCTAAGCCACACTAATTCTTCTTCACATACGCATGTTAACTCGGCGTCTTAATTATAATCCCCGATATGACGTCTCCGTGACTGTTACTCTCCCCATGGCACAAACGAGGCAGTGCATACCCGTTGATGCAACTCGGAGTACGGACACTCCGGATGATGTGTGATTGTTATTGCAATTGACCCAAACGCTCGGGCCTGCCAGGTAGGGCTGAGTCTAGAACAGGGCCTCCGATGGCCCGACATTAGTGTAGCAGCCAAGTAGCAGCCTGCCTAGGTGTATATGTGGTATTCTATGAACTCGGCATGTTAAGTAAAATCATGGTAATATGTATGGCACATATCTTGGCAACACATCACAGATAAAACGAAGATGGCAAGATGTAGAAATCATAGTCTAATCGCTGCTCTAGGTAGCATATTGGTTCAATGCTGTATCAGTCCAGCTGATGTCTATAAATCAATCCAATCCACGCGTCAACGCATATCTATTTCCATGACCCCCCGTAAACCAGAGTAGAGCTTCAAAACCAGACTTCCCACTAACGCCGCAAAATATCAGATCAACATTGTCTACGTCCAAAATCCTTAAACTCCATTACTTAGCCCATCATGCTAGGCATGCCCTGCACGCTCTCAAATTCATGAATAATAGAATCATCCGCCGCAATCATGTTGATCGCCTCTTCGTGGGTTATACCCAACCAAAACTGGGACATGGATTGATGCTGCTTCTTGACCTGATAGATCTCCTGCGCCATACCCTTCATTGACCGTCTCTCGCGTTCTGCAGCACCCCATACTAGGGACATTTTGGAGATGGCTCCTGTGTTGAGACGAATCAAGTGACGCAGGTTGTCCCCGTCGTGGATCATATAAAAGAGAGCCCACCTGCTGAGGTGCACTGTGGATGACATTGTCGTCACGTAGTTAAGGAAGGGGGTATGTGAAAGTAACGGGACGCGGTAGGTGGCGAGCTTGCTGATCTCTGTAGCAGCATGTATCGTGTGTTTGGTATGTGTGTTCAGGGTGTCTATAGAGGAGACAGAAGAGCTCAAATTCGTAGATTGGGTCAACAACGAGTTCAGCTGTGAATGTGGCTGATGGAGGAGAATAGACGTTGCATGCGTTATCATGTGCCCCTGAAACATCATCTCGTCAGGGTGCCCGTGGTATTGAGGATTCAGTTTCGATCGCGGTAAATCAAGTCGCCATTTGGTGAGCAAAGTCTCAATATGGTCGATCTTCAGGGCCTCGGATCCAGAAACTGGTGGGCCGCTCAAGAGCTTTCCGAGATTTTGGATGGCTAAAATACGGTAGGTGAAGGACGAGAGCTCGCGGTTTACACCAGGAAAATAAACGCCGATTACGTCTTGAAGATATAAGACTTGTGGGATATTCTATGTGTAGATAACTTAGTAAAAGGGAGTTGATAAGAGAGATGTTTGCCTTACACCTGAGAGATACTGCTGCTCCTCGCAAGGAAGCGCAACGTCACAAGTGATATCGAACAGAAGAAAACTTGTCCTTCGATGTAATCCAGCGATCAGTCCATCCACCACATAAAGATCCCACCATGTTCTCCGCCAACTCTCCTCCATCACCGGGATACCCCGTCCGTGTGTAGTTGCAAACGACTGTGTGTTGAGGCCAATCTCGACAGCCATCTCTGCAGCTTCAGCCAGCATCTCCCGGGCCTGTTCTTGCTGCCCCTGTCCGTCCAATCCGATCAGAAGAAGTAGCAAAGCCTGGACTCTAAAGCCATCCTTGCCACGGTGGGACTTGTAGACCGCTTGGTGTGCTTCTTGGAAGAAGTGAGCGCGGTGTGGGCATGCTGGGATATATAAAGAGCCTATCCAGCGCATCACAGCGAGAACAGGCTCGACCGAACTCTCCTCGGCGATACTCAGAAGGTACTCTCGCGGCAATACAAATGGATGGGCGGCGTAAAAGTGGCTGTAGAAATAATCTATACAGCGTTCAGGTAGTGTAGGCACCGGGTTATACGTGGGAATATGTTCGTGTTGTTGAGTCGCAAACATGTTGTACATATCGTTTGACGCGTCCGTTGTGGCATACGGCTGAAAGAAGGAAATATCGGTCTCGTTATTGCTGCTGCCAGTCAATGCAGGGTCTAGGAAAGGGGTCGAGAAGGAAGAGTTGTAGATGTCATCAGTCATGTTGGGGCTAAGAAAACCAGGAGAACCTAGGGGTGTCGTGTGAACTGATTTGAATGAAGATGAGCCTACATTACTGCGACTCCTTGCCCGAGAAGGGGATACACTGGGTCGTTTGTTCTGTTTTCGTGGCGTATTTCGTCGAGGGCCTTTGTAACCACGTCTTGAAGCCACGTAGATGCATTCGGAGCCAGAGCTCAAGCATCGAGAGCAAGGATTCACACCATCACACTTCAAGTGTTTGCCTCGCTAGCCAAAAGATGTTAGTGGAACGAAAACATTTAGCTTTAGGGGTGGTAAAACTTACACAAGCTAGACAAGCTGCTGGGACAGAAGCAATACTCACTCGGCCACTTTCTGTTGTTGTAGAAGTTGAGCCACTGGGTGAGGCCCTCCCATCAGTTGTGTAAGCAGCAGAGCTGGGCGAATTTGAGTTGGAGGACAATTCCTCAGGTCCTGAGAAAACATCTTCTCTGTTGCTGCTTGAGAAGGTTTGTTGGAACGGATTCGAGTTGTCCATTGTGGGCTGGTACCAGAGATGGGAGTCGCTCGAAGGATCAGAGTAGAAGGTATAGGGCTGAGGTGAAGAGAAGCCGGTGTGAGTCCCGACGGATGTGCCTGTACTTCTACTACTGCTAACAGAATGACGCTTCATTTAGAGGGTCAAGTGGCTTTTGGAGAGCTGAACCGAAGTTCTAAGTGTAGGCCAATGGCTATACTGCCAAGACGATGCGGTTGGTGATGGCGTCGGCTTGTCGACGGGATGTAATGTAACTGCTGACTGTATCCCAGCCAGGTCAATGTCTAGAGTTCCGCCTTTTGGGGAAGGGGAACAAAGTGACCACTTATTTCAAATAAAATGAGAGTTCTGGGGTGCTAGAGAAGGGGATCTGAGTGTGGGCTTGGGTGGTTTATATCCAGGGTGAAGTGTCAAGGCGATTGGCTTATTTGTTTGAGGCCTTGGACTATTTCGATAGCTGAAAAGAATCAAGGTGAAGGTATGTGTATATGTATTCCAAATATCTCGTGAATAATCAAATTTGACAGGCCCATTTGCATGTTATTTATTGCCATCACCAGGCACGACACGGGCGTCATGTCAGTCAGCGACTTTGTCGGCTCAAGTGCCGTCCGGTGGGCTTATCGCCGTGCCTCCCCTGCTGGCCCTGGCTACCAGACCTCAAAATAGGTTACATACTAGGTAAATTAAGCGACAAGTTGTCAATTATCCAGGTGCATGTGCATGTGCAGGCGGAGTTAAAGGTGGAAGTGGAGGCGGAGGTGGAGGTTGAAGGTTGGAGGTTGATGGCTATATCGCCCAATTCACTGTAGCGCCTAAGTACAGCATCCCGACTCTTCCATGCTCTCCCGAGCCAAACATCTTACAGGGTCTAACGTTAGTCTTAGCTTTCAGCCCTAGCGGGAGTCAGCCGGGTGTATTCCTTCTCAGGGGATAAGTCGAAGTATTTCCAGCCTGCAGCTGCAGCTTAGTTTTAGCTTCAAAACGTGTGCCACTGGCATCATTGGGCATGCAATAAAGAGGGTTTGGTCTTGTCGGCTATCGCCGTGACTGTATTAAGTTGACAAGGCCCTAGGTCCGACTAAGACTTGTATTATTTGGAAGACAAGTCTCATGTCAGCCAGTAAGAGTCATCGGAATGGCGGACATCCGTTCAAACTGTGCCACACTTTGAGCACTTTGAGAGCATACTCAGTGCTGCGCATTGACTCGTACTACGTAGTTAGTCACAGCCTTGTGAGGCGCTGATTCGAAACAGTTTAGCCCTTTGAGAAAAACTGTCTGGGGTCTCGAAAAGCGTCTCCACTATGCGGCCGCCCTTCTACGAGTCCTTATTAGTTGGAGAGTTTGAACCAGCTGAAGAATGCTTGTTCTGTCAAGGTTGAGGTCAAGGTTGATGGAAGATTGTCACATGGAAGCCTCTCATAGTAGCATCAACTCACGAGTTACCTGTCTTGATTTGTTTTTGTCTGCATTTTTACTCTGTTGAAAAACAACCATGACAAATATAGTCGTATTAGACTCCATAACTACGTATGTCAACGTCAGGGCGGGAAGACCTCCCTCTGATCTACAACCCCCTTCATCTTCATCTAAAGCTATCCCAGCCATTCTACGGCGTAAATGTTTACCAATCTACCCTCCTTCCTCATCAAATCCATTAGACGAGAAGAGACACCCCATAGTCGCTGCAGGCCTGTGCACCATGCACGTTGTCTGCCCGACCTAGGGGGCTTGGCGCACGAGGAAGACAAGGTCGCGGATGTTCAAAGCTTGATATGCTGATACGGATACTGATACTGTAGTCTTCATTAGTACTTTCTGCTTAACTCAAAGCCTCGTGGTCATTGCAGTTTAGTGGGTGTGACCGGCACTCAATAGGCGAAGTGGTGATCCTGTGAACCAAGACTGCCGATACGGATACCTTCCCTTACAGGCTTACCCCAAATGTCAGCGGCAGGATGCCGAGAAAATGCCATGTTTCGACTAACATTTGACACTGTCGTTTCCATTGTCACCCATGCTTTTCCTCCCATTCTAACCTGGTCTGGAAGTTCCGTTACTGGTCAAAGTCCCTGCCTCCCCTTTCCAAGCTAATCTTGCATATTGAGTCGGCCGCTTGGGGGGACGACTGACGAGGGTATCAGTAAGCCTCAGGTTTGGCTGTCATAAGTCAACTTCAGCTTTCAGGCCGTTGCGAAAACAGCGGGTAACAACATCGGCAATGCATGCCCGCCCCTCTGCAGCGTCTTGGGGCTGATCCTTGAACTCGGGACTCTCGATTATACCCAAAGCAGCGATTGTAGCCCGCAATCGGCATTGCGGCATGATGCATCAGGGTTTTGGGGGGGTGTTTGCGGATTGCGTACCCGTTGCCATGGGTTGTTTTTTTTTCTCAGTTTGGCTTATACATACGTAGTGGCTTACTGAGACTTGAAAGCCGTTGAGACAATCATGACTAATGATTGGATCGTGTTTGAATTAATAAGCCTGAGTACTAAATAGGTAGTTCCACTGCATGAACGGCTTCATTATCATAATCCAAGTGAATAGGCATCTTAGCAGAGTTCAGTCCGACGTCATTGTGCAAAGAGAGATCATTATACCACCTTGAGCATGACATTTGCCCTCAAACCTCAGACCTCAGCATCTCTAATCTACAAGGCTCATGACTGTGAAGATGGGAGCTTATTGCCTAACAAATCGGAGCATATCTTCCCAGCTCAAAGCAAAGAAAGCTCCTCTTTGGGTTTAAACACAAAGCAGGGGTTAACAAGCTGCTGGAAACTGGTTAACCCCCTTGGACTTAGGTAGACGAACTAAATTCCTCGTTAAACCCACGCACCTCGCAAGCAAGATGCATGTTACGAGTACGTAGCACCACGTCGTCAAAGAGTCACATTTCCTTGACTTGGCGGTCTGCTTAACAATTTCAGAGTCAGGGTCTCAGGTTTTTGGTTGTCATTTCGAGTCAGTCCCTACCAACTTGTCGGGTTTTCTCGGCATCAGTACGTAGACTAGTATTTAGGTGAAACCCGCCTACTATGTACTTACACAGGAGACATGGTGTTTGTCTGCACCAAAGCGATCGACAAGATAGATAGAACGAGCGAACATGAATTAGTTCTCGCCATTGGTAGCAATTGCAAACCAAACCCAGAGGCTCAACCATTCCAATCAATTGCTTTCCAGTTTCTGGTATTCTGCCACACATGAACTATCCCGTATGCCAATGCTATTGTTATCTCCTTGATCTATTCTATCTTGGGCCTGTCACCCCACACCACCAATCAACGTCGCAAAGCTAGCCTCGTACGACTGACTCCCCGCAATATCAAATTATTCCTAGCTGTGCAGCCTCTAACTTAGTTCACCATTCTGCAATCACAATAATCCCGTTTCATCCACAGCAAGCATTCCAATTTGTTGCCTTGTGTCCTTACTCAGTTGCACCGCCTCTTTGGCTCTCAACGCCAAGCAAAAACAAAACATATTCGGAGTATATAAAAAAAGAGTAAGCGGCAACTATAAGGTCAAGACTAGGGCGTACTGTAGTCTAGGGTGCCGGCATGGACCCTATATCCCTTGCCGGCTTGGCGCTTGGGGTTGCTTCCATCAGCCTGCAAGTCTACACGGGGTGTATCCAAGGTAAATTCAGGTATCTACTTGTCACGATCATCACCTCAGCATTGACAATACGTCAGGGATACAGCTTCTTGTCACGGCGCTGGGTTACGAGGATGACTGCAAATATCTCAACCTGCGCCTCAGAATGGAGCAGCAACGTCTGTTCTGTTGGAGTGAAGCTTCGGGGCTGCTTGATCTCGATGCAAAGAATCAGGAAAAGGTTCTCAACTCGAACGTGTTCAATCTCCATCGCCAGACCGTGATAGACCTGCTCGTTCAGATACAGTGCTTGTTCAATGAGTTTACCGAGTATCAGCAGAAGCACAACAATCTCTCCACTGTCGTGGATAAGGATGGTGTTTTAGATGCTCCAGAGAAAGACGCCAGGTCATCTAACTATCCCATCACTGAGAAGAAGCGTGATTTTATCAAAAAGGCCATGGCTGGGCTAAAGGCCAAGTCTTCTGATGGTCTTACTAGATTACGGTGGACTTCATTTGATAAGCAAGGTTTTGAAAGGTTGCTGGCCAAGTTCTCGGTTCTCAATGACAACATGACCAATATCCTCGATCACTCCCTGCAAGTCGAAATTCGAAATACTGTGCAGGACACCAATCGTGGTGTCCTATTGCTCCATCACAAGATAGCTGATCTGAGTCATCTCGTGTTGGCTCTCAAGTCTCAACTCGATGCAGGCTCCCCAGGCGGGCCGTCGCAGATGTCCAAGCTGGAGAGGGAGGCCAATGCTGACGCCTTGATGCAGTTGTCAAGACTCGCAAAATTCAAGGCCTTCAACGAGACAATCGACCCAAAGTCAGACAGTCCGACGGTTGCCGATGAAGCTGCTGCAAAGTTTCTCGATCTTGCCAAGCCTGGCCATCAGCGCAATCTATTCATTCCGCGATATCTCATCGAGCTAGACCCAGAGGTAGATGAATCAGATGCTCCACGATGCGAGGCCTTCATGAAGACATCTGAGGGTAAGAAGAAAGTCTGGATTGAGTGGAAGGACTACGACAACACAGATACTCAGTCAGGTTCGCTCTCCAAAGGTGATATCATCGAGCGAGTTCGCAAGCTGGCTGCTCTGTTAAACCACAGTCCCAAGCCTGGAGCTTTCCGCACTCCTCATTGCCTTGGCTTCTTCGACAAGGCAGACCCAAATGTTCCCGAGGATGATGTTGATATTCTCGACCGACGACTCGGCCTCATCTTCGAGCGTCCGTCTGACGACAACCTACACCTATCACTTCCGCCTGTGTCTCTCCGCGAACTTCTCCAAGACCCTAACGTTCGCAAACCACGAGTCACAGAGCGGGTTTACCTAGCACATGCGATAAGTAACTGCCTAATTTACCTTCACGCGGTTCATTGGCTGCATAAAGGTCTTCGCAGCCATAATGTGCTATTCTTCCGAACTCGCGAGGGTCATGTGGATTACCGACAGCCATACCTTTCAGGCTTTGATTTCTCAAGGCCTGGCGGCTCAGATGAAATGACCGATGCGCCAGGAGATGATGCAGAGCATGATCTATACCGACACCCAAACGCCCAGTCAAATCGTCGGCGAGACAGAGAGCGTTCGAAGAAGAGCTTCGATATTTACAGTATGGGTGTAATTCTAGTTGAACTGGCACATTGGCAGCCTGTTGAAGACATTTTGCGCATCGATATACGACGTGCACGCGGTCGACCTGATATTGTGCGCGGTGTCCGAGAGGCTCTGCTGAAGGAGAACAGAGTCGCGGCTGTGGGTGCCGATATGGGAGAGAGGTTTGAAGTTGCTACACGGAAATGCCTGGCTGGTGGAAAGGAATTTGGGCTTAAGGAAGGTGATGACGAGACGCAGGATGAAGTTGCTGAGAAGTTGTCTATGAAGTTTTATGAGGACGTGGTGAAACGCCTGGAGGATATAGTTGTGTAGAAAGATGGTACTTTCACAATCGTGCATAGGCTTGTTGCGGATGAATGAGATGATGCAATGAGAGAATGAGTATAATAATTAGAACAAATGTTATCAATAATGTGTTGTATCGTTAACTAACGACGGTATCTCTTCGAGAAGTCCTCCCAAGTGAATAGTGCCTGAACGCCAGAGCTATACTCTATTACCCTTTCTTTAACGAAACATGATTAACAACAGCAGTCTAGGCATTCGAAACAACAGAGACCGGCGCAGATACCACAGCAAATGGCCTAGATATATTGTTAGTCAGGTACGAATTAATTCAAATTTTTGGTTGACTTACACCCCCGTCCTTGCCTCCTCGCATGCTCATCTCAGGTTGCTCCATTGACATGGGCTGGATTGGCGGCTATTACAGTAAACGAAGTCAGTATATATTAATTAAGTAACAAGACAATCCTGTCAAGTAGACTCATGGATCGTCTGAAACAGCCTTGGCGGAACAAAGGAATGCTCGGCATGATGAGGCCAAGCCGGAGGTTCGAGGTTTGACGTACCGGTTGTTCGGTGCTGGTTCGTTCGGTAGGGAACGCTGCGGGGACCGGCTCGCGGGGCATTTGCAGCGCGGGAGCGGCAGTGGTGAAAGTAGAAGCAGGCATGTTGAAGATTTTGGAGATTTTGTGTTGAGGGCACTTGAGAGGTATTAGAGGTGCGAGAACGAGCTTGTTATAGGGAAGAAAACTGGCGATTCACAGTGCTACAGATTGATAGAAAGAAAACGAAAATTAGGCTCAGACAAAGAGCGCAACGTTGTTGTTATAAGGCTCTCAACCAGCTGATTACTACTATACAGTACAAGCTTACAAGGTCCATGGTTCGGTAGAGGTGGGTCAAAGACTGGAATGGAACTCGGCACATGGACTGATAACGCCTGACCATGGGGTCGTGAGGCTGTGAGCCCGTAAACCTTGAGCCTCGAGTTCCGTGACCTCCGAGTGATCAGCCGGAGCCCACAGCAGATTGAGGATTGTATTCTACCTAGGGTGGAGTAGCATTAGCTTGAACGATTCGGAAACTATCGACATCCTCAAACAATATCGACTTGAAAAATACTCTGCAATTATCACAAAAGACCGTTATCTGCAAAGTACCGTAAAAGGTATCTCATTTTATGCGTGGCTGCTGATGCCGAACCGCTCTGCAGACGAACGGCTTGCCCGGTGGCCCAAGCTGAAAGTAAAAGACACGGAGAAAAAAAGGCAGAATAAGAAAAAGGTAGGTCGTCGTTGGGGGGAACCATGACGTATGCTTGAGTGGCTGCAGGCAAATCCCTGCCTCTATTTGCGAACCAGCGGATTCTGGAATAAGCCTAAATAATTACCTCGTACCTTTCCTCCTTCAGCTGTCGTATTGTAATGTTACATGGCTGTTCTGGAAGGATCAAACTCGCTTTCTCGGTATTTGGGTTGAGACTTTTCGCATCTTTGACGAATCCGTACACGCGTATCGCCAATGGGCTAAGAATAGCTGCATCGGTTTGACCGGGTTGTTTGTTGGTGATGGCTTAGAGCTTCGATCTGACACGGCCACAATGGCGGAGCATCATCTATCTACGCAATCTTTTTCAGTTAAGCCACTTCGATAGAGTCAAAGCTGAGCGGGTATCCGTAATGAATTGAATTGTGCCTTTACTTATTATCAAACACCACTCACTCATTGTCGAGCTGGAGACTTTCATGTTTTGAGATGGCATGATAGGGTTAGAGAAGTTGCTCAAGACCAATACGACACCCAGGCCAAGAAAGAACAGTGGCTTTTAAATATGTTTTTTTTTAACTCACCAAACCAGTCATGTCTTTATATCCAATCTAACTCAGGTTCTTGCTCAACCAGGTAAACTATTTACTATTGCATCACCGTTCGTATAATTCTTACCGTCTCAAACGTCTGGATTAGTTCAACGGCTTGACTACGACGTTGAAACACGACAACTTGCTCTGAATTAAGTTTCTCTCTTAAACCTGATAGGACCTTCATGAAAGTTTCATAAAGACTCTCCTGCTATTTTGTTTTAATTCTTTATTCTATTTATGTTAAGTCTGGTGTCACCTTAAAAAAAGAGATCCAGCTGTCCCAATAAAATCTACAGAAATACCAACACTAGAGGTCACTACACAAACCGAAAAGCAACAGTATCTCAAATTCAATAAGGTTACCCACCATATGATAAGACAAGCAAGGTGACCAACAGTAATTCAACAATAATGCAACCGAGAGTATTTATTCTATATTTCTGGCTTATTTTGCAAACGCAAAGTTTCGAAATGCTTGGACATCAAATGCAAGAAATAGAGACATAGGGTAGGTCAGCTCGTCTCTGGAACATTAATCACAAACAATCAACGCGTGACTGTTGGTCCCAAAGCCTGAATCTGGGGAAACATATGGGTGACTGCACTATTGATTGTTGTCTCACTCTCATTTGATATGTATGCAGTTTCTTGATGATAATTCTGGTGCTTTTTTCAACATAGACAACATTCCATCTGCAGTCAATCACGGACATCGACATCCTGCAGCTTCACATCAATCCAAACTCTAAAAAGTGCCCAATCCAGAGAAATATTAGGTCAGTAGAACTTGAGAACTCAATAAGCTTACACTCGAAACATATCCGTATCTTAGCTCGATTGCACAATGAGATAGCGGAGCATTGTCAGCTGGATGAAACATCAGTCGGGCACGAGCTTCCATAGCTCCAGCCGTCACAAGACAGGATGAAGCTCAACCTCAACTAAATGTTTTAGGGAAACAAAGTGTTAATACATATGAAAAGAACATCATATACAAATGAGTGTTATTTCATATTGTACCTAGGTATGTAAAAAATAGCAAAGTTCGTTCAGTAACTCATCTTCTCCATGTAAAGATTTACCGATAATTCACCGGACACTCGAAACAATGGAATGTGGCACTGGGCAGTGGGGTGCCTCGATCTGGGGAGGCTAAGCCACTGAACAGCGAACCTATGATAGTAGGTCAGGCCTGCAACCTCCAACATCTCGCCAAGGGGCCATGTGTTTTTGCGTCAACTCGACGATGCGCCCGCTTTGAATTACTCTCATACTTGATTGTGCTTGATCCCGATGACTTGAATCTCCAACTTTGCCGTTCCTTTTGCATCAATTCTGCCTCTAGCGAATTACTCAACTCCCCCCTTATCGACCGCCATTCTTGTCTTGGCCTCTCGGCCCCATTTGCTCCCTGTTGGACTTGGACGGGGTTGCCGTCATCTCCCTCATCCTCACCTTCGATTCGAAATCCTCCTGAACGACCATCGTCTCTAACTCTCGATTCCCCCGCTCACGATGGCTTCACACGGTCAATATCCTCCCGCCCACATGGTCTCCAACAAACAACACCACCATGCCCCCTACGGCTCTGCTGTGGCTGTCCCTGGAGCTGCTCCAGCTGGTACCTTCGCGCCAGGCACCAAGATCCAGGTCGGTGGCCACCGAGTTGTGATTCAGAAATATCTCTCGGAAGGAGGCTTTGCCCATGTCTACCTCGTCAAGCTAGCCAAGCCTGTTGATGGCACCGATCAAGCTGTCCTGAAGCGAGTTGCGGTGCCCGATAAGGATACCTTGCGGGGCATGCGCATTGAGGTTGAGACAATGAAGCGCCTCAAAGGTCACCGACCGATTGTTACATATATCGACTCGCATGCCTCCGAACTTCAGGGAGGAGGTTATGAAGTTTTCCTGCTCATGGAGTTTTGCAATGGCGGCGGCTTGATCGATTTTATGAATACTAGGCTACAACATCGCCTAACCGAGCCAGAGATCCTCAACATCTTCACCGACATCGCTGAAGGTGTCGCGTGCATGCACTATCTAAAGCCACCACTGCTGCACCGCGATATTAAAGTCGAAAATGTTCTCATCACCGCCAGGGGAGCTTCCAAACGATTTAAGCTTTGCGATTTCGGATCAGCAGCATCACCTCGTCCCGCCCCCACTACCGTCACCGAATGCCGCCTTATGGATGAAGATATCCAGAAACACACTACGATGCAGTACAGAAGCCCCGAGATGATCGACGTATACCGTAAGCAGCCCATAAACGAAAAGGCCGATATCTGGGCATTGGGAGTTTTGTTGTATAAGCTGTGCTACTATACCACTCCCTTTGAGGACCAGGGCCAATTGGCAATTTTGAATGCCAGCTTTAAGTTCCCTAGTCACCCCGTCTTTTCCGACAGGCTCAAGAAATTGATAGGTAATGCTCGTTGGCCCTGGACCTTGTTGCACGACTAATGTGAATTATAGCATCAATGTTGAGAGAGAACCTGCAAGATCGACCAAATATTTACCAGGTGTTAAAGGAGGGATGCGCCATGCAAGGACGCAATGTCCCTGTACAAGATGTAAGTGTAATGCTAGTTCGAAAGAAAGCTATGCTGACTATGGGCCTAGATCTACAATGGCCGTAATCAATCCCACGCAAGGACTGATAGCCCCCAACCCAAGGCTCAGAAACCGGAACAGGCGCCCGCCGTAGGAGCCGTCTTCACACGAGCCGAACCTCAAAAACAGGTGATTCCCGATGTTGTGCCAATGCGAAGAGGACGACCGACCGCCTCGCCGGCTTCAGGTCAGGTGGCGCAGAAGCCTGATGTTTCTCCGATGCGGAAGACCGAAGGAGACCCTTTCGCTGCCCTTGACTCCTCCAAAGCTGCCTCTAAAGGGTTTGATGAATTATCGTCACGATTCCCGACGTTGGACCAGTTCTCATTATTGCATGATCATGGATCAAAATTCGATTTTGATGTCTCCTCACCTATTTCGCCCGTAAACCCCTCTTCCGATTTGAACCAGAGAGTGACAGCAAAGCTGGCCGAGGAGGCATTCGCAACCCCCCAGGCCGAGTCCCCTCGCCCGAAGCCAGTTTCCAGAACACACTCAGTCACTCCTGTTGGACATCATGCTGGAGTCGCTTCACCTCCTCTGGAGCCTCCCTTGTCGAAGACTTTGTCTGCACCAAGCAGACCCGACATGAGCAGGGCGCAGTCTATCATCAGTAACAATCCTGAGCTGCAGGCAATTTCTTCTCAATCCAACTCACGATATGTCTCGACTGGCACGATGACATCAACACCGCCACCGGAGAAGTTTACTCAAGATGTAGAACGACCTGTTCAGCACGATATCCACGACTATGCTCGGTCTAGCAGCGCTACAAGGCAACCCGAACCAAGTGCAGGACAATGGGCCGTAGAGGAGCCCCGGCCTACCTATGTACAAAGGATCCCATCTTTCCAGCAGGCCAGTCACGAGCGTCAACCGTCTTCATCTAGACCGTCACTGGAAGGTGGCCGCCCTCGTGCCGATTTTCTGGAACCTTCAGCTCGTGCTTCGCCGGCCCCTTCGCGACCACGACCCGCCAGCACGAACCTTGAGGGTACGACTCTTGATTTCTTGCGCGAGAGAGAGGCTGCGTCACGCTCATCGAGTCGACCGCCTCAGGTCCCGTCCCCGTATCAGGAGCCTGAGGACGAACCGCGGGCATCCAGCGATATGGATTTCTTGAGAAGTCTTGAAGATTCGGAGCGCACAAAGTCCAGCAAGCGCTCTAGCTTGACTTCTCTTTCTGGTAACAAGAACATTCTTGCAGGCAAGTTTGGGGATGCCTTCAAGCTATTTGAAGGTAGCTCTCCCAACAGCGGAAGAAATCCATCCCCACAAAGGGAGGCGGCCTATCGTGATCTTACTCCCATCGCTGGTTCCGAAGCAACTGATGGACGTAGCGATGACGGCCATGTCCTTGAGGATGAGGATCGTATGACGCCTGAAATGAGACGGGAAATGGAACGATTGAAACTCCAAGAAGAGGAGCAGCGTGTAGAAGCGGCGCAAGCCGAGTATCGAAAGAGGGTGGCTGCTGGACAACGTGGCCCGCCAGTTCCACCAAAAAGCATTGGGGGAGTTTCTCGTGCCGTCAGTATCCAGAACCGCGTCCAGAGTCTCCTGAATGAAGATCAAAAGCCCCCCACTATTCAAAGGACTGCCCAAGGATACGGAAAGTACACCGACGTTCCCGAGCCTGTTAACAAGCCTGAGAAACCTCTCCCTGGCGTGTCTAAGAAGCCCTTGACTGTGGCAAAGACCCGAGTCGACGCTTCTGCAGCTCGAGGACCGTCTTCAACTTCTTCTGCCCCTCCCGCCCTTACATCCAAGCCCCCAGCGAAACCCCCTGCCCCAAAGAAGCCAATGCACCTCAACAGCCTGCCCACTAACCAGCGACCTGCGTCACCACAAAAACCTACGCGGGCCCAGACATCGTCAGAGCAACTTATTAGTATGGATGTTCCTGGACAGCAAATGCTGGATATGACGGCTAAAGAGAAGGATGATTACCTACAGGATTTCTCCAAACGGTTCCCTAGCCTGGGCTCGATTGAGATGGTCGAGCGAGAAATTGGTGGTCAGAATGGAGGATCAAGCCGGTAAATGGATATTGGCGAGGAAATCTAGAACTGCCATACTGCACATACACTCGAATATACTCAGCGCATAGCATCCAGAATGTTTCTGGTCAATAAATATAAGGTTCCATCTGGTAGTGGATGATGAAGTTCATGCATATGGTGGGGCTATGCATTTATCCACTCTTATCTTATCTCCCAATATTTTTTTCTTGGTCTTGGGTTTCGTAGCGATCTGGACAAGCTTTCTGCAACGATTACATCAAAACAAATTCAACAAAATGGCCAAACGCAAGAGACAAGTCGTCGCGCAGAGCGAGCCCGCTGCTGAGGCGTCGATCAAGAAGAAGGTCAAGGGTGCTAAGGTACTTAAGGAAAAGCCTGTGAAGGAAAAGACTCCAGCGCCAATCAAGAAGACCACCACTGCTACTGCTACGACCGCCTCGAATGCGCCCGAGACTATCCAGATCGTTGTCGGTTCCTACGACCGAATCCTCCACGGATTGACAGTGACGGTTGGAGGCAAGGAGAAGGCCGACTTTGCCGACACATTCCTCTTCAATGCCCATACCTCAGCAATTCGCTGTGTCGCTGCGTCACCCATTTCAGAACCCGTCCCTGGACAGACACGGAAGGTCATGCTCGCCTCTGGCAGCACCGACGAGCGCATCAATGTTTACAGCCTGTCGGCGCATCCCCCAAGCCGAAAGAACCAGGATCTCATGGCTAAGGTGGCGCCCCGACCGATCCTCGAGAACCCCAAGAACCGAGAGGTTGGCGCGCTTCTTCATCACTCTTCGACTGTGACATCGCTTGCTTTCCCTACACGATCAAAGCTGCTCTCGTCGAGCGAGGATTCTACGATTGCGGTTACACGAACACGAGACTGGTCTTTGCTCAGCAACATCAAGGCCCCCATTGCTCAACCTTTAGGCCGCCCCAGCGGTGACACAGCGCCTTTTGGAGGTACACCATCTGGTGTTAACGACTTTGCCATCCACCCCAGCATGAAGCTCATGATTACCGTCAGCAAAGGCGAGCGATCAATGCGATTGTGGAATTTGGTTACTGGAAAAAAGGCTGGAGTATTGAACTTTAGTAAGGATATGCTGCAGCAGGCTGGTGAGGGAAAGCACTCTACTGGTGAGGGTCGACGGGTAGTTTGGGGCAACGTTGATGGAGCGGATGAGTTTACGGTAGGGTTTGATCGGGATATTGTGGCATTTGGCATGGACAGTGTGCCCAAGTGCAGGGTGATGGGAACAATTCGAACCAAGGTGCACCAGTTCTTTTACGTTCTCCTCGACAAGGAGGGGGATGCAACTGTGCTGGCGGTTGCTACAGAAGACGGCCGCATTCTTTTCTTCTCGACCAAGGAGTCGGACATCTCAAAACCGGAGGCGGAGGACAAAAATCTCCCGACAGCCAAGCTTCTGGGTCAGATCGGCGGCAAGGCAGACGGGGTAGAGGGCCGAATCAAGGACTTTGTGGTGGTACCGAGTGCGGAGGACGCCTCAACGCTGTATGTGGCTGGCGGGAGCAGCGACGGACGGATCCGCGTATGGCGGGTGGGAACCTCGGAGCTGCAGGGCAACGGAAAGACTGAGGATGCCAAGGGCGAATTGTTGGGGACGTATGAGACGCAAAACAGAATCACATGCATGACGGCGTTTATGATGATACCCCGGCCAGAGGGAGTTGAGGACAGCGAGGATGAGCTCGATGAGGAGGAAGAGGAGAGTGATAGCGGCGACGAGTAAAGAGGAGTTTAAAATACATATTTGTGGTTGGCTGGCTGGCTGGTTATTTGTTTGTTTGTATATCTCGACAACAATAAAACTAATGTAAGTGAGATTTTGGCGATGATGGTATGGTGACTCTGGTGAATATCAGTTGTTTTATGTGCCCAGAATCACATGCAAATCGAAGCATATTACCCAAGTCGCCACGCAGTCACCCATTGACTGAATCAGTAAGTTTGCAGCTAGATTCAGACCGGTCAGAAAATACAGTTGCAGTCGTATTTGCGCTCATCAATCACATCTTACTGTTGGAGAGAACTGCATTTGCAAGGCCAGTTGCAGATTGGCCCGAGCTTGATTTGTTGGGTACAGTACGGCGGCAGTCTAGGGTCAGGGGATGCTGATCAGTTTTGAATCACGAGGGGTCGTATTTACTAAATGCAAGTCAAAGGCAGAGGAGAAGGATAAACAGGCATGGATGCTGTTTAGTCTGGCCAACCACGGGTTCTCGAAATCAAGCTTGAGGCGTTAGAATGTGGGGTAATAGATGGGATTGGATGCATGTAGGACGATCAATTGAAGAGCGTACATCAACAAGGACGAGCAATTGCAGTGAAGACGAGGGAAAGGGCTTGTAATTGTAATTGAGGGTTGATTGAGCATTGGTTGTTAGTACTGATTGTCATTCGAAAACAATAGGTACTACTCTACACAAGATCATATTCACAATGACATTTCCAGCTATATCGTTCCAAAGCAAGCGGGGAACAGTCACGGACCAGGGCCCTACAGTACAAAGCTTTTCCCGCTGCTGCTGCAGGTAAATGGGGCATATGATATATCCACGTAATTCCTGGGGCTCTTAGTCGTGAAACTGTCCTTGTCTTGTCTTGCTTGGTCTTGTGAGCATGTGAAGAACCGAAGAGAACGAGGTCTGATGGACGGGCACCTCGTTTATTAGTGCGCCGCCTCGTTCTTTCTTCTCCATCAGTTTTTCTTATTAAGTGCCTTTCTATATTTTGGGTTTCCAAGCTTGATATTAAACCCTCCTTACTTTTCTGTTTACTTTCCACCTCCATACCCGTCTCTCCCTCCGCTTACAGCCATTTGCCACAGGCATTTCAATCAGAGTCGCCCAATACTGTCTGTCAGCTTTCAACCTACAAAAGGGTTTGGGACTCTTCAATTTCTGTTGTATCTCTTATTTTTCATCAATTGCTGCTGGTTTGCTCCGCATATCCCGGTTCATTAGCCTCACAAACCGACGCTCGGTGCTCTTTAGCTCGTGTACGGAGTAGTGAAAGTGACATACAAGGGTTGCAGAGACTGGGACCCCCGACAACTTCAAATCTCTCCTGCCCTGGACGAAATCTTGGAAGCTGCACAAGAAAAATTGCTTGCTTCTGAGCTGAGACTAGCCGAGACTGTAAGTAACACTGCATTGCCCGATTTCGAGACTTGCAGGTTCAGCTGAGGTGAGCTGGGCCTAGAGTGTAGAGCCTTGATTATAACCTTACCTTCTTCCAATCTACCAGTTTCTAACAGCTTGATTAGTTCTAGATATAAACAACCTCCTTCTTTAAAATGGGTGACAACGGCCCTACTCTTATTCGTCCTGTTCCCCGAAGACCTTTCGACCTCAGCCTGACGACCCCTACACCCCCGAGCGAGAACTCGTCGCCTCCAACCCCGATTCCAGCTCCAGATCCTCAGATCGCGCGCTTCCTACAAGCAACTCCCGAGCCTACGAGCCTGAGCAGGCCGCAGTCTTTCAAGAACCTCACTTCTTCGACACTTTTCGGCATATACTCTCCTACCGCATCCTCTTCTCGCGACCGCGACTGCGATGATCTCGATACGCCTTGGGGGACGGGTGCTCAGACGCCCATAAAGAGACCCAGCATCGACGACGCTACGTTTGACTTCCTGAAAGATCGGTCGCATCAAGTCCGTCGTCGATCTTCAATTCGAACTCATGAACCTGCTGCACCTCTAAAAACTTCCCCGTCCACTGGCGCATTAGTCCTGCGAGGTCTTTTACTTTTCGTTCTCGGAGTAGGTTACGGCGTGTTGGTCACATCGCGCTTCAATGGCGAGTCAGACCATCTCTCATCGGGTGCTGCGTACAACTGGGCGCATCTGGCATTCTGGGGGTTTGCCGGTGTAGCACTGGGCGCGCTATTCCCTTGGTTTGATCGGGTCTGGGAGGATTCGTTTGGCGAAAAGGATAACGAAGCTGTGGTGGAACACAATGTTTCTCCAAATAAGGACGATGACCCTAGCACTGATTGGGCGATTGCTGTCCGAGCTATCGGTGCCTTTGTTGGAATCGTCTTTGCTATTGTAAGTTCAGCCAACAATAAACCTTTTACCGGAGTGTAACTAATAATCTGCAGCGCAAAGTGGCCTGGGCGTCCACCCTCCAAGTATCGCTAACTTTGGCACTGGTCAATCCCCTTCTGTGGTGGCTTATCGACCGTTCCAAGCCCGGATTTCTCCTCTCGGCTGCGGTTGGCTTGAGCGGGTCGATTCTTCTCCTCGGCGTCAACCCGGATATGATGCCGGCGCCTGCTCAAGCGCCATTCAGACACTTGGTGAATGCCACGACGGCATCCGAAGGTGAGATGCCTATTCTTGGTGGGCTTGCGCGGCAGGATACGCTCGAGACGGGTATGTGGATGCTCAGTGTGCTCTTCTGTAGCTGTGTCTGTTTCGGAAATATTGGCCGTCGACTCACTCTCGGCCCGTCTGCGACTGCAAAGGGCCGTTGGGCTGGAGCGAGGTAATGGCAGTCAGGAGCAGTTTGTCTGATTGACACCTGCAACGCTTTTCACAGTCTGCACCATGTGTTGATAGTATTCTGCGTTTGGGCGTCAATCGTGGGAACTATTCTCAGGGCCACACTTTTTGGTTATTGTAAATAAGAGGTTCGGGTATAGTTGTCGAGACTGGATATAAAGGCATATGGCATACCATCAAGGCTTATATGATGATTTGGGATATGGTGGTCCGTTTATAACGACTATCAACCTGATGCGATATTCCATTGAAAGGAAGGGCATGGAAAGATAGTCTCGGGGCTTGTTTGGCCATTAATCAATGAAATCAAGTCATTTTCCGACTTACTTCTCAAACCGAAAGTCACAAATCTGCTGTCACAATATGTTGCTACTGTTCTACCGTGTGATCTGCCAACCTGCTAGAACCTAGCCATACTGTACTAACAAGTCAATAGCCCATCGATTCAGCCTAGCTATATTTTACCCTTCATCCCTCACATTTGCCTCCCTCTTTTTGTCGTTGCTCTATTTTATTTTACTCGTTTCCCATTTGTAAAGCAAACGTGACCGCTTTTTGCTGCATCAAACAGCCCTGTCAGGGCCCGAAGATCGTCGCGTGACGCAAGCAAGCTCGGTACAACGTCATTTGTGTATCAAATTCAAAGTTAGTGTTACTCGGTGCCAAACAGAGCCTCCTTTACGAGGGTCGATCGCTCTTGGATATCAGTGCCAAAGTCAACATTGGACAGGCCGAGCATGACCATCATGCGAGGATTCTGGATCATCTCGTTAATGGTGAGTGTCCGTGTGCAGACGTCCTTGTATGAGGCAGCGGCAGCTTGAGGGCCCGTTTCGACTATTGCAGACGGAAAGAAACACATCAGCTCAATTCCGAAGTGAATGAATGCTGCGATCAGTCCTTACCACCGTTGTTCTTGGGAATCTGCTCCGGATGCTGGACAGGTCGGCCAGCCTCGATGTTTTCCAGCTCAGTCATGATATAGTGAGATCTCTTGACAAAGTCCCAGACGTGGAAGAGGCCACGGTCGACGTTGGGAGGAGTCCATTGAGGATGAGACTCAATGGCCGTGATGAGTTCGGCGAAGCGGCCGGTGATCTCTTCACGTTGCGCCGAGGTGGGGAGCGTCATGACGGAGCTGGTATCGGGATACGGAGACAGAGACAGAGGTTATGATGGAGACACAGTATGTGCGAGGACGCGTATTGGTAAGATTGAAGAAAATGGAAGCTGTAAAAGGTGAAAGAGGAACAGTTCAGAGTACAATGGAGTTAAAATAAAGTAAAACGAGGAATGGAAAAAGGGGAAGCGAAAACGTAGCAACAACGTCAGAAAAAAGGGCAAGGTAGTTTCCCCGCTGCTTCAACTGTCGCTTGTCCAATTGCCTCTTTTGGTCTTTGCGCAAAGCAAAGCAAATCCAAAAACTCCATTTCTTTCTAACCGTACCTAGCACGCCAGGGGAGCCTTGTGGCTTTCTTAGAGTTGTGTATCTCGTCAGATTATGACCGTTCGGGACAGGGCTGAAGTTTATGGTGTTTCAGCTATCAATTGGCCATGTTGCATCTTTCCAACAAGCATAGTGCTTCTGGATACCTGGTTATCTAGAGATTAGGGAAGAAATGTCTGTGGACACGGGAACGCTCGACGTTTATTTGATCGGTTCTAGAAAGGCCGAATCGAAGGTATCGCCAGCGGGGAAGCTATGTAAGCTCATGCAAGCTACCTACTCACAAGGGGCACAGACTGAGTTCCCATAGCTATCGTGATTCGTGAATGAGACGAAACGGTAGAGAAGTAGAGATAGATTTAAAGAAGGGGATCATATCAGATCACATCAGATCATATTTGTGAGCTCCATGTGGGGGAGGTTTTAGAATTCAGGGTCCTGGAGCTTGAGTTTGAGCTTTGAGCTTGTTTGAAAACGGGGCTCTTGGCTATTGGTTCAAGATTTGAGATTTGGGAAATGCTCGTGTGATTTGCTCCCCCTCTTGGCAGCTATTTTGGCGCATGATGAATCGTGATGATTGCAAGACAAACCGTGTGTTGACTAAGCGGAATAAGGGGTCTGCAGCTCACGTCGTTGAACTCCGAGTCTCAAGCTCATCCCGTCCGTCATCCATTCATCGCTTCCATCGCCAAGGGTTCTTTGACACTGACAGCCTAGCACTGACACGACAGAGCAGTCCTGATCCGGGAACCAAGACGTCGGGGCTGATCTAGAACCTCTGGAACATTTGCGAATGCGAGCTTGAACTAACTGTTTCCAAAGGGGGCGTATGCGTATTCTTTTTTATATATAAACAAATACCGTACAGCAAACATACATGAATAACTAAGCGTCATGACCAACAGGGTCCTGGGGTACGGATGCAGCAGCTGATCCCGTATAATCTCATGACGAAGCAGAGGCCATTCCAAGGGACGAGTACAACTCATGACAAGACACTCCACAGTCACACATAGATTTGTTACTTTGAGATGGAATTCTTACACCACGCTACATGCATACAACACGTTTCCCCTCTGCTGCAGCATGCGGAGCGGTAAAGTGCAAGACAGCAGGAGCATGAACTGTCGTAGAAATGTCTGGAAGCTGACAGTAGCACAGCAACAGCAAACAGTAACCAGAGAAAGGTTGAAGAGGGACTGGGTTGTATTACCCGTAGACGCATCTCGATCCGGGCCGCCACATCCTTGAAACTATTGGATGGTGCAGCCAAGGCGTGGGAGAATGATGATGCGTAGATTAGATCCTGTTCCTCAGCTGCGGAGTGCCTGTGCTTCACCTAGGGTTGGCATCTACAGTGAGTTTTTGTTAGTGCAGCATGAGATCTTAGATTCGAGATGGATCCCACCTCACATCTTACAAGGCGAAGAAAAGAGAATGGATCAGCATTTCTCAACAATCATAAGTCAAATCTCTTTGGTGCAGTGTCCCTATACGAACACAAATTATCCATTTCGTAGACATCATGACTGTCATCATGGATCCGATCTTGGGTTGCTACCCGTAAAGAGAGCCACTCCCGTGCTCATATGACGCCAACGACTCTTGTCGGGTCTTTGAAGTTTGAGCCGCCTTCTGAGTGTCAGAGCCTGGGGCCCTTTGGCTTGGTTAGCGCTCACTGCTAGGCCACCAGGCCATTCCCAGGCCGCCCAGCTAGGGGAGGCACTGTAGCCTCCACTGTTCCATGTCTCGCCTGTTTACTCCGTAGTAGTGGAGGTAGGCCCTGAAATCCCCCCCGATCCAATGGCGACTCATGTCCAAGTGGTTGGTCACTTTACACACGTTAGTGGCATTTTGTCTCGGATGCCGCCAGCCCGTTTTTCCTTCTGCCCATTTCCCTCTCAGCTATTAAGTAGCGTCGATGTGCCAGTTGCTTCTCCCGATGACCGTTGAACTTCCAGCCCTCTCGATCGTTAAATTTACTGTGCCATCACCCAAATCTTACTTTCATCTTTCACTCTTCCGCTCTAAAAACCTCCCCTTTTTTTGGTCTGCACTCTCTTTCCCACAACGGACGGAGACCCCTTCTTTTTTTCCGGAACCCCGATTTGAGATCCAGAATTCTAATTCTAATTATTGAACGCCCAACACATGCACACCAGTCACTGGGCCAAAAGATCGGCGTGAGATGGAAATCATGGGAGAGAAGCGTAACTAGGGTCCCTAATTACTGCGGAGAGTCAGGGAGGAGAGTTCCAAAGGTCTTGATCGAGTACCGTCTACTTTCAAGAACCCTGTCCCCTTTTTTCCTTTGTGGTTTTCTGGGTTCTGGGTTCTGGGTTCTGGGTTCTGGGTTCTGCATCGTGATCTGTGATGCTGGTCTTTGCGGTCATTGGCCATCCTTCAGCCTCTGAGAGTGGTATTCAACCTTGTGCCATGTCTCGTGTGAGGAAAGTTCCCGCTCTGCTGCTTCAAGGGCCCCTCAATTCCGACTTGCGAATCTTGCTTGGATCTTTCAATCTTGGATCTTGCCGTGGATGATTTGATAGAGTTGGATTGGGATGTCTTGGCTCGTTCTCCCACTGAAGCTGGAGCGAATGAATCCATTGGCTGGTATATGTTTATTTTAGGTTGGTCTTCTACCTCCTCACCCGCTTAGTAGCCCTCGCAGCAGGGTCGCTGCCCATTTACCGGCAATCCCAGGTGAGGGGTTTTGCTCGTCCGCTGTAACTTGTTACTGCACTCTACAACGGGCAGAGGAAGTTTATCGTCTGCGCTGCTGCGGCTTGGCCGTTAGGAATAACACAGCATCGGTACCAGCACCAGTACCAGTACAAAAAAGTCAGGGCTTGATCAGACGTCATGAGTCCAAGACCCCGGCCTGCCAGCGTCATCCGTTTTCTTCCCTTGTAAGACGGGAGTTACAACGGAGTATGTCCTTGTGATACGGGCAGAGGGTTAGTACTTTCTTGCAGACTAGCACTGCTATCAATTATCGAGAGGTCTTCAGCTACAGTAACTTATTGGTGCAGTATCGCAAAACCATAATATTCCATGACAGAGTAAAGTACGTACTCGACAAATGAACAAATGGAGGCGCCTTAGCATCGTGATATACGCAGGGTCCTTCCAAGTCAGACCCAAACCACACCAGACTAGGGGACCCTCCCTGGTTGGGTTAAAGCTGGGAAAATCTGCAGCATTTCCCGGTTGTCAAAGTACCTACCTAGATTCTGGTGTAATTATGTATTAGGTACCTGTCAGAGACTGCATCTTCCCTTAGAACCCTTCCACTTTATTTGTTTCCACTGTAAAAGCACGGGGAGTAAATGGGATTATTCTGTATTGCAGATACCGACCCGACTAACTGAACTGACTTGAATGATTGCAATGAGTAAGGCAAGTACGGCAAGGTAGCGACCACCCACCCCCGGTCTTCCGTTGGGTCCTTTGGTCTTGCCTCTTGAGGTGAGTTCTATTCTGTATTGTCACAGGAAGCTGTGACGCCTTTGACTTTTCTCTCTTCTCCTCTCTTTCTTCTTCTTCTCTCCTCTTACTTTCTCACTTTCACCATCTTCCCTACTGCAATTGTTTAGTCTATCTTGCATCCACCCTGAACCACGTTGCCTCGTCTCCCATTCGGGAGCACGCGTGTCGTCCTCTTCCTACCTAAACTCATCCTTTTTTTATTAACTACACCCCTCCTCTTTACCCAGGTATTTCCTTACTGTCTCTCGCCTCGCTTCCGCTCTCTTGCGTGCCGACGAACACTACAAAGCTGTCCCGGATTGGTAAGTCGCCCTAGGTGTATGACGATCTCTATATCCTTGTTGCACCTCATCTTCAACACGCTTTGCCCTACTCTAGTTATTCTGCGCTCTGCACTTCTGCTCTACTGCTTGAAACAGAAGACGCCGACTCTTTTTTTATACTTTCCTTTTCCTTCTTATTTAGAAGACCCCCCCTTCAGCCTTTGGTCTTATTATACCCGTCCCCCTTCGTACATATTTGAAGACCCTAGAACCCCCGGAGTTCAATCCGTCTCCCCCAAACCCCCTGCCAGAAAACAAGTGGACTCGACTTCGGCAGCCGTTTTGACTGATTTTCATATTAAACCTATGACATCTTCCCGCCTTGGAGGCACGAGTACTATCACTTCATCATAACAACCCCTCCACCAATACCGATCTTTTATCATATATCTACACAACATCCATTCTTACCTCACTTCATCCTCCACTACCGAAATGCTTCACCTACTGCAAGTCATATAATCTTTGTAATCTCACAACTTTACAGAATCCATGTATATCTTGTATCCGACTTGTCCTCGTCATCTGGACACTCCTACATCCACATTCATGCGCTTGACACGATATCAACGGTTTCGCCAAGAAAACTCTAGCACACGTCTCCAGCAACACAACCAACAATCTCGACGACATAACAGGACATATAACGGACGAAACATCGCGTAGAGTTTTGGACATAACCACTTTCCATAACATTTCACATCAAAGCAACACTTTTTATTGCGTTCTCTTCCAGAAAACATTATATCCAGAGGCTCGCACCTTATTAGAGAGTTTCGACGCCCGGTACGACAAAACGAAGAGTAACGAACTCGACGAACACATCCTTATACCCCATTCTTTCTCCCAAACCCTTTCTTTCACTTTAAAATATTTGTGCAATCTATAGACGTTCATGTCCTCAAACGATACGTCGCAATGTCCTGCGACCGAGCCCGTCTCCAGCTCCGGTCCTGAAGAGTTGCCAACCCCCGATCCGCCTACCGATTCAGATTGCGAAACCATGGGCTCGGGCCGGCAATCAACACAAATTACACAATCACAATCGCCTCCTGCAGAAACTTATCGGCATCGGGACGTTGCGCCTCGCGATTTTGTCCGCCTCTTCCAATGTCAGATCTGCTCATTGCCCCTGGACGAGCCCATCAGCCTTCCATGTGGCAAGAGCATGTGTAGGCGTTGCCTACCAAACACCCATTTGCGCACAAACATAACGTATCCTGCTATTCCCGACCGGCTTCGTGGTTTTCAATGTCCCTTTGAGGACTGCGGAAAAGAACATGCTCTCGGGGACTGTTCTGTTGATGTAGTTCTCAACAAGACGGCCCAGCATGTGAGGGAAGAGATTGAGCGCTTCAAAAATGAGCCATCAACTACTGAGGTGGCTACCAGGATCATGTTACAAGATCCTTGGGCTGCAGCTGGTATTGCAGCCATGAGAGATGACGATGACGCCTACTCGAAGGTAATTCCGGGTGGAAAGGTCATAGCGACATATCGTCTAGCGGAAGAGGGCGATCTTTCTTATGAGGCAGATATCTCCTACGATGAGATCATGTCGGGAGCATCTTCACCACCTCTTGATGTTGATCCTGATGACACGGGACTCGTTCGAAAGGCGCAAGACGCTACCCGCGCCGAAATGGACTGCCAAGTCTGCTATCAGCTTTTCTACGATCCACTCACGACCTCTTGCGGGCACACTTTCTGTCGTTCTTGTCTACATCGCATCCTAGACCATTCAAGGTATTGCCCTATATGTCGTCGTCCATTGGCTATTAGTCCTCTGCTCAACAAGACTTCATCTCCATCCAATCAGACTATCAAGCGCATCATCGAGACTTTCTGGTTGGAGGAAGTCAACACACGCAAAGAGGCCTTGGACGCCGAACGTGAAGCTCAGATGCAAGACTATGACATGTCACTCTTCATATGCACATTGTCTTTCCCTCATATGCCTACTTTCTTGCATATTTTCGAACCAAGATACAAACTCATGATTCGGAGAGCTCTCGAAGGGGATGGCACCTTTGGAATGGTGATACCGAAACGACGACAATATCCTGGGGACTCTGACTTCCACGAGCTCGGCACACTGCTGCGTATTGTCAACATTCAGTTCTACCCTGATGGCCGGAGTCTGATAGAAACTGTCGGTCTATCACGTTTTCGTGTGCTTGATCATGGACTTATTGATGGATATATGGTTGGCAAAACTGAACGGGTTGATGATATCAGCCTTGAAGACGAGGAAGCTGCCGAGGCCGCTGAGGCAACACCAATTGAGACTGAATCACAGCAGGACCCCATCTCTGCTATTAACGATGCAAAAGAACCTACGGAACCAGCATCATCGCCTTCGTTGCCACGTTCTGGTTCTTCCAGTCCACACATTCCAACATCATCGGCTGATGTTGACTCGATGTCCACACAAAGTCTAATGCATTATGCCTACACCTTCGTGAATCGAATGCAGGAACAAAGCGTACCATGGTTGGCAGAACGTATGTTGACCATATATGGCGAGTGTCCCGAAGACGCTGCCATTTTCCCTTGGTGGTTTGCTAGCATGCTACCCGTCAAAGATATCGAGAAATATCGACTCCTTGGCACATCCAGCGTGCGCGAGCGTCTCAAGATTTGCTGCACGTGGATTGTGGAATGGGAAACATCCCGATGGTGAGTCACGTTATATTATTTACCTTGTGTTTTCCCGTTTTTATCTCTTCCCCACATCGTCATTTACAATCTTACTCGTTTGTTGAGCTTTGGCTCATTGTCGCCATTTGTCTCTCAGGCTAAAACGATATCTTCGTTCCAGGCCAAAGCTTATTGACGGCCGCCCAGGTCCTACCACGGCTGCACAATCCTCTGATTGACAATGCCTGCCCTGCTATCTTTCATTCGGCATGGTTCTGCAATTCGTGCTCCTGATTTTCTGCTATGTTGCGCAGTTACTGTACGAAAAGCAAGACGGTTCGCGAAGTCGATGTTAATCCACTTCTGACACGAATAGGACGATTACGACTCGACGATAGCTAGGGCGGGTTTGGTTTGGTTTGCATCATGGCATCATAACGCATCCAATGTTATAAGACAAAGTCACACGGGGTGTTCATTATGGGTTGTATTGGAAGGCACATTGGTTATAGCATCTAGTAGCACAGTGATTTTGCGGATACCATACCCCCTCGGCTAAACTAGATATTTTTATACTGCATCAATTTCCAATGTTTACCAATGATCAGCCCGCCCGTTCGTTTCTTGTGCTGCAGAGGAATCTCCCCAGCTTGGGCCTGCAGTCACTGCTGGAGTTTCAACCCATGTACCAGGCATGACATTGTCAGGGCCGTTCTCTCCTTGCGAAGAGGCAGGTTGTTCGGTTCTGTTGGCTTTACCAGTGTCCCAAACACCAACATTGTTGTCAGCACCTTGTCCCAAACTGCTCACGGCATCCTTTGGCTGCTCATCCCAACTACCACTAGCGCCTGGGTATGTGTCTTCGCCCCAATGATCGCCTGCTTTGCGAACAGTCTCGTTGCTCTTGTTCGAGCCGGAGCCCCAGCCTGCATTCTGGTCTTGCTGTGCACTATCTCGTGGTGCTGCAGGTGCCCAGGTATCATCCTGTTTCGCCTCAGGAGCTGGGTTGTTCCAATCAGCACTTGCTTGGTTGTCATTCACACCCCAATCGTTACCATTCTGGTTGTTGTCTTGACCCCCTGTATCCCAACCACTCTGATCTTTCTGGGTATTGTTGTCGCCTGCACCATCGTTCCAGCCATTTCCCGTATCGTTGTTGTTGTTACTGTTGTCGTTCCAGTCGGCCGATGCAGCCTTGACAGAACCAGGAGGTTGAGACTTTTCCTTGGACACAGACCGGTGACTGCCTCCCCATGCGCTAAACTGAGATCTGTTTTTCTTTGGGAGATAAGGATTGTTTTGACCCTGGGTCTATGAGCTATTTCCAGTCCTGTCCGGTGCATCTAATAATAACTTACAGTAAGACTTGCTGGGGGTCCAACGTTGTTGTGGCTGCCTCTGTCCTTGTCCTGACTGGAGTTTCCAGTTTTGCCATAGTGTGGTTTCTCATGATGGCTGTTGGATGGATAGAAACCTGGGGGACCACCAGTGGCATACCAGGGGGGAGTCATTCCTTGAGTGATAGGGACATGGGAATAGGCCTCTGGTGGTGGCACACCCGCAAAGTTTTGGTGGTATGGTGACATCTGCGGGTAGTTGGGGTACTGCTGTGGGTTATTGAACCCATGATAAAAGGGATTCTGCAAAGGGTGAGGCTGTCCCATAGGCAAGGGGCGATTGAAAGCGCTGCGATCTGGGTAGAGTGCGTTGTTCTGGTGATTACCATAAACAGGACCGTGATAGACTCTCATGACGTTGTGTTCTGCATCGTAGTAAGCATTAGGTGCTGGGTCTTCAGGTGTTTCTATCACGCGTTCCGTCTGAACTACTTGAGCCCGAATAGGCTCAATAAGTTGTGGGCGACGCATATGGGGAACCGGTAGTCCTTCGGGATAATTGCCCTTCTTGACTCCGTCCCTGTATCTAGATTGTGCCTTTCCTTTTCCTTTCACGTTCTTCAACTTGCCTTGATCGTGTTCTTTGGACGTTGCAGGGACCTCTTCTTCAGCTGCTACCTCCTCAGCAGCCTCTGGTTCTTTATTCGATTCCTTGCCAGCCTTTTGCTTCTTTTTGTTTGATTGTTGGTTTGCTTTGCCTGCTTGTTTGCCAGTCTGCTTCTGCTTGTTGTTGTTATTGTTCTTTTGCTTGCCTTTGCTCTGCTGCTTGGGACTCTCTTCTGGATCGGCCTCATCTTCTGTTTCCTTAGCTGATTCCGAAGTTTCACCTGCATCCTCTTCGGGTTCTGGCTCCTCTTCTTTCTTAGCTGCCTTTTTGGCCTCTCTTTTCTGTTGCTTCTTGCTCTTAGGAGGTTCGGGCTCCGATTCTGATGTCTCTGACTCAGGGGCAATTTGCTGTTTCTTTTTACCCTTCTGCTTGCCTTGCTTCTTGGGTTGTTGTTGCTTGTTCGATCGCTGCTTCTTTTTGGGCGGTGCTGTTTCTTGCTCTGACTCGGAGGTATCTTGGACAGAATCAGAAGTTTCCGACTCCGTCTCCGGCTCCTTTTCCTTCTTTGCACCTTTCTTCTTATTCTTACCAGACTGGTGTTTGTGCTTGGGGGGATTTTCTTCTTCGGACTCAGAGGTTTCGGGGCTGGAGGTGGTATCTTCCTTGCTCTTTTTCTTGCCTATCCTCTTCAATATCTCTCGACCCTTGGTACATCGTCGGCACTTACAAGTTGGGTCCGGATCCGAGTCCCAGTCGCTCTCAGTATCGGCCTCGATCTGTTTCTGCTTACGCTTCTTCTTTTTCTTCGGTTTAGACTTAAAAGAATCCTCTGAGCTCTCTGCGTCAGAATCTGTAGCATCAGAGCTTAATGTGGTTTCCGACTGACTTGATTCTGTTTCCAGCTCTGAACCGGAGTCGGATGTTTCATCAGATGAATCGATAGGGGTCGTAATGACGGTTTGTTTCAGAGCAGACTTTATGGGGCCGTCTTCAAAACGAACCTTCTTGATCGTGGTCTTGGCTTCAGAGATAGTTGGAGGTGGTGTGTTGGTGCGTCCGGTGCGTGGGTAGGTGATCTTGACGGTGTCCTCCTCAGACTCATCGTCGGTGGTGACTTCGACGCGTACAACATCTCGTTTCTTAGGGGGCTTGTTCTTGGGGATAGGGCCGAGGGCAGATTCAATTGTTGTTCCAACTACCCATTCGCAAAAGTGCGATGGGCCTTTGACCTTGCGGTTTGTCATCGATCCAAGTAAACACGGCGTACCAAAGAGAGCATCAAGAAGAAAAGTTTGTTTATGTGTAGGGTTAAGGAAATGAGGACTTAGATGGCAGATTTGTTTGTTTGGGGGGTGGAAACAGGAGGTTGTCCTGGCAGCTGGGATAGATGCGAGTGGTCTGCTGCGGGCACCTGCAGGCAGCTGTCAAGGTAAGGCGAGGAGATTCTTAGTGGTTGGCAGTTTACACTGCAAAACGAAGGCGTCAGGCGGGAAGATGCGAATGATATTGTGTTTCAATGCGATTTTGTAGAGGAGAGGCTGCCACGGCATTGAGATGAGAGTAGCTGGTTAACAGTTGCTAAGTGTGCGTGCAGGAGCGACCCTAGGTGCTGCCTTGCTTCCTTCCTTATTCATCTTCTTTCCTCCACCATAAGTTTAGGCAGGAACGCATATCCATATTACCTCGGAGGCTAGGTCATCATCTTTACAGCTTCGCGTTCAACTTCGTCTCCTCCCACCTCTCGTTGATAATGAGATTCTCCCAAAATCTCCATGTTGCAACTGCGACCGCAAGAGGTGGACATCCAAGCAACAGCCACGTCCACCAGTCAGGATTGGCCTTCTTCAACCCCCTTATAGCATTACCCAACTGCGCCTGCAACTCATCCCGCGACCCGTCATTCCAGAGCACGAATCCTTTTCCTTCTCCTCGCTCCTCACATCGCCGCGCCTTCTCCCGCACGTCTGTCTGGCTGCGCACTCTGTTCTCGGCGTCTTCCTCGCTGAGATGAGGATCACGCGCGCGCAAACGTTTCATCTGAACTGCTGGATCACGAACAGCTACTACCGCTGCGACACCGCAGAGTCGATCGAGGCCACTTTCGAAGAGAAGAGGAATGTCGAGAACCACAGCCCAGTGACCTCGGAAGTAGTAGCCAACCACGGACTTGAACATCTCCCACCGCACAGCTGGGTGCACGATGCCATTGAGGACTGCCCGGTCTTTCTTCCGCTCCTCAGTGTCGCCGAACACACGCCTTCCAAGGACTGGTCTATTCAATGGCCTCCCTTGGCCGTTGGGTCCATCTTCTGGCATGTTTTCTGAAGGCTCCACAAGCAGATCAGGCGTCGTAGGTCCAAAATGCTTCAATATGGCATTATATCCACGAGTCCCAGGTTCCACGACCTTGCGCGCTAGAATGTCTGCATCTATAATTGGCAGATTATATGGACTCGACGAGAGCATCGACGATACTGTCGTCTTTCCTGTGGCGATTGAGCCTGTGAGGCCGATGAGAAGCATCGTCGCAAGATCTTGTGTAATATGTGGCGCAGTAACTTGATGAGATAAGGTGCTTAGTTTCTATCCGCTGTTGCATAGGATTTGCTTCGGTATACACAGTTGTTTCCCCAGGTTGGAATTTTGAAACTTGAATATGAGATGGATATATGGAGTAGCTTGTAGTTGGTTGATGAGGAATGATCTGATGAACTGGGGCAGATGATGCAATTACCGAGGATGCACACAAGGGACGAACCATGCATGTCATATTACCCCACATAGACATCTTCTAAACCGTGTCGAGTAAACGACACGTGAAGGCACTTTACTTTTCTCACGCAACATGATTATGACGGAACGATTCTTTTTGCAATTTAATTAACCTCATTAGCAACTTATATCAGGATCGATGTGAAGCAATTTCCATATACTGCCTTTGGTAGGTAGTGCTTCAGTTCGCAACCATGACGATCCACAATTCCATGTCTTCATCCCAAAGCCCCATTGACCATTGATTCAATCCTAATCACACATGGGCTCTTTTGTCGAAGTTCGGAAATTCTATGTATGAGCTGTGGGGTATCATCTTCCCTGGCCAAAGTCAGAGGTTGTTTTTGTATTATGCCAGTACTACTTACTTTGAAGACGTTGTGAAGAAATTTGATGTGTTCTTGAATCATGGACGAAAGCCAACTAACGTCAGAAGGTATCAGTACTCTGTGCCCCCACAATATGATTGGCGCCTTACAATCCGAGGTATACGAGTTTGTATGAGACATTCTTGTGTTTCTTGGTACATCTAGGCCTTTTGTCAGCTCATGACAGAGGATATGAGTGCAAAGTCATATGAACTTACAGGCCGTGTCGCTTAGTTGGGAAGTCGAACGGCGTAAAACCAACCCTCGTCGGTGACATACCAACGGCTATCACCCATGTGATCAATGGTAAATCGGTTGCGCTGAGTCCAGTTCCCGTCAACTTCACGAACATAGTAGAAACGGGAGGGGTCGTCGTCAGCGGGCTTGAACTCCTGGGGCTCGTAGAGCTTGTTCGCGTGCGCAAACTGGATCTGACGGAGCTGTTCTTCGCCAGCGGTACGACCCATACCAGAGACATCGGGGACATGATGGCCACCAGGGACATTACCTGCAAAGACGGGGACCGTGCCGGGCACAGCAGCTCCACCTGCCAGGCCGACCGAGGGAAGCCCTGCAACGTGCTGCATCTGCGGCATGAACTGCTGATGCTGTTGACCTGCGACGAGGACTGGCTGCTGACCCATGGCCGGTTGCTGGATGTAGTAGGGCTGCTGCTGGACAACGTAACTGCCATAGGCATTAGGCTGGGGAGCCATGGTACCAACGAAAGGCTGCTACAGAATTTGTTAGCAGTCATTCTGTGGACATAACGTGAGATTTGCAATGAACGTGAAAAGAAATTGCAGCGCGCCGCAAAGACAGGTCACTCGACGTTCCCTTTGAGGAACAGTGAACCCCATACAAAATATGGAATATGAGGATAAGGTCGCAATTCAAACTTGCATAGTAGGTGTATCCATTCAAATAAAATGTCTTTGGCACTACGGCGGTAGTGCACGCGGCGGTGGTCAAGGGTGTGGAAGGGAAAGCAAAAGGTGCAGGAGAAACATAATGAAAAGAAGGAGGAGGGTGACCGACTTGAACACCGGTAAGGCCACCGTCAAAGCGAGGCACATAAACATGCTGCATTGGACCAAAGGTCGTGTCAGGAACAGGCGGCTGGAAATGCACACCTTGAACAGGAGGCGCAGCGTTCTGATAGTCACCCATGATGTTTGGATGATTCGTAGTGGGAGTCTGAGGGCCGATTCCGATATAGGTAATGGGAGACTGAGTGTTGTTGGTTGGTCCGGTGTTGATGAAGGAAGCAGGATGAAACTGAGGGAGAGGGAAGATTTGTGGTTGCTGAGGAGGAGGCGAGATGAAACTGGTTGGTACCTGGTGACTAAGGCTCTGAGTCGGGTTGGCACTGGTATGCCACTGCAGCGGGCCTAGGCCAAGCGCAGGGAAACTCGTAGGCTGAGTATCGACCTTTTCCTCCGGAGCTGGGGCAGAAGTGATCGCTGTAGTTGCGGCAGTATTGGTAGTTCCAGGAGCAGACTTAGGGGCAGGGCCGCCACTGATGTTGTTGCAGAAGCCGCCGCTGGGGGAATTGGCACTGGTGAAGCCCGTGATGCGCTCGTTGTTGACGGAGGAAGAGGTAGATGGCTTGACCTGAGAATCAAAATGCACCTGACGTGACTCGGGAGTCTTGGGTCGTCGAGGGATCTTGGGAGACTTGAACCCGTTCGCACCTGCCGAGGCCATTGTTGCTTCGTTTTGGTGTGCGACTCTGACAATTGAGGTAGGAATGAGATTGCCGCTCACAAGGCTCGTGATTCAGGAGCCTCAAGGCTTGGAGATGCCTTCGTTGAAGAAACAGAGGGGAAAAGAAGGAGAAGAGTTCGATATCAGGGGCCACTCGAGAAGATATAGCAACCAAGCAAACACAGATACCGGAATGTACACACAAACACCGTTTAGAGCAGTAATATAGCACAAACACGGGTTTCCTTGTTGTTTATGTTTCGTTATAGCTGAAAAGGTTGGATTGAAGGGAACTTATTTCTTTCCGGCCGGCCGTCACTGGCAGATACATGTGCGGACACAAGCATCCACGTTGACATTCCCCATCTCCTCGAGACCTCCTGGGCTCTTGAAAGAAGTAATTGATAGATGAAATTAAAAAAGCAGCTTGAGAAAAAGAAATCCTAGACTTACCACTTTCTGCAACTCCCAGCCATGTCTATCATGCACCCAGATAGACTGCTCAGGGGCCTTGTGCAACTGGTCCAGAGGATCTTCAAACTTGGTCCACGTCCAAGGGAAACAGGGGAGACACATTTCTTCGAATAAGGAGGCGATTATTTAAACTTTGACTGGCGCTGAGTTGCAAGGGGTACTTGTTGTGATGTTTAGTGTTGAAGTTGAGCGGGAAAATGATATGAATGTAAAAGCCAGGCTTGACACTCCTCAACTGTGGCAGCAGTGCCTTGACCTCTGGCGTTTGACCCCATCGATTGGATTGGAATTATTAATGGCTCGCCCACATGAGTGTCATATTATTTCAGAGTATTGGTGCATTTTCTTATGTTACATACGGTAGTAGATGGAACCTCACGTTCAGCATCCTTCGCTCACTGAGGGCGTTTTTATTGTGAATTATGATTCTCATAACATAACACACGACTGTGGCATTCCCTAGATATCTATTTTTAAGGGTATATTTCTAACACTTTACCCTTCACGTACGGTGAAGCTTGCCCGGAGGCACTTCACTCATGACCAGGTCACATGTAACCAAAATGCCCCAAACTTGCGTTGGCTAGGTACTATCCAAACATTTGTATCATTAATTGACCTGACGCCCACCCCCTTATCTCATTCGTCTAATGCTCGCTGACCGAACCTGATGTAATGTACATTTGCCCACGGGAGGAGAGATTTCCGTTGCCATGCTACCAAACTCCACCGAAACACTGTAGTCTCGCCATATCTTATACAACGGGAATTACCATCCCGGACTTGATCCTTCATCCTCGGTTCGCCTCTCTTCGTTGTTTTTTTTTCGTTGATGCCTTGCTTAAATCCGCAATGGCGCGATTATAACGAGTCGACCAATTCGACGACAGCGGTGAATAAAAATGTCATAATGTTATTACAGAGTAAGCTCGTCAGAAGAATGCGCGGCAACGGGCTCGGGGATAGGGAAGAAAGATCGTCGCACAATCTGGAGATGGATTAGCAACCGGACATTTCATATATCATAGAGTTATACTTACAGCCCAAGCACCAGCTACGGATGCCACAATACCACCAGAGATGGCCATGGGACGAAGACCACGAGTGCTCTTGAAGAGCATACCACTCAGCGCACCAGCGAGGACAGTGTTTCCGGCATCGTGCTTGCCGCGGACTGTTCCGATCAGGGAGTTGATACAGTTGTAGATGATAGCGACGACACCAAGAGAGTTACCCAAGAAAGGTCCTCGGCGGGTAACCGAGTTCAGAACAGCGTTCAATCGCAGCTTGGGAGGCTGGCCGGCCGACCTCCGGAGACCCTCCTGTAGACCCCAGGCACCTCCTACTCCCAAGCCAGTGAGATATGTGATTCCGGTGCCGTAACACAAGTCGTCTGTGAAGCCACGCGAGGGCAGGACTGATTGGCCACCAGGCAGTTCGGACAAGGCTGAGTCCTCGAGGGAAATATATTCGAGCGTGTCTCTGTTGAGGCCGGCGAGGGGATGTAATTGCGAGGGGTCGGCAAAGGTAGAGCTCTGGAGGAAGGACTCGACGCCCTGGCCTTCCGTGGGGTCGTAAGAGTAATGCGCGGGTTCTTGCGTCGTAGGTAGCGACTGTGACTGCTGCTGCTGTTGCTGTTGGTGGCCGGGCTTATTGCCGCCAGTGAAAGCGTTCCAGAGGGAAGACATTGCGAATACTGAAAGGCCGAGGGTATGGAGTCGAAGGCGGGCGAGATGGGAATTTGGGTGGATTAAGCGGCGTTGACAAAGTCGCAAGTCTTGTCCGAATCTCGGGCAATCTGAAGGGCTTCCGTCGGGCGGTTTAGATTTTTTTGGTCTCCACCCACCCAGAATCAAGAATGATTCCTCCAAGTTCTGTCACGTGGTGGCTGTCATGGCCTTTGACCCGAAGATAGAGAAGATGACGACGAGGATGAAGACGATGATCACGGGAGAGATTATAGCGAAGTGTCTGACGCAGTTGATGCTTTATTGGAAATTTTGATGATCCATGTGTATTTGCAACATAGACAGTGAAACATTCTCCAAAATCAGTGACAATCATATTACTACCACTGCGCTGTTTCTGGCTCAAGGTGTATACTATTCATTTCTTTCGTTTTAAATAAAGCTTAACGTCTGTACCATCATGAATCGTGCCTGTGTTATAGAAGCATTATCTTAAAGTTGGGTGTGTGCTGAATCGCTTTTTCGCGGTTGGAGTTTTCGGTTTCTCACCCTGGCAGGCCAGCTACCTCCGCGCGAAGAAATGTTCGTCTGCTTCAATAACTCGGAGCGCAACATTTTGCTCTGCCAGATGCTCTCCCATGCAACAGTTCGCAATCTGGCAACGGCTTTTGACAAAAAGCAAACCGTTGTCGAGTGACATTGTCAAACATGCCCATGCCTTAGTAGTCAGTACAGAACATGATTGTCATGTTTTTAATGGAGTTATCACAAATTCAGCACACGATAATGATTTGGCGAGTTAATCCGGGAGATATTTGCTCCAGCAAGCCATTCAACGGTCAACTGGGACCATAGTCTACGCGTTCAAAAAGTGTTCGAAATTAAAACACGTTTCGTGATATGGTATGTCGAGATCACCCCACAGTCAAGGACCTCTGAGGACGTCAATGGCTGATTAGGAAGAGCGATCACATTGCTTTGGGAGGCCGGGAACGGAAAACTAGACATCGACAAGTCTAGCTCTCAGCAAGCCGCATAGCGGAGCCGCCGTTAAGTAAAAAATTCACATGACGGTGAAAGTTTTTACCCATCTGATGATAGAGAGAAAGGAAAATCAAGTCAAAGGTCGGGGGGAGAGAGGATATTTATACCAGTTATTCGCTTATCCAGGCTCAGCCAGTGGGTCCCATCTGTGTACAGTGGTTGGGCACTTGAGTACTGCAGGGTTTTTTTCGTGGTGGCTGGATTACATAAAATTCTCTATAGTGGAGTCTCAAATCGGACTTCATGAGCGAGCGGGTCGAGCGTGTTTGTTTGGTCCTCGATGCTGCATATTGGGGTTCCAATTTCACTCGTCCCATTCTCTGTGGACTATGGAATAATACCGCCGAGATATCGGGTCAAATACTCGATTTCAATCATTGCCTCGGCATTCTATTCACATGCGGACGTCAACAGCGTAGTGGTCGTTGTGAACTTCCATTCTCAATGGCCAATAAGGGCAATCGTTTGGCACAAACACAAACATATTGATAGCATTTTATAGCGAGCCAATGATCTTTGATCGTATTATAATAATGGATACGGAGTACGTATATCTTGGGATGCAAATCACATGTGCTGTACAATTGTAGCGAAATCGAAGTTCAACTTCTATAGGGTAATGTTTCCATGTTCTTGCGATGTAAGCACATGCTGCATTTATATAGCTTTCGCCGTATATGTCTTTCTCTGCTTAATCACATCGAACAGAAATTATAAATCATTTGATTGGTACGATATTTCTATTTCTTGAACCCGATTGCCGTGATCAAAACAAATATACTACTCGAGCTATTGACCACTCAAACTACACCTGCAGTGTTTTCACCTCATATCAATATTTTCTGAAACTCATGATTACTGGGACATAAATTGCTAAAATCTCAGATTGCAAACTCGCATGCTATAGACGCTCTTACATATTTAATAGAGTATATACCTTTAAAAAGGTAATAGTTAGGTTGCCCCGTAGATAATACAATAATTTTAACACAATAAGAGGCATTATGCACAATGCCAGGCTCTTACATATAATATATCGATCGGTAGTTAAGGGTTCAACAATACTCAGTCTTCAGTTTGACACAAATCCATAGCCATGTACTAAACAAGTCGCGTTCTTTCCATATGTTCTCTAACATTGTCCTGTTATCTTAACGACCAATACTGAATGACATATATGATACAAATTTCTCTCTAAATGAATACATATCCGACAGTACCATAATAGCAACCAAGTTTTGAAGCTATTTTTTTAATTTATTATTTCCCTAGCCATGCAACAGTAAACGCCTACCGTCGTCGTATCCTATATGCGCCCTAACCAGTCAGGGGATGATATGAGAACAAATAAAATCAAGAGCAAAACAAGAAACTGTCATCTCAGGCGCGAGCCTTATCCAGGATGTGTAGTATATCACGAATGGTAGACAGAGTCGCCCCTCTGGAGCAGGGGGCGCTGGTCCCAACTGTCCTCGTCGATGCTGGCATCGTCATCGTATTCATCCTCCTCCGTGAGGTTGCCATTAATTCGTCGACGGGTAGGCGAGTTAGGTGCCTCCGGCTTGCTATACATGAAGTACTGAGCAAAGACACCCAGGTCGAGGAAAAGGGTGACGAGACTGCCAGCCAGCCAGCTCAGGTTTACAAGGATGTATTTGCCGTAGATGTGACGAGCCTCGCCGGGCTTGCATTCGGAGTGCTTGCACTTGGGATCGTAAGCAAAGATGGAAAGAACGTATGTAATGTTTCCAAGGCATGCAAAGAGAAAGAAGAGCATGCTAAGTCCATCAGTCGTCTTGCGCCTCCAGTTCAGGATGAGCTGGGGTAGGCGGGAGGCGATGTACGCAACAGTGCAAAGGTATCCAAAGATCTGCCCAGAAAGGCTGAAGTGGAGGTCGTCGCCGCCTCCAACATTGGTGTCGTCGTGCTTGTCGCCAGAGGAAGCCTTCTGGCCAAGGAACCAGCCAAGGACACCAGCGGCGATGACCATCATCACAATGATGGTATTCCAGACAATAGTCTGGAGGACAGTGGGTGTTTGGGGAGCAGAATCCTCGGCGATATGAGGAACGGCTGGTGATAGACCAGACCAATCTGAGCCGCGACGTTCATCATGAGCGATAAGACCAGTGCGCTCGTTCGGTTCGCCAGGGGCCGGGGTGGTTGGCTTCGGCGCAGGGGTTGGAGCGTCGCGCCAAGTAAAGCCGCGATAGTAGAAGCACTGGCCGAGAAGGACGATATCGGCTATCGTGTAGTAGATGGCGAGAATGATCTAGGAGACGAATTGATTTAGTACTTGGTAATATTGGCGGATTAATGATAGTTGAGCGTGAAGTCGTACCATGGTCGGTAGGACGCCCTGAAGGACAGCGCCCAGAATGTTGAAGACATCGCCAAGAAGCCAAACAATAATGAATTGAATCGAGAGAGCATCAGCACTGCTGCGCTGGAAGTTTTGAATGATCTGAGGAGAAAAGACAACGACTATTCGAGATTAGTGGCGTCCAAGGCAAAGACCAGACACGAAGACATACCCCAGCAAGCAATTGAAATGGAACTTGAAAGGAGGATAGTTAGTTACTGATGCTACTGAAGGGTTACGCGATCCAAGACATACCCGCAAATGCCCGAGATAGCCTCGACGTCAAGATTCAGATTCGCAGTTGGCGGAATCATGGTTGGACCCTGGGCGGAATGGTGGTAGACCGCAGCGCCCACCCCAGCTCGTAATATATACTGTCCTGGGCCAAAAAAAAGTCTTCAATTTTGGTATTACAGCATTCGTCAATGTCGAGAAATATCAATTCGTCTAAAAATACTGCAATTGTCGGCGGTGATATTCTGTCGTCGCGAGGTAAAACTCAAAGGGAGAGACAAAAAGGTTGAAGATGACAGACTTTTTTCGGTCAAAGACTGGATTCCAGGAATGGTCCCGTGCCCCCAGATAAAGACGTCACTGTTTACCTAGAGAGAGGAATTAGTATGAATTGCGGGGGAAAGGCGCTAGAATGCCCTGGGTTTGGGCTTGAGAGCATGGGCTTGGCCGATGCTGGGATGGATACTTCAGGGTCCGAATTCGGCAGTGCCTCAAGAGGGAGAAAGGCTAAAGCTGTAGATCTTTGAATAGCCAATACCGACTCAATCGCGAAAGCGCCATCGAGACACAGCCAATTGAAGTGGTTGAAGAGTTTCAGGGGCTGCGATGAATGCGAGATCGTGGATCGAAGAGGTTGCTTCGTCAATCTGATAATGTACGGATACAAATGAGGTCATTATCACCAACACCAAAAAAAGCCCAAGATGGATGGATCCCTCCCATGGATCACGTCTTGTCCAAATAAACAAAGCTAATCACTGTTAACAAGAATACTGACTCATCAAAAAGATCCATCACGCTGTGCTAATCGCCGCTTTCGCCGCAATTATTGTCCAAATCATCCGCGATTCCTCACCGCTAGCCCCGGAAGGAAACAACGGGTACCTCGGCCATAAAACCGACTCCAACACGAGAAGTTGCCTCTCCTCTCAGTGCCCGATAACCAGATTTCCACGATAACATCAGCAGAATATTTCTTCAAGTCCTATCACCAAATCAAAAACAATTTTCGATTTCAATTTCAACTTCAGCATTCAAGTGTTTACTGCCTTTCCCACTATACATTCTCGACATATCCTCTCTCAAGTCTATTACAAATACAAACCCAAGTGCCTCAGCGGGCTATCTATCCAATGTCAACAGCCACGTCAGGTCCTAGGCTCCCCGAGATCCCAGCTCTTCAAGGCGACGACTCAATGTTGACTCGACGTTTCGGAAAAGAAGTTGTCAATTATTACGCTGGTGGTCGTATCAACCGTTTCTCTTTCCTTCGCGCCGACACTGGTTTTCTTCGAAAGGCCGCTGTTACTCCAACAGCTCGATATCTGGCCCTCAACGAACTAAACCTGTTGGCCCTCGACAAGAAGACGCCGGCGTACTTCACCTTTAAAGAAGTTGAGTCTGTGATCGGGTCAGAACCCTTTGCTCTCACTGAAGATGAAGCTATCCAAAGTTTCGACTCAGCCAAGACCAAGCCTCTCATTGTCTTTCTTGGTATGCTAGAGGAGGGAAATGAGAGCGATAAGATTGAATCTAGCGACCACGGTGATATCCAGGGCCACCCTTACTTTGCCATCGATATTACCCCTAAAGGCACTCATGTTGAGAAAGTAACCAGCTTCTTGGCAGAGCAGGAGAAGAAGGGAATATCAGCAGACAAGAACCCCCGTGCTATGTCCCAGTCACCCGATGCCGGTAAGTTGGAGCCTAAACAACCTTGACTGTCATAACTGACCATTTCAAGCCGCCCTATACGCTCAAGCCAGATCTATGATCGACTGGAACTCGCGAAGCCCCTTCTGTGCTGGTTGCGGGCAGCCTAACCTTTCTGTTCATGCTGGATTCAAGCGCGTCTGCCCACCTGCAGACAAGAAAGGTGGCGAGAGCAGTGAGCCTCGAGCCGACTGTCCCACTCGACACGGCGTATCCAACATCTGCTTCCCTAGAACGGATCCCACTATGATTGCCGCTGTTGTTTCTGCAGACGGGACAAAGATTCTTCTCGGTCGCCAGAAGCGCTGGCCTCCTTACTGGTACAGCACACTTGCTGGTTTCTTGGAGCCAGGTGAGTCTATCGAGGAGTCAGTCAGGCGTGAGGTTTGGGAGGAGAGCGGAGTTCGTGTTGGACGTGTTGTTATTCATTCGAGCCAGCCTTGGCCTTATCCTGCTAGTCTTATGATTGGAGCTATCGCCCAGGCGCTCCCTGGTGACGGAGAGAAGATCAACCTGAATGATAAGGAGCTGGAGACGGCCAAGTGGTTCACCATGGAGGAGGCTAGCAAGGCTCTTCGAAACGGAACGAGCAGTCTGGGAGAGGCTGCTCCTGAGGGATACACGGAGGGTGACTTGCGATTACCGCCTGCTCAAGCTATCGCCAACCGTTTGATCACGGCAGTTGTTGAAGGATATCTGATTGTCGCTCCTAAGATTTAGTTAATCTTTGATAGATTAGCACATAAGAATACAAAGCATGAATGCGTTGTTTTGAAGGGAGTGGATGTTCAATGCCTGTGAGAACATGTTGAGTGTTCTCAGTGCTCGATCAAGTGAGTATGCAAATTGCCTGCCACTGAAAATGTATGTTCGAAAACAAACTGAACGAATTGCAGTGCATGTGCCTTGCTTTCAAGTACCCCTTAGGACCTAGGTACCTAGTGCTCCCTCCCGTGGGGTTCGTAAGAGGAAGAGAAAATACGGGTGCAATAATCCCCTAAGGTACGCACGCGTTCCTTTCCCTCCATTCTCCATTCTCCCTCTCTCATCTCTCATACTACCCATCCTCACAATATCAACAAATTCTAACGAAACTGCCTGATACTTCATCACACTCTGACAAGAGAAGATCAGTTATTGTTGGTTCTTTGAACACTGCCGCTTTTATTTCCTTTGCGCTACCCCCTTCCCACCTCACTTCTTCCGTTTCCTCATCGCACTCCCTACTCCTACTTCTACTCCTACCACCCACATCATCATCTCCACACACTTCATCCACCATCACTATAACCCTTCTAGAGTGCCATCATAGCATCGGAGTAGCTCATCTGAACGCATTTGACGATTGCTTTTTGATCATTTCTGAGAATTTTGATCCTTTCTTGATAACACAGCCCAACACCTGTTGTGTCTTCCTATCTCCCATACCCCTCTCTCATATCTTGGCTTGTACGGCTTCCTTGTCTTTTGGCAAGTGTATCATCATTCCTGGCTTAGCTTCGCGTTAATACCAAGGTAAGCCATGATCGCCTTCTATTTCTCTGTACTGATGCTAATTTTCATAGCACCCAGTGCTCGACGACACGATAACTCTCACATATTCCCACTGTACCCCTTCAAAAACCATCCCTGTCACCATGGCTGATCAAGTCAAACACCAGCTTCCCACTTCCACGATCCATAGGATCCAGGAGCAGATGGCCAGCGAGATCTTCAAGCTTGCTGGGAGAGACCCAAAGCAACACGCCGCGTGTTTTACAGCATGTGTTAAATTGATCGAGAACACCAAAGTCGTCTATGCGACAAACATGAACAGCTGGTTGAACGACAACCCAATTACTATCGGAAAAGTTCTCGATGACTTCAAGAGCACAGACCGAACTGGGAGGACCAGTAATCTCTGTATGATTCCAGCCACTACAGCCGTCGTCATCGCCGCCGCCCTGAACCAGCAACATATCTGTGTTGATGGGAAGATGAACCAGCACGTCACTAAAGAAGTCTCCCAGATTTGGGCGTACCTTGGAATCGCCATCGACGTCTGGCCTGAAGTTGAAGATTCGCAGTTTTTCGTCAAAACAGACCTGGGGAGTTTGGAATACCCAGTCGTCAGAAAGATTTCCCGTGGAAAATTTGTTGTAAAAACCCCCGAAACGGGAGAGGAACTCACTCCTCTGATGCTACTTGCTACTGCAAGGTTGAATGGGTGGGTGACTCCGTCTCCAGATGCTTCCTGGTTGAAGAAGGCCAAGGTCGACTCTGAACAAATCATACACCGACGGAAAGCGCTGAACGACGGGAAGAGAGTCATCGACAAGCTTGGCAACCGAAAATATAAACAGAACGACAAGAACTTTATGCGAGAGATGAAAGCATGGCTGTCTGAGCCCGTGATCCGAGTTCTCCCAGACGATATCAAGAACCGCGTCTGGTTCTAGTGCAACCAGAACGATAAAGATTGGCTTCCTATCATCGACGCAGCGGAGGAGGATCTATCTGTATGGAGGTTCGCTGGAAAGGCCGAAGCGACCGTTGCTACTTTTTTCTCTGACGACATAGACTGGCAGAAACTTGCACTGAACGTTCGAGACCAAGATTCGACGAGAGCCATCAACAAACTAGTTCAACTAGCTGAACAGGCTCAAGAAATCCAAAGATCTCAGAAAGACTATCTTCCACACGCAGTACCCAGCCTAATGGAGATTCGAAAGACCCTTATAGAGGATAAGGCTGACAGCCCGCCGTCCCAAGCGGTTTTCAGCTCAGCTTTGAATCAATGCTTCCTAAGTCAGGAGGCCAACGGCCGAAAGAATATTTTGGTCGGCGCACTTCAACGACTGTTCGACAACATTGTCGATGTTGTCTCTATTAACCACCCGCTCTGTAGCGCCTTTTTTGACCTCGCATCAAATGTTGACGAGGTTGTGATCTCGTGTATCGATCTCAACGTCGATCGAGCAAAGAAGAGACATCAGCACAGGCTTAAGTTGAACGACGAACTGAACTGCAGAAATGAAGTGGTTACCAGTGTTGCAGAAACAATCACCAACCTTGAAACGGATCCAACTACCCCTGGAGCAGTTCTTCGTTCTAGAATTTGCTCAATTCTTGACTCAGCGGATGCCTTGACCATCCAAGAGAGCCTTTCTCACCGGGTCAAGATTGTTGTCCGAAGCCGGGGTAGCGATGAAAATGCCCAAGAATGAAAGGAACTATGCAGAGGATCTATAAACATCTTGGTCCGAGTACGAGCCTGTTGGGAGTTGAGTGTGAGATTGAACATACTGTTCTCCATGTTGGGTACGAACTAACCAGAACTTGAGTGCTCCTACAAAGATGTGAGTACGAACTATGAAGGGCCAGAGACTCAATCGAGAAGAGAGTACTGACATACAAGAGGTAGAGCAGACTTCCGAAGAATTTGTTGAGACATGCAGACCTGTTTTTATGAGAGATGATGTTTGAGGACATAAATACCATGTCTAGATATGTGACAAGGATACGATGGTGGCAAGGTAGCCAGGGGCTATTCATTTTGTCGGAGTTTGCACTCGCACTACCATCTGTTGTTTTCTTGGTCGTTGATACTTCATGTCAAGGACTCTGTTGCAGTATGGCGTGGGCTCCATTTTAGAAGAAACGAACCTCTAGCAGTCCAGTAAATTGGCATTCTTCATTGATCATGCAACTGCGTAAGTCTTCTGTAGAGCAACTCCTTAATTGAATAGTTATTTATATTCGGGTCTCATCTTCAAGTCCCAGTAGTGATGTTCATTCTTATGTTAGATATTCCCCCTAAGAACCACCAGTTCCCAACCGTCTTAGTGACAGTCTGAAGTCCCTGGTACTCAAGTTTTAGTTTGTGTTTGCACACTTTCATGTTGTTGTTACGCCGATATAGAAGCACTGCAGATGTTCGGGCACCGGCAGAGAAGTAATAAGTTTATGGCCTAGAGGGAGTGAAGTGTTTCTACTGTGGTAGCCTGATATTCTCGTCCCATCTTTCATCCTTTGCTACCTCCCCTCCTATTCTTTCTAACTTCCACCTTCACCTTCACCACAACCCCAACCTCGGCCTTTCTCATTATTTCACCAAACGGGCTCAGAGATACCCTGATTCAATTTCTACTACAGCTTCTTTACCTGCTAGCTGCCTCTGTGCTGTTGTGCCTTTGTGCGTCTGCTATACGTCGAGAGTCGTCACGCGTTGAGACTTTCCGCACAAAACTCAAGGTTCGTTATCACTGCAGCACAGAAGCCTTTATCTGATTCCAACAGTTACCTAAAATATCAGGGTTCTCACTCAGTTGTCTTCCGAGAACTGTCGGGCCACAAGCATGCGTCTCAGGTCTACTGTGTGGTCTACAACCACCCCGGAGAGAACTCTCGACAAGGATGTTTTCCTTAGAAGGATGAAAAGCCAATGGGACCGATGGGCCCACGATACTCTTTCTGAAGAAGAGAGCCGTGCTTGGAGGAACATTATCTCCAAGATCTGCACCACCAACATCCAGACAATCGACGACTTGGCTGCGCCAGTATACTGGGCGGAGGTTACAGCGCTCAAAGTTCTATTCCCTAATGAATTTTTACAGTCTCGCCACGCCGCCATTGCCCAGAACAAGTTCCCTCGGGCTGATCTCAACCAGTGGAAGCCTAATGAGAGAGGTCCCACGGGGCATCCAAGTTTTAAAAAGAACGAACATGTCATCCAGGTGAACCACGACTTGGCCGGGGCAGATGTGGCTGAGACCCGGCAAAAACGAATGCGTCGTTCTCGGTCCGTCAGGTCCAATGATGGAAGTGAGGATGAAAGCCGCGTCAAAAGGCGCCGATTAACTGATTCCAACTCTGCCAAAGAGGTGACCCCTAAGGCAAGAGTTGTAAAGAAAGAAACGTCCCCTGCCGAGTATGAAACCGAGAACCCCGACAGCCTCTTAACCGGTTTCGATGAACGGCTCTCTTCAATCCGCAATGAGGCGTCGAAAACATCCAAGATCTCTCCACAAGCGATCAGTGGTCTTCGGCATGCGCACGAACAAGAGCTAGCGGGACAACAGAAGGCTCACCGCAAAGAAATCAAGGCGATGAAGAAGGCCTTTCAGGAGGAAAGCTCAGCACTCCGAGCAGCGTACGAAGGCGCTATCTCGACCTTTATCGAAGGGTCTGTCAGCGGGATGGAGGCGCTCCAGGTGGCGCTCCAAGTGGCACGTCAAGATATCTGAAGCTGTTGAACAGTGACGAAACAAAGAATAAAGAGAGTGAGTCCACGTGCTCTACCAGGACGGAGGTTTGTGAAAGGGAATGACTTTTGGGGAGGTTTGCGTCATCTACTGAGAGGATTGCTTAGTGCGTGCGAGAGGAAAAGGGGACAGACATATCAAAGGGGAAAATATCAATAATTGCGACATGGGGGACTGGTTGAGGATTGCTTAGTTTTCTGTCGCAGATACAGAATGAAAGTTACTTAAGAAGCCAGTTTTAGTCACGTTCATGGTGCTCAGAAATATTGAAGAGAATGCATGTGCGTATTGTCTGTTTATGTGCAGAATATGCTCAAGAACTCTAATCGTCTTGCTTTACTCGGTGGTATAAAAACCCAAGATATTACATCATCATATATACATTTCCGTTGACTCCTCCGTTACAATGGGTATCCAAAAAATCCTATCCAACTCTCATATATCGTAAGCTCTTATACGAAGCTTCGGAGCATTCGCTTGGGGACCTGAGACCAGACAAAAGGCTCCTTGGGCTCCTCCTCCTCAAGGAAGACAGCTCCTGTGGCCAAGTCCATCTCAGCAGGGCGGACAAACATCTGCCACTTGCGGTTGGCGATCTTGTAGCCGAGATAGAGAATGGCGACGGAGAAGAAAGCAAGGTAGGAGCTAAAGAAGGCCTCGGCGGCGGGAGAAGCACCAGAGGCAGGGTAGAGAGCGTTGTAGAAAGAGGCGATAAGAGCCAGGATGTTGAGGCTGAGACCGAGGTAAGAGCCAGCAGTGCCGAATGGGGTCTTGTAGGGGATAAGACCAAGGTTGATACCCTGAGCCTTCATACCAGCGCGCATGCGGATATGGGCAAGGCAGATGGAACCCCAGACGAACAGGAAACCAAGACCGGTAAGAGCAAGGAGCCAGCCGAAGATCTCACCACCCTGAGGAGCAGCGCCAATGTAGGCAAGGAGGCCGAAGGCGATCTGGAGAGCGACACAGTAGAGAGGGCGACCAGCGGAATCGATGTACTTGAAGAAGTTGGGAGCCATGTTGCGCTCCGCCATAGCCTGGATGGTGCGGGTGGAACCGAAAGTGCAAGAGTTGGCGACAGAGAGGACGGCAATAGTGATAACAGCGTTCATAATGCTGGGGAGGACCTTGATACCGGCATCCTGGATAGCGAGAACGAAGGGAGAGGCCTTGGTGTTGGCACCGCTGGCACCCAAGAGACGAGGGTCGTTGGCGGGGAGGATAAGACCGACGATGAACAGGTTGAGAATGTAGAAGATGGCAATTCGCCAGAAGACCTGCTTGCTAGCCATGGGGATAGAACGGCGGGGATCGGCAGACTCAGCAGCAGCCAGACCAACCATCTCAGTACCACCGAAGGAGAAGGCAGCGACAACGAAGACGGCGCAGAAACCCTTGAAGCTGGTGAAAGCACCAGGGTCGTGCCAGTACTTAACACCGATGTAGCCCTGGTTACCGACACCACCGCAGTTGATGACAATACCGAGGATGATGAAGCCAACACAGGCGCAGATCTTGATGATGGAGAGAACAAACTCAACCTCACCGTAACCGCGGACACCAAAGACCTGGACAACCATAAGGACGACGAGGAAGACGGTGACCCAGACAGCCATGTTGATATCTTCTCTCCAGAACTTGATGGTGATGGAAGCGGCGATGAGTTCGAACGGAAGCACGGTCAACCAAGCAAGAGCGTATTGCCAACCCATGGCGAAACCCCAAGAAGGATCGACGAAGCGGACGATGTAGGTAAAGAAGGCACCGTTGACGGGGTAGAGGACAGCCATCTCAGCGAGAGCCAAGCATGTGCAGAGAAGCATGATACCGATGATGAGATATCCGATGAGGAGAGCAGCAGGGCCACCCTTCTGGAGGGCACCACCTGAACCGACGAAGAGACCAGCACCGATAGCACCACCTGTAGATCTGTTAGTTAAGAGCTGGGGAATGGTGGAGAAGTAAAGTCGTACCGATGGCAATCATTTGCATGTGTCTGTTCTTAAGATCTTGCTTAAGACCACCGTTCTTGACCTCGCCAGTCTCGACATCTCGAGACTCAGCGACATCGAGAACGGCCTCTTTGCCGTAATCAGCGGGTGGGTTAGAAGCCATGACTACTAGTTGTTGTAGTAGTGATGAGAAGGAAGTGGTGTATGAGAAAGAGAGAGGTGAGGATGAGAGTGATGGAAGCTCTTGGTTCTTCTATTCCAAAACAGAGGGAGAAGGGCTGCGTATTTGTACTCGATTTATCAACATAGTTGCACGATCTACCGAGACTATGGAATTGCTGCAACGGTCTAGATTTGGTGGCGCTAGATGCAATGCAAGCTGGAGCTGGAGTTGGAGACGGGCGAAGGGGGGTAAGTCTCCCAACGTTAGTCTGCTTGCTTGCGGCCTGTTAGCCTTTCAGCCTTTGCAAGGTTGGTAAATCGTAAATGGTGTGCAGAACGGGCAGTCTAACCTATCTTGCTTTGCCCCAAAGAGTTTATCTTGAGACTAAAACCTAGGCTGATGGAGCTATTGGCGCGTCAACTCCAGGCTACGGTATCGTGGGTGGGTACGAGATTTTCATGTCCACCTTGGAGTACAGTAGTGTAACCCCCCTTATCTCGTTCCCGTCTTGGTCTCTTGTCTATCTCTCGGCGTGGGCGAGAGAGGCTCCGCAGGCCAGAATCGTGTCGTCCTCGACCGGCCCGGTCAGGTCTGGAACTGAACTCTTGAACATGGCTCGTGGTTCGTGCGAGCAAAGACTAAGCAAAGCAATCGGTTGGACGGCGCTTAATTCGCAAATCGTTTGATGATATTCTTGGTATTTCTCTCTTTGCTGACTCGCTCAATCTGAGTTGAGTTGTTTATTTTGCTTCGTCAAGTTAAGGTTATTCACAAATACTACCCAGGCATGTCAGTGTCAGATTCTTGTTTTGATGCTACATTCCTTTGGAATTAAGTTGCATGTACCCATGTCCAAGTACGAGTGATCCTCTCGGCTGTTTTCCGTTCTCGTTCTGAGACTGCTTGATCGTTGACTGTCAGTAGACGCGCCCCAGACGCGCAGTAACAACCCTGGTATAGGTATGGGTATAGGTATGATCCTCTTTGGCTTCAACGCCACGTTTGCAATCAATCCAACGCTTGAACTGTAGCCCCGTAAGCTGATTGAGCTACTTTCGGAAGGTCGTCATTGCGGCCCATGTCCCTCTTCGGGAATCACCTTGTGGTAGTCATCAAGTAATGACTTATGTCGTATTACAAGTCAAATGCTGTCACGGTGTCACCTCAAATCGAACCGAGGGTCTGGGTCAAGCTCCAGCTCCAGCTCCAGCTCCAGTCTTGCCCAGACTCTGCGATCTGCATTGAAGATCTCTTTGAATGCGATACACCACTTGGCGATGCGATGCCAATAGATCGCCAAGGACCCCAAAATCGTCAGGAAAGTTTAGCACTCAAAATTCTCAGAGTGCAAAACTTGGAGAGGCAGCCTCTTCTGTGTTTCCCCCACACGCTCCAAGCAACCCTCACGCGGCCGCCTGTTGGCGAAGGAGGGTGGGAAGCAAAGAGCTAATTATCAAGCTAGAAAGCTTCCAGACTGTCCTTACTTGCCATTAACTTATCCCTCATTGGTGCTGAACGACCCCAGACACTGGTGGTAACAGTGAATCTGGGCCCAAGCTGACCATGTCCCTGTAGGCTTGTCCTAGGGCCAGCTAGCGAATTTGGAGACCTCTTCCCCTCTCCTGGTGGCTTTCAGCTGCCTGACCGCTAGGCAAGGAAAAACGCTATCTCTTGGCTGAAGATACTGATTCCCCCCATCACTCATATCTTCGGTATATCCATGATTGGGCCGCTGATATCAATTGTGGCTTACAATCTCCTCACGGGCGGACTTCCCCTCATGAGAAAAAAAAATTCAATTGAAGCTCAAGCTCAAGCCAAGAGTGAGGCTCAATAGAGCCGTTGCGTTGTATCTTCTTGGCTTTCCGGGGAAGATGGAGCCTGTGCAGCGGTCACCACGAGGCCTCCCCAGACCCAGATTCAGAATCTGGGGATTCTCCAGACTCTGGAGTCTAGACACTCAACTTTGGTGATTCCATTACGAAATCGCTTCCTCTTCATTCGGATCCTGTTTCTGGGGTAGATTTTTGTAGGTAATCTCATTCTCCCTGGTTCGCTCGGGGAGATCCATACCTGTGATGACTCCAATTATTAGCCTCCCTGTGCTAACTTGTTCAAGAAGGTGTTGACACATATGGTGCGGAGTCGATACTTCATATTTCCACTGCGGAGCCGTGACCTCGATCTAGACCTCTATCTTCCCCACACAGACAGAATGGGAATCGTTGATTAGGTTGCTAGCTGGTTTAACAGGGATAAGCTTTGACAACATTCCCTCACACGCAAGAGTCCCACGTGAAGCCATCACATAAACATTTGCCGTCCCCAACTGCTACTTATCCTGTGTAGGGAAGAAATTGCCCGGTGGCGCTCCTAGTGGCCATGTTAACCTTTGGAGGCGACTCGTACCTTTAGCTGGCTGATTTTATGCCGGCTCTGGCCATTCCAGTATTCCCACCATGATATTATTGAGACGTCGATGATGGTTGTTGGTCTCATTGCTGCTCTGCCTAATTTCACAACGCCCAACGAATGCTGGTCACCCAGAAGTTGCCATAGCAGTAAATTTGACCCCGTCCATTTGCGGTGTTGGCTGCCGTTCAACATTCCCTCTCTCGTACCGCGACAGCCACACAGCGTCCCCGTTAACCGCCTCCAATGCCTCCCGCACTTGGACGTTTCGCTCCAAAACATCCGAGAGTAGGTCAAGAATGTCGTCAAACATTTCCTCGTCAACCTGAACGTACGACACAAGAGCCGTCAATAGCTCAATTGCGCCCTCCCACACTCGCGCCGGTGACGCAAACTTCCCCAGACTACCTGAAGATGATGCGACTATTGGCGTAATAGCCTTGCCGCTTAGACCGTCGCCAGTTCTCAGGGGTATCAGCACGCGGCTATCGTCGCTTTCTTTTCCCCACGAAACCCCAGCTTCCCCACGGGGTCTAGTCCAATTCGGCGAAGCGGAAGCTTGACGTTTAACCCTGCGGCACCAATCTCGAAGCCAGTCAGCCCAATCAGTCTTGAAGCGAGAGCTAAGAAAGTCTCCCGCAGCAGCGCAAAGCCCGGCAAGAGCACGGCACGCCTCGACCGTGATATAAGCTTCTGGGTCCTGCAGCCTGTCGATCACAACTGGCCAGATTGAGTTAACAAGGGGCAAAAACGCTTCCTCGTCGGGAGCCAAAGCAGTGGATGCAATCGTCAGGAGCTCAAGCAAAGATCGTCGTAGTGCTGGTGTTGGTGATGTGAGGTAGTGCTGGGTAAGAGTTGCCACTCTAAGCAGGAGCTGATACGTTTGTGTGTTTGGTGGTTTCTCTGGTTCTGGTGGAGGCTCCGCCGCCTCATTGATTTCGCCTTCGTCTTTATTCTCCTTCCATGGAATCTTTGGGTGCCCTTTCACATTGTCTTTTTCTGCCTCATCGAGCACTTCTCGTTGCTTTCGTCTCTTCAGAACGTCTAACAGATCTGGAAGCCCGGGTGGCTCTTTGTGTTCTTTTCTATGGTCAGGTTTCGAACTCGTCTGATATTCTAGCAACAGCATGTCTGATCGAACACCCTGATTCACAACCTCTTTGAGTACGACAAAGAGGTTCTCTACGAAAATCGGATATCCGTGATAGTTGTCCAATGCTCCAAAAATAGAGTCAACGACATCGTCCAGATAGGGAACTAGTCGAGGGCCTGCTAGTCGGATCATCATGGTCAAAACGTTGATTGAAGCGGGCGATATATCCAAGCTGTTGAGTCGCAGTGAGACGGAGTTGACCATGTAGTCGACGTTCTGGATAATAAGCTCCGAAACATTAGCATATCCGCATGAAATTGCTATGTTGTTCAATGTGACAATAGCGTGCTTCTGCAGATCCGGGCTATTGGATCCCAAGAATGTCGCGATAGGGAAGAGGACATCAATGAGCTCAGGTCGGAACGACTCTCCTGATCTTTGTGCTGTGTAGGCGGTAACTTCCAAGGCTAAAGCTTCTAACCGCCAGTCAACAGGTTCAGTGTCTGTGTGACGATCAAGAATCTGCACCGATGTCGCGTAAAGCTCATTGAATATGGTGTCAATATCCTGAGAGGGGTCGGCTATTGATGACAGGTTTAGAAACATCTCTTCCTCTGCGGAAGAGGCATGGCTAGCTTTAACAAGTTGAAAACAGAGCCAGAAGGTAGCAACTTGGCTGGCAAGGTTGTCGGTTTCCTGGACTTGTTCTAACATGTTACCTGCAAATCTTGCTTGTTGGGATGAAGAGCCAAGGAATGCAATAAGTGATGCTATCTCACTGCGAAGCTTCTTTTGGGATTCAGAAGGTAGTATTACAGGCTGATACTGTACACCTTTGTACTCTTTTGATGCCTCTGCTCCGTCAATGAGTTGAACATCTGTATTTCCCTTCACTGTTAGAGCCTTCGATGCCTGCATAAGGGATATAACGCTATCCCGTAGCATTACCGACATAGACTCGTCGAGTATGGATGATTGTATGTTTAATTCTTTGAGTAGTTGAAGGCCCTTCAATACATTACGTATTGCGTCTCGCTTTACGTCCTCGTCTCCTGATTGCATCAACCGTGTGAGACTCGACATCCAATTATATGTTGTCGTCTTCACGATTTCGCCGAGCTCCGGGTAAATACTGACCAGGTCTTGTAGACTTGTTTGTGTCAAGGACACCTTGTTCTCGGTTTCTCCAAGCATCATTGCCGTCTCGACCAGTATATTTGTGCTGTTAGACAGCGTATTGTGACATTCATCCAGAATCATGACGCAGAGCTTGTTGAGGGCATTCTTGACCAAAACAGAATCCTGAGATCGCAATTTCATGATTGCCGAGAGCGCTTTCTTGACCTGCATAGCAGTGGCCTTGAGCCACGCTGGGGATAATATTTTATTGTCTTGGATTTCATCCTCTTCTGTGTCGGTCTTGGCCATTATAGAATGCGTTCGAATATCGGCCATGACACTCGTTAGCACGAGGCCGACTGTCTCGAGGCATTTGGCAAGAACAGTGCCTTTATATCGGTTGGGCGAGGACGAGACTTTGGCTAGTGAGGATATCGTGCCAGGCAAGAAGCTAGCTAGCGCGGCAATTTCCTTGACGGTATGATAAACAGCTTGCAGGGCCCGCAGTGCTTCTTGTTGAATCTGGGGTGTCGCGCCGTCGATTACTCCATTTAGCATGACGGTCACTCCATGTCCAAGTGCAGGTATTGACTCCGCTTGCGAGAGCCCCGATGCCGCGGTGGCTGATAGACCGGCCGTGTTAAAGAGAGCCGTCAATCCACGAAAGGCCTCCAGTACTGTCTCTTCAGCAACAGGACGTGCGCGTGTGGAAGCAGAACCGGGGTTGCCATCGATAATGAAAGTCAAGAGACTTAAGATCTGTCTAACGAGTTCTGCAGAGATCTTTGCCTTCCAGCCGTGCGTAATGAGAATTGTGAGGGTCTTGATGCAGTTCTCGATCAAAGACATGGGATATTGATCCATCCGGCGGAAGACATGATGAAGAGGAAAGAAGACGTATTCGGAAAACTTCTCGTCCAGAACTAACGGGTTCTGTTCGATTTGCTCGTCAAGAAGGCTCAGGAGGTGTCCTGTCTGCTCGCCTAGTTCTTGGGAAGAAACTGGTGCATCTGCCTCTCTTATCACCAACTGGCTTATCTTGACGCAGCATGGTTTGAGCTGTGGTTTTTTGTCAGTGCATAAGCCTTCGAGTATGAAGAATTTGAAGCTTACTCTTTGGAAGAACTCATTCCTCTCCTGACTGCTAGTTGTCGATTCCATGGTTGTTGAAGCGCAGCGCTTCTAGCTTGTCTATTCATGCATGTCCTGTTCTCCACAGCAGGTAAGCAGAGGCGGCTGCTGAGCCAAGGAATTAGCGAACACGAGCGCGAATACGCAGGGATACTGTGTATGTCTAAACACACCGTTTGTAGTAGAAGTGGAGGGAGTAGGATGAAGATGGCTTATATCAGTGCTGTGAAGTTATTGCGAAAGATCCCAGTTTGTCAGTTTACTGAGATGGTAAAATTGTAGTGTGGAGAGGTCAATGAGCTAAAGAGTGGTTTAGCTGGAGCAGACAGTGTGAAATTCCTAATTTGCACAGAGCTACCTACTCCGTGTCATAGGTAGGTAGGTACTAAGGTAATTGTTTGACATGCCTATCTATAGTAACTTGCCAATCGCCTTTCATATAGCTTAAATTTGGTATTATTGTTTTTCTCTCCTTTTATATGTCTAGCCCGTAATCCTGATGCCCTTATGTGTAGGTAGTTATAACTTACAAGAACACCCTCTCACATGATGGCTGTTCATGTCACCTCTCACACTGTGCTACGCACACACATCCCCAGGCTTCTACCAGGTTCGAATGCCTACAACAACCATTAAGGATCAGATACTGATTGCAAAACAGCAACTCAAGGATTGCGCCTATTTCAGCCCGGGGCCTATTTTGTGGTAAGTGGATAATCAACACATCCCTGGACCTGCGGAAGGACAGAAGTTTATATACCTCAACGGACCTCCAGCAGATTCCCCTCTATTATTCTCCCTCTCTTCAACCGCAACCACTACATCTCTTTTAAATACCGATCCAACAGCTCTCACAACAGCTCCAACCATGGCTCCTTCAGGTCCTTTCTCTACTATTGTCCATCCTTTCGAATCCAAGTGCCGAGGTTCGGCGGCTTACGAGATTGGTCTACCTTCGGCTCGTAATGCCATCGTGTTTATCGGCGGGCTTACAGATGGGCCACATACTATTCCCTACACCCGACTTCTAGCCCAACGACTAGAAGAGGCAAAGGAACTAGGCTACTCCGTTATCGAGTTCCGCATGAGGAGCTCTTTTATTGGTTTTGGTATTTCAAACCTTTCCAACGACGTGGAAGACATCTCTGCTCTGGTCAAGTATCTTCGAGGAATTGGCAAGGAAAAGATCGTTATATTTGGTTCCTCAACTGGCTGCCAGGTATATATATCCTTGACACTATATCTTCAACCTTTCTGACCAATTGCAGGACTGCATTGAGTACGCCAACTATGAAAAGTACAACAATGAGCCTGTGGACGGCTTCATCTTGCAGGGTCCGGTATCGGATCGGGAGACATTAGAGCTGATCTTCCCTGATCCTCAGCCAAGTCTCGACCTCGCGGCAAAAATGATTTCTGAAGGAAAGGGCGGCGATTGCATGCCTTTTGCCATGATTCCTGCTGCTCTGGGAGCTCCCATCTCGGCTTACCGGTTCCAGTCTTTGGCAATCAAAGGGTATGTAGGCAGCTTCCGGCTTACAGTAGTCTCAGGAACTAACGGACTGACAGTGGTGACGATGACTACTTCTCGTCGGACCTGGACAAAGAAGTCCTGGAGAAGAATTGGTCTCGGTTCAAGAACCCGGTGCTAGTCCTACATTCTGCGGAAGATGAGTATGTCCCTGCCCGCATCGACCAGGCTGCGAGCAACAAAAAATACAAGGCATTGAACCCAGTCGTCAGCCACTTGTCGGGACTGATTCCTGGCGCGAGTCATACCGTAGATCAACCCGAGGCACAGGAATGGCTTTCTAAGCAGGTGGTTACGTTTCTGAGAGATGTTTAGGAAAACGTGTATTTATACTCCGTAATGTACGCATGAATGTGAACGAGCACCTGGGCATTTGCTGTGGGTCTTCTTAGTCCCGGTACATTATTTACTACAATCGCGTTCCTCAGCGCCCATTTGCGCAACGTCAGTACAAAACCACAAAGTATTGGGGAGCTTTCTTAAAACAACAAAAGCTGCCGGAAAGCCCTCAAAATGTAACTTTTAGTATTACTTACAATACATCTATACAAAACAACAAGTATAGCTATTCCAGCTGCCAAGACAACAAACTTAGACGACTGCCGAGATGCTCGACACCCTCCAGGGTAGGAGAAATCAGCAGAAAATAGACCGCCATACTCCGTACTCCCTGACCTAAAGTCCGCTCACTATCTCCAGCTGCAACAGTAGCAATCATCGAACCCCACTAAGCAGCTCGCCTAGCATTGTTAGCGTATGCTTGGGTGTTCGCGGAAGTAGCATTTGCAGCAAATTCTGGGGACCAGCTTACCAACCACGACAAGGGCCAGTCGATTCGACAATTCGACAAGATTCTGCCTGTCATACCCAGGTACCTACCTAATTTTCACGGAAGTCGCCCATTGTTTCTGCGCACGACTTCTTCTTGGATCATCGCTCGCTCAGAGGTGACCGGGTTCGTATTTAGGTGTATTTCTTCCATCCTGAGACTGTCTCTGTCTTTCCGATCAGTCTCCGATTATCGTGCTCGCTCCAGCCAGTTCACGGCGATTTACGCTCTGACGTCGACTCGCGCGAGCTTCCCGAGCTTCCAAAATCTTACCCTTCCACTACCATCGGGACGCGCCATCGCCTCTGGCACCTTACGAATTCCCTGCAACGTCTCTCTAGCATGAGGTGACTTTTGTGCGAGTCCCCTTCGACACCTCGATTTCTGTGAGAAACAACAGTCGCAACAATGGCTTTCTATAGCGAGCAACAACAACAAGTTCTCTTCGAGACCGGCTCGTTCACGGGGTTCCGCCCGCTGCGAGAGCTTGGCGCAAACTACTTCAGCACCAGCTCGTTCAAGCAGCCTCTGTGTGGCAATTCGGAAGGATGGGGTCCTTTGAGTCCTCATCGCTACGATTTCACACCTTGTTTTATTGATGTCTGGATAGCCGCGGTATCTGTTTTCGGTCTTTTGTTTGGATCGCTTGCTGTTTGGTGGCTGCTCGTCAAGAAGCAGAAACAGGAGGGACAAACCAAGAACGCGCACTTCTATATCAAGCAGGTAAACATTGCGGCCAATGATTACTGATTTAACGCTGTTCAACTGAGCTAACTTGGTATTTTCAGTCCCTTCTCGCCGTCATCATCGTCGACGTCATTGCCCAACTTGTCGTTCAAATTATTTTTATGCCCCATGTCTGGTATGGCGATTTCCGAGTGTTGACAACCCTTTTGACTATCCTATCGTTATTCGTCGTATTCGCTATCCAATGGATCGAACATTCGCGCATTCGATACCCCAGCGGCGTCGTCCTCTTCTACTGGCTTTTCCTCCTTATCTCTTATGGCGTCAAATTGCGATCCCTTGTATCGCAACAAATTTATGAGTCCAACCTACCATACTTCATCATTTACTGCGTTGGAGTTGGACTGTCCCTTGCCGAGTTCCTTTTGGAGTGGCTGTGGCCTCGAAACAATGCCCCTAGTGGTTATGAAGCTATCGAAGAGGAGGAAGAGTGTCCCATGGAGTATGCCAACGCCTTCTCCCAGCTTGCTTTCTCTTGGATGACACCAATGATGCAATATGGCTATAAAGTGTACTTGACCGAAGATGATCTCTGGGCCCTTGCCAAAGATGACAAGACTAAGACCACCGGAGCTCGCTTTGATGAAGCTTGGCAGTATGAGTTGGAACACCATAAGAAGCCTTCACTGTGGAGAGTTTTGTACAAGGCTTATGGCGGTCCCTATTGTATTGCTGCGATCTTCAAGGTCGGAAACGATGTTGCCCAATACATTCAGCCGCAGCTACTTCGGCTTCTTATCTCTTTCGTCGATTCTTACGGCAAAGGCAAGACTCCCCAGCCCGTCATTAAGGGTGCTGCAATCGCATTGGCCATGTTTGCATGTGCTGTTCTGCAAACTACCATGGTTCATCAGTATTTCCAGCTTGCTTTCGTGACCGGTATGCGCATCAAGGGCGGTCTCTCCTCGGCCATTTACCGCAAGTCGCTTCGACTGTCCAATGAGGGCAGAGCCTCAAAGTCCACTGGCGATATCGTCAACTACATGGCTGTCGATGGCCAGCGTCTGCAGGATCTTACCCAGTTCGCTCAGCAAATTTGGTCTGCACCATTCCAGATCATCATCTGCATGGTCTCTTTGTACAACCTGGTTGGTTGGTCCATGATGGCGGGTATCGTCGTCATGATTATCATGATGCCTATTCAGGGATTCGTAGCTCGCATTATGAAGAACATGCAGAAGGAGCAAATGAAGAACAAGGATGCCAGAAGCCGCTTGATCAACGAGATCATCAACAACATGAAGAGCATCAAATTGTATGCGTGGGGTTCTGCTTTCATGAACAAACTTAACTTTGTCCGAAACGAGAAGGAGCTCAAGAACTTGCGAAAGATTGGTGCTACTCAGGCCTTTGCCAACTTTACTTGGACCACGGCGCCTTTCTTCGTGTCATGCTCAACCTTTACTGTCTTTGTCCTGACCCAGGATAAGCCGCTTACCACTGATATCGTCTTCCCTGCGTTAGCCTTGTTCAATCTCCTGACGTTCCCTCTTGCCATTCTTCCTATGGTCATCACATCTATTGTCGAAGCTTCTGTCGCCATTGGACGTCTGACTAGCTTTCTCACTGCCGAAGAGCTCCAGCCCAACGCCATCACTATCAAGGATGCCCCTGAGCAACTTGGCGAGGAGAGCGTCATTATCCGCGACGGTACATTCTCCTGGAATCGCCATGAGGACAAGGCCGCCCTCACTGACATCGACTACACTGCGTACAAAGGGGAACTCTCTTGTGTTGTTGGCCGTGTCGGTGCCGGTAAGTCATCTTTCCTCCAGAGCATCCTTGGCGATTTGTGGAAGATCAAGGGTAAAGTTGAAGTGCGAGGAACCGTTGCATATGCTTCTCAGCAAATATGGATCCTCAATGCTACTGTCAAGGAGAACATCATCTTTGGATACAAATATGATGCCGAGTTTTACGAGAAGACTGTCCATGCATGCGCACTAGTAGACGATTTTGCGCAGCTTCCCGACGGAGATGAGACTGTCGTCGGCGAACGAGGTATCTCTCTCAGTGGTGGTCAGAAAGCGCGTGTTTCGCTGGCTCGTGCTGTCTATGCCCGCGCCGACATCTACCTTCTTGATGACGTTCTTTCTGCTGTTGATTCTCATGTTGGTCGTCACATCATCGACAACGTTCTTGGAACCCGAGGTCTTCTTGCTTCAAAGACTCGCATTCTCGCGACTAATGCTATCGCCGTCCTTCGCCAGGCTAGCTACGTGTCCCTGATCAAGGATGGGCGCATTGTTGAGCGAGGAACATACAAGGAACTGGTATCTGAAAAGGGTCTTGTCGCAGAGCTTCTGAAGACTGCTGGTCACGAGTCTAGCGATGCCAACAGCGAGCCCAGCTCCAGCGCCTCAAGCAGTAAGGCCGCTACGATCATTGAGCCAGACTCAGCCCACGCCAAAGAAGAGATTGAAGAGGCCCAAGAACAAGTCCCTGAGATGGCTCCCATTAAGACCAGTGCTGGAGCTAAACCTCGATCAAGTAGCATGGCCACCCTCCGTCGTGCCAGCACTGCAAGTTTCAGGGGCCCCCGAGGCAAGCTTACCGATGAGGAGGTTGGTGGTTCTTCCAAGACCAAGCAGGCCAAGGAGCACTTGGAGCAAGGCAAGGTCAAGTGGTCCGTCTATGGCGAGTACGCTAAGATGAACAACATCTACGCTGTCGCTTTGTATCTGTTCATGCTTCTCGCTTCGCAGACTGCTACAATCGGTGGTTCCGTTTGGTTAAAAGAGTGGTCTGAGCAAAACCAAAAGACAGGCTCGAACGAACGCGTTGGCAAGTATATCGGAATCTACTTCGCTATCGGTATTGGAGCTTCCGCTCTTACTGTTATTCAGACCCTGATTCTCTGGATTTTCTGCTCAATCGAAGTACGTGTCGTCACTCGTTATTTTGTATAGACACTAACTCTACGCTAGGCGTCTAGGAAGCTTCACGAGCGTATGGCCAATGCCATCTTCCGCTCTCCCATGTCCTTCTTTGACACTACACCCGCCGGACGTATCCTGAATCGATTCTCTAGGTGAGAGCACAACCTTTTTGTCCCCTGGAACGGCCGTACTAATAGATTGTTAGCGACATCTACCGTGTTGATGAGGTGCTGGCGAGAACGTTCAACATGCTCTTTGTCAATGCCGCTCGGTCAGGCTTTACCCTGATTGTTATCTCGGTTGCGACACCAGCTTTTGTTGCATTGATTGTCCCACTTGCCTTGGCATACTATTTTATCCAGAGATACTATCTTCGAACATCGCGTGAACTCAAGCGACTCGACAGTGTCAGCCGAAGTCCTATCTACGCACATTTCCAGGAATCACTTGGAGGCATTTCCACCATTCGGGCATACCGACAGCAGCAGCGATTCGAGCTTGAGAACGAATGGCGCGTTGATGCTAATCTCCGCGCTTACTTCCCTTCCATCAGCGCAAACCGCTGGCTTGCCGTTCGCCTCGAGTCTATTGGTGCTATCGTCATCCTGTCTGCCGCTAGCTTTGCCATCATCGCTGTTTCTAGTGACGTCCCCCTCAGCCCCGGTATTGTTGGCCTGGCGATGTCATACGCCCTGCAGATTACGACCTCTCTCAACTGGATCGTGCGTCAGACTGTAGAGGTTGAGACCAACATTGTGTCGGTTGAGCGTGTCCTTGAATATGCAGCCCTACCGAGCGAAGCACCCGAGATTGTCACCAAGAACCGACCTCCTGTCTCGTGGCCTGCCAAGGGAGAGGTTGATTTTGTAAACTACAGCACCCGCTACAGGGAGGGCTTGGATTTGGTTCTCAAGAACATCAGCCTCGACATCAAGTCGCATGAGAAGATTGGCGTCGTCGGTCGCACCGGAGCTGGCAAGTCGTCCCTCACTCTTGCATTGTTCCGCCTGATCGAACCGGTGACGGGCCATATTGGTATTGATAATATTGATACATCTTCCATCGGCTTGCTTGACTTGCGCAGAAGACTGGCTATCATTCCACAAGATGCAGCACTCTTCGAGGGCACCGTTCGAGATAATCTTGATCCCGGTCATGTTCACGACGACACTGAGCTTTGGAGCGTACTCGGTAAGTAATCTACGATATTGCAACCCTACTGCACCCATGCGCTGCTCAGGCAAGCGTATCTTTTGTCAGCAGACGCTGTGTAACATTTGCTGACATATAGCCCTATAGAGCACGCACGATTGAAGGACCACGTTTCAAGCATGGATGGTGGGTTGGAAGCCAAGATTAACGAAGGAGGTAAGTTGACGCTCGGCACTCCCACTCCGCTTTCTGTCGGCATTTCTTGACCGGTCCGCGATTTCCCTCACCGGTCACCCGAGCATCTGGTTCTACCTGTCAAGGCTTCATCGGATGTGGTGTGCACAGGCATCTGTCCCTTGACTACGATCATGAGCAGTCTCTTTTTTGCAGCCATTTCGAAGACAAGACATGTGCTTAATTGCGCATCCCGCATGAAGCTCAAGTCCCGTGGTTTGCTCACTTAGGGGAGCAACACCAGCAACCTGGCTCATGGAAATGCGACTCAGCCATATCTGCAATCTTCACATGTTTTGTTCTGTAGCTAACATCGTCACTCGCAGGCTCCAATCTCTCCCAAGGTCAGAGGCAACTCGTCTCGCTTGCTCGCGCAATGCTCACCCCATCCAACATCCTGGTTCTCGACGAAGCCACCGCTGCTGTTGATGTTGAAACAGACGCTATGTTGCAGAGCACCCTCCGATCACCCTTGTTTTCTAACCGCACCATCATCACCGTGGCTCATCGTCTCAACACCATCCTCGACAGCGATCGTGTCGTAGTGCTTGACAAGGGTGAGGTTGTCGAGTTTGATAGTCCGGCCGAGCTTGTGAAAAAGCAAGGTGTTTTCTACGGGCTGATGAAGCAGGCTGGCCTGGAACTTGGGCAGACAGATGCCTAAGATGGACCAGTTGTGATGGAAGTTGATTGTAAAGATAAAAGAAATACTGTGAAATACAAGAGAAGGAGGGGTTCTGTATACTCTAATTGGTTGAACAGTGCGTCCGCAGCCTCCGTTGATTGCTTGTGTGAATTGCGAAGTGGCCCGGAGGCGCAGAATGTCTCCAAGTCCGAGACGACGCATCAACGGAGTGTTTGCTGCGTGCCACCGGATACGATTCAGAAGCCTACGCTGACGGTGGATGGCTAAGCAGGACGGCCGTGCGCGGCAGTCCACGTTGGATTTATCCCCGGCACCAGTAGACATGGGGATAGGGACAGGGAGACAAGACGAGATGGTGTGGGTTGTGATGTGGCAGGGATTAGATGCCCCCTGAAGGTGAGGTGCCCAGGGTGCCCACGGACAAATCTGACGGAGCGCATCGAAGTGACGAGGAAGACTTGACACGTAACATACTGGGGTAACCACTGTACAGTACGGTGCCAGTACGGTACGCATCCGTAGACATGTATCCGTACTTGGTTGGGGAAGATAGTCCATGTCATGTTGTTGACTGGACAGTGTATGCAACACGGCAAATTATGTTTCCGACAGAACTTCTCCAAGACAATCGAGGGTATGCCCCGTAGCGGCCGAGGGGACTCAAATAAGACAACAACAACTATTGGTCTGAAATATGCCAATTGCCTTAGAGGGACATGAGGCCGACATGAATACGGAAAGCCAAACACCAACTGACAGTCCCTGATGTTGAGCAGAGTGTTTTCAGAGTCTGTGCTTCACGGGCTGTGCATTGGCCTGCTCATACGGATATTTTTGGATCGCTTACGCGCCAAAGAGACATGCTTTTGTTTGCAAACCAACAGACGGGCATTGCCATAGACGCGATGGTGGCAATGCCCTCGAACAGCGTCGAGTAAGCTTGCTGGCTTGTCTGCTTGTCCCGCTGCCCGCGCACTAGGGGGTGGCTAAATTGCGTACTGACTCAAAGGCGCTTGAATCGTGAAGCGCCAATGTGGGCTCTTTGCCAATCTTGGTTAACATCTGCTTCTCGGGCCTACGGGAGTTGAGTTTCCCTGACGATCCAGAGATCCAGAGATATTAGATACGAGATGTTAACGAGTTGAACCCGATTCTGACTATGGCCCGACGCTATTCCCGGCTGGCGCCCTCCCTCCCCCGTACTCCGTACTCTGTTCATACCTAGGTAATAGTCTATTTCGCATCACAGCGCGATGGGTGATGCTGAGTCATCGTCTTGTTGAACTTTGCAAATGACTGACGTCTGGAGGAAGAGACGAGGTACGAGCACGAGGACCGTCGGGAGCATACTGGTCAAGTCAATATTGCCCTATAATACATAGTCTTATCCTTATACCGGGACATACTGCACAAGGCAATTATGCATTGGCCTTGAATCAGAAGTGATGCCTCGTGACTAAAAGCCTGACTTGCCAAGAGTTACCATGAGATCCAGATGTTGAAAAGACCTTTCACATCTCCGCTTACAAGTGTCAAAAGTGAGACAGGCTAGACAGGGACGATGACCACGCAAAGAGCATGCACGTAAATGTATGTAAATGTACGTAAGTATAGTTAGTACTCCGTACATGTGGAGGAGGTAAGGAATGGGCCACTCGCTGGCGGAGTTCAACCCGGCGTACCCGAGCAATTCGTATGATGCGTTGACGGTTGCTCAGTCTTCAAGAGACAAGCAGGTGACAAACTTAAAATGCAAAAAGGTCAGTTGTCTGCCTTATGCAAGTGCGCTATGCGAGGTACGGTACTGGACTAGCGCTAAGTGTATGTAACGACATCGGCGATCTTTACGCCTGTATGAGGCCCCAAGTTTGAAGTAAATCATGAGAAGATGGGCAAATTGTGAGTATAGAAAGTGATCAATACCCCCCCATGTATGCACTTTATGTGTCTTGAGAGACGTGGTGCATGGTAACTACTCGAGGATATGAAATCGACAAACTAGTGATAGACTCAAAAGGACAGAGCCGAAAACCCAGACGCATTCTGAGTTCTAGCTGGTCTGCAACAAGACGTTGCGTTGACTCAGGGACTAATAATGCTTCGTTATGAAACATATCGATATTGTGATTGTGCATCCATATACCGGTATGCTACCTGCAGTCTGAGTTTGAACCTAGGTATCCGTACGCAGTCAGGAAAAGTACTGCCAATAAGTCGAAAGAGAGGTGGGACCAATAAAGACATAACGTCGGGGACGCATGCTGCTACCATCCAATAACATAGACCACGCGCAGTAGAGTTTTCAGAAAGAACGGATATGAGATCGACAACTAACTGATGACGTTGAGCACTTCCGCTACTGTCGACAAGTAACAGTTGCAGTCGATCCTGAATTGGATTCAAGCTTGGAAACCAGGCAAGGTAACCAAATGGCGGATACAGCAAGAAGCGTGGGGGTATCATTTCGGAAACTGTACCAGGATGCTGCGGATCGGTTCCATGTCTAGACCGCAGACAACTCGTGATAACGGCATGCCAGCATGTCCTTCGATAGCCCGTGGACGGGACGCCTCATATTTTGCGATGCGGGGATGGCCTGCAGCTCTTAGACATTGAACGACAAAGAATCAAGAAATGTCTAAGCGGCGACAACAAGAAGCAATAGCCAGTACTGTACTGTTCCTCAGAGGAATCAGCAACTAGTGCAGTTTTCTCGAGGAATCTATAATTGCTTCTGAACACCCGGAGGTTGAAACGAGGAAATGTTGCGACTGCGGATGTCTCGAGTGAGGTAAAGATCCGCATACGCTATTGCACATGAATGGCTTTTTCTGCGACCGGCTTTTTCCATGCCGATGAATGAATGACTTTTGAGTCTGGACTCAGGACTCTGGACTCTGGACCAAGATTTTCAGGGCGGAGACTGGAGAGGGAACATCGTCGCTTAAGGCTGACCAAGCCCCTGTACATAACATTTTGGCAATGCCGAACCGAATAGGTGCGCATTGCCATTCGCGACGGTACCAAGCAAACAGAAGCGTGCTATGTACGAAGGCTACTCTTTGCCAGTACATGATTCGGCTTCTGGGTCGAGTTCAAATTTGTCTGAGTAAGTACGGAGTAAGGTAGTGTGGGCATGCGTTTTCATACTTGATATCCAAGCAAAAGCCATTCATGGGTCTAGGTTAAAGCTGGTGGCTGGCACACTGTGCAATCCTTGCTCTTGCAGCCGATACTGGGATCGCCCAACGACGGCGCAGATGTGCCTGTGTGTGTGTGTGTGTGTGCGCTTCCCGCTCCCTGTAGGTAGTGCCGCTGGTGGCCCCTGTGCCTGCGGATTAGACTGAATTGGTAGATACCTATCCGTACGGAGTAAATATTCCATATTACTTGTGAAAGATTAGGGTTGTTGGCCAGTGCTTCAACATGCCAATTAACAGGGGACCTTGAGGATTCTGCAGCTTGATGAGTGGCAGCACAGGTTGCGTCGTGCGTGGCCGAGAAACATGCACAGGCATGGCTCACCAGACCCAGTACCTAGATGTGCTATCCGTCGAGAGGAGCCAATTTCTTACTCTCCTTGCTCTCCTTGAAGCTAAACTTTAGCGGATCTGGCTGATGGATCACAGAGTTGACCTTGACCTTGACCAAACTGCAGGTCGTAGGTTGCAGGTTGCAGGTTGCATGTTAGGTTGCAGGGCAGGCTAACAAGGGAGCCGAGCCGTACCGCTCGCGTCCCGCCTGTACATCGTCCAAAGTCTACTTAATTGCAGTACCTTGGTCCACGTAAAGGTCGGTTTCGGCCGAGAACCTTTAAGCTTGTAGACTAAACTAAACTGACGCGAATAAGCCAATTTTTGACTGCGTAAAGCGACGATATTCCCTCAGGCAACAAGAGCCCGGCTCTCTTGTCAAGACTCAAAACTGTACAGTGCAGTACACAATCGGTGTGTTCGTGGCTGGATTGCGGGCGTTGTGACAGATACCGACCGTCCCCAATTTGTAGCGGGCGAGATATGTACTATACGTAGGTAGGTAAGTAGGTGGTTGATGTCTCTGAGTCTGTGGATGATGGATAAAGTAATCCGGAGACTGTATTGGAATCCCCTGGGGTGTGCGGATACGGAATAATTAACCACCTTCATAGATGTTAACTGATAATGGAAAGAACTTCTCCTACTGGGTCTTCCGGCAACAAAGGCCCTCAATGCCGTGTACCAATCAGTCACGAGCTTCCTTATTTCCACGTTGCTTTTTTGCAGGAACAATTGAACAACAAACTTTCACTACTTCCCTGTCTTGTCCAGGTCCAGGGCAGATGCCATGTAGGAAGGTTCAGCCATCATTCAGGGCAGTCAGGACTCCAGACTGCCTAGGTACTACTACGTACCTACCTAGGTATCGTCAGGTGGTCGGCCGAGCAGCTCCAGGTCCAGCCTTCCAGGCACTGGAGAGCAGTGGAGCCACCCACCTTCCGTAGGTTCATTTCACGGAGGCAAACAAATAGAGGCCCGCACGTGATTGGCCAGAAGTATCTCAGAGGGCGCCGGTATTGGCACAACGATGGGCCGAAACTCAAAAGCTGCCGCCGCTGAATCTTAGCCTCATCGTTCGCGCTGTCACCCGTCCGTCCCGTCATTTTCTAGGTATCAAGTGCATACCCCAACCATAGTTGATCTACGATCTCGCTCAACCGGTGGTCAACTCTCGTCTGCATACGGATACAGCTCACTAAAGTAAATTCGCACTGCACCTTGCTGCAAGTACCTCGATATGTACAGCACGGTACGTTACCGTCATTGCACTGTGCCACTGCCGCTGGCTGTAAGATACTGCTTTGGGCGATAGTGCATGGGCCAGTCCTGCAGGGTTGCACGTTTCGAGCAAAGCTTCCAAGCCCATGACCCCAAAACACCACTCATAGACCAGACCCATCTCGACAACGGGCACAAATCCAGTAATCGGGCTCCTGGTCTGGTGGTTGGTGGCTGGTTGGCGAGCAGGCGAACAACAAGACATACAGTCAGACGGACAGATGGTTGGTTTGGCTGGATGTAAGTACTGTACCTCAGCTGGTTGAATCATCAGGAACAAACACTAAAACACTAGTAGTACGGTACAGTACATCTGTATTATCATAATTGCCATCACCAACGTGCGTGAAGAATCGAGATCAGTTCCGACGGATTCTTAGCCGAATAGTCCTTGACATAGGCTCGTACCAGGGCACGTCAGGATATAGCAGCATCGTTCATAACACTTTGGCCAACCCCCGCTGGAATTCTGGAGAATAGTACATCGCTGCCGTTCTCACTCACCGCATCGGACCAGCGACTGGAAGATTATTTACATTTCTCTTTCGTGGTCGAGGTTCTGCGCGTAGTGCTTAATGAACGCACCAAAAAATGGTTTGCCAATTCGCTCTAGTAGACTCGGTTACGGGCTACCCATGGACCTCCATGCCGCAATGGCCGCATGGCAAAATGAACGGTCCGGCACGGAGCACAACCCACCTATCTTTAGCTTTGGAATTCAAAACCGCCGCTGATTAAAAAGCAAAAAAGATGATGCAATGAGCTTGGGGAGCCAGAAACACAACCCACAGCCAGGCCAGTCCCTAGTTGACTGCAGTAATTGCCGGATCTTTTGGTGTTTCCGGCTGGCCCCAAGGTCGGTCCAATCGTACCCTATGTCTCACCTTGATGCAAAGTACTGTCTTAATCGCCTCAGTCATGCATTTCTCGTGTTATTGCTTTTGGCTCCTTGGACTTTGGAGCAACTATTGGTTTGGGCTTGTCGAGCCCTCGCTCTGGGTCCACCATTGATTTCAGCCATCGTCTACTTGATCCCTGCCCCGAATCGGTTGAGTCGTCCCCTTCGTACGGCTCAGAGCAGAGCTGGCGTATCTCATTGCCCGATGATACTCAATCTGGATCTAAGGCGTTTGTCGTTATGGCTGCATATGTACACACAAGCTTTTCAGCTCTCCATATCGACAGCTAAGAGACCCATGCAAATATCATCTCCAAGAACCACCTCTGATTTGCAGCTCTTTAGCAGTTACGCCCCGTTCCTTTTTAAACCACATTCGGGCCCGTCTACTTGTGTGGGGTGTCGGTGCTAAGCGTGGGCCAACCGTCGTCTCTTCTCCCTTGACTCCCTTGACATAGGCCCTGTCAGCCCGCACAGTGGATCATGGGATTGGCATACAAACAAGACAGGAATACAGCTCAATTTGAGACTGTCTTGACCTTGACTGGCTAGCGTCAGATGCCCTCAACCCCGTACTGTGCGACACTGGCGATGATGGCCTTTCCTCTTCCCTGCCGCTTTCTCCCACACTTGGCGTCTTCGCCTGGGCGATAGCTGAATATCTCATCTGTTCTTGTCGAGCTGCTGTTGCTGCCACCACTACGAATACATCTTGGTGTTCAATCTTGCTAATATCTGTTGAAAGACATTCATTCGCACCCCTTTCATCCCCTGGACCCCTCCACCACTCAAACAGACATACACCTGGATAGTGGTAGGCCCGCTGAGATCGGAGACTTACACACTGCTACCTCCAGGCATCAAGTATTGGTCCTAGACCCCTACTGCTCGTTTGGTGTGTGTGTGCGTGTGTGCTTTGAAGCAAGCCCGACCCTGTCTGTTTCCATTCTAACTCATCCAACAGGTATTCATAGTGCTTTCTTTTCTTCCGTTGATTGAGAGACGCCCATCCCGGTATAGAAACGGCATGGGAAGCTGTCTCCCCCGAAGCTAAACCTTTGAGAAGAGAGACAACATTCATCTACAGAAGGTACCGGTAGTGCGGGGGCCTACCTTGGCTTGTCCCTCATTCCCCGGCTTTACACCTGTCCCAGTTCTGCAACCTTGTCATATCAATATCGTCCTCCTTTATCAATATCACAAATCTGCCACTCGGTTCGATCTTGCGTTGGCATCACCACCAGCCTTTCGTGCCGGCATCACTCAATTCTTCAATAACAAGGCAATATCACTATTTCGACTCCAGTCAATATCAGCAAACCTTTTTGATTCTGAGAAGAGGGACAGTTGCCTACATTGGAGTCCCTGGCTTGCATCACCCTCTTGAGGATTGCCGCACAGGAGCTCAGCTTCCCTCTTGGATTAAGAGAAATCGCTTACCTTCCTGCCTTTCACAAGGCGACAAAGCCATCCCAAAGTCTCTGGTCGTTTATTTGGATTAGACCTAGTCGGCAACACTTCAAATTCAGTAAACTCTCGGCCCTTGCTATTGGAATTTTTCGGCTGGCGTACAAACTCGACCGAAAAATTGTCAGGGTATTACTTGTCCAGATAAACATCCTTCAAATACCTCGTTTACGACGCCCTTGGTTCATTGGCGACGAGGTCTATCAGATCATCCGGCTCTAGTAGCACATCAGTTTCGGAACTTACGATACCCATATTCTCTAGAGGTTACCCCCCGGTACACCTTTTACTCACCTCCATCCTATTCCCGCACCCATTCCCAACAGTCAACTAGAGCCGCAAGACTCGCTGGAGTTTGACCAGAAGCAAAACCACTTTGACCGGCCAGCTGCTTGAGTCCTCAACTGCGTATTACTGACACTCTTTATCATATATAGTTTTTGTTTGAAGCGACTACTGTTAAAAGAGTGGTAAAGACGTATAATTTCAAACCGGCAGTTCTTTATTGCGAGGCGCAGTCGTCTTAAGACGAACAGGCCTTTTCCAACCCTAAGTCCCATTATTTGTTGAGTTTAAATCTACGCCCGGCCTGTTGCTCTGCGACTGTCTATAGTTGTCCTTGACTATCGACGGTCAGCTTCAACAAACAGCACCGGCAAACAATCACAAACAACATGGTCAGAGAATGGCCGAGGGAGTCCTTCTCCCGCCACCCTCCTCACCCTTACCTGCCGGAGAGGTTTGTTAGTGAGGTGGTGGAGGATAACCGTTTTACGGAGACGCAAGACATGCATCGCCGACAGCCCCCAATGGTAGTCAATCCCAGATTCTATATGTTGAAGTACTCGCTGACGTGAAACTCAAGCAAATTGCCGAAGCTCTCCGGAAAGATTGTGGGATATCGACCCGACATTACTTTGTGGCTGTGATATTGGATGATGGAACCCCTCAAACATTCTCCGGACCTGGCACCTCAGGACTTCGCAGTGGTTACGAAAAACAATTCTTTGATATGGACAAGTTCACAAGAGCTATGGACCGTTTAGAATCTGGTTGGTGAAATTCCGACTTGCTTCGAACCCAAGGCTAATGAATAATTAGGAGTAAGCCCTGTCGTCAATGATGATTTCGCGTTTGACGGATACAAGCAATCTATGGAGTTCCCCCGAAACCGCATGATGGACCGTCGACGGTTGTCACAATTCGATGATTGGGAAGCACCAGTACGACAAGGCAGGAAGAGAGCTCGAGCCCGACACGCTATCATTGATGAGGACGAAGCCCCCATGACTGTATCAGCAACGACCAGGAAGAGTATTAAAATCGGAAATCCTGATGACGTTTGGAGCTTTTATGAACAGCGATTCAAGAATTGCCAACAGACGGCGTGCAAGCTTATTGCGAAGGCATGGGTCAAAGCCGTGGAGCCGAAGAAGCAGTCCACGCATCCATACACAGGAAGCGACGAAAAGGCGCCAGATTGGTGGCCCAAACCTTGGGGACCAACAAAGGAGGATAGGGTTCGCCATAAAGAGCCAGATCATCTATACAAGCGAGGTAATACTTGGACAACATGTGCTACCACTCCCGTATGCTAACAAACAGCGAAAATAGAACGAGTCCATCTACTCAATCACATCCTCAGAATGATTGTGGAGCCAAACAACAGGCAACATCCTGACATTCAAAAGTTGAATTTGAACGTGAAGAAGCTGGAAGAGATCACCATCGAAGCTCTTTCCGGCTTTTTCGCCGACAAAGAAAGCCCTGCCAACGCAAAGAAGCGACCTTTCTTGAACGAGATATTCAGAGTGGCCAAGCAGGAAGAGAGGTTCAAGAAGGAGGAGATCGGTATGGCACAGATCAGTAAACTAGGCAATCAGAGTACTAATGCGCTCCAGATGGGACAACCGAGGTCTACGTGATGGCGGACGACAAGATTCCCGATTCGTACGCATCGGGCAACGACGACGACGGGCCTATACCCAAGGAAGAAGACGACCAGGATGTGCCACCAAACAAGATAGCTGCAGTCCATGGTCTGATACCCTCGGCGTCGAGCCATAGCACCGGCACATCACTGCACGGAACACCCTTTCTTGGTGGTGAGTTGCCTGTACGAGGCAACCAGTACACCCCGTCCATGATGCAAGATATGGCACAGGATCAGCACGCCTTCGTCGAAAATAACAGTCTTCCCGTAAACGGTCAACCTGCGGTTCATCCTGCTGGCGGTAACCTCGCTATGGATATGGGCGTGCCTCCTTCGCATGATTCCGGTCGTCGGTCATCCATCTTCAGCACCCAAACAGAGTACGGAGGACAGAATGGCACAGCAATGTACACTCAACAGTGGCAAACCGGTTCCACCGCACCCAACTCGTCGTCTATGTATACCTTTACGCAACAGCCACCGAACCCACCCGCGACAGCATTCGTCAGTCCTGGTGTTCCGTTAACTCAAGCGCAGCCGTACATGAACGCATCATTTGACGGACTAACGCGCGGATACGACCCTAGTCAGTCTACCATGTTCCGCAACGGAAGTGTTCCACAACAACCTCAGGTACACCCGGCCCAAGGCTACGACTACATGTCCCACGATAACAGAGGACTTCCCGGTATAAAGGTTGATGATGTCCCTCGGCACGCAATGCATTAGCCTGTATCAGGCCAACCACATTCCACCCCTCTTATATACAGTTTGAGACAGACTCTCATTCTTCTTTCGCGGTTAGACAGTGCCCATGATGATAGGCCTGGTTAGACAGCACAGGTCGCCCAGAGACAAACTACGCAATGGCTTATAAGAGCCTCCATGTTCCTCAGTTTACATCTTACTCAATACAGGTGCCAGGCTAGCACCTCTCTCGCTTGAACCCTTTAGACGGTGGGCGGTTACGATTGCCACATGATTCGATACCCAAAATACATTTTCAAGGACGATCTCGGGACGGCTGGATTGATTTATGCGTGTATCCGCATTATCTTATTGGAGATATTTATGCTGTGCGTGTTGGCATTTCGGATCTTGGATCCTGTTTAGTATTTCTTTTGGCGTGCATTGGGACCCATCTGGACTTCAACATGTTCCAGGTGATCAACTGCTACCGAGCTTTATTGATGCTTGGTAGCTATGAAGTTGTTATGTTAACGACTAGAAACGCGATGACGAGTAATGGTGGTGAATGCATTGGCCGGGTGTGGTCCATCTAGCGCAACCTGCGTGGGCGATCATTTCGAAGTGGACAAAGACGGTCATGGAGCAGACAAGCTCACTAAAAGTCCTCATATGCAAGGACTGTTCTGGCATTCCAAAGCTTAAAGAGGTCATTCAAAAGTGACCTACAGCGGGGTCTATTGATATTGCGTTGCAAGTTTCAGCTTGTGCTTGCGTGTTCCGCGTGTATATCGGGTGTGTATAAGGTTCAGTTCTGATAAGCATCGAACTCAATGGATGGATGGGAAAAGAGGACGGACCTCAAAATGAACATTATTGGATGGTCTATTGTATGGGAACATAAGCATTGAATGGATGAGATGAGTGCAATGACGCTGAAGTAGGTCATATCGATCTGGAGGTCTAGAGGTCATAATACTCACGACGATATCCAGGCCAAGAGGGCCTTACCTTGCGTTTTAACGCAATGATAATAATTTAACTAAATCAATATTGTCCCCAACGGGCGAAGTTTAATATTGGGAGCATAGTCCCAGGTGGTGACCTGGTATGCACCCAGCATACTTGACTTGTATCAGTTAGCATCACAGGTAACAGTCACAGCTTACATTAACACCCTGAAGAGTCACAAGTACCGACACAGGCATACCGGAGCAAGAAGCCGTTCTATCAACTTGTCTCAACACCAAAGCTAACGTATCATATTAAACCATGAAACGGACCCGTCACCTTAACTATCTGCTAACCTAGGAGTGATTCCATCCACCAACGCCAAGCTACGTAAAACTATCAAATCAGTTCAAAGATAGCATATCTCATACCAGGAGACTACTCATGTGCACCAAAAAGGCGCCTCTTGATACTCTCTTCTCCCCTGGCTTCACAAGACTGCTATTCCCGAGTCCCACGATTAAGGGCAAAAATATCAGTTGAAAACACACGAACCGATCTGACCGACAAATACCTGGGAGAGTATTTGCGAAGGGTAGAATTAGACAGGGTATACTTTAGAAAGCGGGAGGGTGTGATATAGGAGGATATGCCAGCGAAGGAGGCTTCTAGCTCGATGTAGTGGTGGCTATGTTCTCCTCTTTGGGCTGTGGCGGCTCAAGACCAGCATTCTGTGCCACTCGCTTCCAGGTCTCGAGTTCGCGATAGAGGCGCTCACACTCCTGCTTGAGTTTGTCATTGGAAGCACTCAGTTCAGTTATGGCCTGCTCCGTAAGCAGTTTCTCAAGTGTCCACTTCTCAATGTTCTGTTGCTCGTTCTCCTTTAGCTGAGAGATGAAGCTGACGGCTCGCTGGAGGATGGATCCCTTGTTCTTCTCGCATCCAGGGACAATCTTAGCAAGCTCGTTTATGCCTTCGTTGATTGTTTCACGGCGGCGACGTTCCACTGCATTATGTCAGCCGATACGGTAATGGGGTAGATCAAGTTACCATACCTTCTTTGTGATTATCTTTCCGCATCTTGTGCCACTCTTCTGATCCCACGGTCGGCTTCGGATTGGGAGCTCCGGGATTATACCGTGGGGGTTGATGTGGAACACCATTAGGTGGCGTGTGTTGATGCTGAGGAGCCACTTGGGGAGGCTCCATGATGCCGTCAACTGTTGGCGTCACATCGGGATTAAATGATGTATCATGGCCGTGATCAGGATCAGTCGCGACCTGAGCTGCGAATTGTTCTTCCGTGGAGGGGGGGATATTCATGGTAGGATACATGCCAAGCGCAGCCTGCGCAGTGCTGGTAGCACTGGTGGGATCCGGGGCTTCGGTATGGTCATGATGATCATGATGATCGTGGTGATCGTGGTGATCGTGGTGATCGAGATCGGCTTGGGCAGCCTGCTGCAGAGCATTGAAATCGGCAACATTGACGCCATTTGCATTGACAGTCTGGTGCTCCATGGCACTGTCGATGAAAGAGGCGGCATCGGTAGACATGTGGGCAGCTGGCGCAGGGCGCTTGTTCCTGGACAGATCAGGGCTGCCGGATTCACGCTTCCGCTTCTGACCGGGGGAGCCGGTCAGGCTGGAGAGGTCGGGCTGTTCGGAAAGGACTTCAGCCATAGTTCAGTCGTTATAAAGCGAAAGGCGAATATCGAAAATCAAGTGGTCTTGGCAGATGGGGTTTGTTCGATCAAAGCGCTCGCCAAAATGAAGGCCTAGTGCAAGGTTTGACGATGTCGAGGCCACAGATGAGAGACGTTGACAATCAGTCAAAGATCTGAGTAGGGAGGGCAGTTAGAATAAACTTGCTGCAATGTTAAGATTTGGGTAGATGAAGTGTAAGAGAAAAGAGAAAGGAGATGCGGCTGGTTACAGGGCAAGGAATCTAGCATCTGTTGCTTCCTGTGTCAACTAAAACACGTGAACATGAGATGCGTTAGCCTCATCGTTGATGAAGCAGATCCTAATGCTTTGAATAAGAAAGATGTGGGTAGAGGGAAGGAATCCATATGCCATATGCTGAGTGCATCTCGCTTGAGCTTTGGTGGTTTCTGAATACCAAAAGTGAAATAGCGCATCGCGACAGGTGTCACGCGTGAGGCCAAGTCAGGATGAGACGATGCGCCGTTGCTGATTCAGCCAAGTTACTGTAATCAGGATGAGGGACTCTTGAAGCGAGTGAGAAGATTACTGCAGCAAGAGATGTGACGGTCGCGACAGTGATCGATTGAAGATGCGGCCACTTGGCCATGCCAGATGTTAACGTTGATGCAGATGCATAGGCAGAGGCATCACATCGCGTTTCGAGTCAAGGGAGATATTATGCGCAGATATTTTCCAGGACCAGATCAAAGTCAGGGAGGCAGAAGAAGAAAGTGGATTGTTGCGTTGGGCCGATCATGTAAACGAAGACATCGTGAAATGAATGAGATGCATAAAAGCGACATACCTCCCAGATCATGTGCCTTGAGGCGTGCGAGATCACGAGTTTCTCGTCTCACGTGTTTGGCGGGATCTACCTCGTGATATCGCGCGAGTCCCAGTTGATAAGTCAACAAGATCAAGTTTCGCGTTGTCAACTCCAGTCTAAAATGACAAAAAAGAGTAAGAGATGGAGGTGACAGGTCCTGAGCTTCCGATACGCGTTTGGATCAGAGAAAAAAAAAAGAAAAAGACGCGAGACTCTTTAAGTTACGAAAGGGGAAGAACAAGGAGACTGAATCTCTCTCCCCCAGGTGGGCGCCTCTGGAGCTGGTAGCTGGGAATCGGGAGCTGGAGCTGGGAACTGGCACTGAACGAGTCGGGTCACGCGGCGGAGGAAGAGGGTGAACACGTGCAAGTGGGTGAGGCTGGTGAGATAAATAGGTTGACGCGAGCGAGAGGGGGTCTGGATGCCTGAGGCCGAAGGAAGTGGTAGCAATGAGAGGGCGACCAATGGGAAGGCCAGGTGGGCCACATATGGTCTGAGATGGATGGCAGTTGCCCAGGCTTGCCAGGCAGACCAGGGAAGGTCAAAAGGCGTAACAAATGAGTAAATGAATGTGGAAAGTGCTATTATGATACGAACATGAGGGATCGCCTAAGTTTCATGGTAGGTAAGTACTACCTAAGTTATCCTAAAGACAGATGCAATAGGTCCTCGTTTAGTAGGTACCTAGTTGCTGTCTCTCTATAGGTACCTATAGTACCTACCTCTGGCATAATTACAATAGGTACAATATTTTCGTAAGCAATCTCAGCTCAACACTACCTACCTAGGTAGGTAAGGTAGGTAGGTTAGTACCTAGGTACCTTAGTACCTTAGTAGTAGGTACCTTCCCGGACTGTAGGTACTCGCGAACCAAAATACTAACCAACCTACTATCTTACCTATCAAACAGACATGATAGTCTCGTTTTCTCTTCCCCCATGACACTAGGTACTTATCTTACAGTAAGGTAACTTGGTAGATTATCTTGTCAACCTTTGCTCAATGCCCTCGACCTACAACACACTCATTTGGGAGAGCCGTTACACTGCACAGACCAATCAAGAAACCCTACCGCACGTCTTTCCCCCCAAGGATGGATACAACCTACTTCACAACACACCACCCGACACCACCTGAACAAGGGGAGCAGGTATCAACTGATCACCTGATCCCACCTACAGGCATCACTTGACGCTGCGAGGTGAAACAGGTTGCGTCCTTAGATATCTGCGACAGCGACAGCGACAGCGATAGAGACAGGCGATGCGACCTAGACTCGTCTCGTCTGACACGGACGTACAGACTGCAGAGTACGCCTCATCAGCTTGGCCTTGCAATTGACATGAAATTGTGAATCATGGCAGTCTATGTACTGGAGAACATAAGGTGGAGTCTGTCTCCGACGAGGCAGGTCAATATTGGCTTTGTTGAAGGGCTTCTATTCGTCTAGATGAACCAAGGACAGGTGCCACGGCAAGATTCGAACCAGTACAGAATAGAGTACGGATCGATGCGCTGCGACCAAGGTCCTTTTGATTGCGCAATACCCTGGTCCTTCGCCGTAAATCATATTTGCTTCCTGCAGCCAACCGACCTCGGTGATTATGAATGGGTCCATGGGAGTTCATGCCAGAGACATATTGTCATACCAAGGGCAGGCTGATCACGAATACCAGTGGTATTGCAATACAATCTAAAGATCCGCACTCCTTCAAACAGGAGGAAACACGTGGCTTAATTATATAGTGTGTCAATACAAACCAAAGCTGACGCTTACATGTATTCATTCACTCACTCATTTACAGAGTACCTTAGTACTCATATTTCTGTTCATATTCTCCTTCTGTCTGCATCTTCGCTTACAGCGGGAATTCATATCCAAAGACGGGGCCCCACACGCCCATGTTCCGAGCGTGGAGGGTCATGTACGGCCCAGGTACGTACCTTATCAACCCATCCACTCCCGTCATGACATGCATTCAAAGCAACCCACTTCACTTTGACTTCACTTCACAATAACGTCAAGCGATTACCGTCATCGAAGCATTTATTTCTGTCCCTCCAAGCCCATATCACGTGTGACTTACATGGGAGAACTCACTCTTTAAACTAGCAAAGCCTTAGCTACACAAATACATATTGAAAATGGGAGACCACGGGCTCTCTCAGATTAAACACAACGAGCATCTACTGCTTGTAAGTCCACCTACCGCAACATCACCGTCTCCTACTAACAGCCAACACCAGGACCAACCACTCCTTCGCCTCCCCTCCGAACTACTCCGAAAAAACTTCCGCACTGCCCATTTCACCATCGAGAAAGACACCACCGCCCTCAAAACATTACTCAAAGACTCGGCTACCGCCGCTGTCTCAGGTCGTCCATCCCAACAAGATGTCCTCCGCAACATCGATACCATGGTTGCTCGCATGCGCGGGCTGAAGCGCAAACTCCACGCCAGTGCTTCTGAGGAGGCTCGCTTGCACACACAAGCCGCTGCTCGCATCTCTCATCTCGATGAGCTCTACAAGATAGACACTGTGGAGGATGTCAAGTATGAAACATGGAGCAGAAAGAGGCTAGATCGACTTTTGGCCGACTATTTACTTCGCCATGGTTACAATGATACGGCAAAGGAGCTGGCGCAGCAACGTGGCATCACAGAGCTCGTCGATATCGAAACCTTTGTTGCTGCTAGCCGCATTCGAGAATCCCTCTTGAAAGAGACTGTCACGGAAACTCTGGCATGGTGCACTGACAACAAGAAAGAGCTTCGCAAGATGGAGGTGCGATTCCCCCTCGATGTATTTGTTATTAGGACTATGCTGACATACTGCAGAGTAAACTCGAGTTTATGCTTCGCTTCCAGCAGTATATCGAATTGGTCCGTTCTCAATCCTCAGACAAGCTCGCCGAAGCTATTGCCCACGCAAAGAAGCATCTCATTCCGTACCGGGCTACCTTTCCTCGGGAGGTTCAGCAAGTGTGTGGCTTACTTGCCTTCCCACCAGGCTTATCCGCCTCTACAGCGTACGGGGATCTCTACAAGCCTTCGCGCTGGGCTGATCTCGCTGATATATTTACAACAACACACAATCAACTTCTCGCCCTTCCTGCGGTACCGCTTCTTCACGTTGCGCTCTCTTCTGGCCTCTCAGCTCTCAAAACACCCGCGTGCCACGCCCACTCCGTGACATCATCAGATAATTCATCTACTAGCCATACGACCAGCTCGTCCGATATAGCGGCTACCGCTGCTTCAACGCTCGGCCATGGCGTTTGCCCTATCTGTTCTACTGAGCTCAACGAACTCGCCCGTAACGTGCCATACGCACACCACACGCAAAGTCATGTCGAGCATGATCTCAGGCTGTTGCCCAATGGTAGCGTATACGGAAGGGATCGCCTGGAAACGCATGCACGGAAAAACGGACTGCCTCCAGACCAGATTAGGGATCTGCGGACTGGCGAGGTTTTTCCTATTGAGACACTCAAGAAGGTATACATTACGTAATGCATATGGCCTTGAGTACTGGCTAGGCGTAGGTGGGTTCGGTTCTTTTGGGAAGCATCTGTATATTCGTTGCCTTGACTTGTTCGATTGTACATCACGAAATCACAGCGATCACACTGCCCTAGACATATCGTAGTTATTCATATCCAAACTGCATGCACTGCATAAGCGATTAGGACAATACATATAACTTTACAAGAGTCAAATTCAATGTGCCAACTCCCCATGTAACCATACAATACAGCATACACCAGCGGCGCCGACACCAGCTGAACATAGTGCACAAACCAACCTAACCACCCTCCCAACCGTGTCTTTCCTGGTCCCTATTTTCCCTGTTGATTCCCCTGGAAACCGCCTGACTTCTTGTATCAAAAACGTGAAAACCTCATGGAGAGAGTATTGGAGCGGCAAGTAAAAAACAGCATGATACCAAAGCAATCGTCCGCTGGGTCCCGTCCGCTTCATACAAAAGTACCTCGGCTTTATGGTATAGCGAACGGTTATAAGATGAAAAGTATAGGTAAAAGGCAAAAGGGGCACAATACAAGAGGCACAAAACGCATTAATACTATCGGCATATTTCATGGCCTCGCGGGACACGCTCCTCATCGGTTTCCGCCAAAAGCAAAGCTCCCAAATACACCGCCGCCTCCTCCGGGAGTCATAGGCCCGTTATTGATGATACCGTTATGGCCTTGGGGTCCAGGGGTAGTAGCCAGTCCAACGCTCGTAGTGTTGGGCGTGCTGGGTCCGTTGCCATTTGTCTGGCCGTCGTTGCCGCCTTGTTGGTTCATCATCGGCATCACCATACTAGAGTTCGAGTCAGGGAAGCCAAGACCCCAGACCTTGCCGACGTGCTCATCAGGGATGTCACCAGCAAAGATCTTGTCGCGCATAGAGAAGAAGACCTTTCCAGTGAGCAACGAATCTGAGCCTGCTTGGTGAGCTGAACCGACACGCTTAATCTTGAGGGTTTCGGCAATATTTTCAAGCCCGGATTTGTGCTCAAACTTTTGCAAAATCTCAGCGCTGCTGGGATCATTGGGTGTAAGAAGACCGGAGTTGTGCAACCTGATAGCATGCTTCATAAGATGCTTCACGTCGTATGTCGTAGGGAAATAGAGCTTCATCTTGTAGTCAAAATCGACCTCGTCATTGGGCAAGGGCAGACAGATCAAGAGCTTGGTGAGGTAGCCAAAATCGTAACCGCCGTGGAAGGAAATCCATCGCACGTTGTCAAAACACACGAGACCTGAAGGGATGAGGAGTGAGGCAAATTCGTGAGGGTCGATTCCGTCACGTTCGAGCAGATTGAAGTCGATACCGGCTTGCTGAAGTGATTCGATCGACTTCTCATTATACATGTCGTCCTTGAGAGAGAATTTGAAGTTGAACTGCCATGAACAAGGGAAAGGAGTATTCGCTGCTGCCCTTTGAGCAGCTGTGCCAAGCTTAAGGTCGGTCGTCGGTCGTGGGGGCGGGGTTTCGCCGTCCTCATTGAAGAATGTGAGGCCTATTTGGATAACCTTGAGCATGTCGACGTTTGTTCGTAGGCATTGGTAATGGTAGTCGCTCTTCCCCCTGAATCCTCCCATAGGTCTTGAAACCACACCCGGAAATTCAGTGTCCTTTTTACGACTATTAGCAAACGTTCATAGATGGAGCTTGCTCTTCAGCCTTACCATAGCAATATAGGGATACTTATCTACCAAATCTCGCAGCACAGCCATTTCTTCATGCAGGTTATGTTTCCAAACTTCCCGTATTCTGCCCTTGTTAGGATGCGACCTGATGCCGGGGTGTTCCATCAACATGCTCTGGTGAACTTGTCCATGCTGTGGTTGTAGTGCAGCAGCAGGCCCACCATGAAAGCCCATCCTAGCGCTCTGACTTCCAAATCCTGTGTCGGCAAATCCTTGGCCATTTAGGCCTGCTGTGTTGAAGGCATTGCTACTAGCAGCTGAGAAAGGCCCCATTGGCGCATTGGCATTCAGGTACTGGTTTGCGCCCAAGTGGCCACCCTGCGGTTGGGCATGAGTAGGAAAACCACCTTGATGATACGGCGCTGCCACAGCAGGCCCTCCGCCGAAGCCCCTAAGTTGCGGCGGCGGCATGTGGTAGTTTCGGTTGGAAATGTTGGGGAGGGCGTAGTATTCGGGTGTAGAATTCAAGGACGATCGATAATATAGGGCGTGCTGATATTCGATTCTTCCGCGGTATTGTTGGGCTGAAGTACTTTGAGGAGGATGGTCGAACCCAGGAGTGTTCTGACCAGAATTTGGCTGCGCACCAAAGGCTTCGGGTGCTTGGGGCGGGGGGAGACTCTCGGACGAATTGGCTTGCCGCTGGTTCTAACGCGATCTTTGAAAATAACCTGAGCTTTGGGGGGAATACGTGTTACTTTGATAGTCGTGGATGTTGTTCATTGAGATAGTATAGAGAAAATCTATGGGGTTTCGATAGTCTCCTGCAACTCAAATTGGGTGTCTGCGATGGCCAAGGAGGTCATCGAAAGCTCGTAGCGTAGTTGTGTTGTTGGCGGGTGGTCTATCTGGTACCACGTCGAATAGTGGAGAGTCGAGTAGGTGGAGGAGTGACGATAGAGATATGCGCCAGGGAATATTCGTCCGACAGTAGAAAGCCCAGTTCGCTCGTTCCCCTGATGCTATCCGTAATACTTTCCCCCAGGTTTTATAGCTAGTGATAAGCGTAAAGAAAGTGGATTAAAAGCTTCAATAAGTGGTTGCTGGCATGAATACTTCCGCAGTAAACCGTTGGAGGGCACTGCGCAGGTGAGGAGGGCGGGAGGAATCGCATGGCCCGTGCATCATGTCGGAGGGACCGGCCTACTTTGATCCGATGCTTCGATTGTGCGGAAGATCCCCAGTTTTAACTACAGTGACGGGGAGAGAGAGCCAGCATCACTAAGGTCGAATTGGCTCGCTCTCCATTCGCCCATTTCATTTGTCGTCAGATCCAACCACCAGCCATAATCTCTCTCCTCCAGCCCACGATGCTTGCCACGAGGTACGACGCGTGCTCCCACTGCTGCTGCTGAGGCAATTGGCTTCTGCTATCGACGAACATGAACCTGCTTTGCTGACTGTTGCGACATGTAGAGTGCTACGAGCCGCCGCGGGCGGACCCAAGCCCAACATCACCGGCTTCAACATGCGGGCGTTCCAAGCATCTACCGGCCAGCCTCGATACGACCCCTGGGAGCGAAAGTCCGTAACCACTTCTCAATAACAGTAGTGCCATATGCAGGGCTTGTTGTACTGACTCTCTTCTCAGTGAGGCCTGGCGATACCAGGGCCCTTACACCCGCTGGAACCGTCTCAAGAGCGGTTTCCCCGGTCTCGGCATCGCGACAGTCGCCTTTACCGCTTACTGCGGTTATGAATATTTCTTCCTCGAGGATGAGCACCACCACGGCGAGGCGCATGGCGAGGAGCACCACTAAAGTGATCATGTACTGGGAGACAAGGAGCGGGGAGAACTAGAATGCAACAATCGAGAGGTGAGAAGTTTTGTACATATACCTCGTGGAGCGAGAAGATTTTGATCAGATTACGGATCCATCAATCAAAAAACGAAATATTTAAAGCAAGTCCTGAAGAAAGCTGACAGCTGGGTGATGTCAAAAAGTTGCCGTGGAATTGAAGCGGATTGGAGCGGTATTGTATCAGTGAGTTGGATGTCAGCGTTGGTCAAGGTGCCGCTATAGCGAGTCTCAGTATATAATGAAGATATGTGTTGCACAATTACGTGTAACGATCATTAGCATATCCAGAGACTCATACAGTTATGCGTCTCATCCTGCTCCAACAGACATCGGCATCAACGATACATACGGAAAGCTTGGCAAAATTTAATCAAAAGGTTCAAGTTGGCTCAATTTAACAGTTCAAACCTGATAAATATGAGGAAGGTATATCTGGAGACTGTCCTGTCTCATGCTAATGAAGGTAACAATTGGTCTTCAGACCTATACAGAATGGTATCAAATGCCCAGAAACGCCGCCTTATCCCCAGTTTGGCCAAAAATCCCAGAACTCCAATAAATGAATAGACCATGCAAATTCGTCCAATGAGTACGATGCTATCGTAACGCCATTTTTCCTGTACAACATTGCAGCTGCGTGCCTGTCAGAGGTCTCACGTTAGGTCATCACAACTATGGTCACTGCTCAAAGCTGTGTCATAAGCCAAGACCATTAACGACATCAAGCGCACCCTCCACGGCTGTCTCTAATTCTTCCACTCTGTCTTTGAGTCCCTTGTTCTCGTCCTTAAGGAGACTGACTGTGTCCCAAGCCACGCTGGCAGTTTGTCCTTGGCAATTGAGGCATGTTGTGGTGCTTGTGGGCTGAACCTTCTCACTCGATATACCTCGAATGAGTTTTTGGAATGTGTTCATCTGAGGATTGCTGTTTCGCGCAGCCCGGGGAGGCTCGAGCGTGGCGGGCTTAAACTGGGCGGCGGGCGCTGTGGTAGGGCTGATTTCCGATACGCTGGTGCAAATGGTCGGGCTCCGGGATCGAGAGAAGACGCTGGCCTCATCTACACTCTCATCGTCAGACGACGTAGAAGTACTCTTGCGCCAACGTCTCAGCCGGTCCTCATCAATGCCTAGGTCTTCCGACACAGTTGAAGCTGCTGAATTGACAATTTCTTTTCCACCGTTGGTCGGCTCGTCTGTACGATCCTTCTCCAGTGCTAATTTGTTGAGCAGGTACTCAATCATGGCGTCACGCTCCGCCATCAAGATAGCTTGCTCCTCCAGCTGCTTCTCAAGCTGCTCAACTCTGGTTTCAGCTTCGCTTTTATTGAAACTTTGGATATCACGTTCAGCCTGGAGATCCTTGAATTCTGCTGTACGCTGCTCATAAGCAGCCTGGAATTTGCTCAACAGACCGGTAGCGTTCATCTGCAGATTCTTGAAAGCGGAAGGCGAGAATGCTGTTCCGTCCACAGGAACGCCATTAGGGAAAAGGGCTTTTTCAATGTCGAGGTTCATCAGTGCTTCGTTTTGTTCTTCTGATGGGGAAGCAACAGCCGCAGAAGAAGTAAGGGAACCAAAGAAGTTGAACCGAGACGAGGTTGGTGTTGAAGCTTTGGAGGCCGACGATGTGCTACGGCGCCTGGGTTCCGGAGCATCTATCGATACAGGCGATGGTGCGTTGGGACGTGAAAACCAAGTTGGGAAACGATTTCGAGGGACTTCCTCTGTGACAGCAGGCAAGCTTGACCGAGTTCTGGCAGCAGTAGGGCTCTTGTCACCAGTGAATGACATGTCGACAGAAAGAGACCTGGGTTGGCCGTTGGGAAGCCTATAAAGCTGTGATTCGATGTCGAAGTTGCTATCGTTCAAGTTGATGGAGTGACGCAAAGGTGATTGGAGTTTGGGTGAAGTAGGCTCTACATGAAAGCTGGTGTCGTGAGTCCGTACGGAAGAGCTGGGAAGATGATGTGTTGCAGAAGGAGAAGTCAACGAAGGAGGAACGGTAAGGTCTGAATTGGGCGTCGAGTGAGAAATGGTGGGAGTCCTGACAGCCGCTGGAGAGAGACGGAGGGAGGTTGTTTCTGATAAAGTGTTCTTTATGGGCTTGTTTGTCAGAGCAGCTCGTCTCCGGGCGGTGGAAGCGCGAATACTGGAGCCATACGACGCAGGGGAGCTCGGCCCTGTTAGACGCGAATGATATTCGATGGGGAACTGTCCATGCTCCTCCTCGGCAGCTCGATCATCAACGAGCCCCTGGGGATCCAGAGGCTGCATAATTGCTGGCGTTTCGGTTCCAAGGGGTTTGGGAGATTTGATGGAGCAGGGATCCAGAGAAAAGAACCCAGTTAGACCTGCACCAGAAGGACGCTAAAACTGGTGATCGTGTTGACACTTGAGTCTGAGAGGGATAGACTATTGGGTGGAGACGGTAGACGTCGATTGTTTGTTTGTGTCGTGTCAAAAGGTAGGCGAACAAATTGGTGAAACAGTCGTATCGTAGGTCGATGGAGGAGGAGGAGAGGTTTATGGCGGATGAGGAGGGCATAGATAATAACCTTAACACCACATCCTCGTGCGCGTGGCCGTGGCCGGGTTCGGCTGGAGGACACAGCACCACACAACAAGAACCACACAAGAATAAGGCCCTCCACGAGTGGAACTCTGGATACCTATGGTTGGGTCGGGGATGGCTAGAGAGTCAGAAATGCTAGACCAAGGTTGCCAAGTTCCATTTCTGTCATTGATTGGGGCAAGTTGAGTGGTTGGGTTGTGGATTTGAGGGGTCCTTTAGCGGCTAACAAACTTGTACCGATCGGGCACTTCTACAGCCACCCGTCGATCTAGCTCCGAAGAAACAGGACAATGAGGCAATCTACAAAGGATGAGCGTATCTACATTACTGGGCAAGACGTTAAGTTGTCTCTGAATCTTTTTCCGGAAAAGACATTGCTTAATGTCGTCTCACAGTGTCTTACTACCAAGTTTTGGCGAGCAAGCCAGCCGAGCTTGGTAACGCCATAGCGTCGATCCCTGAACGCTGAGGAATGTAGACACGCGCCACTGCCTCCAGCAGCACTTAATTACTGTGGGTTTGTGAATTTGTCTCCTAGGCTTTGACGTAGCTGGAGGTTGGTCTGGTCTCGCCCTACGTAGACAGTACGTAGGGACTCCATAGGTAGAGGGCAATACGGTAGTTGGCTGCTCCAGGGAACTATGTTCAATCCATATCGGAAGTTAGAACTGCTCAAGGTTTTTAACTCCCTTAGTGGGATCGATATTCCCCTAATCTTGAATCCCTGGAACAAAGCCCATGATAATACCGCATGTGGTCAACAAGACTGAGGAGGTTCAATACTACCTAAAGTATCCGTACCTACCCATAAATCATGCAGCATTAATTGCTGAATTAATTACCTGCATAGCACTACTGCGCAAAGGATCCCTTCCCGAGGGAGCGGCTTCAACGCTTACCCCTGCACGTCCCCGAGCCCCCAGGGAACGGGAACGGGAATGGGAACCTGCAAAAACGCCAAAAGCAAAGTTAGGACTGTTAGGTTTCGTTGCACATACGCAGTACCATCTCAAACTTTTCTCAGCATATCCATCCTCCAGCCCACGAGCCTGGTCAAACTCAGACACCTCTTGGCGGATCTAGGCCCATTTCCTACCCTACCTGGTCAGGCTAGTCCCTTATTGAATCTCGTCCTAGAACAGGAACAGAGTTTCGACCCGGCACGTTGATAAACTTGGTTGCCACCATCTCTGGTGCCTTGGGGTTGGTCTATTGGTCTTAGCCGGTTTTTAGCCATTCAAAATGATCAGACGAGTTCGCTGTGGCGTCAAGTTGCCTCCTCCATCGCGAAGTTGTGAATGGCCAGAGGGTTTGGTAAAGTCAGTCTCGGCTCATACAGTGGTCCGCTTTGGGTCGACTTTGATGGCGGGGATGAATTAGAGTATATTGACACATGGATACCGTTGGACATACCTTGACGTCTATCACAAATTCCACCGCTTCTTCTGTTGTGAGATTCCATTGAATGACCTCTCTGAATTGTGACTGTGTAGACCATTATCACAATCCTGAACAGCTTCAGCAAACATAGACCCTTCCTTCGTCATTCGTGCCAATTCCACCATCGTCGTCATTGCCAAAGTTTGCTTTCGGAATTCCCAACCTCTTTCTCCATGGCGAAAATAATGGAAATCAAGTAAGAGGCAATGAATCCTGTCATTGGCAAATTCGTTTGGTCAGTGCACCTCCTTCCTGCTCATGAAGCAAGAATCGGGATTACTGCCAGGTATCTAGGCAGGCTAGTTATGGTGCAGTCCGCTCAGGACAACAGTAGGAGAGTCAAGAATAGGTAGCCGGCCATCTACCAGCCGTTTGCTAGGTATCCTTTCGCACCTCGACCATCCCGTGATACTGAGTGTAAACTCGTCTAAGAACGTCCAACAAAGACCGGAAATATATCAACGGTATAAAGGCCGTAGTCACTTACCCGAAGAGACCATATAATGTACAACACTCAGTAGGCAGAATCTATCAGAGCCGTTATTACCCAGATTTTGCCAATATTATATATCCCGAGCTCTTGTAGCCTGTCGTTATATACCCCACATTAGTAGTCATTGTAGACACCATTTGCAGTATTCATGTATCAAAAGGCTGGGAGTCTTCCGAACGATTCCATCTGTTCTGCCGTTTCCTCCTGAATTGAATTTATGTTGAGCACCTACCTGAGGCAAGGAGACACTGTCCAGTGTCGGAAGGGTCTCTGGGTTCACCTGCAAAGGCGCCCGCCAAGGGGCCATCATGACCTGCCCAATGTGGAGGTTTCGTGGCTACCATTCAGAAGACAGGCCCAGGATGCGTTGGGTAGGTAGTTTCTGTTTCCAGTGCAAAGAAGGTGCAGGTTGAGTCCATCAAGTCCAATCTTCACTCTTGTCCCTTCCCATTCGAGAGCTGGGCATTCTGCAACTTCCTTCAATAGGTAGCAAGATTCATCTCATACCGAAGGGAAGGTGCTCAAGTACAGGAACCAGACAAAACCCAAGTCTTCTCTTCTCTTCCCTCTTCTCAGCTTTTCTTCTTCCGTCAATCTCCATCTTCATTGTTTTTTTGGCTCGTTTCCATTCAAGTCATCCGTACAACTACATCACTTTTCCCAAATCATTACTCTGCCGTCTGAATCATCTCTCGCCGCCTACACTTTCTCAATAGATATTGCATGTACCTTTGCATGATGCAGCAGCCCAGTCCCAAGAGCGGAGGTCGCATGAGCCACACAGTACTCCAGATCTTTCTGGCGATTTTTGCCGTCACCAACTTCCTCACGCTCATCCTTAACGCATTCGCTGCCTACAAATATGGCAAGGTGCTCAGCACCTACTTCTTGGACCCTGCCATCCAAACCCACCCTGCCATCAGTGCCGCCATTTACTTTGATGTGAACGACAATATTGTGGGAAACCCCCGGAGGTTCCTGTTGTCCTCTCGGCTGCCCTTCCTCTTCCTCGCATTCATATCTTGCATTGCCTGGATCATCACCGCTCTTACCGTCTTGTTCCTTTTCACCAAGATTCGCCACTTCAACCACCGCGTGGCCCGTTACGTCTTCAAAATCACCGCTGCCATCACCTTCATCTTGCTGGTTGTCTTCTACTTCAGCTGGGTCTCAACCTACAGCTTCCAATTTCCCTTCGCTGCCCACTGGGGTGCTGGCTCAGCAGCAGTTGTATTTGCTCACCTCAACCTGTAAGTATATCATTCCATCACACAGAATCGCTACTTTGATACTTACCATATCGCAGACTGATTGGGATCTTCATCACCTTGTTGGCAGCAGTCTTTGACACTCCCAAGGACGACCAACCTGAGCCCCCCACCGGCCCTAGTAGCCGTCGAACTACCCAACCCTAAAGGACGAGTCTTGAACGTTTGACACATCAAGAATTCGACAATGGTTGTGTGGTATACCACGGGAGTTGTGGTATGTGTGGGTGTTATCATTATTAGGTCTGGAAAAGATGATCGTCTGACGCATGGGTTTGTATGCCCTATGCTGCAAGTATTATTACAACGATAGACGGTAGTCGGTTGAATCCAAGAGTTTTCCTTTCATATAGAACTTCGTGCCTATGAAATATACTCGACAGGAAAGCACTTTCTCTTGTCTTCAATGAATTCAGCAAGACTGTGGGCTTGAAGAAGTGGAAATTCAGCATAGCCATACCATGTATGTATGTATTATCTTATGAGTGTATGTGGGTGCATCTGATTGTTGTTGATCAGAAGTCTTTATAACGAAAGCCTAGGCTTAAATGGTGCATCCTTTCATCCGGTTTGCAGCCTGTTAGGTCAGTGCATAGACCGTCAGCCAGTAACTCCAGGCACAGCAACATGTTCAAACGGGTATATTGCCATCGCTCTATACGACTCGAAGCCAGATGGCCTCGGGGCCTCCAAGTTCTCATCTATGAATTCATATATACATGCAAGTCGTCTCACCGCAACTCAACCGATGGAAAGTAGCGGGGTCCAGCAAAACCCCTAGCCAGAATAGATTGGATGTCTATATTGCTGGTGGGATCATGATGGGAGCTCCACATCTTAAGAAGGATGAATCGGCCAGACACAGGGGGGTCGAAGCGTATAGTACATTTGCTCTTCTTCTTTTCGATGTAGAAACGAGCGTGCGGGGAGAGAAGCTGACCGCCACCAACGGCTCGAACGGCATCTTGAGTAGCGGATGCATGTGCCTCCCAGGCTGCTGTGAGGGAGAAAGATCGATTAGAGCGATCATGTTCTCGCTCTCGCTCCCGCTCTCGTTCTCTCTCGCGCTCCCTTTCGCGTTCTCGACGACGTGCCGATGGAGGAGAAAAGCCTGGGCCACTAGTGTTGGCGGCACTACTATACAGGCGCCAGTGAGAAGGATGGTGGTCGTCGAGATATTCGGGATCAAAGGGGTTGCCACCTTCATCAGAGTCGGAGTCGGGGGTTTCAAAAGGGAGTGAGCCAATACGATTGGGTGCGCGGCGGGGGAACCGAGCGCCTTCATACTCGTCGTCTTCGTCGTCGCTGCATTCAGTGGTAACTTGGAAGTCGGGGAGGTTAGATGCGAACTCTCGTGGCATCTGGGGAGTCCGTGACTCGTATTCGTCGGTACTACTATGGTATGTATATGCTGGTCGTGATCTTGTGGTTGTGGTTCCGTTCTCATGGTGCTGGACGGATATTATCTCGGTTGGGATGGGCTGCAGAGCTCTTGGGTCTCCGTCATGAGTTGGCTCGTTCGTCCGTGGTGCATATTGAATCTGGTACTGAGCTGTCCGGCTGAGTACTTCGTCCTGGCTCATTGCCACAAAGACCATTCCTTCTCTCACGCTGTTGTAAAGTCAGCAACGTTGTCCTCGCCATAAGGCAACACTTGGGGCAACATACGGGTGGGAATAGTTCATTGACGCAGGCGCCTTGATAACCAACTCCTGGAGGGTAAAGACCGAACCACCTTGGTGTCTCAAGACTATGTTACACCGATTTCCCTTTGTGCAGTATACGGAGTTGTCGTCTTTGAGAATGTTTTCGGCGGCGTAGGATGACTCGTTAGAGAACATGCCTCCGTCACAGCTGACGATCTCCATCTTGAGATCGCCCTGCTCGACCTGGCCATACTTTCCATAGCGAAAACCCCGGAAAGCGGGCGCAAGACGGTCAGAGTCCAGCTTTCGGCGCTTGTGCCGTCGGTTCGAGTCGGGGAGATCTGAAGGGCGGAGCGGAGGGGAGAAGTTAGGTGGCATGAGTGGAGGAGTGAGGCTGGGGTGGTGCTGGAGGTCGAGAAGGGCCCGTAGGTGCGAGTTGGCCTCTTCGAGATGCCGATCCAGGTCTTCGAGATTGGTGGGCCTGCTGTTCTCGGCGGCTACGGCAGCTCGCATGCGGTCAGTACGTCGAGAGGTGGGCCAGCCGTCGTCCATAGGGCGTTCAAAGTCGTCGAAGGCGGTGCCGGGCGCTCTGTTCTCCAGGTTCCGGATGCGGTCGGCGCGACGTGATGCGGCGGACCAGTGTCGGGACTGGGGACGGTTGGAAGTCGGCGAGGGGCTGTCTCGTTCTCTATCTCGCTGAGCGTGAGCAAGGGCTCGAAGAGAGGGTAGCCGAGGCGGTATAGGAAGCGGCGGAAAGTCGTCAAGAGGCTCTCGAGAATGGCGACGGTGGGGATTTGATCCCGACCGGCCAGACATTGTGAAAATAACTGCGGGACTTTGGGGAGTTTTCGCTAGTCGGTGGGCTGGCGGCTATGAGTATGTATGACTTATGACGTGGGGTTGAAGTGAAGCGAAGCGAAGCGTGGTCCCCTGTCTTGGTGAGATTTAGAAAGGTGGATAACGGATGATTGTATGGATAGCGACGGTGATTAGACTAGTAGTATGTGTATGTATGTGTAGCAATGGTAGATTTGTCGTTTCTCGGGATGCAAGGATGCGGCAATGTACTGGATAGGTAGTAAAGGATACGCTATGCAACAGGCGACTCTTCGATCTCGCAAACACGTAAGTAGGTGAGTAGAGGCTCTTTCAGTCTGTTAGCCTGATTTTGGTGTGGTGTGCTCCTGATGGCGACAAAGGTTGAGTAACAGCGCGGTCTAACTGAGGTACGGTGCGAATGACTCGACTGTGGGAGTTTTTGTGTCAGTCATGGACTCTATGCTCGCCGCGCAAAGACAAGGACAAGGACAAGATGCGCCTTTTTCTCCCACCTTCTCTGTCTCTCGGTCTACCAGCTTAGTACCTTGCTCTGTTGCTGCCAAGGTAGTCCTCCAATACCAGCCTCAGGTCAGGTGTACAACGCACATGAGCGAAACAGAGGCAAAGGCAGAGGAGGGGTCATCATTGGGAGTGACAGTCGCCATCTCCCGGCGGGGGCGAGCGGAGAGAGGATAGGCACAGCAGATGGACAGGCAGACAGGGCAGAGTAAGGCTCACCATGAGACTCCCTGAGGGGATAAAAAGTCGCCAGGAGAGTTGAATCTAGATAGCTGAAGATAAGGGATATATAGCGCGGTGAGAGTTGGAAGTTGAAACGTGGGTTCGATTGTGTGGTTTGGTGTTTGGTACAAGTAAAAGAATGGGTTCCTTGTTGATGTCAAGGCGGTAAAAGCCAGAGGCGAGGGAGACAAGAGGGAGGGTCTAGACTATTTGGCCAAGGTAATTTCTTTGTAGTAGTTATGCAGTAATTCAGGCGCTGTACTCTGTACTCGTAAGCCACAGACATTCATCTACTTGAGCCAAGACCGAGGTTCCCGTGTTTATTATCGTGTCATTTGTTGCCAGTTCTCGTTTCTGTTTGCTCTGCAGCCAGCTGCTGGTCTAGTCTATCCGAGATGTACGGCTAAAACTCGTACCAAGTGTTACGCTGTGCGAGGAGTAAACGCTAATGGGTGTATTGTGATGCAGGTCAATTTGTCAGGGCGTAAGTACGGATACTACCTACTAAGACAGACAGACAGTCTCCAGAGTATTTGTTATCCGTACCTACTATCCTGACTGCAGCTTGCCTTTGAGTCCTCAGGTCTTGAAGCGAACTTACATGGATCGATACTACAAAAGTGCCGTTTCATTCCACGTGATACCTTTAATAGATCTGATCTACCTAGTTCCCGCTGGTCGGGACGAGAGACGTTTTTGTAAAGGAGCAATGGCGACTATTTCTAGGAGAAATTTATTGACATCTTTGAGGAATCATGCACACGGCTGCATGGGCAAGCATAGGTACCATAGTAGTACTTAGCTTAGGTAGTGGTAGTATACCTGTAAAATAGGTGCTGTCATGCCTTTTATGTAGTATCTCATCGCCAAGTCAATTCCCCAGAACGCGTTCCAAGTGGATCTAGGCTTGAGTAGGGACCCACCCATTTCCAGCGACAGACCTGTGTCGATCCCCCCTAACAATTTCTTCTGGCCAATCATCTCAGTGCCATCTCACTAAAGTTGACGGCTGCTTGACCTTGAAAGCCATGGAACATTCAACCAAGTTATGAGATGCATCTCAAGCCTTTCTTTCCATGACAAACGAGCTACCAAACAAACAAGCCAAACCAAACCAATACACCCACGTACTACGTACATACCCGCCAGCAATTCCCGTCCGGATAATTGCCTCCACCGTGAATGAGGAATCCTTTGCGCTGGCCTGTGAGGACCTGAACACCTGAATATATCCTAGCAGGCTGGGCTTTTTCTCGTCACGCGTCTTCACTTCAGCTCTTCTCATCCATAACAAGGCTCTGCGATATCACTCAACGACCTTTCAGCCTTTCCCAGCTATAAGCTCGACCACTTCAGCAAATCATCCGCCTGATCTAGTCTCATCGCATCTCATCATCTCTAACCCTCAACTTCACCTCGCGCCTCTTATGGATACCTCAGATCGGGATCAGGGCCAGCCTCAAACTGCGCCTCCAGCACCGCCAGCGCCAGAGGAGATCCCTCCTATCGATCCCACCGCCAGTATGCATGTTAATGGCAATGGAATCCCGCAGTTGTCGGGTCATCTCCTCAACCCCATGAATCCTGAGGCTCTGACCATGTTGGCCAATCCCTCGCTTATGGCAGACCCGTCCATCATGGCCATGCAAATACCTATGGCTGACCCTTCTTTCATGATGCAGTCCGGTATGGGTCTACCGAACGGCCAAAACCACGGTTTCGATGCTCCAGTAGCACCCCCTGCTACTGTCAGCGCCGGTAAGTTTTGCGCGTCGCATAATCCAGATTGGGGTACATCAGCTCTAACATGCGCCAGATGAGGTCGCTCTCTATGACCGTCAAATCCGCCTTTGGGGTATGGCTGCTCAGGCAAAGATCCAAAGCGCAAACATTCTCCTCATCACCATCAAGGCTCTCGCCAACGAAATCGCAAAGAACCTTGTTCTTGCTGGTGTTGGCTCTCTCACTCTACTCGACAGTGCTACTGTCACTGAGGCCGACCGAGGCGCCCAGTTCTTTCTCCCTGATGGCGAGGATGTCATCGGACAGAATCGAGCTCAGGTTGCCAGTGCTGCCCTTCAGAAGCTCAACCCTCGTGTCCGCGTCCACGTCGATACAGAGGGCGTCAAGACCAAGGGGCCAAGCTACTTTGCTGCTTACGACATTGTCATTGCGACTGATCTTGACCCTGAGTCCTTCAACATCATCAACACCGCCACACGTCTGAACTGCAAAGCATTCTATGCTGCTGGCTGTCACGGTCTCTATGGCTTCATCTTCAGCGACCTTATCGAGCACGACTACGTAATCCAACGTGATCTAGGAAACGTCTCCACGTCAAACGGACCAGAGACTCGTACGCGCACTATCGTCAACGTCCAAACTCGCAAGGAGGGGCCCAAGACCATCGAGTCTGTCACCAAGCGTGAACTATATTCCACATGGTTTCTCGCAAGTGATGTCGCAGTCCTTCCTTCTGAGTACACCCAATCCAAGCGGCGACTCAAGAGTGTCACGCCTGCACTGTCTTGTCTCCGCGCTCTCTGGGAGTTTATGCAGCTCCAGAACGGCCGAGTTCCCAGCAATCGCGACGATCTTAAGCTGTTCACGCAAATTGCTACTCAGAAGCACAAGGCTCTCGGTCTCCCCAGCGAAACCCTTCGTCCCGAGTTTCTGCGCAGTTTCCTCCAGAACCTAGTCAGCGAAATATCTCCTGTCTCTGCTATCCTTGGTGGCCAACTTGCCCAGGACGTCATCAATGTCCTTGGACAAACTCAGCAGCCTATCCAAAACATGGTCGTCTTTGACGGCACCACCATGGAGGCGCTCATGTATCCTCTGCACCCGGAGGGCTCTCTCGGAGCATCGCAGCTCACCGACCACACCGTTCCTAGCGGCGCTGCACCTATGATTCTGGGCGGTGGCATGGGCGCTCTGCCTTTAGGCATTGATCCAACTGCCATGGGCGCCCTGCCTCACCACAACAACCCCATAATGATTCCCGGTGGTCTGCCCCAGAACGGCATCATCGCTATGCCAGATGGCTCTCTCGCTGATCCCATACAGCAATTCAACGCCGTGCCGGTACCTCAGCAAGCTGCCCCCGAGCAAACAGCAGTCGCAGCTGAGCAGCCCGTTCAAGAGACACCAGTGGATCCCAGCACCTCGGAGACAAAGTAGTTGACACTGGGTAACCGACATCACTTAGAAGGCAATGAGTCACAACAATTTGTAGACAACATAGGGTAGAACAGGAAAAGAGAGGCGATGTAGGCCATATTGCTCGTGTTTTAATTTGATCTGGTATTGACTTTCGATATCGAGGGGTTCAGCTAAAGGGATGGGACGACGGTTGGGGATAGATGATACCTTTGTACACTAAATAAGAAACCTTCTCACGCATGGAATCTAAGAAATACTACAAAAGACCTGACCTAACAATTCATGTTTGTGTATACCACCGCCTTAATCAACCCAGGATCGCAACTGAAAGTCATCACCCTATGATAAACATGTCACATAAACATCACACTTTACAACAATCATCGGTTCGTGACCATCTCTTTTTTTTATCTGTTTTTATTCAGTGCTGGATCTAGAAGACAGAACTAGTATATACGTGTTCTATTCACGCTGTCCTGACATCTTTCTGTATTCCTAAGCCCTTCCAACATAATACTTCGGTTGCTTGTAGAACTACTTGAAGGACGAATATTCACTCCTCCAAGAGCTATCAGTGGGACTACCATGGTTCCACCCGGTAATTTCTTGCGTCCAATCCATAACCGTGGTGAAGCAAGTTGAAAGCAATGGCGGTCCAAAAAAGCTAATGCCGAAGCCGAATATCAAACGTGAGAAAATAACACAATGCAAATGGTCTACCCCTGTATGTCTGGGGGCATGCTTTGCCTAACGCCGCCGATGCGAATGAAGGAGGGCAGATGGCCCTCAAAGTCCGGAGTGATTCATCAGTTCACGGTAAGACCGAGATGTTGGGTATATGTCTTTGGGTATCGTAGCAGGTGTTCTGCAGTAGTAATCGGGAAGATATTGCAGATATGTATTATCGGCTATCCCTGAGAAACGGTAGTTATTTCTCCTTCCAGTGTAGAGCTTTATGGTGAACTCTCGTCAGTGCTGTCAATGGTGATGACTGCTCGCTGACTCTTTATGGTGTGGACATCATCAGAAGATTCGTCCTTGACAGGGCGTTCTTTATTGGTTGTGGGCTTGTCATCTTTGGCAATAGTAGGGGTTGCAGCTTGAGCGTTCGCGTTCCTCGAAGTGCCAGATAGGATGATCTTGATTCTCTTGACTCCAGTTGCAGGTTCTGTCTTGGGAGTATCGGTAGCTTTGCGTTTGCGTGAAGGGGCTACTTTCGATTTCTTCTTTGCTGGCTCGACTATCGATGAAGTGGGTTTTGCCTCGGTAGCCTTGGGTTTTCTAGGACGCAGTCGTCGCTTATGCGGGTTATCATATTGCTCAATCATCGCCACCTCAACGTCCTTGACAGATTTCTTTGGAGAATGGAGCTCCACAATGTCTCCGTCGGGTGGTGAATCCGGCTGCTTACGCTTGTTCGATCTCTGGCCAGTAGCAGTAGATGGGGCCCCGACGAGAGGCTCAGTAAACCGGACTGACTTGAAGGCCGGTATCGACCCAGATTTCCCACATGCCTTTGAAGAAGAGTCATCACCATTCTATCGCGAGTCTTCTCGATCTTGCCCAGGCTCGCCTCTCTCCTTGCCACTTCGCTTGCGTGTTTGGTTCACACTCCAACCTCTGATCTGGGTTGGACCAGAACTGGGTAGTGCGGCGGCAGATCCAGTCTCTTTGTGGTCGTAAGGGATGGTCTTGAGCTCGACCTTGTCCCGCCACGCTCGATGCGCGGGAACAGGGGCGGGCTGAAGTTTTCGGTACTTGTTGCCGGCATCAGATGACCCTGAAGGGGTAGATCGATGATGATGAATCGAGTTGGGAGGACCCTGGGGATTGTCTTGGGGGCTTTGAGCCATGTGCGGAGGCATAGGAGGGGGGTTCGCATACGTTGGAGAAAGTACTTGATGAGCAAAGCCTGAATGAGGCGAGGTCATATAGCCTTGCCCAGAAGTCTGCGGGTTAGGCAGAATTCTGTCTGTTGCAATAGGCTGCAACGGCGGTTGTCCATGTGGCTCGGGGCCAGGATAGCCTCGGTGATAGTGGCGAGGAGGGCCGGGGGGGTAGTAAGAACCGGAGGACCGTAAGCTAGGTTCCAGAAGGTTCTCGTCCTGAAGGGACTGGTTGCGTCCTCGCGAAGGTCGTAAAGGTGGTAGAGGCTCGGCACTCCCGTTATGAGAAAAAGGAATGCGTGCAGAAGGGGGAGCTGGAGATGAATAGCGAGGTGGCACGGAGCCTGGGGCCGGTCCCGGTGGTCCGGGAGGTGCAACTGCAGGTCCGGGAGGCGGGCCTGGCAGAGGGGGCTGCGACCAGTACGCACGAGAGTAGCTTGGGACTTCGGTGGCGTAGCCACTCATACGGCGCGGAGAGTATCCTGGGTCGACAGGACGGCCGGCGGCCATGTGAGCATCACGGTGATCTGGGTTCTGGTAGCTACTATGTGACAGGTATCCCCCCTGGTCCTGAATTGGTGGAGGGCCCTGGGAAGGAGGTGGAGGGGGATAATCTGAATGTCGTACTGACGAATGTTGTGACACGGCGTGTTCATGAATAGGTGGATAGGGCATGGCCTCTCCATGATGGCCATGCACAGGGCCGCTTGGTTGCATGGGTAGCTGTGCGCGGGGTTGGTGCATGTATCCTTGAGGGACCTCGACAGGGTTAGAATTGTATCGAGGATCGATATGAGTCTGTCCTGGGGTAGTGGGTGGCAGCTCATTTGTCATGGAAACTGAGCCTCGGGGGTCATGTTCATACATTCCATGAGCAATAGGGGCGGGGCCCATGCCATTCACAGGAACGTCCCGGTACATTTGCTGCTCCTGAACGCCAATGGGCTCGTACACAGGGGGAGCCTCATACACTGGGGCTTGTTCGTAACTAACAGCCTGCTCAGGTACCATAGCAGCATCGTAAGCTCGAGCGACCTCTTGCATGGGCGCGGGCTCGTTGGAGGTGCTCGCAATGTTGCTCAAGGCAGCCAGGATGTCAAGGCCAACGCTGGAGCTGGTGTCCGGTTTGGGGGCAGGCGCAGGCTTCGAGTCAGTAAAGACATCCCGGATCGCGTCGTAACGGGCCGGCTTGGGGGCAGGTTTTGGAATCTTATTCGACTCCTCAGCCTCAAGGAAAGCACTGGCAAGGGCGAGAACAGAAAGGTCGCTGAACCCGGCTTTAGGCTGAGGAACCGTGGCGTCCTCTTCTTCAGCATCTTGTTCTTCGGCCTCTGACTCCTCCGACTCGGATGGCGCTCGGCTGACAACAGGTCGAGCCTCGAGCTCCCTCATAGCAGTGCCGAGAGATTTGCTTCGCAGCTCTTCTTCGGAACGGACATACTCAGCAACGGATATCTCATCAAAGTCGACTTCGTCAAGTTTGCAAAACCGTCTCATCGAAGCCCCAATCTTGCTACGATATGGGTTATCCTCCGAGCGGCGGTGGTTAGTGGTCTTGAGAAAAGAGCGCGAGGCATGTGAGATTCGGCCCGAAGGGTTTGCGATAAACACAACAGGCTTTCCTGGCATGACATGAGGAGTCTTAACGGCCTCAGGAACAGGCCCGTTTCGCAGGATGATACCGTACCTAGGATGCACGCCATAGCGCTTAACGAGCGCCTTGTCAAAGTCACTGGGAGTTGTGGCTGAGTAGTCGTAGCCATTGCAATAGTGGTCGATGTGCAAGCCGTTGCTGTTGGGGGTGTCAAGATACTTGCCACGCTTTGCATGGGTATGACCCTTGCTGGAGTCATTCATGGTGTCTCTGAAGCCAATTTCCCAGCCCTCAAATTCAAATGGACGAGGCACAAAAAGGCGGCTATTAATGCCCTTCTCTCGCATAGCTGGCTTTTGGTTGTACATTCTGAAACCGAACTCATCTGGCTCGCCCATGTTCTTTGGCAATGGGGGACTCCTCTCACGAGCGGATAGCTTGGTGTTTTGAACCCGAGCAACTGCAGCGGGTACCATACCGCCGTTAGGGAAAGCGGGAGGTTCTGGGGAAGCCGGTGTTGAATCTGACTCAGCTGGCGTGCCCGCAGGCGTTGCCTCAGCTTCGGCAGCTGAAGCAAGAAGGCCCTTTGCCGGAGCAGGGGCAGTATGTGAGGGAGAGTCGGCGGCGGCATCTTCAGCATTACTTCTGGTGTTCTTCTTAGGTGTGGGTTGACCATCAGGTTGCTCTTGAGCTCGGCGCTTATTGACACCACGACCTCGGCCGCGGCCCTTGACTGGCGCAGCCGCAGCCGCAGTGACAGCAGCGGTAGCAGCCGCTTCGTTGTCGCGTCCCCTTTGCCACATGGCAGTGCCTGGAACACGAGAAGGATAAGGAACCAGATTGCCCTCGTGGTAGCACTCATAGTTTCCGAATTCTTCGTCCAGCTGTTCATCAGTGATGGTCTTGTACTCGTACTGATCATCAACGACCTGTGTGAAATGTGTCAGCTGTTTGCGCCCCCAATTACCGCAATGGGCAGACAGTGATTTGGGGAAAGGAAGTAGGGATGAAAGTCTGAGAAACTTTTTACATACATCAACAGGAAGGTCCTTGTCATACAATGAGTTGAGAATTCGAGCACGATTCTCCTGTCCTTCGTAGAACTGTTCAATGATCTCCTCGATACCGTTCTGTGGTGGTTCGTAAGTAAATTTCCAATTCCTTCATAGATATCTCGGCAACCAGACAAGGTCACGTCGGAGGGGAGAGTGACATACCTCAAACTCTTGGTTGGCGACGTAATTGTGGGCATTATGCAAGTGCTGAGCCAGCTCGAGGTCCTTCTCGAGACGACGCTGATGCTCGGCGAGTTTGGCGTCGAGAATGTCTTGGAGCTGTTGCATGACAGGTAGAAACTCTTGGGCATGTTTATGCTTGTCAGGGTTTCGAAGAGCATCATCGATAGTGCGCTCAGCAAGTTCTTGCAGGGCGGGTCTTAGAGCGAGAGCAACAGCTTGATAGTTGGCCTTGAGGTGCCGTTGACGCTCATAAGCAGCTTGGACACGCGAATCCGTGAAGTTCTTTGCTCGCCCTCTTCGTGAACCGCCACGGCCAGCTTTTGCTGTAGCCGCCTTGGTAAGAGCAGCAGTAGAGCCACCTCTGCCACCACCTCTACCTCGACCGCCACGACCTCTTCCACCGCGGCCACGTCCACGGGCGGAAGGTTCCCTTGCGGGAGACTCGTTCTCAGCCATGACGATTACGATGGATCATGTAGCTAGAGGTGAAGAGGAAAGGGTAAAATGTAGTGTAGAGATGATGTGAAGTGAGGAGGAGTGGAGGAAGTGAAGTAAGTAGAGCAATGCAAGGCAAGGCAAGGCAAGGCAAAGTAAAGTAAAGTAAAGTAAAGTAAAGTAAAGTAAAGTAAAGTAAAGTAAAGTAAAGTAAAGTAGCGGGCCGGGTACCAACTTTTTCTGGAGGTTAGAGGTGAGAATGTGCCACGCGCCAGTGACCGGGGGGGACTAACTAAGTAAGGTACCTGGAGGTAATGAAAGAGCTGAGAGCTCAGAGCTGAGAGCGCCAGAGGCCGTAAGTTGAGTGAGGTACGTGACTTTTTGGCGCGATGAAAGAGCTTGTTCCGTAGCAGAAACGCGGAGAACAAAGGAGGAGGAGGAGGAAGAGTAATTGCGTGTGTTGAAGAAGGGGGAGAAGAACAAAGGCAGTGTGTTAAAGAGAAAGAGGAAGAGGAAGAGATGATTACAGTTGTAGGTTGCAAGTGACAGGAATCTGAATCTGAATCTGAATCTGAATCTGGCTCTGAGAGGTACGTATAGATCAGAAGTTTTTGCCAGTCTTGCCAGTGGCCGCAGCTGCAATGCAACAGCGCCAATGAGGGAGCACTTGCTTGCAGTAAAGAAATCAACTAATCCGTGACAATGGCACGCGGATGATAATGAGTAGCAGTGACCAGCCCCGTCTCGTGAAGTTGCGTTGACGTCGTGAATATGAAGGAGGTTCTAGTTATGGAGGTAATGAATGAGACGGAGAAGCGCCTCGAGTCCCTTTTTTTCCCAATAATACCGGTCCCAGCAATGACCCAAACGGGTGAATGCAATGCTCATGCGCCAAACGCCAAACAGACCAATAAAAGCGGGGGGAGACTCTGTCTGTCAGTACGCCGCCATCCACTGGAGAACATGCTAAACAGCCCTGAGGAAAGTATACACCCCTGATCACCAGGATTGTCCCAGCCACGCCCATCTTTTATCACTCTAAACCATTTCGGGCTCTATTCAGAAGGTTTTGGGTGGTCTAATTGGCCCGGTACCCTTGATTTTCCGTTCACCGCGGCTCACAACCCCTGTCAATGCTTTTGGCATCCTGCAAGGAGCACTCCGGATTGGCTCGTTGAGATTTTATTGTTGCTTCGCTGTTAAAGTTGGCCCTCAATAGTCGATACTCGTCACTGCGGTATACAACTTAATTCATCTTGGATGATTCAGACAGACATAACACAGTTTCAATTATGTAGGCTTAGCCTAACCCAATTCTGGCCGATTCATTGTTAAGCGGATAATGCAGCAAACAGCCCCAAGAGTCAGACATGAAGGCTCACCGTGAAGGAAGTAATCGGCTGATACGGAGTGCACATTCAATAATAAAACTCCCCTGTTCTACCCGATCTTTCACTGGCACGATCGGAAGCACGGGAATATCGTCGCGAGTTGCACTCAATGCGATGGGGGGGAAAATCAATCTGCTGCCCTTACCATTCGTTTGTAACAGCTGTTCATCCTGTATCTTTGCTGTGGAGCCTCACTTCTCATGGCCCGGTCCTGTCAAAGTGAGCAAGCACACGCCACCAAAGTTGTGTTACGGCCTTCGGAGTTTCGGATAACTGGCGGTATTGTTATTGTATGTAGACAATGTCTGTTATTCGTGTGCCAGTGCCAGTGCCAGTGCCTGTGCCTGTGCCTGTGCATTTGCGGTTATTCTTCTTCAACGCGCACCAGTCTTTCACTGTCAACTTTGTTCCGGGTTATAGCACTTTTAACCTATTGAGTATCCTCCGCCTTTGGCTTGTTCTGGATACTGTGGTAAACTCGCATACTGCGATAGGTGGAAGCATAGCTTTAATGCATCGATATAACCATGTTCTGTCCGCTGCTGGCCGATATAAGTTACGGTTTTTAATTGATAAAAGTTCAACGCTCGAGTGCCGTGACTAAATCACTGCTTGTGTCTGTCAAGTCCGAACCTTCCAGCTTTGCTCTACTCGCCAGTCTAATTAATGCTAGTGTTTATGATATAGAAATGAGGGGTCTGATTTATGGCGCATTACACTTTCTACAGTTATAATGCTACCAAAGGATATCATGGAAGATAGTATCATCTCATCATCTCACCCTCTCTTTACCTCTCACCCTAGACAACTAACTAACATCAGCATAACATAACATTGGCCCCGCATTTCCCTGGCATGGATGCTCCCGGGAGCTAACCCAAGCAAACGGCGCTTCTCAGCCAATCATACAAACCCCACAGATCTACCTCTTAACAATGGAACTTACAGCTCAAGGGGAAGAGAAGAAAAAGTAGGTAAGAAAAAAAAAAGATAGTGACTTACCACGTGCAACTCTACTGTGACGTCGCGACAGAGCCTCAACCTTTCCAAGTCGCCAACGATGGGGGGCAAGAAACGAAAGCTGGCGCATAAGCCACCGCCGAGTACGCATCAGAAGAAACATGTTCAACATGGTAAATCCGTCCAGAAGATACCCGTCCCGCAGAAACCGGTCAATGGCCCCGCCAAGAAGGGTAAAAGCAAACAGCAGCGCCCCGTTGATGATACGCCCACGATACCCTTCGACCCTCACCACCGCATACTCCTTATCGGAGAGGGTGATTTGAGTTTCGCGGCGTCTATCATTCAGCACCATGGCTGCGCAAATGTTACTGCGACTGTTCTGGAGAAGGACGCAGACGAATTGCTGGCCAAGTATCCCCACGTCGAAGACAACATTGCTGTGATTCGCGGTGATGCTCCCAGGACGAAGAAGGTCGAGGGGGATGACCAAGGAGTTTCTACCGAAGAAACAGAAGGTGGCGAAAGCAAGAATGGCGGCCAGGACGAGAACGAGGACTCCAATGGCGAAAGCGACAACAATCAAGACGACTATTACGACTCAGATGATCCAGACGCACCCATCAGACCCAAGCGAAACCTCCCTCCCAACAACAAACTCCTCTACAACATCGATGCTACCAAGCTCCCCAACTCCATCGCTCGCACAACCTTCGATCGCATAATCTTCAACTTCCCCCATGTCGGCGGCAAGTCCACAGACGTGAACCGCCAAGTTCGCCACAACCAATCTCTCCTCGTCTCCTTCTTCGAGCGCGCCATACCAGCCCTGGCCCCCGGCGCCGCCATCGTCATCACTCTCTTCGAGGGCGAGCCATACACTCTCTGGAACGTGCGCGATCTGGCCCGTCACGCTGGCCTACAGGTCGAGCGTAGCTTCCGCTTCCAGGCCCGTGGATACCCTGGGTACAAGCACGCGCGAACGCTGGGTGTGGTGAGGAATGCGAAGGGCGAGGTCAGCGAGAGTGGGTGGAAGGGTGAGGAGAGAGCGTCGAGGAGTTTCGTGTTCAAAAGGAAGGAGGATATTGCATCCGTGGTAGGGAAGAAGAGACGAAAGGGTGACGATTCGTCTGACGATGAGGACTGAAATGGCATAATAGATGGGTAGATAACTAGCATTGTAGGCGTACGGCGTTATGAATTCGACATATTCACGCAGCATTAGCAGAATGATCAAGAGTGCGCTAGTATGTCATGTTGTAAAAGGTGGTGTATTACAAGGGGTATCTGGTCGATTTTATCCCGAGTCTATTTTCCCATTGAAGATCCCGAAGCAAGAGCCATGTCATCCCAAGCCTTAACGCCATCAACGCATCAAAACGGGTCTTAGAAACATTGACGTGCGTGCTGTAAATAACAAGACCAAAGGTCCAAATAGCACCCCAATGCCAAGCCAGACTGCTGGCGACCAACGGTCGAGGCGCAACGGTAGGGCAATGCAGCCTGCCAAGACCTTCCTGGAATACTCCTTGAAAACAAGGCCAAAAATGTACTGGCCGATTATATAGTAGTGGTACAGTGGTACAATGCGCCTGGTATTGGCCCTTGAACTCCCAAAATGCAAGTATGATTATGACCCAGCCAAGCTCCATTAGTGCTCCTAATCGTAGATTGAAATTTCGAGGCCGCAGCAACTGCTGTATTGTGATCCTCTTCACCTATTCCTCAAGCCGGCGTCTCCTGCGACCCGGGCCCTCGAGCCTCATGATCCAGCCGAGATACCTCGTGGGAAGCATCCAGTATTTCCTTCTCAGCACTTCTAGTGGCGTCCTCCAAGTCCTTTGTATGATTGGCCTCGTCGTCAAGCCTTTGAGCCTCCTCGTTCTCCCTCATTAATGCCTCCTCCTGCTCACGAAGAGCTTCCTGTTCAGCTGTGACGACATCTTCCATAGCCGACTGCGGAGGCGGCGGAGGAGGAGGTGGTGGGCTGGGCGCATCCATGTCATCCTCTCTTAGCCTTTTCATGTTTGGTCCATCCGACGAAGAGATTGAGGGCGAACCTCCCGTTTCTAGCTCCCTCTTTCTCTTACGTTCAGGGCTTCCCAAAGAAGCACTGCCCTCATTGTCTGACACTGTGGCAGTGTTCACACCGTCGACCGGAGTTCCAAGAACTTTGACCGACGAAGCGCCATCTAATCCATCAGCGACAGAGCCGGTACTACTACCTGCGGTATTGGGCCCTTGATCATCCTTCATCTGCGTATCCGCATTCTCGCTTGTGTTCCGTTTCTGGTGATCGCCGTATTTCTCAACGGCACGATCCAAGAAATCTTTGACATACTTCTTCATCTTCTTGACTTGCTTATCATTAAGCGGCGCACCGGGATCACCGACTCGTTTGTTCTTGTAGTCAGATGTAACAAGCTTCTTGGCGAGCTCTTTACCAAAGCGCTTCAGCTCCTCCTTAGGAAGTTTGTGGTGGAATTTGTCGAGGACATGTTTGATGTGGGGAAACAGCTAGTGTATTGTTAGCAAGGCTCGGTGTAGTAGGTGGCTCAAGGTGGCTTACCGTATTCTCATAGATCTTCATCTGTTTATCAACTGGGAGAGATCGCCACTTCTCCTGCTTCACCTCCTTAGGTGGTGTTTCGACTGCCTTGGGAGTTGACACAGAAGTATGTTTTGGTGTCCCCTTCTCAGTGACCTGATTGATAATACTTTGAATCGCCAATTGCTCCTTCATTGCCCTGGATGGTGTCTTCACAGCGGGCTCCGTTACGGGTTGCGTAGGCCTCTGCCAGGTGGTGGTACCTTGCTTGTTATAAAAGTAGGTGTTGCCTGCAGCGTCCTTGGCGGTGAACCATCCTTGGGGAAGCGAGGGATTGAATGGGGGCCTCCGAGGACGTCCTCCATTCTGAAAGAAAGCAGCATTCCTTTGCGGCATGCTGTTTCGAGGACCCTTTGGCGCGTCAATGGTCTGTGGCGATGCGGTCTTGGAAGGAGCTTGCACTGCCTCTTCTTCTCGACCTGCTCCGCGACGTTCTTCAAACGAGTTTGCAGCGGGCGCATTGGGGTCGAACTTGCGCCGTCGAATTCGATACGCCACCTCCAATTTGCTCCATTCGTCAAGGAGGTGTTTGGACTTTTCTGCCACGTCTTCGTGCTCGGATCGTGTCAAGCCTTCAATTGTTGTTTCGATCTTTGAGTCTTGAACCTTGTTCCTTGTTAAACGGGGAAATTTGTCGAGAATGTCCAATACCTGGAGGACGACGTTGTGGTCATCAATAAAAGTGTTGAGTGTTGTTTTGAGGATTTGGTAAGCGTGCATCCGCATAACGTAGTGAATGACGCGCTCCTCCTCGCACCGTAGAATACGGTCCAAAAGCCTGACAGCAATCCACTTCTCCTTACACTGCATAAGTGCAGCCATGACCTTTCGTGCATCGTCTTCATGGAGACTCCGCGACGGTATACTGTTGACGTATTCTTCATCATCCTCATCGGGCTTCTTCTTTCGAGGCTTCTTCGCAACAGACGTGTCCCAACCATCGCCCCCGTCAATACCCAGCGCCTCCACAGTGGCTGCGGGCAGCTTGGTTGCTCTCTCGGTCTGCGTCTTGCCTCCAATGTAGCCCACGCAATTGGGCTCCCCACAGTAGCAGGGTTGGGGGTCGGCGCCATATCGGTCCACGTTGTAGTTAAACACCAACTCTTCTCCGGATTGGACGTCGCGCGAGGCAAATATGCCCATCCGGAGTTTGTCACCAACCACCCACTTGTCGACATAGCAATTGGGGTTGCAGGAGTGGTTACAGAAGCGGCCATAATTGCCCTTTTTTGTTGCGTCCACAAACTCACTCTTGTTCAGCGACATGAAATAAAAGTGCTTGATGCCCTCTTCGTCGTACTGAATCATTCGCCGACGAAATGTTGGCTCATTGATGACTTCGCCGATATACTCAAAGACGAAGTCATTGGCCTGTAGATTCGAGTCGGCGCGTAGGCCAAACCCCTTCTTTTCGGTTTTGATGACGGAAACGTTGGCGTATTGCTTGCGCTGGAACCGCTGATTCTGGCAGCCCCCTGCGCAATTCCCAGCCTCAGCACTGCACTCCATTTTTGTTGCTCGGTTGATGCAGTCGGAATCCTCGCCACAAGCAAGGTTCAGGCCATTGTCTATAGCAAAAAGTTAGCATGGTACGAAACCGCAAGGTTCGGCACAAGCTACGTACGCCATTCTTCCCGACACTCGCAGTCCAAGGAGTCGTTATCTGTAGATCCAAGGTGCTTTGAGCCGTACAGGCAGTCGGGGATCAGCTGGAAGAAATTACAAGATTCGGCGGTCATATCGGGGAGGTGGTCGAAAAGGACGGGTTCGCGACTGGCGGCGAGTTTCTGAGAAGCTTTTCGAGACAGCTTTGAGGGTCTGTTCGAGCTCGGTGTTTCTGCGCTTTCGCTGCGCGACTTGGCGCCATCCTGAGAGGTGCTCGGCGACTTGGAGCTTTCATGGTCACCATTCGTGGTGATGGCAGTGGTCTCCTCCTGCTTCACCTGCGCGCCGTTCGCGCTCTCCTCAAGCTTGATTTCCTCCATTTTGCTGGTCGTATACTCGTCATCCTCCATTAGTACATCAGGAGAAATAGCACAAGAGCCAAGTTTGGAAGCGTAGTATTGAAGGTTAGCAATGGTACTGTCGCAAGGTAGGAAGACGTGTCGAGAGGTCAATGCAAGCGCGAGGAATGGTTCCGGCCAAGACAATTGAGCAAGACGAGGTGTGGAGTGCGGACGTGGGCGAGAGCGAGAGCGAAAGTGAGAGCGTAGGCGTGAGCGTGGTGGAGCGGGTAACTATATGCCAGGCGCATGTGCTCTCTGTACGGTATGTTTTTTTGGGGTAGGGATTGAAGCAGAGACGAGGCCAAATCCGGGGTTAGGGAGATCACGAGGAAAAGCGACAGGGCAAGATTAAGTTAACAAAGAGCTGGAGGGCAGAGCGCATCAAGGCCGTGCATCGACGATTACAAAGGAAGATGCGAGGGACGAAGCCAATTCGAGTCGAGCACGCTCATTCCGACCCGGTCAAAGGCAAGCATGGATGCATGGCCAGGAGCATATTTGGTCGGAATTTCATAGCCCCGAATGTCCGACGCAAAAGGGCAAAAGGCCCGACCGAAAGACGCCTTCGGTCTCCAGTTGCGGTATTGCATACAACGTTTTTGCTTTCACCTTGTTCCTATACAATACTCCAGCAAAGAGATATTGACTTCATCTCATGTCAATTGCTGAGGCTTCAAATATCTTGAGGCTTCTCAACGTGGAACAAGTACTCAATATGCGCCTTAGTACGGAGTAGCTCCTGGTAGTACCAGCCCGGCGCCTCTGCAGCCAACAATGTGAGACTTGCTTGATCCTTACGCCCAGGTCGGCCAGGACCCGTCATATTCTGCAAACAAAAGAAAAAAGAAAGAAAAAAACGCCAGCCACTCACTTATCGATCGTTCCGGGAAGAAACAAACAAACCGGTTTCATGTTCACATCAAACAAAGCAAACTTGGAGTCGGCCGAATCCTTAAATCTGCGGACATCGATCCGAATTGGTGCAGTCGCAGCCAATTCTTGTGCCGCCCTCTCGCATTCCTCTGCCAACTGCTTATCTGTAGGTTCGTTGCTCTTGGCAGTGGCTATACAGAGTAGCTCGTGAGTTTTCCGTGACTGCTACAGTACCGTTATATGGGGCGGCGCCATCGACATGGTTGAAACGAGTGACCACTGGCAACGCCCAATATCCTCATTTGCCAGAGACAGGAGGTATAACCGTGACTGTCGCTTCTTCTCCAGGAAGATACTCTTCGAGTAATATTGCAGATGATTGAATAACCCTTGCGCATGCTTGGTGAGGTCCTGCAAGTCGCGACAGACATGGAAGCCATGGCTGCCACGGCCACGGATAGGTTTTGTGACAACTGGGAAAGGGAGGTCAAGTCTGGAACCGAGCAAGACGTGCCGATACTTGCAGAGGATGCGTTGAGAAAAGAAGTGTTGGACTATAAATGAGTTGCGGATTTTTCGATAACCTGTATAACTCCCTGTTCAGTATCAGGGAATGGCCATCCGACTTAATCCTCTGGATTGGAACCTTGATAGGACGAACAACGTCAATATCTGACGACATACGAGGTCTTGACGCTGACGATATTGAAGTTGCGAATCGTGTGTTGACCAAGAACGGACTATAAGAAAGCCTCGTCCTCCCGGTGCTCGATATATGAGGTCGCAAGTGTCTAATAGTCAAAGGAAGAAGCGACATTTGGGAGGTGATATATATATGTGACCAATTTGTCACATTAGAGCAGAGGTAAACGAAGTAGATTATAATGAAGGTTAAGATTTCTTTATGGGATTGATCTGATGGATCATTCATTTCCTTAGTACCTAGTCTAGACATGGGTGGAGTAGCCCGTGTTCCGTGTAAGTCACCATTGATGCCAATGCACGGTGAGGTTTGCTTAGTTGCTATAAGGAAAATCAAACGAATATACAATGAGCTATTTATCTTATCACATGCCTTATGATGCAATTGGTTTTTAGTGTTACGTAGAGCTTGTATAGTTCGAATAGTTCTTGTCTATTCTGAACAGGTCCAGTCAGATGTTGCCAGCTCATTGTGCATTCAATGCATGACTGCAAGATCAACGTCGTAGCTGGGATTTACTATAAAAGGGACAGACGCTCTCTGGTCTGTGGTAGTCTAATTTAAGTTTTTGTCCCATTCTTTTATCCATGTAATAACACATTAATCTACAACGGCACAGTCTTTCATTCTATACTGCCTACGAACGGTTGGGATAGAGAGATATCCACGTGCCGGTCTCCAACCGAACCCCAATTGCAGGCCTTCCAATTGATGAACACCTGGCCAGTGCTACGGCAGTAAAATACGACAAGTCAACCACAGAGTCAATGACCAGTCATTCGTTACTTTCTTCAGTGCCCACCTCAAGAGAAAACAAAACCTGGGGAGCGGAAACATGGCCTGAAACTAATATCCCTTGGCCAATAGGCCCTTTATCTACGGATACGGAGTAGCTTCTTCAGGTTGCACCAACCCCCCTTTTGTCAAACCCTGGCGGTAAATAGCCTGGGGCCTGAGAGACTCTTTATTTCTCTGAGAGTAAAATAGTCGCTGACCTTTTTGCGTTGCACAGATCAGGCTGAGTGAGCTCATCGTTGGTTGGTGGACTGCGCCAAATAGCACATGCACATAACGCATACCACGCAGTCGCATATCTAAGAAGCCAATGGAATATCGAGAAATCCATGTTGGTGTGTCTCGATGGGCTGAGCTCGTGAGCACGGGATGTGGATTATGAGTCTGAGCATGTGCAAGAGACGTCGAGTCAGGCGCACTCAGATTCCGGTGGGATTGGTTCCTGGGATCTTCTCTGATACTAGACCCGTCTTGATGCATTTATTTTGCATTTTGCACTGGTATCCGCGAGTACCGCACCGTACCGTCTGAGTGCATCGCCAAAAGCAGGGTTACAGTCATCTCACCAAACAACCCCAAGGACTCATGGCAAATTGGAGCACTTGAACTGAGACATTCAGAGGCCTCAAGGCAATCTACCGGTAATAGGTCTCTGAATGTCAGCTTGGCTCGACTCGACTCGACCTTTCTGGGGTAGGCAGTCATATCAGATCAGCGCCTCGCAAAACCATGAATAGGAAGGATTTCCACATGCAGCAATTCGGCTTAAGCTGTACCACGCAACACACGCAGTCCCATTCTCATTTCAGGCTTCCCCTGATGAGCCTGCATGAGCCTGCTGCATCGATTTGGATCTTGTGCATCGCATCCTCGGCCACTCCCGTACCATCTTCCATCTGCCATCTCACCTTGTATCCGCTATGGCTTGTATGCTGATGCGGTACAGAGTAATCCGCACTTGATGGATATCTGTTGGACCCGATCAAGCTATTATATCCCTTTTATTTAGTGGCCAAAGCCACTGTGTCTTTCTGTGCACCTTTCGAATCTGACACTCGCTCACTGACACCAGCCATCAACTTTAACTGTCTTGTATCTCGTATCTTCTTGCATCTATCAGTGCCGCTGTCACCAGGCTCAATATTGATCACCATTCTTTCTTCGGCATTCGGCCATCGATAACGTGACCTCAACCCAAGCAAACACTTCTCTGTGTCGACAGTAGATCCCCAAGGATACATACATCTCCTACATCCCACCCATTAAACCGAAACGGACCACATCGTTCTTCCTAATGATATATTCTTGAATTATCTGACTCTGTCTTGGTGTTTCCACGCCGAAACCGACAAAACCTCTCACTCTTGTTTTTACCAACCAGGCCGTGGCAGAAACGGAATCTTATATCAGCTCGCCTTTTGTGTTCCCCGTCCGGCCAGAAGCAGTAATTCTTGCTTCTTCATCCATCTGCCATCCCATGTGCCGCAGGACCCTGGACAGGTCGCTTGCCTTTGTCGTACCCGACCTCTCCACGCCAGTCGGCTGGGACTATCGATAGGCTGTCCGTATATCGTGGAATATTACAGGACTGCCTCTGCATGTGAACCAACCCTCTGAGAATAACTTGGATTTCCAGTCAAGATATACCAGCTCCTCGATGGCATGGCACTCACTTCTTATCCTTGAGATTTGACGAATCACCTATTAGGCTAGAACGATCTTTTTGCCTAGGTAGCTTACCGTAACATGATAAGTCCCATGGCTGCCAAGGACCAAACGATGGAGCCATTCAACGATCAAGAGAAGGTACATTTTAATGGCGAGCTCTTTACAACTCCCAACTAAACATGTTTTTAGCGGCATCTCCTAGCCGAGATAATCAAACACAGCCAGATCAGCGTCCAAGTCCTGGAGAGTCTTGTTAAGTCTCGTGGTGTTGAGCCCAACTGGATGCAAGTCCAACTGCCCAACGGTAAGTCGAGCCATCAAAATGCACAACCCTCGTTATTTAACATACAGTCTAGGGCGCAACATGGCTCAGTGTCTCCAGACTGCTCATGATATGGATATCTTGCAGCGGGGGACGAAGCGTAAAGCTCCTGGCGATTCGCCAGAGGCCCAAGGCAGTGATGACATCCATGCACCCAACTCTCGAGAGCTTCGCCCAGACCTTCAACTACCTACTACACCAGGATCCCACGCAAATATGCAACGCCTATCCCACCTGCAGCAGTCTCTGTCGTCGGGATTATCGCCGCCGCCTAAAAAGAAGAAGGGTCGTCCGGCATATGCAGGTAGAGAGGTATCAAATCAACAACCCTTCAGCCCACGACCTATCGCTCCTAAACCGCCCGCACATACTCTCCCAAATATACCGTCTTCGTTCCGGCCCATTGCTCCCTCCCCTCATACCATCTTACCGCCGCTGCCTCCAGACCCATTGCAAACCACCTACGGAGGCCTGAAAAATACATTGCCCATGGAAAACCACCGCGCCACAGGAATTTACAAAACTCAAAAGCCAATTACAACATCATGGACAGCTTTCCAGAGAAAGAATCCTTCTGGAACCCCACAAAGCCTATCGGTAAGAGGTTGCCCCTTTCGAATACGTGGGATGTGAGTTAATGGTTTACATAGAAACCTGGAGAGGAAGTACACAGTCATCTCAGATCACAAAGCGAAGTGGTTCCTAGAGTGATTAAACAAGAATACACCGAGAGTGATCGATCAAGTTCTATGCAACCGCTAAAAGCAAAAGACCACACCCAAGTAAAGGAGCAAGCCGCATCAGGTCAGACACAAGAAGGAATACTAGATTCAGGCAAGGAAAACAACGAATGACACCAAATTCAGCATGAAGGAATTCAAGAAGGAAACACTCAAAGATCCTTATACTCTTTGAGAAAACATTGGCCGACTTTGCTACAGTTGAGACTAAGAGAATCGATGATGCCGCAGCCTCGAATACAACAAGCATAGCATTGACGAAACCAAAGCAGACGAGAGCAACCGGATTATCTCGTGTAGTCCTCCGCACGAGGACAAATGAAAACAAACGTACCATATCCTTCCCTCTCTCTCAAATCGGCTTCATATATTAGAGTCTGGACCTTGTATGATATGTCAAGCAGCGCCTGGTTCCCTTTACACATACTGCGACGGTAACATATTGTTGATAAACTAGAGTAAAGAGTACACGTCCGGGAATGAAAATGGAAAAGATCAATTAAAGAAAGTAAGACGATTATGTTGTTGATTGCATTAATCTCCCCTAACCTTGGCTTCAAGCCACATAAGCAAGTGTTTCCTTATTCTTTTACTGCAGGCTGCTGTACTAATTGTACCAAACATCCCGAGACCATAGAATTTCGCTAAATAAATATCTCAGATCCCTTAAGCTAGCCCTGAACTCCAAATCGTTCAAAAGTCATTTTGATATCTTCTTTTCAATCTACTTTTTATCTTACTCCTTGACAATCTTCTCGATGGTATCGAGGAGAATATCAGCATGCTTTTGCTGGAAAATGAGCATAGGTCGCAGACGAACAGCGCTGGCACCACTACCACCAATGTTCACACCCAGAGTCTTGGCCTGGGCCAGGAACTGGTCGCGCTTAGGACTGTCAAAGGCAATAAATGTACCTTGACCCTTGCCACGAAGGTTCTCGATTTGGCCAGGATATTTGTGGCTAAGAGCTTCGAGGTCTTTGAAAAGGCTGTCACCGACCCGTGCGGTGTGGTTGACGAGGTCGTTCTTGTTGATTTCATCAACAATAGCCTTGAAAAGGATGGCACGGGCAGGGTCTCCCATCCATGTGTTGAACTGACGGTAAGGCTTGTTGGGGCGGATGGCAGAGTCGCCATAATAGAAACCAGCAGCCTGAGCCTTCTTAGAAAAGGTAACAATATCAGGAGGGGTCTCAAGGTTCCAGTGCTCATGAGCCCAGAACTTGCCGGTAGCACCGATACCTGTCTGGACCTCGTCCACGATAAGGAGAATGTTATGCTTCTTGGTTAGTGTGCGAAGCTTGCGGAAGAAGTCTGGTGAAGCATGGTTATCACCACCCTCACTCTGGACGGGCTCGACAACGACGGCACAGGGAGGAAGGTGCCAGCTCTTGATAAGGTGCTCGACCTCATCGATACTGGCCTGCTCAATCTTCTTGTTCTCTTCCACATTTTCCTCAAGAGGGTACTTGAGCTGAGGGAAGCTAGCCTGAGGCCAGTCGAACGCAGGGATGTCAATCTTGTGAATAGCCTTTGAACGAGTTGTAGAGAGCGATCCAAAGAGACGGCCGTGGAAGCCGGTCTTGAAGGAAAGAATAGAGAGGTCGGGGCTACCAGGAGCATGGTTGTTCATTGCACTGTCAAGCTCCTGGGAGCTGAACTCGACATCAGGGCCGCCACGCTCCTGCTGTCGACGCCACATAAAGGCAGCCTTGTAGGCGGTCTCGTTGGCGTCAGACCCAGCCATGGCAGTGAAGACGTTGTCCAGGCCCTTCGGGGCAACAGTAAGCAGGCTGGACTTGAGAAGTTCGGCCCAGTCGTGGGAAGGGAAAGCTCCAAGAGCAGGTCGGTTGACAATGGCGTTGACCATTTCGGGGCTGGAAGCAGCCTTGAGAAGGGTAGGGTTGTTATAACCAACCGCAATTGAAGCAATCTGAGCAAATCTGGTGTCTTTGTTAGTCTTGTTTTGAGAAGCAATGGCCTTGCCATTCAGCTGCAGTGAGTTTGCTATCTTACACATCGAGGAGGACATTGCCATCAGGATCGGCGATATAGTTGCCCTTGCTCTTTGTATAGTCAACGAGCATGTTTGCACTGCGGGTATCGAAGACTTTAGTGAGCTCATCCATGTGTTTCTTGGTTTGAGGGCCGGGGATAGCTGTCTTGACACTAGGAGCATCGGGCTCGCCAGCAAAGAAGGACTTCTCAGAGACAGCAGCCATGCGCAGGTTGTGAGATGTTGCGAAAGAGCGGCATGTGGTGGTTCGGGCAGCAGCTCGAATAGCAGGCCGGGCAGCCATGCCAGCGCGGAGTGCCGACATGACGAGAGGATGGATGATGTTTGACAAAGGTTTTAGTTTCTCAGCAAGGCGTTTCGGCCGTGTGGTATGGGTGATCTGGAGGGAAATAAGAGTTAGCAACAAGGAACCGTGCCGTCATGGTAAGCTAACATTGGGCCACAAGGTGTCGCCATGATAAAGCAACAGAATTGACAGCTGGAGGGGCAACTTACTCTTGTTAGGAGCTGTCTTTGCTTCGTAGAGGAATGTAGCACGGAGATATGAGAGGAGAGAAGAAAGAAGGAGGAGAGGATCCCGCCAGTCCTTATATAAGGCAATTGCCAATGGCTTCTCCACGGGCAAGGACAATCCGTTAAGTTGGGCGCCTTCCTCGCCTCAATCGGACCCGGCTCTCACCTCGCGCCGGGGTCTGGGTCTGGGTCGGGGGCAGCCATGATGTCCCCAGCTTACACCAAGAAACTACCTACCCAAACTAAAAGTTTGTCTTCCCCGCAGTCGCTTTGGGAATTGACCAAGCGGAGTGGAAAGAATGGACGCTGGATGTTAGTGGTAACAGGAAAGAGGGAGGGGTGAGGTTAGTCATGTTGAAAACTTGCCTATTGAGGCAAGAAGCTGTCGACTCGCCTCGTCTCTTCACCATCCCTTCCGCTAAGTTATCAGTTATCTTTTCCCCCATCATTCAGTTGGATAACACCTATTCCGTAGGTCTGTCAAATTATCACCACAGAGGCTGCACATTACACCGCTGTCATTCACGGTGCCTTATTCTACGACAATTGTCCAAACCCTGTCACTAAACAATATCAAACCTCAAGTCTGAACACACAAAGCAAGGCCCGTGTTACCTTACAAGATACACCTAACCCAGATCTCGATAGCGGACTGCAGTGCCGAAATGTCCATGGTGCAGGGATAAGACGTTACAGCACATCCTGTACTTGGGTACTGATATTACCCATCACCAACCACCATTGCAGTGCATGTCAACTTCAAAGAACGCCCCGTGACCGTTTGCTAGCCAGTGCCGTAAGTTGCTTACCTACCTAGGTATTCTGCATGACCTCTTCACAATTTTAGACACTGCTTGATAATTGAATCGTTCCATTACCTGGCGGGTTAACCTTCCTGATTCGAGACCCGCTCTCCAAACACACCAACTTGTCACTGCGCGGGGTAGGTATCTCCATCTCTTGGAGTACCTGATACGAACAATGCTCAGATTTCCATTGTGAGACACCTTCTACTTATTACATTACATGAATCTAGTCAGGCTTTCCGAGCACGGCTTCTTCACCGAACCTCACCGCAAGGCATGAACGCCCACCTACAGTTCGTTGGCGATCTTGTTATAGAATGGGGGGTAGATTGATACTCGATATCCCCGTACTACTAGTACACCCCCAAGATATGGCAGCCGTCTTTCCCGTACATGCACCGGCCCGGCTCCGAAACCGGAACCGTCCGTATCGGCTGCGATAGACTGCTCTCAGTTGTGGACATCCAGAAGCCTTCCCCTTTGGGCAGGTTAAGGGAGACGGGATGTCCTCTTGACGATCGGTCAGTAGATGTTGGTAAATGTTTACTACGACCAGATGCTGGTTTCTGTTCGCCTCAACCAATTTCTTTGGTCAATTTCTACAACAATGGCCATGAAGCTACTCCGTGCAATATTGGGATTCCCATGCTGTCATATTACCAACCTATAAGTTCGAAGAAACCGGTTCTTCTGTCGGTCTGTCAACTACGCTAATCAATTCATGCTGATGCATCCGAAGTCATGCCCCAAAAGTCGCTCTCACGAATGCTATGCAAATGCAATGCCCGAATCACAGAAATAACGCCGACAATGCCCAAAACACCTTGATTCCTCGCAGCCCGTTTAATGATCCTTCTCCTGCTCTCGCATGTACCTGACAAATGTCTTCTTGTGAGTCTGAGTAGCTTGTTAGTATCGTGGTTATTAGAAAGAAGTGAGTACTAACCATTCCAGCATATTTGCCATCTTTGAGAATACAGATGTATCGCAGTCCAAGCTTTGCGAACAGCTCGTACACCAAGTCCATTGGGGATTTGATATCCAGGGCGACGGGTGCCTGCGTCTTATTAGTGATGCGCCAGACTGAACATGCCACAGAACAACTTACAGGATCAATATAAGGTGTGAAATCCGTCGGGTCGTGCGAGTCGTCGTCCTCGTCAATGCTGGGGATTTGATCCATCAGACAGAGGTTCGTTGCCTCATCCTCCAGCTGATCAAGAGCGTATCCAAGATCCGGCGCAGGAATCAGCCCAACCAAGATGCCGTGCCGCACGATGGGCAAACCTCCATCGAGCTCACCGGCTTTGTGCAGAAGCTCAAGCTTGACTCGCAGGCTTGTAGCAGGTACTACTGGTGAGTCTGTGATATCAATGATGCGCTCTCGTCGAATCCGCGGTACAATATCTGCCAAATCTTCCGTAAATATGGGCTTATGCTTATTGTCCAAGAATGGGTACGAGTTCATGCTGGTGAGAAGGTCCTACTCAAGTAAGTGACTATTCGATCGGTGAAGAAAAATTTCAAAGCAGGATTTGAACTTACGTAGATGCTGTTAGGCTCAATAGCATCAGCAGTCCATTTGGCTACAAGAATCGCGAGCGAGAAGGGCAAGACATAATCGAGACTGCCTGTAAGCTCAAACAGAATGACTGCGAGTGTGACAGACAGTCTCGTCACGCCACACATGGTAGCACCGGCTGCAATGAGACCGTACACACCAGGCTGGATGCACGAACCATCTCGGCTGAAAGCGCAATCTCCCCATATACCCCAATGTGGGACTCGTAGTACAGCCCATTGCACAACGTGCCCGACTATTCGGCCCATCAGACCTCCAACGACCATGGACGGTACGTAGATTCCAGCAGGAACTTTCTGTTCTCGCATTAGCAGAAGTCAGAGTTTATTCTATGCGAAGACTTACGATGCCAAAGGTGATAACGGTCAAGAACCCCTTGATCAGAAGGGCCACAAACAAGTGAAAGAGAATGGGGGGGATTTCATCTATAGATCCCGGGCACAGGGCCCTTTCTTCCCAGTCGATATTTGAGCCCTCACATGGTGAAGCCACATTCAGGAGCAGCTCAGCAACGGGAAGCTTCGTCAGAGCATTCCAGTAGCTCATCATACCTGTTACCATTGCCACAAGGAACACCTCCAGTAGTGGGTATTTCTTGATCACCTTGATCCTTCTGAATGACTGGGCCCAAAACTTGGAGGCCTTGATGAAAAGAGCTCCCAGCGCGCCACCAATAATTCCCACAAATATGAAGGTCACGAGCTCGAAATATTCCCAATCGACCACGTATCGAACCTCGAAAAGGACGATCTTGTGAGTACCGTAGGGGTTTAGGAACTTGAGCGAGAGAGCCGCAACAATGCAGCAAAAGAAGGTACGGAACAATGTCTTGGCTGGGAAGAAGTAGGAAACCTCTTCTAAGCCGAACAGCACTCCGCCTAGAGGTGCACCGAAGGCAACGGCAACTCCTGCCGCTGCCGCCGCGGAAATGATTTCTCGGCGTTTTCCATCGTTACGATCGTATTTTGAGAAAATTCGACAAAGGATGTTTCCTACACAAGCGGCCATGTGAACATACGGTCCCTCTTTTCCGAGACTCATACCAGAGGCGACACTCAGGATCAAGGCCACCATCTTGATAATCAGAGTTCTGGCACCGAGGAAACCGTGCAGGACGAAGCCACTCAGTATGACACGAACCTCAGCTACACCACTGCCAGCTGCCGAATAGTAAACCATAGGCGGGTTCTCCGGCTTCGGCTCAGCATCCGGCTGAGGGGTCGAGGCTTCGCTTGGATTCGAATCGTCGTATGTTTGGGGAAGGTCGTCTACAGCAAGGTTCTCGTCCAGAGTCGTGAGTTGATATGCTGAGGGAACAACAGTCTTGGTCCATAGCGCCATCCAGCAGGCGATGAGAGCAAGACCAAGAACAAAGGCCATATAGATCGCGAAGCTACTCCAGATGTCTCCAAAGGGAGTATCCCAAGCATATGACCATGTGGTCCAGTCATCGCAGGTCACATCTGGACAGCATCTCTGGTGTCAGGGTTAGCCGAATTGTTTTCGTATAAAGTCTTGTGAAGCTTCTGTGGCCAAATACGAGACACGAATCCATCACTCACCTTCCTGTTGAGGTACCAAGCCCTGCTGCAGTAACCGTCCTTGAAATCAAAGACAGTAGACTCAGCAACATCGACTGTATAAGCCATCAATGCGACTATAAAGCCACACAGAGCACTCAGAATCCATCCTTGAGCACCATCAAAGATAATGCGCACTCTGCCCCAAAAGTCCTTGCGACTGCGTAGCTGCTTGACTCTATAGGAATCGGCGATGGCGTCGTGCACCCAGTCGGTGCTGGTAAACTGATCGTACCACATGCGCTCATCAGGGAAAATGGTGCCCTTAGACTCGGTCATGGAAGACTCATGGCGGTCCGAAAGGGCATTAACCAATCTTGAACTCCATGATGGATGCCGGCTGTGATTTCGGGAACCATGATAAGCACCTGGAATTAGAAAACAATTAGCCATGTCCAACGCTTGCTTTCAACCTGCTTTTTTAAACGAACCTAGATAGCTGTGATCCCGCGACAAGGTCCCTTTTTGCTGGCGACTCGAGCTCGGTTGAGAAATTCGAATGCGCGACCTTGAGGCTGTGAGTAGGGGAGTTCGCTCGTCCAGTTCGCCGGTGGAAGCATTCCGGTGCAAAGGAAGTCGTCGACGGGTAGTTCGTGGCGAGGGCGGCTCGGAGCCTTCTGTCTCTTGTCCTGCCATGACGAATGAAGCTCTATGGGAAGCGAAGATGAACGACCAGGGACAAGATAGCTTCAAAGACGAGTGCGAGGGGGAGCTAGAATAGGCACCAAGCTAGGTAGTTAAAGAGAAAGGGCAAGGGAAGGAAAGGTGAAACAAAAACCGGGACTAAAGGGATGATCTGCTCCGATTCTGAGTGTCTTGAGTGTCTATCTCTCGACGCCCGTGCTTGTCTTGCTAAGGAAGGATTTGGTGGTTCGTCGGTTGTCACACCGTCACCTTCTCAGGGTCCAGGTGACCCTCGCAAGCCTCGATGGCGGCAGTGTGGAGGCGCGCCAAGCGTGTCGGGACGTGTACTATAAATCAGAAATCAGGATGGCGGGGTGAGATCAGGTAGCCTTGACCAAGGTATGGAAAGGAGGGCGCCTGATGATGATGAGAGGAAGAGTCAGAGGACAGAAATATTATTGACAGCTGATACTGAGGATGAGGACTTAAGCTTTAGGGGGGTGCTATAAGTTAAGGTTGTTTTTTTGTCTTCTATTCCGCCCCATTCAACCGTCGACTGCCATATTCGGTAACAATTGCGCCGAGTCAACAGTCAGTTACTCCAGGTGCCATCCCCGTAGAAAATGTACTGTATTTACGCTACGGAAACCCCCTGGTCCTACCTGCCTGTGTGGTGTTCCCTAGGTAGTAGGTACTAACCTAGGTACCTAGGCGAGGACATACGTCTTTGTGACGAGTGAGATGGCCTGTTACAAAAGAATAGAAAGACACAGAACAACACACAACATACAACACAATAATAAATAAGACAGGGAACTTGAGCGGTCTATCCGTCCAATCTTTCTCCATTCGCAAAGGATAAAAGCACCTATCACCAACCGAGGGAACTCCTTCGGCATTTCGTCATCGTGCACAATATCCACTATGGTTGAGTCAAGCTCAAAGGTGACGGCCACTTTCTACTATAGGCGGTTAGTGTCCAGCGCTTGATGCGCATGGAAATGTTAAAAGGAAGATTGGAAACGCTTCTTCTTTTTCCCATCTTGCGGTTAGTAGGTCGTCTTATCTGCCTCAAAGCAAGATCAAATACCAATGCATAGCATAGCCTTCCGGTTTCTGTCTCATATGTGATCTCTGAACTGTTCTATTCGTGTCAAAGCAACTCCTAATCTGCTTGTTCTGTAACGCATCAGATAACGCTACCGCTGCGGTCGCAGATCTCAGTCAATGGAGTACGGACATCCTAGCTAAGTGGCCGGACAGGGGGCTTATATCAGGGTGGTGACTGTGGCCTTGGATCAACGAATCAGTCGGGCTTCGTCCGACTTTTGCGAGGGTTGCGATTTAGAAAGAAGCTTGCTTATCGAGTTATTTACTCGGGTTGATGGTAGATTGTCTTACTAGTTGGGTAGGAGTCTGAGACATACGAGGTCGATGATCATGTGTAGCATGAATAATGTACGTAGTAAGCTGAGACTATCGTGTGGGTTGCAATTGGACGCCATGCCGCAACTTTATTATCATGAGGCAAGATGGATCTGGACATCGCATCTTATTTCCGGACGTGGCGGGTGTAAGAGTGTGGCTATCGTGGCTGACTGTGGGTGTCTCTTATCTCTTATCGGGCAAAAATTCAAAAAAAAGTTGCGACTAGGACGGCTCGTTTTCGCATATTCGATCAACCAAACTTTAGATCCTTTCCCTTCGTATACCCTACCTACTACAAAACCCACAATCATGGCCAAGAAGAGAAAGGCCTCAGGGCGCGACAATGCGCAATCGGGTCCCAAGGAACTCGATCCTTCCGATGCCCGCCTTGGACCCATCACCACCTACGAAGATGTTGCCGACTCCGAAGACGAATATTTCATGAACCGAGATCAAATACTGCTCGATGATGAGCCCAACACAAAGCGTCGAAGGAAGGAGGACGAAGACATCGAGCTCTCCGACGAAGAGGTTCTTGGTTATGAGGACTCAGACTCTGAAGAGGACGACAAAGATGAACGGCGCAAGCCTAAAGGTTCCGCATCCAAAGATGCACTCTCGGACGATGAAGCAGGCGAGGATGAAGAAGAGGGTGATTCTGGTTGGTGGGGAGCCTCAAGAAAAGACTACTACAATGCCGACAACATCGAGACCGAGGCCGACGCCCTCGAGGAAGAAGTGGAAGCCAAGCGTCTCCAGCAGAAGAAGCTTTCCAAGATGGCGGAGGAAGATTTCATATTTGACGGCGACGAATGGTTAGCTGAGGGTCAGGAGGGCGGCGAGGGTGAAGAGACAGTCACAGAAGTTCTTAAGGACGTTGAGATCACCGACGACATGGACCCAGACGAGCGATACACACTTCTCAAGAACCGTTATCCCGAATTCGAGCCTCTTGTCAGAGAGTTCCAGACCCTACAACCCACTCTGGTGGATCTTCAAAAAGCAGCTCAAGGCCTGTCTGGCCAGTCGCTTGAAGCCGTCAAGTATTGGGTTGCTGGATGCTACGTTGCTGCTCTCGCGAGTTATTTTGCCATCTTGACATCTCCTGCGCGAGATAATGCCAAGATACAAAAGACCATCGACCCTGCCGAGCTAAGAGACCACGAGGTTATGGAAACCTTGATGACTTGCCGTGAAGCATGGCAGAAGGTGAAGGGTCTCAAGTCAACCAAGAGTCTCGATAACGATTCCATCTCAGATATCGATGACGAGGCACTCATGGAGGGCGTAAAGAACCTCGATGCCGAGGTGAAGAAGATAAAGAAGAGCAAGAAGTCATCCAAGCAAGAAAAGGCTGCTGCCGAGAAACTGGCGCGGAAGCTTGAGAAGGTCAAGGCAGGAGAGGCCGCAGTTGCTGACCTCTACGACCTACCTCTTCCTGGCAAGAAGTCAAAGAAGTCGAAGAAGACTGTGGCTTTCGAACAGGGTGACGACAATTCTGACTTTGGTGAAGAGGATGTTCTTGATGAGCGAACCGCAGCCGAGAAGGCCGCCCGCAAGAAGAGTCTCAAGTTCTACACATCTCAAATCGTGCAGAAGGCGAACAAACGTGCCGGCGCTGGAAGGGATGCTGGTGGTGATATGGACATTCCTCATCGCGAACGTCTTCGGGATCGTGCTGCACGTCTCAACGCCCAGGCTGAGAAACGTGGACAGAAGAACTCCAAGCTCGGAACAGAGCTAGGCGACAACAGCGACGATGAGGACACCACAACAGCCAAGACCGTTCGCAACAATGAGGACGAGTACTACGACATGGTGGCACAGAAGTCGAAGAAGAACAAGGACGACAAGGCTGCACGCTATGCAGCCTATGCTGCCGCCAGCAAGGCAGACCGAGTGGTGGAAAAGGAAGAGCTTGGCGAGGATGGGAAGCGCAAGATCACATACGCTATCGAGAAGAACAAGGGTCTAGCGCCCAAGCGAAGCAAGGACGTCAGAAACCCCAGAGTCAAGAAGCGCAAGCAGTACGAGGCCAAGCAGAAGAAGTTGAAGAGTATGAAGCCCACCTGGCAAGGAGGCGAGCCAAAGGGGGGATACCAGGGAGAGCTGTCTGGTATCAACACAGCTGTTGTCAAGAGTACAAGACTATAGATTTGAATTCATTAGGAACCTGGTTAATAGCGTTAAAGAAGAGGCATCTACACTTTTTTTTTGGTATATTGTTCTTCAGTAGTAGACTGCGTACCCAACTGAATGTAAGTTCCTCTGATTAGGTAGGTAGATTGCACAGACCTAGACATGGACCTTTCAACAGCGGGTCGACCCTTGCATGGCCCCGCCAAACTCCACGTTGCTTGAACAGCTTCCCTTGTTTTAACAAGCACCTTCAAACGTAAATGCCTCCTTCAATAATCGACGACACAGCCCAAATTGGTTCAACAAACCCTCGAGCCGATGCTTATACAAAGGTAACACCAAGCGAATACGATCTACCGCTCGCGCGAGTTACGAACCGACAATGGCCGATATCGACACCTCCAAGCTCACCTCATCCGCCCAGATATTCTCCCAAAATAACACCCTACCCCAGATTCGCGCTATTCATAAGAGTCTCCATGTCGCAATCGAAGAGAAGTCGACCCGGTTACGCACACAGGTCGGGAGCTCGTATCGCGACCTGCTAGGCACAGCAGACACCATTGTGCACATGCGCGATGACAACGATGTTGTCCAGGAGCTTCTTGGCAAGATGGGAGGTCGTTGCGGAAGAGCCGTGATCGGCGCCAAAGCTACGGGTTTGGCCAATTTTGTCACGAAGGAGAACAAATCTGCTGCGTCTATTGCTGCGCGGATAAAGCTCCTCGACGCTTGTGTCTTGGTTGTTGGCCGTATACTCAAGGGCGGTGGTGGGCTGGGCGACAGTGCGAAGAGGGGAGATAGGCTGGTACTTTCTACCAAGGTTCTTGTTCTGAGTCGGCTTTTGGTCAAAAGTCTCTCGGATGATGCAGCTGATCCAAGCAGTCGTCGAGCCATCGAAGCTGCCCGAACATCCGTTAGCAAACTACGACGTAGATTGCTTAGGAATGTCGAAAAGGTCTTCGAGAGAGCAGGCGATGAGGCAGAGAGGGAAGATGTTCAGAAAGCTCTATGTGCGTACAGCTTAGCTACCAGTTCTGGAGCTAGAGACGTACTACGGCATTTTCTCCATGTGAGAGGAGAGGCCATAGGACTTTCTTTTGAAGTGGAGGATAACAATCGCAAGCGGAGTACTGAGGACGTTGTTCAAAGTCTAAAGCTGTACTCACGAACTCTCCTTGATGTGCAAGCCTTGGTGCCAGGCAGGCTATCATTAGCTCTATCTGGGTTGAAGAGCCATCCTCTCCTGGCTGATCCCAGTCTGAAGCAAATTGAAGGACTAAGACTGGACATATACGAGCGCTGGTGCGATGAGGAAATACAATACTTCACACCTTTTGTCAGACACGACGACCTTGATGGAAGCCAAGCTCGTGAGATGCTAGCAGCGTGGTCTGAGAAGGGATCAGAGGTTCTACTCGGTGGTCTCAAGAAGACACTAAGTACAATGTCAGAGTTCAAGCTGATTATGGAACTTCGAACAAGAGTTTTGGAACTTTGGATCCGTGATGGTGGAAAGGCTCGAGGCATTGACCCAGCGGAGATGCAGGATTCCCTCCGTGAGGCCATCAACTCACGCATGCTGGAGGTCCTCGATACCAAGGTCAGTAAGCTTCACTTGGTCGGCTCAGAATTTTCTGCATGTCTTGGAAGATGGAAGGATGGTATCACTGATGAGCATGTGAGCATCTGGAACGATGAGGGCTACGATACGGCTCTTGCAGGTGGTGCCGCGCCGTTTGTTCAAGAGGTCGTATCTCGATTCTACGGCCGAAATGAAGCTGTGTCCAAGACGGCGCACTCTTACAAGGCTTGGTATCATGTCATTGATGATGTCAAGGGTGTTGTCGAGCAGCTTAGGCGGCAACGTTGGGACAATGATTATGATGAGATCGAGGACGAGGAGACTATCGAAGCTAGACAGAAGCTTCTCAGCAAAGATGACCCGCAGATGTTGCAGGAGAGGCTTGACACCACCCTTGATAAGTCGTTTAAGGAGTTGGAGGATCAGATCCAAAGTCTTTGGGAAGAACGAGCCGAATCATCGCGGAACGGCAAAGTGGCCATGTATTTCCTCCGTGTCATGCGAGATATTCGCCACCAGCTGCCAGAGCGTCCATCGATCAAGGCATTCGGCCTCAAGATTGTTCCCTCGCTACATGAGAAGATTGTAGTGGCAGTCGCAAAGCCTGCCCTTGAAGATTTCGCAACTCGGGAAATTTCACAACGCGTTGTGGTGGGTCGACCGCTCTGGGATGGAGAACCAGCATTGCCAAACCAGCCTTCGCCCGAGATTTTCCAGTTCCTTCGACTACTATCCCTATCTATGTCAGATGAAGGAGTGGATCTCTGGACCAAGGCGGCCGTGGCAGCGTTGAAAAAACATTTGTGTGAACAACTATGTAAAACGTGGGAGACAGCCATTGTGGAGAGCTCGAATGGAGAGCTGGACGTACTAAAAGAGCAAGACACCAAGAAAGAGAAACTAGAGAAGAAAGACACGAAGGAAGAAAGCGACAACGAAGACACAGATGAGGAGGAGGAGGATGAAAAGAAGAGCAGTACCGATATTCAACCAAAGGTCGAAGAGCCCACGGAAGAGAAGAAGTTTGGTCTGAGCCCTGAACAGAAGACGGATCTCTTCATACAATGGCTTTTTGACATTGCCCTCTTGCGACGATTCATCGGCAATACAGAGACATCAGGCAGTTTGTTCCAGGCCCTAGAAGATAATGTCTTTCGACATTCCAAATTGGTCGATGCAGCAGCGAAACAGCAAATCGCCAAGTCAGCCAACGATTTCTGGCAGCGTACTAGCTTGTTGTTTGGTCTGCTGGCATAGAGATATGGATAGGATTAGACAATGGAAGACTATTTATACCCTATACACTTTTGATTTATTGAGTTCGGGACATTCGGCGTTTTCATGTGATCTCGTCCTTTTCGACCCTCCTTTCAATAAGTGAATCCGATATCTTCCTCATACTACATTATGGCATCCTCTCCTTTCACATACGACCATAGCTCGCATAGAATACGGGATCCCGTCCGCTCTCCCAGAGTCAAGTTGCGAAGCGCTGGATTAGTAGTTGGGTCGGTGACGACCAGCGAAGTCCCGGTGTTGTATGTCTTTTGTCTCCTCTTTCAGGATGCTCATTTTTGGTGGTCATGTGTGTTTCTTTTTATGTATTGATTACATTGGCGGCGGAAAGGCCTTGTAGTAGCCAGATGAATTACACATCTGAGAACCTCTAGCTCACACTTGGAATGCCATTCCCTCTACAATATGTTACTTGAGGTAGCATAGGGCCGGTGGTGTCCAGGTCATCACAGCTTGTGTCGCTTCGCACCGCTCGCAAGCTTTGCGAACTCTTCCTGAGGAACACCCGTCATGAACCTCTCCAGCCCAGCAAAAACCTCGTGTACGTTCTGCGTATGCATGATATCCAGCTCAGGCTTTCTAACGAGCTTCTTGATCCCGATCAGACTCTCGCCGTTGAGATGATCGCCCAACCTCTCATCAACCTCACGCAACACCCTCGCCCTGAACTTGACATCATTACCCTCGTCGAATATGGCATTGACAAAACCACAGCTTTCCAGTTCCTTGGACTGAATGCGACGGCTCATGAGCAATGCCTCGTTTGATCGTGCAGGTCCAAGGCGTAGAGCCAGAGCTCGCGACGCACCGCCCTCGGCGACAAGGCCGATGGATGAGAAAGGTGTGAGGAGGAATGTTGATGGCGCGCTGTAGATAAAGTCTGCAAAGGCGATGAGAGCAGCTGTAAGGCCTACCACGGGTCCATTGAGACCCACGACGAGAACCTTGGGATGGGTTGCGAAGGCGTGAGTGATGTTCAAGTTATTGGCAACGAATGTTTGTAATAATTGCTTATGCGAATTGGGATCTTCACCAGGCGTCTTTCGAGTAACGCCGACATCAGCCCCTCTAATAAAAGTCAGCTGTACTTGCATTCTTCAATCGATACAGACTGTACCACAGGCATCGCAGCTGGATAGGATAGGATTATATCAGACATAGTAGGGCAGAAGCACTCACGCCGAAAAGTAACGACCCTTTGCCAAGATCACCGTAGTGAAAACTTCTTCATGTGTAGCAATCTCTCGCAACTTTTGAGCAAGATCGTAATATTGCGCAGCATTGAAGGCATTGAGTTTACGCTCATTGTCGATAGTCAAGATGGCAACACGACCGCGATATTCGAGATGTAGGGTAGCCTCTTCAGTCATGATGAGTGTTGGTATGACAATAGTGACGATGTGAAGAACGATAAGCGCTTTGGTAAATCAAAAGATTGTATGTCTAGATAATAACGAGAATATGATGCGCAGTAGATTGAGATTCTAGTATAAGATATAGATATGAACTTTAGATGGGCATTGATTACCCCAGACGTGGCGGGGAATCCACTATGACCGAGATGCCTCGGCATCCACTGAGAGCGGAGACAAAGGTTAACCGGGCATGTCATGCAAGGGTAGACGATCTATGGAGTATTAGCATTATACACACAGAGCCTGAAAGAGAATGCGAGAAGATAGATATATAATTGGCTCTATGTAGAACCCAAATCAATTCCTATGATTCGAGCAAAGGCACCAACAGTCCGCCAATTCACCCGCAAGCAACAAACTCCTTTGCCGAAAACAAGTCTTCACGACGAGCTTGACATGCAATTTCTTTTTATCATCATCAATGTCGGTTCTGTACGTGACCGCACGCAGCTCCAGTCCAACCCCTTCACCTTGAACTTCATCAATCCCCTGAGGAAGCAGAACTTAGTAGCTTTTACTACCTAGGCGGGCCAAAAGTATTTTCATCATTAGAGAGCAAAATCTTTCAAGCGCCAGTCCACGATCAGGAAAGACCAACATATAACAATGAGGCACTAGACAATGCATCTAGTATCCCATCTTTTCAGGGACGCTCTTATCGGCGCTTGGGAACAACGTGCCTCTGCTTAGGGAAGTTCAAAGGCAACGTCAAACGTGCCAGGTGAACCGTGGTCTTGGCATCCTTGTTCGTCACAGGCTTGACACGACCGCCGATCTCGTGGAAGTAGGAGTTCATGGTCTTCTGATCGATCTTCAGGTCATCGCGCAGGTTCTGTGTGTCAACTTCGAAGTTGTCGATGATGCTTGCGAATACACAGCAGTGTGTCATCAACAGATCCATGTGGAACTTTCGCATTTCGCCTCGGTCGGAAAACTTGCGACGAATGCTCTCAATGACTGCCTCAGGGGCAGGAGCCAAGAGCTCCCTAAGCTTCTCTCGCGGTGGAATAGCTCGAGTGCCACGGGCCTTTCCAGGCTTGGTGTGGAGATAGAAGAGCAATACAAAGAAGAAATAGCGTAGCACACGTAGTCGGTCAACAGCATCCTCGTTACCTGCCACCCGGTTCACGCGCGCAGCAACAAAACGCGAAGGTACTTGGATGCTCTCTTTATGCTGCACCTTCTCCTGCCATTCTCGAACTGGCACCAGTTTGAGGATATCGGCTCCAATGATCTTCTTGGGGTCGTAGACGTCTTGGATCTCGGTCGCTTCCAGATTGGCTAAGGGCACAGGCTTGGCCTCGTCCACGACCGCTTGTAATTCTTCTCTCGAGGCCATGGTTGATGTGATTTCTCCAACGGAGCTGAGTATGGCACGACCCGCAGCGTCAATCTTGGTGGGAGAGTCCCCGGCCTTCTTCTGAGGTGCAATCGCGTTCAAGACGTTCTCCTGAATAGCCTTCTTCGCCTTCTTGGTACCAAACGTCTGGCCGAGGTCGGTCTTGAGTTCCGACATGGTCTGAAGCTTGTTAGTGTATCGAACCCATGAATCAAACCGCACAATAAACGTACCTGTTTCATGTTGCGCTCGTTTGAAGCAGCAGCGCCCTGTCTTGCCCGTACTGATGCCCTCATGGTCATCTTCTTTGCCTCAACCACCTCGAGTTTGCCGGTCTTGGGGTCGTAGATTCCAAGAAAGTGATTCATGGCAGGCTTCTCTCCTCTAGGTCCCTCTGCCTTGACTGTATAGTCCATAGTCCGGTGTGCGTTCGAGTGTAGGAGGAAGTCTTTCTCTCCTGCCGACTGGGGCTGCTTGGATTTTGATTTGGCGGCATTGTTGGGCGCATATGCGTGGAATGGAATATTCTTTGGTACTTCAAAACCAACAGCCGTCGCTATATCTCAAGATCAGTATCACACGACGGTCAGGCTTCCAGAGGAAGAGAAGGAGGTTGGTAGTACCTATCACTGGAGGACAGAACTTGGGCCTGAGAACCGAGGAGACAGTCGCTGTTGGGGGAGCCGCATCTATGACAACCTTCTTCTTCGGTTTTGAGGTAGCGTCGCCGCTTCTCTTGCGCTTTTTGTCATCTGAACCCATTGTGTAGATTGTCGCGTTGAAGATATCCCCAGAGTCTGCTGTACTAAGAATTTTTTTGGCAAGGTATGTCCCACCTGCCGGCAGAAAAAGAGGACCCGCTTAAACTCCAAAAGAAGAAGGCGGTGGGAAGCCTGTCGTTGCTCCACCAGAGCAGTGAGTGATAGGGTGAGCTGAGTGCGCAGTGAAACCTTGTCTCAAGCACTTTCAAAAGCTGCCATTCAAATAAACGGTCGGAATTGATAATTGAGTGAAAATATGAAGCTTCCAAGTGGTCGCGAATATAGCCCGATAATATTATCCATAAATTAATATGCAGAAAGTCTGTTGACGCTTGGTGCGACGTAGTATTTGTCTGTTCATCTGCCGGTAGGGACAACGGCGCTAGGCCAGTGACGTCGCACGAGCTGATGAGCAATGGTTTTGCGCACAACAGCCTTTATTATTGTTCTGAAACGACAAAATAGCAATTGAGATCATCAAGGGCAATTAGTTCAACAATAATATGCTTCGAAACAATCGGCGATTGCGAGCGCATCAATTGGACGACAAGCTCGCGTGCGCATGACGCAGTCAGTTAGCTCCGTCCTCAGCTGGTGGTGACAGACTTCACAGGGAACAGGTCATCAAAGGGCACGAGGTTTGGCAGAGGAGTTCTCTGTATTTCTTTGTCTTGATGTGTACCACTCAGGTTTAAATGCATCGCATTTGCAAGCATGCCTGGTGGCCATTAATCCATAACACCGCCTGGATCCTGACCGTCCAGTTGTCATATCCCATCCACCATAATATTCCTTGTATGCCTGAACAGCCGCTCAAGTGCGGGGTCCCAACCACCTGACGTAGCTCCCAAAGTCAAATCCCAGCTCAATGCGTTGTGGGACGTCCCATAGGCGCCAGATTGGCGAGTGCGCAGCTTCGGACAAAGTATCGTTCAGACGTGTGAAGTCGTAACATCATAAAGGATGGATCGAGTCAGGTTGAGGTGCGAGGTGCTTATTTGCTGCGAGGACAGTTAGTGATGGGAGCAAAGTTGACAGAAGCAATGCGACTCACGATCTAGCTCTCATCTTTCTTCTCTTACGCTTGAGGCGGCGAACCCGCTTCTTTCTCCATTTGGCTCTCATCTTGAACGACGGTGCTGATGAAGCTGTTAGCAACTGCGCATGCGAATGCGATATGACATAGACAAGTAGTTCTTGGCGGCAAAGAGCTTAGCTCAAGTGTCTGCCGCAAACTACTAGCCCATTGCCGGGACAGGGCACTTACTCTTTCGAGGTGAGAATGAGAATGAGTTGAGGAGAAGTTTCCAAGATTCGAGCGGCGCGAATGAGCTTTAGAAGGCCCCCCGTACCTTCCTACCTAGGGTACGCAGCCCCTCAGCACGTGACTCTAGAACTTGGGTGGGCGACGAGGATACAGTGCCATGTAGCTGATGGGCACTGCCATATGCACTGTGGAGTGCTTGATTCGGCGGGAGGGAGCGATTCAATTGTTCACGAGCTTGACAATGGGAATTGATTGAGCCGACTTGTTTTCGATGAGGCTTGTGCCCCCTCAATTGATATCAAGTCTCATGAAAAATCAACGCCGTTGCTAAACTTTATGAACTTATGCACTGCACTTGCTATACCAATACATCTTCGTTCACTAACATAGCAAAGCACTTACACCAGCAGACAAGCTAGGATTGCGCCCTGTGAGTCCCAGGCAGAATGGATGAGGATACAGCCCGGGCATCGCAGGAAACACCAGCTGCATACCTTTATCTGGTAGATACCCGAAGCGACAACCAATCCCAGCGTATGGTTTTCAACCCGATTCAAACTTTACTTTCCAGTGGTTCCTTCTAACCTGTTTCTCAGAGTTGTTTCCGATCTGGGAACGCGAAATATTCAGGATTGGACGAGATCCTCGCTCAAAGTGAGTGGCAGACTGGGTAAAATGACCGCAAATGTTGACCACACTCGTAGCACGTTGGCGGTCGATAATGATACGGACACAGCAGTCTCCCGAAACCACTGTGAGATCTATACTGTGGTGTACGAACCAACTGTCAACCACATCTATGTGCGGGATCGGAAATCTTCGAATGGGACCTTTGTAAACGGCCAACTCATTGGTTCTGGTCCAGAGATTAGCTCCGGCTACCTGCTGCAAGACGGTGATGTGATTGAGATTCGACCCTACTAGAAGTTCACAGTCGTTCAAAACCAGCCACCTCCTCGCCATGAGTTGACGAGCCTGCAGCAAGAGGAGTGCAAAGTAGGTCGAACCAGTTCCTTGAATCTACCTGGGTGGCTAGAACTGAATATCGCAGCTATTTGCCAGCAAGTACAGTGTCACAGATCGCTGTCTTGGCCAAGGAGCTGAAGCTGCCGTCTGCCTTGCAAACGATGTCCAAACGGGAAAACAGCTGGTCTGCAAGTTGATCAACCTCGACAAGATCCAGGGAAAGAACGCTCAAGAGGACATCCGCCGCAAGTTTCAAGAGGCCGACATCCTGCGCCAATTGCGACATGTGAGTCAACTCATCTTCTGCTGAGCCCAAGACGATAACTAACTCGACAAAGCCCAACATCCTCCCCTATGTAGATGCCATATCATCTCCGCACTCACTGTAAGCATGAGCCCGCTGCTCACTTCAACCCCAATTGACAATGCTAGCTACACGTTCACTGAGCTTGCCTCGGGTGGCGATCTCATGTCATTCCTCCACCGCCATGGCACCGTCAGAGAACTAGATTCGCGAATCATTATCCGCCAAGTAGTTCGTGGCCTTTGCTATCTTCACGAGAAAGAAATTGTACATCGTGATCTCAAGCCAGAGAACATTCTCTTGGCCTACTCTCCCAAGATTGCATACCATCGAGTTATGCTTTCGGATTTTGGCAACTCTGCTGTCCCTCGGCGTAGTAGAATGCTCACAAATGCTGGGACAACAGGCTATCAGGCGCCGTAGGTAACTTGTGTTCTCAAGATATACAACTTGCTAATAGATATAGGGAGTTCTTGGCAAGCGGGCAGGCCCATACGTCGGCTGTCGATATCTGGTCCCTCGGGGTTGTTGCACTGGTGCTTCTGGCATCTGACCATCACGACACAGAGCTCAACAGGATGGACGAAGAAGAAATTGGGGAGTATATCATGCAAATCTTCAACGTCCTGCCGAAACAGATTTCTTCTGACGGCATTGAGTTTGTCTGGAGCTGTTTAAAAGTAGACCCTTTGCACAGAATCAGTGCCCACGAGGCAATGAGCCATGACTGGCTGTGCAATCCGCAGAAGAACCAGGAATTATACAGACGTATGGACTTCAGGATTTTATCCTCTTGGAGGCCCCAGAACAAGCTCAAGCCCATGCCATGGGTACTGCCTGATCTTGCCCTAAGCAGCCCGCCAACACCTTCGAGAAGTCCAGGATCCTCGACCAGCCAGTATTTTACCACCACGCCTACGCGATTCAAGGGCTCCCCCGGGGAATCTGAAAACAATGCCGACACGCAAGCTAAGCCCGACTCAGGACATGAGCTTGAGGGAGCAGTCCCGACTTTCGTGGTACCCACACGACCATCCGATGCCAATTCTGGAAACCCGGAGGCGTACCTGGCTCAGAAAAAGGTCAAACAAATTCAGCCACCTTGGCAAGACTTTCTGAAGCCCGGCCGTCCATCGACTGTGGATCTCCCATCCAAACGCAGAAGAGTTCCGAGATCCAGTGTTCACGACACTGCAGGACTTCCCTTGCCTGGGCTGGATCGACACTTACGGGCGCCTGCTAAGTACCATCATCGGCAAGACGTTCTATCTGCACTTGAGAGGGCGAACTCGAAGTTTCTCGTCGATAAGAGCCCTAATATTCCAAGCACTCCTTGCGGTACTCTTGCTACTGCTTCGTTAGCGCCTCCAACTAGCCCTAAGAAACGACAGAGTATATACGATGTGAGGGTTGAAGGGTCAGATGGGATCGACATGCTGAACCCGCCTCCTCAAATGAGGCTTCGTTAAAGACGAATACATACTTGGGAGCACTCCTGGGAAACACTCGGGACTGGGTTATTGAGATGCACGGGCATTGATTCTGTTTTCTTTTTGCGGGACATCATGGGAAGACGAGCCGTTGCAGCTCACTGCTCTCACACTAACAACATGGAGACAACACGTGAAATGCATGGGATTACGGATCTGATTGGGAACTTGACTTACAAATGGAAGCGAGTATTTTGACTGATATGGGAAAACATGTCGCGGGAAGGCATCTATTGAAAGAAACGCGAATCAATTTTGTTCTTGCACTCACTACTCACTTCAACTCCCTTTTAGCACAGCCCTTCAAGAAGTCTTGCCATTTCTTGGGCTTGCCATCCTGGTCTGCTGTGTCGTTTAGCTCTTGTTTCTCAGGCCATGCTGGCAGAGGCTGGATGCCTGTCACCTTGCCCTTCCTGGCCAGCCTTCTCAGCCACTTCCTTATTTCATCCTCGAGTGCTACACGAAGTGGGATTTCTGCAAACTTCCATGTCCTCACAACGTAGTCATATTTCCCTGCTCGACGCTTGATTAGGCAGAAGTGACCGTCACGTCTGCATCGCTCGCATCTTTGTGAGTCCTCACTGTTACGTGAACATCGTCTTCCTTTTGCTTTACACTGAAGACAATCAAACATTTCCCCGTTGAACACGGGATCGATGGGACGGACATGGCGATGTACGTTGACAAGATTCGTGGGAAAGCCTTCAACGTAATGCGGAGGCGCTGCGAACCTGCGGCTGACTTCAACCCACTGGATTTTGGCGAGACGTAACTCAAGAGCTTTCATGCGCTTGTCGTACTGCTCTTCCGTCTCGCCCTTTGTGCGCTTCAGGCCGGGGCCTTTAACTACTTTGGCGATTTCCCTATCCATGATGGCATCAACTTCGTCGCTGGAGGGCATCATATTCTTTGCGCGAACGGGAGGGAGAAGGTCATTGTTTTGCAACCTCTCCCATTCTGCCTCTAGCTCTTGCTGCTTCCGTTCTTTCTCCCTTCCTGCCGCCCGAGCGGCTGCGTATTGAGCCTCTAACAGCACATCTTCACGAGCCAGCTTTTCCAGTCGGAGCCTTTCTCGTCGCTGGGCAAAGAGGAATGGGACAGTTGATAGCAGGTCGAGGGGAGCAACTGGCGGTGCGTTGGGGTCCAGCTCATGGATGACCTCGGACAGAATAGCAGAGGGTGAGTTGCAGTTCTCGCTCATGATTGTTCAGTTTGAGTTTGTGCGAGGAGTATCGTGACAACCCAATAAATGTATGCAGAGCATTTATATAGCCTAGGCATAAGACTCTTCATCGAACACACAAAGACGTGTAACAAAATAGTGCATTCATCCTGTCTTTGTTCTGAGCAAATGCCTGAAACGAGACAACATAGCATGAACAAGGCGAGCTGTCACCAACCCATCCGAACGATCGATGTTCGCCCATAGGCCAGTGTTATGTTCGAAGTGAAGACTGAAATCCCCCATTAACTCGTATGGCTGAAACTTCACTACGAACCAAGGTAAAATGTTCCAACCAGGACTCAACAAAGGAGACCTGTTTGTTGTTATTGTTTCTCATTTTGTGCCCTTTTCCCTGGGCATAGACACCCCTAGTCTGCAGTGTTGTAGAATGTTGAACATGCTTCGATCCTAACCTATAATGGTTGGTGCATGCCATGCTAAATATACACAAAATACACCATATCTTGTCTTCGACCTGCCATGTCCTATTCAGGATGCTGGACGTAGCCAGTCCTCAATCCAAAAGGGGTTGAGACGAGCGAGCATATAAAACTGGAAGAACAAAAGATACCGTAGAAGAGAAAAGCGACAAGTAAAACAATGCAAAACGCCGACTTATGAGATGGTCTTCCAGCCATACGTAAATATGACAAATCCGGTACGCCCGCTCCATATAGATTCTGCACTCAAGGACCGTCTGCTGGCCTGCTACTGTGAGTCGCAAGCCAAGCTCCATAGCGCCATAAATTCAAGATTCAAAATAGCAAATAGCAAGACATAAAAGCCAACCAAGATCTTAGAATGGTATGATAGGTATCGTTGTATGAGTCATGACGCTTCGCTATGATTTTATCTTCTCCATTTTAGGAGGATGCGTGAGAAGGTACACTGCGTGGTGTAATATCACCGCTTCGACGACGCGCTGCTTGCTGAAAAGCGTTGGTGACCTTGCTGTTGGCATCGGCAATCATCTGTTGCTTCTTGCGTACTGCAGCAAGTCGTCCCGTGATCATTTTGATCACTATATATTTGTTAGCTATTGTCTCAAGGCGTGCTTTCAGATGACATACTTTTCCGAACGTGTGCCTCTTCGTCACTGTCAAGCTCACCACCGCCCGTGTCCTTGACAGCATCTTGCTCACTCTCTTTACCGGCAGACAGCCTTCTTGTATCCGAGCCTGATTCCTCGTCGTTATCCAATACAGCCTCCAGCATGCGAATGGCTGTAATGTAGGATATTTCGCACCCCGAAAGATTCTCGTTGGTTACTTCGTCGATTGCTGCCGCACGACTCATTTCGAGTGCTCGATCGTACATAAGCTTCTCGGCACTTATACCAGGAGTTAGGTAGACCTCTTTCGTAGCGCCACCTGCAGAGGAAGCTATTGACTCGGTGCCATGATTGGATGGATGACTTGGATGATCTTCAGGCAGTTGCTTCTGCGCCTCCGTGAGTTTCAAACGGACGATTTCCGACTTTTCTAACACCTCGTTGAAGCGCTGTCGAACCCACTGGACTACAGCGTTGATGCGCTGGACAACCGTTTGAGCAGTCGCGGCTGATAGACCAGTACCCATTTCTCCTCGGCTCTTTTTGGACCACCATAGACTGGCGATGTCCATAGCTCTAGCGAGAAGAGTAAGAGACTTGACATACAAAACAAGAGCTTCCTCTGACAGGGCAACAATTGCTTCAGACGTCAAGCCATCATCTTCAGTGGTCAGTTCTTCAGGCTCAAGGCCACCCAGGATGTGGTCAGCTGATGGTGCTAATGGCACAAGCTGCTTATACTTGACTTCGGCGAAACCATAGACACAGTCGCTTCGAGTTGCAAACTCCTCTATAGTTTGTGCAGCTTTAGCATCCTCGTCGGTACTCTGAGCGCCTCTACCATCGCCTAGTAGCCCAACGGGCGCCTGGGGAGTTGGATACGTCGGGAACGCCTGGTAGAGAGGCGGAGATGGCCCCTTAGGCGTGCCTCGCAAAGGAGGAACCTTGAATCCAAACAGACGCAGGCTAGCGTCTTGAATAGCTTTGGAGATAGCGCTCGAGGCCGATCCTGGACTGGCAGAAAGAGCCTTTTCATACGATGATCTCCGGTCATGTCGTCCCTGAGTCACTAGAGCATTGCGAGCTGATGGAGTAGAGATTGCTCCTGTCGTGGATGTGGGTGCTCCCTGTTGCGTATATCGTCGAGTCATGGGGCCGGATCTGTGTGAAGAAGCGTCGCCAAGTTTCTCGTTGGCTGCCAGCTCATCTGCAAGAGCATTGACTTCAACGTGGCGTCTCTCAACAACCACATATTCTCGCTCGAGTGCAACATCTTGAGCCGCCTTCTCCTCCTCCGTAATTGGTGGGTTACTCAGAGTTCTACCCCTGCGTGCCTGGTTAAGAAGAGAGGTAGGGGGCGAGACTCTATCACGACCGATTCCCTTATCCTGGATACGCTGCTGAATAGGAGCAGTCGCCGCATGGTGAGGTATCGGACGACGAATGCCTAAGCCTTCACCAACCTCGCGGGGTGAGTTGCCAGTTGTTCGATGGCTTTCACTTGATTGGCGATGATATCGGCCATCGGCAGGGCTTCCCGTCTGCGGTGACCTTGGATGCTGTTCTCGAGGTGACCTCGAAACAATGCCATCTCGTGGCGATCCGGATTCGGTTTGACGGGGGCTACGGAATGATAACGAAGGCGAACCCCCTTGAAAGGCTGATCTCGGATCTCGGGGCTCCTGCCTGACGGGTCGTGGAATATCGTCCTCCACTAAGCCAGGAATTTCACTGGTAACTACCTGATGCGTGAAGAAGTTCTCAAAGCTAAGTCGCTCGACTGGGCTTCTCTTGAGTAGACTTCGAATAAGAGCCTTAAGGTCGGAACTAATAGTTACCTCCCTGGGGAACTTGATAACATCTTCAGCGGCCTCAATCTTTCTCAATAGTTCCACGTGGTTTCTAGCCCGGAACGGAGGGCGACCTGTGCTCATTTCGTAGAGTACAGTTCCCACAGACCAAAGATCGGCTTTCGCATCATATCGTTCGTATCGGAGAATTTCTGGGGCCATGTACAGGGGGGATCCACAGAGAGTGTCGGCCAGGGAAGTGGAGGGCAGCACACGGGCGAAGCCGAAGTCGGCAAGTTTGAGCATAGGTAAAGATGCCAACCCGGAGATAGGGATCAACGAGTCTTGGCTGGCTTGCATGACTGGGCGACTCCTTTGTTCTCTAAAAGATCGTGAAGGCAGGAGCAGAAGATTTTGAGGTTTGACATCTCGGTGTACATAGTTCTTGAGGCGGAGGAACTCGAGGGCGCTAGTCAGCTGTTTTAAGAAATGTCGAATGACTACCTCATGCAAGCCAGAGTTCGGCGCACTTGGATACTTGCGTGCCATATCATGCGTGGCAGGATGCGTGGAGAGTTTCTCTCTTTTCTTGATAAACAGGGAGAGGTCACCAAGCTCGCAGTATTCCATTATGAGGTTGATGTGGCTGGTTGATTCGAGACAGTCATGGAGGGCAACGATATGTGGGTGGCGTAATGTCTTGAGGATTTGGATCTCGCTGTAGAGGTTCTCCCTAAGCTTCTTATTTAGGCGTTCAAGCTCGACGGATTTGATAGCGACAGCAGCCTTGGTCTCCTATTGCCGCGTTTGTTAGCGATCGGTCTGTATGGGACAAGCCAAGGCGTTGTTATATGTGACTTGTGACACCAAAAGCAGTCCGATAAGCCACTTGGGTGATGCAGCGGCGACAAAGCAGCAACACAACTTGGTGCGATGATAGGGAGCAACTCAAAGGCAGGATGGGAGCTCTGTCGTACCTTATGCCAGCCCAGATACACCTGAGCAAAGCTGCCTTTGCCAATCTCGGAGCCGATGTTGAACTGTCCTACAGCTCGACCGCCCGACTTCCTGGACCCTGAGGAGGTCGAAGACTCCTGCGGGCCCGCCATAGCTTCCTGTTTATTGTTATCGATGGCAGGAAGTAAATCGGATTCTTTGGTAGCCCTCAGGCTGGTGAGGTTCGAGGGTGGTCTGTCGCAGACAAGGTCGGCATGTAATCGATGGATAGGAAGTTGTCGCAAGCGCCAACAGGCGAGATGGAAGAGGCAAGAAGGGAGTAGGTAGTCGAGAGGAAGCTTGTCAAGCAGACCGGAGGCGATAAGGGACGGATGAGAGTACGGTGACGGCTGATGAACAAACAAGCGATCGGCGAGGACGAAAGGACCGCTATGGCTATGGCTATGGACACGGGCGAACAGCCGAAGGCGGACAGGATAAGGCTCCCTTAGCTCGGAGGCAAAGGCAGGTAGAGTCGAGGTAGGTTGGTATCCGAAAGGGTGCGTGGTAGGTATGTATAGAGTATAGACGGGGACTTGACTCGGTGCGCGCCTGCACTGCAGTAACGAGCCAAACACAAGAGTTAGTGTATACGAACGTGGATGTGTTGAACACACGATGGGGCTCGAGAGCGAGGAATCGTTCCAAACGAAAGAGAAGAAAGCAGAGGACAAGTGAAGGCAGAGAATAGAGAATGGGAAAAAGGGACGAACGAGAGGCTATGGGGGATGCGTGTGACAACGATGTGGTGACGGCACAACCCAAGCAACGGCGATCACGGCCGGGGGATTCTATGTATGCTTTCTGGAGGTAGCGTATCCGTAGAGGACCTTGCCATGCGCTGCCACAGGCAGCCAGGCAGAGACAGTCCCGGTAGAGGCAGAAGGGGCTTGCTGGGATGTTGACGCTTGGTCTGGTGCTTGGTGCGACAGGGCAGGATAAGGATAAGAATGCGCCGGGATAGGAATAGGGACTGTACCTAGGACCACTGAATGGAGCCGATGGACAGGCTGGGGGTAGGGCAGGTGACTAACACGGCACCTCAAGGACTTGACAGTGACCTGACCCTCTAGATCCAATCTGATGGCGCTATACGAGCTACAAGCCGCTGACCTGAGTCGGGGACGGATATTCTGTACAGTGCAGTCTGTTACAATCTACCGTACTCGCTCTTGAGCGTGATCGGAGATAGTTCCCTCAAGACGGCGTGGAAGCGGATAGGGCGGTTAATGAAACGATAGCAGCGGTGACTCGATGGTTTGATGCGATGTTATCAACCAAGTCCTAGGGCCCTGAGTCTAGAATTATGCAGGTCGATTATTCGTACATAGACAACCGTTCTAGCTGCTGCTAAAAGGGTGTAGCGCACCAAGGTACGGAGCACAGTAGAGGCAGCAGGACAGGAATACAGAGCGTGTGAGTACGAGTCTGAGCGAGTCTTAAGTCTGAATCTGAGTCTGAGATTGACAGACAGGTTTGGTTGGTGGGTGTTGCGTCACACACGTAAAGTCGGTATCCACGGGAGAGGCGATGGCTGGTGAGAAAAGTTAAATGTATCTCTTTGACCGGCATAAGACTGCAAGATGTTATATGCCCTACTTTTTTATAGGTACCTATAGGGTATATAAGGTTCCTATTAAATAGCTTTTTCTTTTAATATTACTAAAATTATTAAAATCCTTATATAAATTAATTATAATAAGTCTTAATTAAAATAATAAGCTTTTAAAAGATATATAATTTTATAGATAATTATAGCTTTAATAGCCTACCTTTTTAGGTAATTATTAATAACCTTATTTATATACCTAACCTTTTACTTAAAAAAGGCTATAATAATAATTTTTAACCTTTTAAGATAAAAAATTATAATTTTTAAATTAACCCTTTACCTTAATAACTACTTAAATTTTTTATTTTTTTTATATTTTTTTTTTATATAGTTATAAATTAAATATATTAATAACTAGGCTTTTTTTTATATTAAAAATAATATTATTAATAATTAAAATATCCCTATTTTTAATTATTTATATTTATAGGCTTAAAAAGGTATCTTTACTATAATAATTTATATATAACTTAATATCCTTATTTACCTAAGAATTTATAAAGAAATATCCCTTAAAGACTATTAAAAGGCCTCTAGCCTAGGAAATTAATATCCCTTTTACCTATTTATAAAGTTTATACCGTTATAGGAATTTAAACTAATTATATAGTATTTCTATACTTTTAATTATATTAATTTTAATATAAATAATAAAAAAGATCTTCTAAAGACCTTTTAAGTAATTAAAAAGTAATTTAATTATATATAAAAGGTATTTATTAAACTCTATCTTTTAAAGACTAATTTAATTATAAATAAGTATATAATCCCTTTTATAAATAAATTAAAATTAATAATACTTATTAAGGGAAAGTCTATATTAATAGGCTTTAAAGTCTAAGTTATTATATAATAAGGTTACTTTTTATAATAATTTTAATATATAAAGGTATTATTAATTATAGCTATAATAATTAAATTAAAAATATTAAAGTTATATAATAAAAAAGGAAAGTAATAAATTAAAACCTTTTTTAATAATATATAAAGTATTATAATTTACTTACTATAAAGGTTAATAATAATAATATATTATATCTTTATAAATAACCTTTTTTCCTTACTATAACTTTTTTACCTTCTTTAATAGCTTAATTATAGGGCTATAAATATAATATACCTTAATTATAATATTATTACTATAATAAAGTAAATTAAAAAAACTAAAAAGTTTCTTAATAGCTAACCTTTAATATATAATAAGGTATATTTAATTTTAATAATAAATAAATAGGTATAAATAGCTTTACCTATATTTCTTTTATTAATTTATTTCTTTTCTTTCCCTTTAGGTCCTTTAAGTTACTTAAAAGGATAGCTTTATAGTCCTTTTCTTTATAACTATATATAATAAAGCCCCTCTTAATTATATACTAAAAGAGAGGAAATTACCTATTAAAAAAGATATAAAGGTAAAGATATAATACCTAAAGGAGGTCTTTAATAAAAATTAGGCTAAAATAATCTCTATTCTTTTTATTACTATTTAATATAATAATAAAATAAATTATATAAATTATAATAATTAAATAAAATTCTATACTTTATATTAATATTATTTTTAATATAGCCTTTAATAGGTATTACTTTAATTTTTCCTCTTTAATATTATATTTATAAATAACTTTATTTTATAAAAAAAGACTTAATAGCTTTATTAAAAGCCCTATAATATATTTTAAGACTAAAAAGAGACTATTTATAATACTATTTTTAATAAATATAATATTAATAATAATATAAAAAAAAAATTTATATAAAAAAGGAAGAAAATAATAAGGATCTTAAAGTATAATAAATTTATCTATAAAGAGATATTAATTATATTAATAAAGGTAAAAACTTTACTTACCTAGCTTATAAAGGCTATAAATAAAGGTAATTATAACCCTTTAAAAAAAGAAATAAAAAAAAAGGTTATTTATAATTAATATTAAAAAATTAATAGTAATTATAAACCTAATATAGCTATAAAGAATATAATATAGCTATTTATAATATAGTAAGTTATTAATATTTCTATTATATACTAAATTAGGTATGTAAAGATATACCTTAAGTTATACTAATTTTAATTAGCTTTAGATCCCTGTCGTGACCTCGTTACAGTCTTATGCCGGTTAAAGAGATAACTAAGGTCCCGAGGCAGTTGAAATGAGAGACGCTGTGTAAGCGGAGGACAAAAGAAAAGCCAGATTTCCACTATTACTAAGACAGAAACCAAGAGATTTAAACCCTCATAGGTTGGCTTTAGTTAAGTTGAGTTGAGTTGAGTTGAAATAACAGTTAAGATAAAATAAAGTGGAAGGAACAGTGAGTAACTTGTACAAGGACAAGCGATTCGGGTTTCTAGAAGGGGGGAAAATGGGGGAAAATGGGGGAAGTGGCAGCGTGCAGTGACTGGGTTGCCTACAAGTAGCCCTGGAGTACCTACCTACTCTGTACGGACTACGGAGCACCTCTTTAGCGTATGAACTGCCGCAGGTGTCAGAGTCCTGGAGGCTGGAGCACAGGAGCATCTCTCTAATTGGCAAGGATGACAGATATTGGGTGGAGTATCCTTACATGGGATTTGTGTGAGAATCAGCCTCAAGGTACAAGTTACAAGTTACAAGTTACAAGCTACCTCTAAAGTATCGCTCAGAATGACAGCCTCAATCAAGCAAGCCTGGTGGATGGAGTGTGGACGACTGAGACACACACGCAGGGGATCGTGGGAGATGCAGGCGCTAGGTAAATATTGATTGAGTGACTCTTACTCTTTGAGACTTGAGACTTAAGTCTAAAATAGGCAAATACGTACCTAGATAAACAAGAGACACCAAACCAAAGTTCTCAAAAAGGGTCGAGTTTGCGGGGGATGCTTGCCCGTGCTTGTGGTTGACCCCGTGATACACCCCCAGACCCCCGAGCAAGCCAAGCCAAACCAAACCAAACAAACCCAGGCTAGGTAGGGTCAAAAGCAAGGGCGAAGAGACGAGACGAGAGAGGAATACTTGGTAAGAGAAGCGTCCAACAAAAAACCTGGAAGAGCCCAAGCGATAAAAAGAGAGAAAGACATGACATGGCATGGCAAGTGAGTCAGTCAAGTCACATAATTACATTTCTAGGCTCCCTTGTTAAGAAATCATGCGGTGGACGATAACGATATAAACGATAGCAGCTGCTGCAGAGCTAGACCGTCTAGGGGAAAAGTCCTTATCTGCTTTTAGACTCCCGTCCTGTCAGCTTCGTGACTTTGCCATGTCTCGTGAGTCGTTCTGCTCTGATGATGCGATGCATCCTTTACGTTTATTTCCCAAGTGTGAGAGTAAATTGTGAGGTGTCCCCCTTTTTGGCCAAACTCAATTTATTTCAGGTATCCTACTACGCTACTTGACTTAACCTACCTTGTCTTGCTTGGTCAACTTGGTTGGATCTCGCAAGGTGTATTTCGCCCGTAGACAGGCAGATACTGTACCTACCTCTGTACATGCTCTCTCCTAGTAGCAGTGGACGTCTGTGCCGAGGTCGCCCGGCCCCACCACACCTCTCACACACCCACTCTCTCCGGGCAGTTCTCTGCTGCTTTACCGAAGCTTCAACCTTGATAGTGTATGTAAACAAGTTACAAACAGTGCAGAATAAGATGAAACGCTTGAGTTTAACATGGGCTACTCCATATTGGAAAAAGGCCTGTTTTGTTTTATGTTAGATCCATGAATATCAAGAGCATACGAATAGTGGAAATGTACGGATAACCATACTGCAATTACACCCAACCTTTAACGAACCGTTATCGACAGCCACCAAGTCAGTCCAGTGAAGAGCATTGGATGATCGTCACTGATGGTCTATGAAAAAGATAGGACAAGCTCCGGGCCGGCGACTGGAGTATTATGCTGTCCAGAGATTGGGTACGGCTTAAACAGAGCCAAGCTCGTGCTCGTGCTCATGCTCATGCTCATGGCGAAATATCTCTTGTTGATACTGCAATCCCCATGTTCATCACGCAAACAGCATGGCGTCAGCGGACACTCACTCGCTCGTAATAAAAAGGGGCGTTTCCACCATTGTTGTCTCGCTGCTCATAATATGCACAGTACCGTACTCCGTAGTCCCCGTATGATGAATAGGTAAGGCAAGGCAAGGCAAAGCAAGGCATGTATCCGCCTGGCCAAGCAGTGTTATCATGCCTGGCATGGTCTACGCACGCATAAAAGCACCCTGCAAGTCCTTGTTCCTTTTTAGGAAACTAAACGGACAGGGGGTTTCTTTTCCCCGACTTTTTGCTAGTTTAGCACAGCATTGAGACTCTAGAGGAGAAGGGTTGGCAGACTTTACTCCCTCCCGTCTTTCATAGCAGTAATTGGACCAGCTTGAATGTGGTGTTTCCGAATTTTGGTGATGGCTTTCGACTTGTGCTGAGACAAATGCAACGCAGATAGTTAGGAACAGAAGTGTCCGACTTTGGTGTGCATTGTTGTTTATGCATAACTTATCAAGCCAGCTGAACTTTTGCTTTGGAATCATCAACCATTACAGCTCGGAGAAGAAGAATGAGAAAGAAAAAAGGAACGAAAGTCGCCATTTCGCTTAAACTCAAAATTGAATCAATAATCGCGACAAACAAGACGCAAAATACCGTCATCATTCAAGCTCAGCTCGTCATCTCCCGTCCCAGATCGACGCTCGACACTCGACACTCCCTGTTCCCTAGCCTAGATTGACTGGTCGTTCCCCAGCCGCTAGAATAAACGAGCATGTTGCCTCGTTAACTTTAAAAAAGAGAGAAAGGAGAAAGAAAACGAATAGTGACGCCGACATAGGACAGTCACTCAAGTCTAGCCTCGACTGATTAGAGTCGTTTGAATCTTGGGGTGGCACAAGTTTCCGATAGACCTCGACTATCTATCTCTTGGCGTCCCTCCAGGGCATCTCAATCAAGTTAGTGAAAACCTGGAGAAAGGCTGTCTCTTATCTATTGATCCTTTGGATCTTCTTATCATAAATAGATGCACATGTGCTCGCTCTCTGTTGTTGTCTGGCAACCTTCTCTCTTGGGCAATACCGAGAAACCCACCGAGTTCCGGATGCATTCTCTTGAGTTAACACTGTTATCCCATTGTCCCATTCCTCTTGTAGGACCCCCCACGAGCACTCGGACTTTTGTGTGCCTGGCTAAGAACCTCCAACCAACCACACTCCAAACACGTGGATCTACTCAGCGATAACTCTTCTCATCCCTCAGACTTCAAACTAGCCACTCACGACTCTCTGCATGTGCCTCGATGTATGTGACGATCCTGCGGTTTGCTCGATCTGTAAATTTGACCAAATACTGTCACATTCGACAAGTCTCACGAGAATCCACCATTGTGATTCACGGTTCACCCTCCTGTACTCCGTACATGTGCTGTAACTCGACTAACTACCTACCTACATCTCCACCTACTGAACCAGATAGCATGGATCCGATCGCTCAAATAATGTAAAGCTACTTCTCAGCCTGTCACAAACAGTCTCATTACCCACCCTTCCCCCCCTGTAGTATCTCTCAAGTAACACTGCCAGCATCTCCCTCGAATCATACAATTAACCAATACATCATGTGTCAGGCCTCAAATAGGCAAACCTTTCAAGGACCAGCCATCCCCCATCACCACATCCAATACCGCATGCCACGCGTTCAACAAAAAATACAGTGCATGATTCCTGAAAAGCTTCTGCGTTACAATTTGAGCTCCCGCATGCATGTTTACATACGGCCCCAAGTGCCGCCGGAACAAGCCGTCGAATCGGTGGCTTTCCTCCGATCCTCCTGCCGTGATTCGGGGCCCCGTAACGCCGTGTTTCGAGATCTACCGGACGGTAAACACGGATCCGATTACGGGAGTTATCTGTTACAGAAACACTCGTAATATATCGTTTCATAATCTGCTTCATTGCCGTAAACAGTGCGGGTCTGGAAACATGCTCATATATACCGTAAACGTGATTAACCCGCCCCATGGTGAATTATCTGCAACGAGTCAGGAAATGCGGTGTGCCTAATAGCTAGAGCAGCATAATACTAGGACAAAAGTCAGTACAGTCAGCCGTCACCCACACGTCGCTCCTGTTGCCAAGCGCACTAGATGTCTTGTTCGAGATTAGTGAAGTATGTTGTCACGTATTTTATGTAACCCTGTTGATCATCTATCTGCATACATCATGTCTCATGATGAAATGGCGATCTCATGGTTGTTATTGTGTCATGCCGGAGTAATGGAAAGAAATCCTTGACTTTTGAGCACAGATAGTGCCATAGTGCAGAGAGATAATCTATCAATGTGAGGCTTCAGGTCCGTAATCATATCATGACTGACGACATGAGTTGCAACGCAAAGATACTACATTTTACCGGCTACAGGACATTACAACAATAACACATTTTTGGCTCAGTGCCTCTTTGTCCCAAGAATCGTGATGCATATAGCAACGGCTACAGGGACAAAGGCTACAAAGAGAGGCAGATTATTTCAACAATTTTATTCAATCCGGGTATTCAACTTTTTCAAAGCTACCAACCGACATGGAATCCCACAAACGCCTACCAGGGTTTTAGTCTCCAGCTATGCAGTCGGGACAAACATCATCTCGCTATGCTTTCCGAGCATGATACTCGGTGGCTATCCAAAAGACACAAACGCCATTTTCCTCCCTTTTAACCTGTCATATCCAGAGCTCGCGCTCATAACTTATAACTCTTGGTCCAAAACCACACTTAATGGCCCTTGGCAGGCTCGACAGTGGGAAGCTCCTTGATGGCCTCGGCGATGATATTAAGGCCCTTCTGGAGCTCCTCCTCGGAGATGACCAGAGGGGGGGCGAAGCGGATGATGTCGCCATGGGTGGGTTTGGCCAAAAGACCCTTGCTCTTGAGAAGTAGGCAGAGATCCCAGGCAGTTCGGCCGTTGGTGGCAGACTCATCGATGACGACGGCATTGAGGAGACCCTTTCCTCGGATGGTCTTGAGGATAGGGGTGTTGAGAGCCTTGAGGCCGTCGCGGAACATATTGCCCAGCTTCTCAGCCTTGGCAGTGAGGTCCTCCTCCTCCATGATCTCCAGAGCGCGGATGGAGACGGCGCTGCCCAGGGGGTTTCCGCCGTAGGTAGAGCCGTGAGTACCAGGCTCGACAACCATCATGACCTCCTTGCTGCCGAGGACGCAGCTCACGGGGTACATACCGCCAGAGATGGCCTTTCCGAGAGTGACAAGGTCGGGCTTGATGTTGGCCCACTGGGAGCAGAGCATGCGTCCAGTTCGGCCGATGCCAGTTTGGATCTCGTCGCAGATGAACAGAACGTTGTGCTTGGTGCAGAGAGCCTGAACCTGGGCGAGATAATCCTCGTCGGGGACAACGACACCGGCCTCACCCTGGATGGGCTCGCAGATGAAAGCGGCAGTCTCCTTGCCATGAGCCTCTAGAACCTCTTCGAGATCGGCAATGTTGTTGTACCGAATAGGCTTGCCAGTGCTGGGGTTGACGGCACCGACGTTGGGGACGTAAGGACCGTAGTTCTCTCTTGACTCGGGGTCGACTGATAGAGTGATAGCAGTCATCTAGAGTGTGCTGTTAGCTCATATGATCCAATCGTTGTCATCGTATGTCGGGACTTACAGTTCGGCCGTGGAAGTTATCGGAGACGCCAAAGATCCAGGCCTTCTCCTGGGGAACGCCCTTGACCTTGTATGCCCACTTGCGGGAAATCTTGATGGCAGTCTCGACGGCCTCGGCACCAGTGCACATTGGCAGAACCATGTCGTAGCCAAAGACGCTGCGGACCTTCTCAGCCCACTTGGGAAAGACATCGTTGTAGAAGGCTCGGGAGCTGAGAGTCAACCGACTGGCCTGCTCAGTGAGAGCCTTGATGAGCTCGGGGTGACAATGGCCTTGGTTGACAGCGCTGTAGGCGGAGAGGAAGTCGTAGTAGTGGCGGCCCTCAGGGTCCCAGACGTTGATGCCCTCGGCGCGGGCGAAGACAACGGGGAGAGGGTGGTAGTTGTGAGCGGCGTACTCCTCCTCAATGGCAATGGCCTTGTCGGTTGAGGTGGCGTGGAACCGAGAGACGGAGTTCTCAGCGTGAGGAGACATGGCTGCGATGTGCGATGTGTGTTGTGTGACGTCAAGGTGTTGTTGATATGGTGGTAACGTAGATGGTAGAAAGTGAGCGTATCGTCAATGTGATGACTTGTGGTTGTTGTCAAGTAGAATAAAGAGAAGAGAAGAAGAACAGTTCAATATTTGAGGAGGACATGGCTGCTCTTTTAAGACCGAAAGCGGCTGATGGACGTTTGCCGGCAAACGGAGGCTTGTTGCGGATGAGACCGAGGGAGAGGAAGAGAGAAGAGGAGAGAATAGTATAGATTGGATAGTCTTAGGTAATTATTACAGCAGAAACCAACGTTGTAAGCTTGTCTCTCCAGAGATGTTTGTCGACACTATACCCCTAAGTGCAAGTGGGAGCGACAAAGCGTGGGAGGCTGCGGGCGTGAAGTTGAGAAGATGAGGTTGTGATGAATGTGATTGGATGCGAGGGGAGGCGGGATTGGGCGGATGACTTGCCGCCACAGGCCGAGATGCTTGTGTACCTACCTATGTCTTGTCATGACATGATGGGAAGGAGAGGGGTAGTTTACTTGTAGCCTGTAGCCTGGAGATAGGTACTAGGTAGTCTGTAACTGTAGGGCTAGTTATCGCTAACGGATCATGTTTGGGGCTCTGACTTTGACATTCACTCCCATTAACGGTCCCCAAAACGTATGTAGAATTACCTTATTTAGTCTACGCCGTCATACTGAATATCCGACCCCGTGTCATTGTCATTGCCATTGGAGATGAGGTGCATCCATCATGAGGAGGCTCTGCTCTGTTCTGCCTTTGCTGTAAATCCCAGGGCCCAGGTAGGCTTAGGCGGCTTTAGTGACAGCATAATCTGGGGTGGGGGAGGACAATGAGGGGCCACCTGACAAGGATTCAATGCAGGTTTATGCGTAAAGACGAGCCTATCTACGGATATTTCTTGGGTGGCCAATGAAGAAATCAGTATTACCACGACCTGCGAACAGTTGATGTTGTTAGTAGAACAAATGCAGTTTCACTGTAATGCAATGGGGATACATAGACATGAACGACTTTGAAAACAGATACTGTCTTCCATAGTTACGTTACTACGTTTGTCTGTAATTGTAAGAGTGCTACGGGACGGGTACAGCCAAGCTATTGAGTAATAATAACTCAACACCTACCGATTCACCATCATACGAACCCCCAACCCGTCAATTGACCTTACTGCGTAGATAAAACCCATCTACGTCGGCCAATTCTTGGCTTCTCGGCCTTTACCGCCAAATGCCGCCAGATGCCGCCGGTTCCGCCAGCTCCGCCTCTCATAAGCGGAACCTGTCTTAACGCCGCCTTGATTTGCATTAGAAGTTGTTTCATGATCCGAACTTGACATGATGGGAATTGAAGAGTTGGAGGAGATTCCATGTGGCCAATAGCAATAGCCACTATTTGTAATACTCTTGTCTACTGCATTTTGTGCCATAATGTTGTGTTTCCGTTAGAAATAGAGGCTGTAGTAGCACCAACGTCACTCACTCACTGCAAGGCCACATGACAGAAAGTTGCCAACCAACAAGCGACCAATTAGCGTCTGAGCCTCACTCTTCCAATAACAAGTTGTCTCGATAGCAGTCCACCCCCCTATATCGATGCACTATACTAAACCACCAACATTTACAACACCCACGACATGTCGTCGGCGACTGTTTCTAGAAAAGTCCTCGATGAGGTTCGTAATCAAAGGAACAGATCTGTCTTTTTGCGAGACATCATCGTCATTCGTCTTATCAATGCTTGGTGGATCGCCACCTTTTTCCAGCCAGATGAGTTCTTCCAGTCTCTTGAGCCAGCTTGGGATCTGGCCTTTGGCTCACAGAGCGGTGCATGGTTAACTTGGGTATGTTTTTTATGATTCATGATTCATGGTTTATGGTTCATATATATTGCATTTCAATTGTATCACTGGTTTGGTTCCTATGTCTATCTCACGGCCGGCAATTTGGCCTACCCACACTTACACCCTCAACTCACTCATCTACATCACCATATATATCCAACAATATCAACTCGAATTCAACTCGTCTAACTAACCAAAACTTAGGAATGGAGACACCAACTTCGTACTTCTCTCCACCCAGCCCTCTTTGCCGGCGTCTATCTCATTGCCGACTTCGTCTCCAGTCATATCCTCCCTTTAGGTATCCTACGCGCAGTCATCCTCGTTGCAGCTCCTCGAGCTTTCCAGGCCGTTATTGCTGGCCTCGGTGACTGGTACACATGGCAACTTGCCGTGTCTATATACGGAGCCAACAGTAATGCCTCTTTTTTCGCCGTAAGTTGTTCTGAATATTAGAATACACCCAAGTTCATACCCATGACTGACTCAACTCATCACACCAGCTCTTCCTACAGCTCTTCAACCCCTGGCAATGGTATTGCTGTACACGCACCTTTTCCAACTCTCTCGAGATGACTCTCACCGTTATGGCTCTGTACTACTGGCCCTGGGACCTTCTCGGTGCTGCCCAGACGGTTAAGGAGAATCCTAAACACTCGCCTGTTCTAAAGAGTATCTGGTCGCTTCGTGCATCTCTCTGTCTCGCAGCTTTGGCCGTGGTTCTTCGACCAACCAATGCGTTGATTTGGGCGACTATTGTTTTCTTCACCCTCACCCGCATCTCATTCCAGGGTTCTTCTCCCCTAACACTCTCGACTGTCGTGACACTCGTTCGTGAAGGAGTTCTTTGTGGTTCTTTAATTCTCGCCATATCTGCCGCCTCAGATCGTCTGTACTTTGGCTTTTGGACGTTCCCCGCCTACAATTTCCTCAACTTCAACCTCTCCAAGTCCCTTGCTGTCTTCTACGGCCGCAACCCCTGGCATTACTATATCCTTCAAGGTCTCCCCCTTGTCTGTACCACCAGTCTCCCCTTTGCTGTTGCAGCCCTCTACAAGCCAGGTGCATTCGCCGCATCGACAGCCCAATCTAATATGCTTAAGACATTGGCATATACCGTCTTCACGACCATTGGGGCTCTATCACTCATCTCTCATAAAGAGGTTCGCTTCATCTATCCTCTCCTTCCGGCACTCAGCGTCCTCGCTGCTCCTTTTGCCGCCTCATTCTTCACATCTCAACCTAGTCCTACCACCAACAACCCCCGTCCCCGGCCTCACCTCCGCAACAAGCACTATCTTCTTGCAGCTCTGGGCGTCAATGTCTTTCTTGCAGGTTATCTCTCTTTCTTCCACCAGTCAGCTCCTCTCAACGTTCTCACATATCTCCGTCGTGAATACGAGCGCACCCATCCGGACTCTGTTCAGCTTGCCCAGTCCTCTCACTTCTCTTCTCCGCCAGAGAAAGACGAAGAACTATTTGCCCTCTTTCTCATGCCCTGCCATTCTACACCCTGGCGCTCACACTTGGTTTACCCTGGCCTGCGAGCCTACGCACTCACCTGTGAGCCTCCTCTTCATACGGAACCCAACACTCCCGAACGAGAGAACTATCGTGATGAGGCTGATCGTTTTTACGATAACCCTATCCCCTTCCTAACCTCTGAGCTATTCAGTCCAGCAAAACCTCTCTCTATTCCTCGCTACATCGTCGGATTCGAAGGTATCGAGCCATGGCTACAGGACTTTGTCAAGACACAGAAGGCACAGTCCCTTGGTTTGACACAGGTACGCACTGTGTGGAAGGGCTTCAATGGCTTGTTCAACGAAGACTGGAGACGTTCAGGCAAGATGATTGTCTGGGACACTGGCGTTTTCGAGAATGGACTCCCAGCAAAGGACTTATAGGAAATATCTCTTCCACGATAGACAAAAGATTTGGTGCATGCTGCTATCAAATGTATTATAAGAAAATTCGCACGTAGTTACGGGATATAGCTCCCGTTAAGCAAAACATCCATCAACCATGATACAATCGTTTAGGGTTCCATATCTTTTTAGTAGTGGCCTGTACTCCTTGACTAAAACTCCCCCAACCCGCTTAAACGAAATAAAGCTCACCATCACACCAAGCTACATTACATGCATGTAATCGACTTATAAGGGTGGTAGGAGGGGTCTAAAACGATCGAGTCGATCAACCCGTCGCCCGCATATCCGTCATGCTTTCCATCTCATTCTCCCTATGACATAAGAAAAGTTTGTCACCAGGGTGACATTACCGCAATCATCGTAAATACCCCTCCGAGTAAACGAAAGCACGGCTCATTGCCTATTGTTCCTGTTTCGGTGCCTCTGGCTCTGGCTTAATTTCCTGTTGCTCAGCACGTGTCTGCTCTATTGGTGATGATATAGGTGATGTCATAGGCGCTTGTTCGGTGGCTTGAATTGGCTTCTCCTCCAGCATCGGCTCTTTTGGAAGTTCAGGCTGAGGTTGTTCCCGAGGCTGTGTAGTTGCAGAAACGCTAGCCGGGGCCTGAGCTGAGACTGGAGATGACACTGGAGTCGTAGCCGGCACGGTGTCGACATCAAGCATAGAGATAATCTTTTGAGGGTACTGTGGAACCTGAGGCTTTTGTGGTGTCGCCTGGGCTCTAGGCTCAGGTTGAGGCTGCACGGGCGACTGAGGCCCATTTTGAACTGGAGACTGGATTGGCGACTGAACCTGAGCCTGAGGTCCGGTTTGAATTTGAGTTAGCAATGCCGGTGAAGCCTGAGCTTGAATCTGAGCTGGCGGCGGTGATTGGGCTTGAGCATGGGTTTGCTGAACCGGCGATCTAGGTTCAGGCTGAACCATTGTAACTGTGGCTGCCTGAGGGGGTTGTGCCCCTGTAGAGGCCGTTGTCACTGTTGGGCCTGCAACTGCGGCCGTGGTGGAGGCAACAGCTGGAGCATCGGCTATGGCTGCTAGTGAAGCATGCTGCGGCTCATCTCTCCTGAGTTCCAAACTCTTTCCTCGAGGTGGGAAGCTTGTAGCACCCAAGCCAGGACGGTCGGCAGGAGGAGGAGACTTGGCCCTCCTTTGTTCGGCGCTTTCCTTTGCTTCACGATACTTGCTTCTGATCCATCCTATAGGACCTTTGGAATCACTCTCTCTGCCTTGATCGAAGCTACCTTGGGCCTCTCCAGGCATGTAAGGCCGGTCTGAGCTCTCGCTTTTCCGAGGCCTGTGGCCAGAGCTTGAGATTGACAAGTTGCTGACGTCGCCGTTATCGTTCTGCCCGAGGCCCAAGCGGGGTGAGGTGACCCCAGCAGATGAGACGCTGTCGGCATTTCTACTCCTTGATAATCTCCAACGTCTCTTTCTTTCCTTCTCTGACTGATCCACAGTACCGACGGATTGCTCATCAAGAATCTGATCCAAATCCGAGCCTTCGTTAAAAGACGAATGCAAGGATGTCGGTGGCGACTTTTTGGATTTCAGTGTGTTGTCGGGGTGAAGGCTTTGGTTTGACGACGCTTGCGATACTCTAGGGGTATGCTCAGATGAAACATCACTTTTCTGTTGTGTAAGAGAACCCGGTGCGGATTGAGCCTCCTGGGGATTTTGTCCCAGCAGTCGGTCGTTCGACTGCGTCTGGGGCTGCTGTTGCTGCTCCAATACCTCTTGGTGTCGCTCTTCTAGAATTGGAGCAGGTTGTTGCGGCAATACATGACTCTCCGACTCGTAATACTGCGGGTGGTCCATGGGGTTGGGGAGTTCTGCCCCAGGAGATGTCGATGCTGCATTTTGGTATGTATATGGCAAGGAAGCAGCAGAACTATGTGCGCTTGGGTTTAAACTTCCAGGTATCCTTTTCTTCTTCAGTTTGTTAGGTTGTCTCTTGTCCCCAGTGTCGGTATTGGGCAATCCACGGAAGATGTTGGGAATATTTCGCTCCTTGGATGGTGTAGAAGACTCTGACGGCACTTCAAGAAGTCTCTCATGGCTACGGCCTGTGTTCGTAGCCTTGGTTGGGGTAAGGTAGCCTCCGGAAACAAAATCGTTTGATCGTGTCGATTGAGGAGACTGATCTATACTCTCTGTGGCGTTAACCTGAGTCAGGGGCTCGAGGTGGGCAGGGGAACGAGGGCCTGACCCATCGTGCCTCTGGAACCGGCCAGCCCCGATAGCGGGTGACTTCTTAGACGGTACTGTGTTACTCCTGGCCAACCCACCTGTTGTCGGTGTTGCTGTCAAGGCTGGACTGTTGGGCGTGGAGCTTCCATCATTCCTGGAGTTCCGCGATGACACCGATCGGTTTCTTCGAAGCTTCCCATCTCGTCGGACGCTGTTGGCACCTGCGCTGGCGTTTGATGCTGATCGACCTAGACTTGTTTGTCGAACCGGTTGCGGGGTGAGAGGACCGCTAGGAGTGCCAGACTCCACCTCCTTCTTGGTCTTTTCATCTGCAGCAGTGCCTTGCATACCAATAAGGAAATGGTCTTGGTTTTCAATCAAGAAAATGATTACACATTGGTTGAGTCGGTATTCCTCGGGAGCCATAGCATGTGCCGGGTGTGAAAGCATACCTGGCTGGAAGATGGCTGCCAAGTTTTGTGAGTTCATGCGATTCTCGTCTGCTTTAGCCGCAAAAACAGCAAGGAGATCGAGAATGTAGAGAAGCAGCTGTCGGTTTAAAGGGGGGAGCTCAGTGATGAGCCGCTGATACTGTATAATAGCTGCTTTCTCGTTGAAGTTTTCCACAAACTGAGGGCCCTCTGCGTCGCCTACAGCTTGCTTGGTTGCGCCTCGGAGGGGGTCGCGGAATTTCTCGTACAGGTCGAGGGGGACGACAGGTTCGGGGAGATCGTTGAGGTATCGTCGCAGAACATTGGCAGCATCGTGTACCGTGTATCCATCCCAGACAAGACCCTTTCCGTATCTATCAGGAGAGTCGAATATGGTTTTTAGCTCCTTTATCCTCTTTTCCGAACCGCTAAGACGGAAAATTCCTTCGACGTGGGTAGCTGAACGACAGTGTCAGCGTGAGTTCCTCGTCAGCCAACGCATGCCTACCTTTTTCTTTGAGAAAGACGCCACATTTTGCAACGACAATGGGTACATAGCCGTAAATGTAACTCTGCCCCTTTTCATCGATGAGCGAGATGGCAACATTTGCGTACGTTATACTTTGCCTTAAAGGCACACCGAAGATGCCTTGTGGTCGGGTTTCTAGAAACGCTCGAGTCAGATATCGGATGTAGCAAGTAGGGGGTTAGAAGGACTGCGCGTGGGTTTCTTGATAGTGGGCATTATGCTTGCGACAGACTCAGCCAAAGGCGTTGTCTTTCGGGTACTCCGCATGAATAATCAAGCGCATCGCAACGAGCAATAGTACTGGGACTATGTTGTTTTTGTAACGATCCAACTTGGAACTCGGCAGGGTTGCGCAGTAAGCAGCAAGAGGGGGAAATATCATACCCTGGGGTTCCTGATGCTTTGAAGGGAGTTTGAAACCCTTCCACCATGATTTGAGATCGCGCTTGCTGGGCGGGGATGTTGGGTTGTTGATTTGGAGGGTTGGCGGGTTGGCCTGGTTGGGATTCGAAGCAGCGGAAGTCATGATGAACGGCTGCGCGTGCCAGCGGCGAAAGAGACGACTGCGAAGAAGAGAACGAAAGTGAGGTGACGAAGGACGTTACAGCTGGGCCGGCCCAGTTGCCAGAGTCACGATGGCTGGGCCTCAGCCTCAATCGAGGTCGAGGTCGAGGTCGAAGGTGCAGCGACGAGGTGCGCTGAGCGGTGACCCGGGAGTCGTGTTTTGGTAGAAAGCCGGGTGTAGAGCGCCGGGCGGGGTGGGCTGAGGAGGCGATCGAGAGTGATAGGCGACTGCAGGACAAAGATGCGATGCGTGGCTAAAGATCAGGAGCTAGAAACCTGAGCCTCGAGCTGCTCAAGCGAGCGAGCGAGGGAGTCGAGGGCAACAATGTGCGCGCCAGTCTAGGATGAGACAGATCGGTCGATGATTGGTAGCGTCAAGGGCGTCAGAGCGGTAGGGCGTCAAGGCGTTAGGCGCTGGCCAGGCCTGGCTACAGTAGGTGAGTTGGCAGGTAGGCGGGCACAGTAGTATCCAATTCTTGGCTATGAGGCAAAGGTTGGCGTAAGCAGGAGTCAAAAAGGGCAAAAGAGCACGACAGTGACGGTGGTGAACGAAGTGGTTGTTGGTTCTGAGAGGCGATAAAAGAAAGAGACGTTTCGAGCGGGTCAAAGCTGTAGATTATCGCTCAAGTCGATGATTGTCGCGTAGCAGCCGTCGAGGAACAGTTGGTGGCATCAAGAGCGAGCGAGAGGGAGTAAGATTAAAGAAATCCAATCCAATTGACACGAGGCGGGGGGCACCTGGGGACTTGGAGACTTGGAGAGAGCTGTTGTTGTAGGTACACACGGCGTATCGTAGCCCGTAGCCGTAGCGTTAAGGTAGCGAGCGGTACTGCCCGTCTGTGTTTTTGTGGTCTGTGGTCTGTGGCCTGGGGGGGGAGCAACAAGGGTTGAGCGGTACCTACCTAGGTAGTATGGAGGTAAGCCAAATATGGGGGATTAGCGAGCCCGTTCTGATGCCCGGGCAAAGTGCGATAACAAAAGCAATTCTCAAAAGAAGAAGGAATTAGACGTGATTGTTGGAACCATCTGTGAAAAGGACTCGCTTGACGATGAAGGCAATAAGGATGGCTTCCCGTTATGTAAATACGGTGGTAGGTGGCGAGCAAGATATACTGCAGAATACGACACTGTACAGTTATATCTTGGCAGTGTCTGCTTCTTCTTCTCTCTTTTTGTCGCCTCTCAGATGTTGAAGGTCAAATATCAGGCCAGTAACGAAACGAATGGAGGAAGAAAGTTGCTGTAAAGGCGGTACCTGGTAGCTGGAGATGGGTTGTTCTGTCTGTACCTACTAAGGTACTGAAACTGGACAATAGCACCTCAGTGAATTAATATCAGGGTAGCCTGATTGGGACGAAAGCGAGTGACCAAGCGAAACGAACGAACAAGTGAGAGAGTGTCAAGCGGGAAGTGGGAAGAGGAACAAGGATGGTGATAGAGTAGAGATTGAACCCCATGGAGGAGGAATACGAGAAATCAAATGTATGCAATATGGGTATACGTATGGATGCATCATCCTATCTCGGCCCACGCATATTAACCAGCAGCTAATAAGGCACGTTAAGAAACTCTGAATTTGCCTTAAACTCAATTGCTACTGCCAACGTCAATGGCAACTGCTAAAAGTAAATCTCATGGGAGACTTGATATTGGATGGATGTCATTATCGTTCACTACAGTTACAGTGCAGTTTGATTGCTGCAGTCTACGTAGGATCCGATACTACTGTACCTGCCCTTCTCCCTGTGTAATCAGAAGACTGGCAGTATCTCTATAGTAAGACACTCTTCAAGTATAGAAATAGCTGGATACTAAAAACAAACCTTCTCGTTCATAATAAGCAAACGTGAGGGGGTTGCTATTTGGTGGGGACCGCTCATGTAATTGCGTCGTGGACATGGAAATGTACAAGGGTTTAAGCTTGGAAACCGATCAGTTTGACCACTCAATCTGCCTGGCCCTGGCCCTACAACTTCAGGGACTCCCCCCACAGTGACGAGCTACCTACCGACGATCATAGCTCTACGTCAGTTATAAGTGCTATTACCTGCTGATATTGCTGCAATATTAGGTTGGTGAATTACAGTGGCTGGTTCTTCTCTACGCCGCCATGCGACATCATGTCTAACCCCTAATTAATTCCATCCATCCACGGGCATCCTTCATCACTATTGAGTCACTGAGAGAAAGGCCCCGGACTCTCAGCTGAAACAACTACTGCACTGCACCCAGCTACACAGCGTGGGCAGGCATCAGAAACTGGTTTGCTCTAATTACGCATGCACCACCCCAAAGAGAACAGTCAATGTTATTCCCATGGCTGCCTCCACTGACAGTGGCCTCGATCTACAGGGCTGTTAATGCCCACTCTCCAAATCGAGGATCCTCTCGTTTCACACAGAGGCTAGGTAGGGTCCTAGGTCGCGTATCGTATGTATCCAGTCTTGAACTTTGTGCCATGTGAACTGCGATTATGTCTCAGAATAAACTAGATCCAATTTACGGATATACACGGATAACATGAATGGTATGTACTGAGTGCACATGGATGGCATTGACAATTAAGAGCCTGGCCACGGTGTTTCCATATTTGGCCAGGCTTGTCTGCAAGGACGTTGAAGAGTTGCAGCATTACACGTCAGTCTTGCCTCTCTAGAGTCCCTTCTGTTATGCCATTCGCCGCCCATCTCAGTCTTTAAGTCGTTCGATGCATCAAAGTCAAGAAAGGGAGTTACTCGGATCATACATCGATTCAAGGCCACCTAAAGTACCTCAGCTGCCTTGTTATCTTGTAGCCCTATTACCTAAATTTAGGTACATACATAGATATCTTGACCATTTGTTGCGCCGCTTACTTACGACGTAGTTGTTTGCGCCTTTGACTGCGCCTCATCCAGTCCCGAACTACAGATGTGTCAGAGGAGGTGCCGTGTCGATCAATGTTTCATGTTTTTTGCCATTTGCTGCAAGTAAACAAGACAATAATAGCAATATGCGATGCTTTTTTGTCTCGCCCCGGTCAACTGGGTTGGCGGATATCTACGTGGTCCTTTGGGTCTGCAGGATATATGGAGGCTGACAAAGCGTATGGATTCTCGCATGAATCGCCTGGGGTTTCTGGCAGTTGACAAGAATACATACTAGTTACCTAGTAGCTATGCCGGCCATGATGCAAAAGTATACACATGTGTAAAAGCAAAACTCCACCATCATGGCGGCATGGTGGATATATTGGCTACGTCAGACATAGTCAGAACAAATACAGCATGAACCAAAAGACAACCAAACAAGCACAGAAATAGTCAAAACTCAGAAACAACTTAAAACTTAGTAGATATTTACTATCAAATGCCAATTAATATCAATTTAACTTGCAACTCAATAATAATTGTGGTGCCGCACTTGAAACTCAACCAATCCGGGGTAAAACGATAATGCGATCCCGCCGATAAGCCGAGCTCTCTGCTCTGCTCTGCTTATCTCAAAATTTCAGTCTCCATATCCAACCAACAACGTCAACCCACCCACGACGACAGCCTCAACAACCTCGAATCCATCAACCCACGTCACCACCTTCAAACCGCAAAAATGGATATGTAAGTTTACTCGCACTTAATCGCCGAGTACCGACCGCAGTACTAATCAATGCGTTCCCAATTGCAGGCTTTCAGCCGCCGAGCAGCGCACTCTTGAGCAGCGCATGCAGAAGCGCCAGGTCAAGGAGTTTATGGGTGTATGTACCGCCCCTCGAAACGAGAATCTCGAACGATCCGGAACTGACAACTCTTCCGAATAGGCCTTCGGCGGTCTCGTCGAGCACTGCTTCATGTCCTGCGTCGATGACTTCACCTCCAAGGCCATCTCAACCCGGGAAAGCGGCTGCATCAACCGCTGCGTTCAGAAGTGGATGGCCTCTCAGCAGCGCATCAGCGACCGCTTCCAGGAGCATAACGCCCAGCTCACAGCTCAGATGAATAAATAAGCGTGACAATTCACAAACGCAGTGTGTATGATTAGAAGGAAGTGACGAGGAGAAAAATTCAATCCACGTGAATGAAATATGCCCATGTGGCGTCGACTGTACTGCGGCAGGCGGTATTCCATAGCATTCAAGGGAGAAAACGTGGTTCACGACGATATATCACGGGTGGCAAGTTATTCTAGCACCAAAGCTGTACTTGTATATTATCGAGAGTTATAGGCACAAGGTGGCTAGCTCTGGATCTGGCGCCTTGGAATGAATGCATAATCTACTATCTACTCAGCTATCGTCACAATAGTGCTTGTCCGGGAGTACTGGTGGCTTGCTTTATAAAAAAAATACTATTATGAATAGGCAAGCTGTCTATAGGCCGTTTTTATGAGGTAGGTAATCAAATAATAATTTCATGTCTTTCCACAATGCATCAACCCATTTCCAACGCCCTTGACTTGAGATACTGGTACTATACATATTGGTAATAACCACTCTTTACTTCTCGTCTTCATATTCCCTAATTCATATTCAATCCTCTGCTTCTTCGCCAAGCACGTCCCGGATAGCGTCCAGCTGAGCCACTGCTTTCTCCTCCAAAAGACTGTCGTATGCACCTGAGGCAGGCTTGATACCGCGCCAGTCCATCTCTCGTTGTCCCAAGGGCATGAGCCGCTCTTTCAGCAGCTTCTTCGTGCTCAGCCAGAACTCCACGTTCTCTAGGAGGTTCGCTGAATCCCACTCAACGTCAGGGATATCCCTGTTGTTGTTCACACGAAGAGCAGCAAGCACCCGGGTGAGGAGGGCAAGAGAGTGCACCTCCGAGATGGCCACCAACGTCAAGTAGTGTGGTGATGCACGAGACTGAGTACGGCTGGCTCCGGGTGCCTCAAACCGATCAACACTAGCCTCCAATAGATGAGGGAACTGGTTTAGTACGTAGGCAACCTCTGGGGCAACGGTGGCACCAAGAGCTGTAAGTAAGTTCAGCATCAAAGGCAACAATCCCTTGGCCCAAATGCCGTAGCCCCGTTGTACGACAGGGGTGTCCGAGTAGGGGGAGACATTTGACTTGAGCATGAATTTTGTCAGATTAGCAGATAGGATGTTGCTCAATATTCCATCGCAGGCCATCTGTTCAGCAATTATGGGCAGGGTGGAAAGTTCAAGTAAGAACAACATGCTCAATTCGCCGTAAATGGGGTCGCCTTGGTCCGCCAATCTGTCCGCCCACGAGTAGAGAGATGAAGCAGCATGGACAACCTGATGCTCTGCCATAATATTGAGGACTTGGGTCTGTGATTGTTCCATATTGGGCAGGCTCAAGCAAGCTTGAAGGATGGCTGTCAATAATCCGAGATCCTCTGGTGAAACACTGTTCTCGTTGTCGTGTATCAGACTGACCAGTGCGCGGAAGCCTCTGCCAACAACACGATCAAGAACGTTCAGCACAGTTTGCGTGACTGTCACTGTAGTTCCCTCAAATGGGTCTTGACCTTCAGCTGCCATTTTACCACTGGTGTGATACGCACGGAGAGTGACAAAGAGGGCCTTGAGCAGAGTACGGTAGTACGAGATAGAATCGGATCCCCAGGGCTCTTCGACTCCGTTCATGGTACCAACAAGAGTAGAGAGAAGTTGGTTGATATCTTTCACCGGTACTGCTGATTTGACGAGACGCTGGATCAACACCAAGGCCAGACTTGCTCGATATTCAACGAGCTTCAGGAAGATATGTTCAGGCCCGGGGATTCCTTGGTTTGCGTTTAAGCATTGCTGGGCAACCTGCAACATTTGTTTCTCTACAGTGTCATTCTTAGGCAGACATGTGGAAAGCTCCACGAGCAGGAATTCCCAAGCATGGAAGAGGGCCTGATAATAAGTTAGCTATGATGACTGTATATGCAATAGTTTAACTTACGAGTTGAGCGTCGACGAGAGATAAGTTTGTATTTGCGCGCTCCATCTCTGTCTTGAACCCGTCATCCTTGCGGCCCTTCCAACCTGGATCGAACCGGAGCAGTTCATCGGCGCGTTCCAGGTCGTAATAGTAACTCTTGCCCAATTCCCGCGGTTCCAGGGCGGTTCGCTTGAAGTAATCCACGGGGCAGTCAGAATACTTGTTTGAAAAGTTTCTGGCAAAGTTGTTGTGCAGAGATTTGTTGTAGCCCCCAACCTCGACTCCATCACGCAAGTAATAATCAAGGTCGCTGACGAGGTTCTTTGCCAAGGCGCCGGAGTTGCCTAGATGTCGTGAGTGATAAAGCTGCATAGCAAAGGTCTCGGCGATGTAAGCGGCCAGTCTTGCCTCGAAACCGGCACGAACAGGGTTCGTCTTGACCGTGATATTAGATGGTTTGAGGTCTCTGACATACGCTCTGAGACCATCAAGATACGCTGTGTCTTTCTGTAGTGTGAAAACAGTCCAAGGCCAGAAGTTCTGGGCGGAGGCGACAAAGTCCAGAATAACAAGAGCTTCGCTGATTTCCAGTTCTTTCAGCTTTCCAAGCTTGGCAAGTCCAGTAGCGAAAACCGAGTTTGAAGACACATCCGTCTTCTTTTTATCCTTCTTCATTGCCTCTCTTGGAGTCTGTCCTGTCAAGAGACAGTTGGACATCCATTGTTGTCGGTTCCTCAGGATAGCTGAGAAGAATTTCCACGTAGCCTTGACGTCATCCCTGAGTTCGAAAGGTTTGCCCAGAGTAGATAGGAGTTGCAAGAAGGACTTGGAAATCTGAGGTCCCAAGTATCCAAGCAGTGACGGAGGCTCGCTTGAAGATTTGCCAGCATTCACAACCAGAGACTCAAGGAGCCACATAGTTGGCCGGCGGAAATGGTCAGACGCCGCACACAGACGTGCAAGTAAGGTAGAGCTCTTGAAGAGATATATTTCGACCATGTTGGACGACTGCTCGAGATAATTTGTGACCCGTAAGAGCGTTGCTGACAACTCCAGTACAGCAGTCAATTGTGCTTGTATCATCTCTACACGTCTTGGGTAAAGTGTATTCTCGGTGGCTGTAAACGCTGTGATAAGGGAGGATAGGAGAGGTTGGAATCGTAGAGATCCCGATGAGGGCGAAACAAAACAATCGATAACATACGAGGCGGCAGGTCGGAGGCAAGAAGTCAAGTTCTCAGAGGTTGGTGAATCTCCAAGGCTGTAGCTGTACGAGATTACTTTGTGCAAGATTGGCACAACGTCTCGAAGAACTGAGGAGCGACAGGTCTCAGACGCAAATCTCCAAGTAGATGTGTTCTCAAAGATATCAACTCCTGCTTGAGCAATTGCGTAGCTGACCTTTGCCAAGACCTTGTCAGCTGTACCAAGCCAGGGGTTTAAGTCCGACTTGTTTCTGCCAGAAGTCTGAATACCAGCTCGGCGTTGCACGGCCGAAGTCATCGCGGTATCGATGAGGTTAGAGAAAAGGCGTAAACAAGATGACAAAAATTCAAGCCTCTCCTGAACAAGATCGAGACTTCCAACAACCTTGGTCAGCTTACCAGCTCTCGATTCGGAACTTAACAACTCGCATCGGGAGAGATAAGACCATACCCTGCTAGGATATATAGGTAGGATTGCATCCAAAAACTGTATGCAAGAGGTGAGAATAGTCACAACGACATCCTCGCTCTCCGCTAGATCAACCTGCATGTAGTAGTCCATCGTCTCACATACTACTGTCAAAAGATCTCTTCCACTACCGGCATCAATATGTTTCTTTGCTTCCAGGAGGATATCATTATCCGAAAGTACCAGCGTTCCAGTAGACTCTTCTTTTGCAGCGTTCAAGTAGTCCATACGGATAAGTGTCGCGAACAGGGAGATGACTTCGGCCGTTTCCTCAGGCTGGAGCATTCCGAGCTCGGACTGATAACCTTCCTTCATCAAGTTGATTTCCAGTCGTCGGCCCAGGAGCGATATCGTTGAGTGAGGGTACTCCATTGAGACAACTCTGCCAGTATCTGTGACAAACCTTCCATATGTGCCTGCAGGTATTCTGTATGCATCGTCCTCAACGCGTCTCCCTCGCCAAGAGGGAGATAATGTAATTATGGGGATGTCCTGTAGCAGACAGAAGGTATTGGTGTTCTCATCTTCTTGCGCAAGCTCGTAATCTTGAAAGGTTTCAGGAAGTACGAATGTCAAGGTGGGAGTCACGCGAAGTAGGTTCAGAATCATTTGTGACCGCTCACTATCCCGGAGGCTTGTAGCACTCGCCAGCGTTCGGCAGAGAGTGATGAATGGGAGAAACTCGTATGGGTATCTGTCGAGTGCTTGCTGAAAGAAGAACTCCAAAGCAAGGTCATCGTTGACCATGGACGCAAGAATATCCTGCTTCTCTGAAAGGTTCTCTTTATTCGTAAGATCCCAATAGTTTCGACCAGCACTTAGTACGGAAAGCAACGAGCTGACTGGTTCGGACTGGTAACCAACGATGGGGTAAGAAACCTTGAGGAGTTCCAAAAAGACGCTGCGAAGTCGAGAGCTGAGTAAGGGAGTCATGCTGCCCTCGTCCGAGGGGCCTAGGCCTGATGCCATAGTAGATATAATATCAAATACACGTCCCTGAGCTGTGACTTGCGACGCGAGTTGTTCAACCACGACCAGATCCTTGGAAGCTGTCGCATTCTCAAGGAAACCGTCGAACTTGGAAGATTCGATTGAGAAAATGCTCCCCGCCGAGTTGCGCCTTGCGACTGGTCGGATCACGCTTCCCGCTTCAAATGTTTCCCGTGCATTCTGTTGCAGCAAGTTGTCTCGTTTCTCTGTTCGGCTCTGATAAGATACGTTCATGCGATGAAGTAGTAGCGTCCATGCGAAAATGACGGGTGAAGCGCTTTCACAATCGGTTTCTGCAGCATTCAGTATACTTTTATGGACCTGTTCGAGTACGTCGGATGAGAGCAAGTATGTGTCATATGTGGTATCTGCTTGAGCTGCGTCCTCTTCTCTTTCTGACAAATAAGTTAATGAACGAGCTGGTTTGAGCAAGATCAGGGACACGGCAACTGATAATGTCTTGAGGGGCAAAACCAAAGGAGCAATGCTTTCGTGAATCTGACAGTGGTCAGTAAAAGTTAAAATTCAAAGTCAGAATGCACATACCGGCTGGACAGCGTCAAAGAATCTGTAGACCTCCATCAGGGAAAACCACTGGTTAACAGCACTTGAGGGAGCAAAATCATCGCCAAAGCTATCGACAATCTGGAAGACTACAGACAGGGCATGGACAGCTTCGGTCAGAAGCGTTCGAAGCCAGTCTAGTTCAACTTCCTCGGTGACCCATTTCTCATCCGTCACAGCTTTTAGGCCCGACTCGATTTGGCTCATGGAGTCCGTTAGGATTTGAAGATAAGTTGGAAGTAGGGGTTCCGCATCGTCTCGCGCAGGCAGCGTCAATCGGTAGGTCTTGGCCAGATCTAGATCGGTCTTGGCGAAGTTAGGTAGTCTTCCGTATAGCTTTATAGAGTTGGCGTAGTCGGCAGACATCATAAAGAAACGGCGCTCGGTAAGGTACGTGTCGAACAGGCGTCGCTGTCTCGTTTCGGGTTTCTCGAATTCGGCCCATATCTCATCGGCATCCAGCGCACCCGCTGATCCTAGATCCATCAGGAATCCCGAGCCCTGGCCATTGTTAAGACCAGCAGCCTCCTGCAGGTTCTTAGCATCCTGCGATGATAATGGTCCACTAAGGTGTCGGGCAGGACGAGACTGGTATTCAACGACGACTACACGCAGAGCTGCGACCAAGTTGATTTTGGCATTCTTGCTGAGCCATTCGGCATCCTTCTTGATCGAACCGATGTCTGGTCGTCCATCTGAGCTTGCTGGGACATTAATCGGGGCTGTTTTTGTTTCAAAGTCTTTTTTGGTAGCCTCATTTGCGGGTGCGAAGGTGCTGGCAGGATCCTCGAGAAGACGGTGAACATAGTCGTCGCTCAAAAATTCGATAACGGCAGAGGTAGTAGTTCTCTGACCAGAACTGTCAGACAGCGCAGTTGCGATGAGCTTCCAAGAACTAGATGGTAAGTTAGAATGGTATTTGTTTGTATGGATAGGGCTCTCTCCAGGTGCAAGCCAAAATGCACAAGACAAGACAGACACAACACAGCACAACTTACAGCAGTACCCGCTCCCCAGTCAGGCATTGTTCTAGGGAGGGGAAATAAATGCGATCGGCCACCGGCGCCATTGCAAAGAGCGTCAAAAGGGCGACAGTGGCATGCAATGCATCACCTTGCGATTAGGGTGGATTGCGAAAGTTTGATGCTTGTTGACGCGCCTGGTCGCGATGAGCTTTGGCTTTCTTTGGCTGGGACTACAGGTCAACTTTTTGGGAAGCTAGAGAGCTCTAACGGTGCCGATAATTAACCGACAGTTCTTAGTGACGGCACGTACCCTTCCGTGTCAACGATTCTATCCGTAGGTAGGTAATATAACTAACTTTAGTACCAGTATGGTCGATCATTGAAAATCTCCAATGCAGCTTGTAGCTCTTGAGGCATTAATATAATTAACATTCATAACATAGGCAGGTAGTCTATAAATGGTAGGTACTTATCAAGAGATCACGGCAGTTATACGAAGTACGGATAGAAACGTACCTATTCCTGCTGTATCCACCTGACCGGCAGCTAATCGGACAATGCATATTTCTTTGCACTGTACATCACATTATTCTCAGCGGCAATTCACAGTGCGAAATGTTTAACTTTGCACAGTCGTATCATCACAGACAGCTTCACGGCTTCTTTATTCAACTCGACCCCCCAAGTGAGTCACCTTTTTTGCAACTCAACTTCTCACTTCTTTCTTCAAACATGGGCTCAGATATTATTGATCACTCGCCTAACCAGGCAAAGCCCTTGCCTCAGATCCCAACTGCCTCCAAGGTCATCCTCATCGATAACTACGACTCCTTCACCTGGAACATCTACCAGTACCTGCACCTTGCGGGAGGTTCGCCGGTCGTCCTCCGCAACGATGAAGTTACTGTAGATGAATTGGTTGCCCAAAAGCCCACCCATATTGTCATCAGTCCTGGGCCCGGTCATCCCGAGCATGATTCTGGTGTTAGCCGCGATGTCATTAGACACTTTGCAGGCAAGATTCCAATCTTTGGTGTCTGCATGGGCCTGTAAGTTTTATGCTATTATATCACTATACTCTTTCCTTGAGTACAGTTCCGCTGACCTCGTTCCAGTCAGTGTATCTTCAATGTCTACGGTGGAGATGTCAGCTCGGCTGGCGAATGGGTCCACGGCAAGACCTCACCTTTGACTCATGACTCCAAGGGTGTCTTCTCTGGTCTTGGCCAAGCAGTTCAAGTCACTCGATATCATTCACTTGCGGGTACTCAGGTTACTCTGCCTGAGGAATTGGAGGTTTCCTCCTGGGTAGCGAAGCCTGATGGCTCCCCTGGTGTCATTCAAGGTGTGCGTCACAAGAAGTACACAATTGAAGGTGTCCAGTTCCACCCCGAGAGTATTCTTTCTGAAAGTGGGCTGGCTATGATTGCAAACTTCCTTCACATGCAGGGAGGTACTTGGGAAGAGAATTCTGAGTTCCAGAAGAATCGTTCTGCCAGCAGTGATAACTCGGCGGCTCCCAAGACCAAGAAGAGCAACAACATCCTGCAGCGAATCTATGCAAACCGAAAGGCTGCCGTGGACGCGCAGAAATTGATCCCCTCACAGAGGTTTGAGGACCTACAAGTCGCATACGATCTGAATGCGGCCCCTCCTCGAATACCCTTTGTCAACCGCCTGCGACAGTCTCCATTCGACGTTGCCTTGATGGCCGAGATCAAGCGCGGTTCCCCTTCCAAGGGCATTTTTGCACTTGATATTTCCGCTCCTGCGCAGGCTCGAAAGTACGCTTTGGCTGGCGCAAGTGTCATTTCTGTGCTTACCGAGCCCGAATGGTTCAAGGGTAGCATCGAAGATTTGAGAGCTGTTCGACAAGTTCTGGATGGCATGCCCAACCGACCTGCCATCCTGCGCAAGGAGTTCATCTTTGATGAGTATCAGATTCTCGAGGCACGGTTGGCTGGTGCCGATACTGTTCTTCTCATTGTCAAGATGCTTGACACTGAGCTTCTGGGACAACTGTACAACTATTCTCTCCAATTGGGAATGGAGCCTCTCGTAGAAGTTCAAAACGCCGACGAGATGACAATAGCAGTCAAGCTAGGTGCCAAGGTCATCGGCGTCAACAACCGCAATCTGGAGAGCTTTGAGGTTGATCTCAACACCACTGGCCGGCTACGCAGCATGGTGCCAGAAACCACGATTATCTGCGCACTCAGTGGTATCAACACTCATGACGATGTTCTGATGAATAAGAGGGATGGTGTCAACGCTGTTCTAGTTGGCGAGGCCATCATGAAAGCACCCGACGCCAGTGTCTTTATCAGTCAATTATGCTCAGGGTCCGAACCCCTAGCTAAAAATGAAACTGCATCATCTTTGTACGTCAAAATCTGCGGTACACGCAGTGCTGAGGCTGCGCTGAAGGCTGCCGAGTCCGGGGCGGACTTTGTGGGCATTTGTCTGGTTCCCAGTGCCAAGCGGTGCATCTCACACGAGACGGCCCTTGTCATTTCAGAAGCACTGCACACATACCCTAGCACTGGAAAGCATGAATCACAAGCAGCAGAAGTCGACAATAAAGCCAAGGACTTCTTTGAAGCTGCAGCTCAAAGACTTCGCAGCCCCCGGCCCCAGCTTATTGGTATCTTCCAGAACCAGCCCCTGAGCGAGGTTTTGGAGAAGCAGAAGCAATACAGCCTTGATCTGGTACAACTCCATGGCGATGAGCCTGTAGAATGGGCGAGCCTCATTCCTGTGCCTGTGGTCCGGTGCTTCAAGCCAGGTCAAGTCGGCATTGCTCGTCGAGGATACCACACAGTTCCTCTCCTCGACTCTGGCTCGGGCTCTGGTAAGCTTCTTAACGTTGCTAATGTCCAGGCTGTTCTAGAGAGCGATCCTGAGCTTCGAGTTTTCCTAGCTGGCGGCCTCAACCCTGACAACGTGGCCGAGTCCGTCAAAGCTCTGGGTCCTCTGGCAGATCGAGTAATTGGTGTAGATGTGAGCAGTGGCGTGGAAGAGGACGGGAAACAGAGCCTTGATAAGATTGCAGCTTTTGTCAAGGCTGCCAAGGAAATTCGCTAGCGATTTCGATAGAGAATACAATAGAATACTTGTCCTTCATGGTGAAGGCGATATGCATTTACTCACCCATTGTTTGATGTGGGCTCTCTTAGGGGCTGATTCATTCACTGTCTTTTTGTTCTCCTTATATCGGCGTTTTCTCAACCCCCGTTTGCACCTGTGCATTTTCGTCTGATGTGCTGCAGCTCCTTTTTCTATTGTCTAAACCTCTAGGCAGCCTCCGCATCACTTCTCGACCATCTCTAATTGATATTCCTCCGTGTTAATGATTCTCTCGTCTTTTAATCATTCCAACCCAATTATCCTCTCATCTCTTCACTAATTCTCATCTTAAGCTGCATCCTCTAACAAGTTTGTATCTTCTTATTACACACTTACACAAGCACTCAACCTATCCCACTCTTAACCTTACACTATCGCTTGTAAAGCATTCAATACAACCGAAATGCCTACTCAATTTCTCAAAGACCGGGTGCTTGCTGCCGCAGGTCCTCTTCCTGGCCAGTTGACAATCGAGAACATGAAGCGATGGACTTCGCTGCGAAAAGGCGTCTTCCTCGAAGACTTTGACGACAACGTCACTCATCTTCTCTGCACCAAGGAGCAGTTTGACAATAAGGTTCCTAGAGGTATGATATCTTTGAACATCATATCTTCTTGCAGTTGCTTACAGTTGAATAGTCAAGGAGGCACTGAAGCGCAAGAGAGTCTACATTGTCCACTGCGACTGGTTCGAGTTCTCGACAACCAAGAACAAAAGACTGGCAGAGGCAGATTATTCCATGAGGAGCCTCCAGGCGAAGGAAAATGCAAAGAGACGAGAGAGGGAGCGAATCGAGAAGGGCAGAAGGAATAGCCAGAAATTTGTCAACACAAGTACAGCTCTCTCATACCATATCCTACTCGTCGATGCTAACACTCTTTTAGACTTCTTCCACCTCTACAGGGATCGAGAGAACTTTGTCTATGAGGTTGACATCACTCGAGATGATCCTGAAACCGGCGAGCCTGGGCAGAAGTACACACTCTATGTAAGTGCCAGAGGTTGTTTCACTATGTATTTTAGATTCTAACGATGTGCAGCTGTGGGAATCCAACCCCAAGCCTCACCTGTACCGATTTACAGCCAAGTTTCTTAAGCGGAAAGGAAGCTCTCAGCCATCTTACTTCTGCCCCAGCCCTTGCGAAGGCAAGTGGAGGGGCGAGATGGATCTCTTCATGGACTTTTTCAAGAAGAAGACGGGCGTTGACTGGCTAGATCGAATAACCTACGCCTATACAGGGTTGAACGCGTCATTTCAGTACACTCCCCCAGTATGATCATCCCCGAATTTTGAAAGACATACAGACAGTCTACTGACAAACTACAGGCTGAAGGAAGGCCCGTTGGTCGGCGTCTACGACATAGCCTTGACTATTGTCGAGAGATCAACGCGCATATTCGAGGATTGCCCTGGCCTCCTGTCAAGGACGCGGAGGTCAGGAGTATTCAAACAGAGGACGATGACGATGCTGGCCCAAGGAACTTCGACGATGACGATGAGATTCCTGACCCACCTCCTGACACTGAGCACGTTCCAGCAGAACACGAGCCTGCCGTCACTACCATGGAGGTTGATGAAGCAGAGCCTCGTAGGGAAGGACATCAAGGAAGACTCGAAACGCCTCCTCATGATATAGGAGAAGAACCCGAGACTGCGCTTACAAGTCCGATTCTGCCTGCTCCCAGCGACACATCTCCAGTCAAGCCTGCAACTCCAGCACCATCGAATGACGGTAATGAGGAGCCCGAGGTGCCCGTAGATATTCCTGTAACTGGCGACGAGGAAAGCAGCATAGCTTCTTTGATGGAACTCGAGTCACAGGAGTCCGAAACTACTCCTGCAATCACAGATTCGCCTGCTCTTGACGACGGTCCTTCCGCCAAGCTTGCTGCACCAGAACCATTAGGCGATGCCAATGATGTCGGCGAGAAAGCCAACGATACCCCTGAATCCCAAGTCGAGGAAACTGGCGTAGGAATTTCGTTGGAAGTCAAATCACAGAAGCCCGGAACTACGATTGCAAGCCCAGATCCGTCTACTCTCGGTAACACTTCGTCCGCTAGCCCTGCTACTTCTGCTGCCCCAGCACCATCCAAAGATAGTAGTGAGAACCCAGAGCTATTCGCAAGCAATCGCATGGTACGTGACAAGGCGACTGGTATGTGGATTTCGTTGGAATTCGAACCACGAGAGCCCATTTGAGCACACTTCATCTCGGATTTGAGTTTAATCGATTTGCTCTCATAAAGAGCGACCAACACAAGAGATGAGGTGCTGGGTCTTGGGCTAGAGAGGCGGCCTTATCGGATCGAGCAAGGTGTTTTAGCAAGTTATTATTTGTTCTTAAGTAAGAGGCATCGTGGGCAGTATTTTCTGCCAACCCTTACGAGCATGGGGGGTTATCAACCAGATCAAAATAGGTATCCAGAAAAGTAGTTATAACGCAGTGTAAACACTAGCTTTTTAAGTCTCTCGTGCGTAAAGTACATGCGCTGTTCATTTATTTGAAGAGTATTTATTAATCTCCTCGGCCATCCTTTGCAGACTACCCCTGAGTGTTCTCAAAACCTCAACTTGGGCATAATAAATACTACCAAAATGCAGACAACCATCAGGCCATAAACCCAAGCGAAAAGAAGTAACCTTCCAAAATATCCCTTCCCCTCTGTCATCTTCTTCAAAGTCCCCATTCGACCCCTGGCCGCCTCCATGCTCTGCTCGGTCTTGTCCATGCCCTCGCCCGCACGACCAACAACCTCCTTATCTGCATCAAGCGTATCGGAGAACTTTTGTGAGCTAGACTTAAGAGCACCCGCCATCTGAAGAATCGACTCTGAGAGAGCATCTTGCTCGGCGCGTTGGCGGTCGAGGAGGGCCTCGGCTGTTGCCGTTGAGGTCTGGGGAGTAGAGGGCTTGCTGCGGTTGGCGAAGAGGGCGGCGCGAGCAGTTGAGTGAGATGATGGTGTTGGTGATGAAGGTGCCCCTCGGGGTCGAAGAGTCTGTGTGGTTTGTGTGGGCGGTTGGTTTGGTTGCTGCGAGAAGGTTGAGGTTTCAGGGGGTGTCGTTGAGACTGGCGCCGTAGCTGTGGCTGTTGTTGTTATTGTTGTTGCTGGTATTGTGGTTGTCTCTAGAGGATCTGAATCGCCATCGTCGTCTTGTCCTGAGCTCGAGGTCGGGTGGCCTGTTGATATAGAGTCGGCCACACTATCGCTCGGCGTGGGTATTATCTCGGACAGGATGTCCTCTCCATCTGTGCTCGTATCGTCTTCATCCTCGTCGATTGCTACCTATTAGACTGTCAGCAATAACCCTTCTATCAGCCATGTAATTCAGTCCTTACTTGTCTCAGGTCTTCTAGCCGGTCCAGGAGTGCTTCTAGCAGCTCCCTTTTCCCATTTAGGTCTCCTTGTACTTCGGCCCGTCGACCTGGGGCTTTAATGGCCAATGCATCATGTTCCAATTTGGTCAAAGAACTCCGTGCATACTCGAGGTTCTTCAATTTAGAATTAGTATACTTGCGCGATGATATCAGTATGGAAGCCCTACCGATGCCACCCTTGCTCTCTCGAACTCGCTAGATCGTAGCCTTCGTTCGCGGTCGCTGTCTGTATGTAGGACGGTCTTTTGTAGTCGCAACAGCAAACTTCCAAGTTCTACCGAGGCAACGTCGATTGCGCTTCTGTTAAGCGACGGAGTGATTGATTGCGAAAGTCGCGCCATTGTTCTTGAGTTGTCGATCGTCAATATTGCGCCGTCTTTTGGTGCTGTCTTTTGGTGTTTCAGTGACGTGTGAGGTTCGGGGAAGCTTAAGCTGCAGCGGGTCCTTGTGGCTTAAGCATGTGGCAAGCCACGTCGCAACTTGTACCAAATAGCCTTGAACATTATATCTATCTGCCGCAACCCAACTGCTTATTTTTCATATTGTTGCTTTATCGTTAGCCTTGTATCAATTTTATACATGATTGAAATCTCGTAGGAATCGTGTCGAGGTTTGCTGGGTCAATTTGCAATGTAGATTGGATTATTAGTGGAATGATGTACCCTCCCATGATATGAACATAACACCTTATTTCTGTCGAAGATACCCAACAGACCAGACGAAGAAAACTTTGCCATTTTGGAAATAAAATGAAGCACATGCAGCCATACTAAAAAGGTCATAAACTTGAAGAAGTGAGAAGATTGGTGAGAGGAGGTGAGCCCACCAGGCCCTCGATGCTAAATTACCCTATATCATATAAAAAAAGGTGAAAGTGCAACCAATTCTTTCATACCAAGGCCGAAAATCCAAACGCCCGACGCCATATACAAAACAACAACTAAACGTTACCACTATCATCTCAACTTGGCCCTCCATATTACAGTTCCATGTTTTCGGTTGGGTGGAACACGGCAGAGCACTGGAGTAGGGGGTAAACTGCTGGACCCTGCAACCCAAACCACGATACTGAGTGCTTCAAAGCGACGAACACCCCAAGAGACGAGCCTCCAAGTCTTGCTAGACTCTTCCAAGATGAAGCTAGTCCCTGGGCTCGCTCTTTCTGTCATCTTCCTCGTCTTTCTCCTCCTTGTCTAGAGCACTGCGCAGCCTTTCTTCCTGTCGCTTCCAGTGACCGCCTTCTTCGTAATCGGCACTGATCTTTAAAGCTTTCCGTAGTCGTTCGCTCTCCTTAATCTTGGCGTCGGCCATCTCGTGAACCTGGTGTTGCTTGAACGGCTTCCTGGATCCTCCCCGTCTCCCGGAGTTCATCTCGGCAAGTAGCTTTTGTCGAAGCTCGTCGCATCGCTTGTCAATCTCGTCCTCATCGACCCTTGACTATGTTAGTATGCCAATGGTGGGACTAGGTATGTAAAACGTACTCTTCCTCTTCAAGTTTGTCTCTTAGATCGAAGACCTTAACCTCGACTTCGCGCTTGCGGTCATGTTCTAGAATACCCTTGTCTGGCTGCCTTTGCTTGTGTCGCAAGCTGTCGAGGTCCTTGGGATAAGGAGCGCCAAAGTCACGCGGCTTGATATGAGCGAGGTTACGCTGAACGTAGCCCGAGGTGCCACTACCACGGGGCGTGTTGAGGCCAACGTTGTCGGACATTGCTGGGTATTCTGGATATTGAAGACTCTGTTTGAGGAGTAGAAAAAGACTCTACAGAAGGAAGTGGTGTGATGGCGCGTGATGTGAGTGATGCTATGAACAATGGAGATTTGTTGTATGCGACTGCGACAAGTGGATCCCAGTGATGTAGGACCCTTCTCTGCCGCTGTCGCAGAAGCTAAAGCGTCACCGCCTGCTGATTGTGGCTGATAAGATAAGAGACCTTGCCCCTCCATGATGGAGGGGCATGGAATAATTTGACGGAATTTGTAAGTGAGTCAACATTTTGAACATCGACAGAACAGAACAAACAAAGGTTTTTTTTTTTTGCTTTGAAATCTATTAAAGACTTTAAGAATCTAGTCAATCTTCACTACTTACGCTTCGGATATCGCTTCTTCTATATCGCACAGCATGCCTCACATCCCCTCTTCAGCTGAAGCTGACAATCCAGGCGATGCGCCTGAGTTGGTCTTCCCCCCCGTCACCAAAGACCAAATTCAAAACTGCTCTTATGACTCTTGGTTTCCTAAGTACAGAACGTCTTGTCTCAAGTCTCGGATAATTCCTCTACCCTCGTCATTTGTCGAGTATCTTAAAGAGGATGGTATAGTTCTGGCGGATGATGATGAGCACCAAGACGAACCCGATGATGAGTGGCATGCATCGTCCAACACTTCTGCCAGGCCACAAGCTAGAGATCCCGAGTCCTCGGACGACGAGGAAGATGAACCAGAGAGGCTGCCACCAAACCAGAGGTTCCCAGAGACACACAATCTCATCAAGGAGAAGATGGCAGAATTAGGTGGTTCAGTTGCGCCAAAGCTGAACTGGTCATCGCCAAAGGATGCAAAATGGATCTCGCCTCATCAAAATACACTCAAGTGTACGACTCCCAACGATATCTACCTTCTTCTCAAGTCATCTTCTTTCGTTTCCCACGATCTTGACCATGCCTTTGATGATTGCACTTCGGCGCCTCCTTCTCGACCTTACGCCCCTGTTCTCGTCCTGAGACCGTTCTTCAGTCCTCAGGTTTCCCTCGAATTCCGATGTTTCGTCAAGCATCGGACTCTTATTGGAGTCACCCAACGGGATCTCAACCACTATGGTTTCCTGGAACAGATTCGACCTCAGCTATGGCACAAGATCAAGACCTTCTTCCATGAGAAACTGAGACTCACATTTCCTGACGCTAGCTTCGTTTTTGACGTTTACGTCCCAGAGAGCTCATTCGAGAAGGATGGACTTGGAAAGGTAAGGTTGATGGACATCAACCCTTGGGCAACCCGTACAGACAGTCTCCTTTTCGGTTGGCAAGAGCTTGTTGACATGGAGGTTCCGAAGCCTCTCTACGGAACATCGAGCAACGAGGCAGGTCCAGATGTTAGCGGTGATGACACTGTCACTGAGGGCGAGGATGATGACGATGAAATCGAATACCAACCTGATTCTTTCCCCGAGTTCAGAATTATAGAAAAGGATGATCCGGCTGCGTACAACTTCAGCAGTCCACAATACTCGGCGCACAAGCTGCCAAAGGAGGTTGTGGATGCTAGCATGGGTGGCCAGGGAGGGTTGATGGAGTTTGCAATGCAGTGGAAAGAGCTTACGGAGGGTAGGGGAGATGGAATCTGGGAACAGGCTGCTGCTGGGGCTGGACGATAGATTCTTATGAAGCCAATAACAAATTGTTAAAGAGTGAACAGTTTCTTGATATTATTTGTAGGTAGTCATGTGTTAGCTAGGAGACAAGGAGTTGTTGACTACGTAGCATTCCTGATTGTAGGCAATGTCGATAGGCAGCGAGCGAACGCGAATAGAAGGCATGAGAATAACAGGACGAAATTATTATAATTTATTAATATAATTATTGATCATCTGGTTGTATCGAAGTGAAACGGACCCTATGGAGTAGAACTTGCCGATATATAATAATGAACAACTCCCCATTGTAGTCCATTACGTATGTTATTGAGCCATTGTTAGAAAACTAATGAACAGTGCTATAGGTACTAAATATCGATACACGCTACAACTCTTGAATTATCGCGAATCGCGAATGGGCCCGTGTTGACTCGAAGCGCCATCTCGTGTACCGTGTCAATCCGCGTCGCGCACGGACTACGTGTTGCCATGCGCCCCACATCGAGCGCTACCTAGCTTCTCTCGTTTCTCTCGCCTCTCTCTCACCCCCCGGGTCTTGTTTCTCTCTCATCTCCCACTTTTTGTACCCTGGTCCATCAACCACAACAACCACTCATTTACCACTGTCGTCGACTTCTCTCTAAAGACACGCCCAGCCGTTCTTCTCTATCAGCTTTTGTGTAAGCCCGTTCTTGTATCATTGAATTCAGATTCAAGATAACTAACTGCTGCAGCGAGAGAAAAACAAAACAAAAACAAAAACGGTTACTCTCTGTATTCTTCTGTTCTTTCTTCTTCACGATGCCTGGTGAAAAAAAGCAGCGCGGCACCAGCTCTCGAGCTGAGCCTTATCCGGTGCGAACTTCTTCTCGCATTCGTGCGGCCCGCAACGCCTCCGAGCAGCCAGAGAAGAAGCACTCTAACGAGGCAAAGGAAGTCAAGAAAGTTGACGACGAAGATGTCGACGAGGAGATTTACCGTGATTCTCTTCAAGTCAGGGTGGCCAGCTCTGGTGCTCTCCAGCCCTACCGTGCCCTGCCTTCGCCTGATGATGATAAAACTGAGGTGACGGCTGGTGAAATTGCTCTTCAAACCTATGGAGTCGGGATCAAAATTGACAGTGTTCTTTGCAAGAAGCTGTCGGTTGAGCCTGCCCTCCGCGAGGTCAAGCAGCGCCGTCCCGAGATGGCTCTCAACATGACACGCCGCAGCAATGTCGAGGCTTTCCTCGGCCAACTCACCGGAGTCTCCGTTGTGCGCCCGTGCAAGAACTGTAACAAAGGCCACGGCCCTTGGAACGAATGTATCATCTACGATGGTCAGATGTGTGGCAGCTGCACCAACTGTTGGTTCAATGCAAGTGGCTCTCGCTGCACCTTTCACGGTAAGTTGATTATCATATCTTACCTTACTGCCACCCCCCATCCCATCTACTTGACACTGATGCACAACTCAGAGAGTAACCAGACCTCTATCTATGAACCTACTCCCAGGTACAACCCACGATCTGCCGGAAACCCTACGCAGCACCAGCAGATTGAGCAGGCTCCGGTTGCGACTACTCTTGTCAGACGTCAGCCTCGTCGCAACTACTCGACCCCTCCTCCTTCGCAGCAATCTTCCCAGAACTTCATGCAGCAAGTTGGGGTTCATGTCAGCAACTAGAACTTGCCCCCTTCCACCACCAACATGATCAACGCTGTTGTAGCAGACGCCGTCAACATGTCTCAGAGAGAGCGTATTATGGCTCGTGTCGAAGATTCTGCCAGACAGCTCGGTATGCATATTGCCGAACTCCGCGAGTATGCCGAAGCTGCGGCGGTTGAGACAGAAGCAGCCTCAGAGGGATCAGACGCGGCTGAGAGCGAGGTTGACTAATCTCAACATTGTGTCCCACGGCTTTGGATCCAAACGGGATGACTATTGTGGTCAGACTTTTCGTCTGGTTTTCACATCATAACGAGTCATGCTCAGTATCTTGGGCCATTATGACAGTAGGCAAATGTGCCGAAGTCAGGAAAAAAGAAAAGCGAAAAAGAATAAAAGAAAGTACTAGAGGAGCCGAAGAAGAGTAAGTCTGCTTTTCCAGGGTTTTCACTATGCGTTCACCCACTAACTTAGTCACAGTGATATTCGCTCATACACTATCCGACGTAGAGTTTGGACATGAAGAACATCAAGCACTTGTTGTTTGAGCCCAGATGGGCTTGTCACTTGTTTTGCGGAACTCTCTCTGAGTTCATGGTTGGACATACATGTCACATCTAAAGGCTGGGTGAGAAAACTGTACACCAACATGCTTGCGATTATGAGCAATGCAGACTATACTCGACAGGATGTCTTCTAAAATTTCCTTTTGCGATTTTATTTTCTCTCATTACACCCAGCTGGCTACACCATGGATGTGTATCATCGCCCTCCAAGGGTTATTCATTTCAGCACAAATACCTTCTCCAAAAGGACTATGCATGATCATGCATCACATTAACAGCAAATGTTTAATGTTTATGGTACCGCTAGCAAGGCTAGCGTTCTCTGGATGGAAGGAGATATTTCGATCTGATCTCGCGGGTAGGGGGACTGGCTTGGATCTGACCCGGCATATAAGTGCTGTCTGGCATATGGATTGATATCATGCAAGTTCGTCCCAAACCTGGGGATGTTTTATTTCTGAGAGGAAATGAAGGGAGCGAAACCCTTAGTGTGTGATATCTCGAACAAAGTCGAGTTGTATGATAGTGTAAAATGAAAAGAATAAAAGTACAATCCAGCTATTGCGCGTGCACATGGCGGAATGCTCAAATATTCAGACTTTGTGTCAGAAGAACAATATTTAAGCATGTGTCTTTAAAATCAAGGACTTCAGGCTGCATCCCTTCTGCAGCTTCGTCTTACTCTCAGGTAAACATATAGGTACCCAAGGGTAGACTGAAGGTCACATGATCTCATTCTTCCGTCCCAACGACATCCAGATGATACCAACTTACCGCGCATGTCGCCCGCACATGTCTCAACACCTAGAGAGAAAAGAATGAACCCCTGCTTTGGAGTGAATCATCCGGATCCGTCCCCCGTTGAGAAACGTGTCTGGGTAGCGCGCGTTACCAACCCAGCGTCTTGACGGAAACGGGCATACGGCGACACTAATTGAGAGACGCAAAAAGAAAAAAGTGAGTCAGGCTGTAAGCGACAAAAGGAAAACCAACATGGCAGGAACCACAATCTGTGACAGGCGGTGAGTTTGTTTCGTGGGCTTTCAAATAGGTGGTAGAGGTGCAGGAGGACGATTTACAGTGTGCGAGTTTGGTAATTGAGAATTAAACGTGAAAAACACTACTGAGTACGTGGGAGTAAACAATGCTAAGGCAGAGACGCAAAAACGGAGAGGAACACCACATGGTAGTAGGAAAAGAGTTTCGTAATTAAACAAAGTAGATGACCACCATCCTCCGTCGCCCGTACTGTTTAGATGCAAATAATGAACCCTTCCTTCAGTCTCCTCCATTGCGCTCCCGAACGGGCAAGTCATGTCTCCCCAACGTCGTGGGCGGCCGGGACCATTGGCCTTCGCGGTCTCATCATCTGCAGTCCACTGGTCTTCAAATCTTTCTCCCTTTAGAAAAGACGTTTTTGTGATACAAGGCAACTCCCATCCACCAGCCGGCAAAATCCTTACAAGAAAACGGAACCAAGGTCGACCTGGTCGCAGCCAAAAACTAATAGTATATCTGGCGTGATGGATGATCCGGACCATCAGTGGCCGACGTCGACCAAAGGAGTTGCGCAGTAAACGCCCAGCCTCCGCTCCTCTGGTATGACGAGTACAAGAAAAAATCGTGAGCCATTTCCCCGTGGCCCATCTAAGCAGTGTCGTTATTAAGATCGAGGGTATTCGTGTTTTTGTGACAGCAAGAAAAATAAAATCATTTAAATAAGACCACAGAGACGAAGGTTCTCTTGGATGATGATATCTTGAACAAATTAGTAAACTGTGTCTGATGAGAGAAAATGGGAACTTACCGTTGACAGCCGCCATGACGAAGCGGATCTGAGTGGTATCGGTGGCGCAAGTGAAATGGGTGTAGATCTGCTTGGTCTCGTGTTGGTTCAAGCTGACGAAGCGGTTCAGAATGTAATCGCAGGCCGCAGCGTAATCGTCGCCACCCTCGTAGTCGGGGAAGTAGTTCTTCATGGGGCTGACAGGCAGCTTCTCCTTGAAACGATCGATCTTGTTGAGGAACAGGATGATAGATGTCTTGATGAACCACCTTGAGTTGCAGATGGAGTCGAAAAGAGTAAGGGCCTCCTGCATTCGGTTGACTGTCTCATCTTCGAACAGAAGTTGGTCGTATTCTGAAATAGCCACCAGGAAAAGGATGGTGGTGACGTTCTCGAAGCAGTGAATCCACTTCTTTCGCTCGGATCTTTGACCACCGACATCGAACATTCGGTATGTGAGGTCGCCGATGATGAAGGTGGTTTCGGTGATACCAGTGGTCTTGACACGAGATCGGAGGACGTCCTGGTCGTTGGGCATGTAATCAGGGGCAGCGATACGCGCAATGTTGTCGAAGTAGCTGTCGAGGGTTAGTGGGAGAGATGAAAAACAATATGAGATACACATACTATCGGGCGGAATCGTTGAGCTGGTACTCGCGAGATCGCTTGAAACACTCTTGCACACCACGGTCCTTCCACAAAGCCTCAATGGCGCTACCGACCTCAGGAGGAAGGACGTCGCCTTCAATTTGAGCGGGTTGCATGAAGATGGTCTGAACGTGGTACTCCATGCGCTGATCCTCAAGAGGAAGCTCGAGAGACTCCATGGCCTCGAGAATGACGCGCATTGACTGAACAGTGTTGCTGAAGATGATCTCTTTGAAGGATTCTCGCTCATCGCGTGAGTAGCCACCCTCGTGAATGAGCTTCATCTGCTTGAGGATAGTAGACTTTCCGGATTCACCGGCACCTGGTTAATTGTTAGAAATCGTCCGTGATTGAAAACGGCCATTGTCATGTCATGCGAAATCGAGTCGCATGCGGGGCCAAGTTGGATGGCAAACGTACCGAGCAGCAACATCTTGATCTCATTGCGCTGCATCATCTTGTCGCGCTTGAGTTGGTTCTCAATCTCCTCGTTCCGGGCCTTGCCCTCCTTCTCCTCTGTGCTCATTCCGCAACCCATTGCGACGGTAGGATTGGCTTCTTTTCCAGAGGTCTAAAACAAATGCTTGAAGTGATTAAACAAGGCTGACGACGCGATGTTTACGTGTGTCGTCGTTATCGAAAGATGATATGGTCTGAAGCTGTCGACGTTAGTTATTATTAACAACGCTCGTGTGTGTCGCGGCTGAACGAAGGACTGGAGTGTTGTGCGGAGTGAAGGTGCTCTCGGCTTGTGCCTGTCAAGGTATAGAGAAGAGAAAAGAGATGAGATGGAAAAAGAAGCGAGACAATGCGAAGACGATGTAAGGTTGAGGTAAGGTGGAGTGAAGGAAGAGAAAAGGAGATGCAGAAGCAGCTTTTGGCGTAGCGCAGTAACTGGGGGGAGGAGGCTGCAATTTGGGGCACGACACACGAGTCGTGCCAACAAAGGCCCAGCCCAGGGCGGAATCTCTCGCGCCTCCCCTGGCCCAGGGGGTGAGGGGCCCCTAAGAGCCTTTAGGTCGCCCGGGGTGTGGGGACAGGGGGGCGTGTAGAGGTACATAGACACTGTATCTCCATAGGTAGTAGGTCGTAACCAGTCCTGTCTGTTCTGCTTCCAGTTGCGGTGCTGTTTTTGCGCTGCTCTGGGATTGAGCCGAGGATGGATGCAAAGCAATGAAGAAATAAAGTTGTTGCAATTGGCAGACAGGCATGAAAATGTGTACAAGTCAGATGAGATAAACTTACTTAGGACAGAGGTAGTCGATCCTGTAATACTCGATAGGGAAATTATAATAATGATTGACTCAGGGAGTATATCGCGGCAAATCACTTATTATTCCTTACTTGATTTGATGTTGATGATGCGCCGATACAACGGAGGCAAAACAAAAAAAAGACTGGCGGGTATGCGGATGGATTAAGATAGGATAGGACGGGACAGGACATGCGGGAATGAGAATGGGCCACACTCTCGGTACAGTTAGTAGGTAAAGTAAAACCTAAATAATGGAACGGACTAGAAGCCGGAAGGGGGAGTTGGCGGAGACGGGGGAGAGAGAGATAGAGAGATATGGATGGAGCAGTTGAGTTAATGGAAGGGGTAGAGTTGAGGTTTGGGAAAGGAGAGAAATAGTTAAAGAGGCAGAAGAAAACGACACAGGAGGAGGAGGAGGAAGATGGGACGGGATAGGTAGGATTAGATGTGTGTGATGTGATGTGTGGTGACGGGATGCAGCTTGGGAATGGGAATGGGGATGGGAATGAAAACGGGAACGGGAGAGGAGAGAGCAGCCAAAGTCAAAGCCCAAGCCCAAGCCAGGAAGAGAAGCAGGAAAAAAAGGATCCAATGCGGCCGGGGAGACCGTCAATGAATAGCAATAGTTGATTGGATGAGAACAGAAAGAGGCGTGCGCTGGGAGCCAGCCAAATGGAACTGGAAGCGAAAGAAGAGAAAAAGAAAATGAGATGAAATGAGCGACCCCAGCCAAGAAAGTACCTACCTACCCGACGCCTAGTTTCGCTGCGAACCACCTGCACCAGCACTTCCATAGTGAACAGGTACTGTCATTGCGAACCTTAAGGCACCTACTGGAGCTGGTTAGCAGGCCCGGACGCTTTCATTTTGCATGAGGATAGATAGATACATGGATCTCGTTTATTACCCGTAAAGACACGTCCGTACAGTCATGGTTCACTGAGAGTTTAGTTTTAACCAATTCAATCATCCTTCGTACGCTCAGTCAAGACATTACAGATCAGTTATACCAGATCTCTTTACAATCTCTCATGGCTTCTCCAATGCAATCAAGAACCTCTACAGGCATGGCCAACCCTCGCTCTACTTCACTTGTACCTGTGCTAAAAAAGACCAGGGGGAGCTTGGGGACCCCGGCATCCAACCAATACTTGCAGCACAATCCCGGAGGTTATCAAAGCGGCCTTCAGGGACGGATCCTCTCTGTATGCACTCCATTTCCATCACCGTTAGGGCAATTTTTTTTTAGTGAGATTGGAGAGCTCCAGATGGTAGCCGGGTCGCTAGGAAGGCCTCCATGGCATGGTTCACTGATACGAGTATCAGAACTGTTGCCGGAGGAGTTTATAAGAGACCTACAGACAGAATAGGCCATTGTACCTAGCAAGCAAATTACTGTTGCCATCCAAGTATACAGTGTGCGATTCTTCAGCGCAGCCTTGAGCTCGGAGCCTCCCCCACTTGAGTATCGCTTCAAAGACCCAGCTTCTTTTCTACTGGACCTCCCCCATGTCTTAGGTGGTCGATCCATTGATCGCCTAGCGAAGCTCCCACTGGTGACTGGTTGCTGAGCGAAAGTCATGGCACCCAGAGTGCTCAGTATTGATCCTCACATTATATAGTACTGCAAGAGTGATGTAGGGCGGGCAACAGGAAAGTAACCATAAGCTGCTACTGCTTCTGTAAAGACCTAGGTCGCTTGATTTGAGCAGAAGAACGAGGTCACATCTACGAACGGCCACTCCCGACTTTGTCATTGAAGAAGCGAATCCTGTTCCGGGGGGGGGGAAACCAACTCAAACTCTCAAAGCCAGACCAGGACCACGGTGAGGTAGGTGGAGAAATGGTGCCATTTGCTTGGCTGTGGGTATCCATGGGCGATGGGGAGATGGGCAATGAGCACTGGCAAGGCCTCGACAAGCTAATGAAGCCGTCCTGCGCAAATGGTAAAAGCAACCGCTAACTGAAGGAGAAGTGTTATTATTGTTCCAGCATATTATCATTGACCCTGCCGGCTTGTCTTACTTTGGCCGCTTGCAGAACAACACTTTCGATGCCGGCGGAGATCTGTCGTTCGTTCCAATTATGATCCAGACACGACCTGGCCCTCTGGGGTATAGTTAGCGTCCTGCCGGACGGGATGATCATGAAGGCCAAACTTGGGACGGTCAAATGATTCAAGACAGGAACTTCTTATCGATGGAGGCTGAGGAAAAAATAGAGTGACAGACGATTGGTGGTGGTGGTGATGATAATGATGTCAACACCTTTGTGGTTGCATGAACTCAATCAAGGAGTTAATTAACCACGGGCTGATGCATTGCTTTTTTGGAAGGTTTAGTTTGAAAGAAGCCATAACCAATGCTACGATAGTAGAAGAAACAAAGAAAATACTCAACGCCGGGTACACGACCGGGATTCATTATTCGTTATTATACTGTATGGAGTTCCAGCCGATCAGCGGAAAAGGGGGCCAGTTATGAACTGTGGAGTCTGTCACAGCTGTGGGCAGAAGCTAATAAGGCTGGCTTCCATCAATTACTACGAATTAATCAATTATTTGTTAGGCGCTGTGTTTGAGAGACGTGACCCAACTGACTGCATGATATTGATGAAGCTTTGTTCTGCAGTTGAAACGTCCTTCACACAGAGCCGGGACCACCCCCCCATCTTGTCTTCTAACGATGTGATGTTTGATGGACGCCGTAGAGCTGCAGAAAAGGTCCCATCTCATCCCGTGCCTATGTCATTTCGGCTCTTATCCGAGTTTCATTCAAGCTGCAGCATCCAATCACTCAGTTCAATGCAGGAACATGATCCGAAACGTCGACTCACCATCAGCGCTGGAGCAGCTGCTTTCTCAAGCTATAAGTACGCATACCCTGAGCTTAATATGATGTTAATATTCGTAAAACGGCGAGTATTGTTACTCTTAGCCGCTCAGGGTTTTGTAATATTGTTTCATGTTGCGATCGGTCAGCTGTTGATGCGAGACTTTAAACTGCTGGAGCTTTAATATATCTGCAACATCCAATGCCAAGGTAACCTGGGCGGTCCCATGTCTTCAGCAGTATCCGTACCTCTCATATCACATGTTGCATTCATTTTGAATTGCAGATATCAACAAACATTATGACTGCAAGACGTTTCATGTGAACTATCTGTTCTGGCATGCTATCGGCCAAATTGAACCATCCGGTGTCTATAAACCACCACAACTCCACTCATATCAAAACGCGACTTCAAACACCGCACGAGACAACATCGGCTCACTGCATCGAGGCGCTTCCGTCCCGCTCCCGTTATCAATTGGCTTTGAGCTACGGATATTATCGTCCACGTCCAACTCTGCCGTGTCCTACAATACAATCAGTATTCATCGTCTTCCTTCTGTGCACTTCGCTTAACCAAGCACTCATCGTCCCGTTCGTCAGGAGCTGATACTACATCACAGACTCATGGTCAATTAATTAATTATCTCTCCACTTAAACTCACAAGCTCCTTGTCTCCTGACCAGGGCCCTCCTAGCTGATGGGCGATGGGTCTCTTCTCAGGGTCGCAGCAGACGCTACTAAAGGGGGATCGCCCGAAGAATGGCAGGGTTCTTCAATCACTAATTAGCACCTCTTTTCGGGACAGAAGCCATCTAGAAGAGAAAAAGCCTCCATATTTTGCTCTGTGATGCTTGTGCCATCATCCCTGTTTTATTGCTTTTTTTTTGCAAATCGGAAACGGGCTCGATCACGAACTGCAGTCTTGTTCAAGACTAACCGTCCTGAAAGCTACCGCAACCAATTTTGCTACATGTTATAGAAGCCAGCATCTGTCTTACGATGGAGAGCTACCTCATCATGGCGCGCCTGCAATAATACATAGGTAGGCATTCGTTCATCTGTATAACGCATGTTTACAGTCGGGCGACAAAGTATGCCGCGGCTAGTCGCAGGAACATGCTACACTAGCACCAGTATTACGCACTTTATTTGCGACACAGCGTGCATCTCGTGTATCCAGAGTTAATAACATCTTTATCCATACGGTTCAACGATCGAAGCTTTGTTGGAAACTCTGAATTCATGCATTATTCAGGTTCAAACATGTCTGACTTGGTCATCGAATCTACAGGTAAATACTACGTAACTGTTTGAGTGTAGAAGCTGCCCATCGTTGATCAAACAGAGCTCTTCAGGGCAGGACAGGGGAAATGACATGATTGGTTATTGACCATTCACATCGAACGACAGAAACGCCCAGACCTGTTCGTATTGGTATGTACTTTATCAGTCAGTAGAAACTTGTTCCTTGCCTCTTCGTCTTCCCGTCACTGATAGCTAACAGGTTGACTATCATGATCGACAAGTAGGTACCAGCGTGGAACAAGCATGGAACCTTGACTCCTTGGGTCATCAATTGCAAGTTCTGGGTTTAACACATGTTCTCGGCTAAGCATTAGTTACCGTACCCCTGGGACCGGGCTCAATGATGTTGTCGTGACTGAGTCAAGCGCAGCGGACTTTTGACGATACGTACTTGATACTCCGAACTGCTAGCCCGTCGTCGAGTCGTAATCCAATCAACACCTCAGATCTCTCCCCCTTGAAGAAGCGAACGCCAAGGATCCTCCAGGGCACATTCTCATTGGGCCTTTACCATAATTGGCAGCGGTTCTGTAATGGCCCACCCGGGTATTTGGTGGTTGGCTGAGGTGATCAGACCTCCATCTTTGACGCCTGCGATATTTGATCACCTGCACTGTATCCGTGGATACAAGATAGCTACAGAGTAATGGCCAGTCATATATTCGGCCTGCATCGGTCAACTGCAAATAACTTTCCATTCCTTTTATTGCTCCGTGCCTTTCCATAGTTCTCCAAAGGTGTGATCCGTTCGCTAAGATCCAAGTCAGATCAGATCTTTAGCTACGGGCAGGGACAAATTGCATCTGCAATTGATAAACTCGTCATCCTTACCCCATGCTGCAAGCCCCAGATTCCCGGAATCAGGTGTTTGTACGGATAGTACAAACGATGATCCTCATCTACGATGACATAGCATCCGGGCGTTCTGCTGCGACCACTCTCTCTGGCCACCAACGCTGCAAATTGCCAACTGCAGCCGTCCGGATATTCGAACGTTTGAGGTTTAAGCTATTGGCATGCTCAAGATCAAACGAAACATCCACCCCTTGCTAACTGAACAAGCTCTCGGACCCCAAATCTCGCGTGGTCTCGCGATGAAATAAAGCAATTTCACCAGCACCGAAGCCACTCAGACTTGTCGTAGTAAAGGAACCGATAGTTAATATGGCTATGTGGGGTCCTATTTCTTTCCCATGAACATTTTCTCAAACAGGGTGACCACATGGCAGGCTTGTTCCGCTTTTGATCTACTGCTGATATGCATATCATCTAGAGTTTGGAGCATTTTGATGATGCCATCATCACAATGCAACCAAAATCGGAGCCAAAATGGCGAGTGCCTCTGTTACACGGCTTTGTCTCTTCTGCCACTTCGAAGTGATTCTACATTTGCAATGCCAACAAATTCGCTTTTCATCTATCTGGAAAGTAGTTTCTCCACGCGCGATGCTCGTGACTTATCGAATCCGTGTCGATCGGTGCGGCCATCAGAGGCTCGCCTGCGCATTCTGTTTTCCAACGCCAACCATCACTTCACAATGCTTTCGAAACCACTCACGAGAAGGCTACCCCTGAGGAAATATCCGGGCCAGAAGCTTTTACCTATACGAACCGATTATTTCTGAGCGCAATTGCGACAATGCCCATGCCGCCAAGGCTACACTGAGCAGCCGATGAAGAGGCTGCATTGCTCAGCATCAAGTTCCGATGATCTGGTCACCACATCTTCCCTCAGATCACCAGAATCCCGGTTTGTGTCCCAAATATGGAAATCAAGACGTTGAGCCCGGCTGTCAGCAAGAACAGAAACCAAAACTCGATTCGCCGTTGGTTAGGCAGAATGTTCTAGTGCATACAACGCTTGATTCTATTGCTTCCATACTCTAACACACAGGTCATCTCGCATACCACCAGGAGAGGCAAACGGCTCCGGATCTACCAAAGGAATGAAGCTTGCGTCGAGAAACGGAAATGGCTGGGGCAGCCGAATAGCCTGAGAGATACCGAGACTAACAACGATGAAGCTGCAACCACCGAATCAAGCCACGATGCAGCGAAGCAAACACTGAGCCACTTTTTGGGTTGCCCGAGGGCATTGTGACTTTGATTCGTGGCCAAGCTTCAACGCATTCGCAGAACCAACAAGATCAGGTACCCTCAGCCAAGTCCGATTATACGGTAGGCATCTACCAGCATCGCCGAAGCCGCAATGATGCTCTGCTCTCCCGTATTGTAGTCGGTAGAACAACCAGCCCCCCGCCAGGATCGAGATGTTGGTGGTTAGTTACAATACCAACGCTTCGAATCAGCGTTCAAGAATGGAGGCTTTCGGCTACCGACAATGGGAAGTCAATTGCGAGCACTAATACGCAGTTTATGACTTGACATTGTAGAGTTGTTTAAGGTTCGGTCTTGTCAAACATGTTTGGGAGGCGTTTTGCTCTGGTGACCCGGCTCAGATCTGGTGGCTTGGATCTTGAATAGAGATTTGCCCACTCGAGATAGAGACGGAGGCTTAAAAGTTGACGAATAGCATCAGTGTATCACTGCGGGTGTTTCCCGCGAATAGTAGAGTAGAGTTTGACGTGAAACATAGACAGTTATATCAAGTAATGTAAACAGTCAGTTGGTGGGAAGTCAAAAGACACTAGAGCAATTACATCCAATAGCACGGTCTCCAACCACAGATTATGTTTCGGAAACAATGAGAGAAGAATTAGGATACTAGAATATCAGCAGTTCGACATTCAGATATTGAGGTTATAGCAAAACAAGTTGTGTAGAATAGACGAATAGCTACTACAAACTTTAGTATCAGCGGGTGTCCATAAAGTCTAGATCTTTGGTAGGAGTATCGGTAATTTCCCGTCGACCCGGCAGAGCCCTAAAGAGGCCTCGCGCTGAGTTGGAGACAAGAAAGATAAACATAGAGAATGGCGGGAAGCCCGTCGATATATGAGAGTCTATGCCCGCCTTGGCGGCGCCACTATTGACAACACCTGCAGATCGCCAACACACAAGTCCAAGCTTCAACCTTGACACCGACACCGACAAAACCCAGAACCACGGGACCGGCAAGAACAGCCTTTTTCGGAGGACAAAGAAAACCAAACAATAATAGGTTCAATTGAACAATAATTCGATAATGTCTATCCCTATGCACCGACTGGGCGGTCGCGGTACGTCATCATCTATAGCACTGCAATGCCGTTTGTTGTTTGCGCCGGAATTGGCAACACCATGGTTTAGAGTGCGACGGCATAACCAAAGACGTTGAACGCTAACCATACCGTCTCTTTAGCCTTTGCCCACGATGACGATAACATCGAGCAAGAGTACGATCGATTGAGAGATTTGGCGCGTGCCGAGGCTGAGAAGCGCAACGATTGCTTCGCACGCGTACGTTCCCAACCAATCCACCCTTGTCGAGACAATTGAATGCTCGATGGCCAATTCTAAACAGCAACTGACTCTACTTCTAGTCCCGGCAGGCTTACGAAGATGGCGATGGTGCTGGAGCCAAGGAACTCTCCAACCAGGGCAAGGCGCATGCTGCTCGCATGGACGACTACAATCAGCAAGCCTCCGAATTCATCTTCCGTGAGAACAATGCATCGGGACGTGTAGAGGCGGACTCGATCGATCTTCACGGCCTATATGTCGAGGAGGCAGAGCGTGCCCTCGAAGAGCGCATTCGTGCTGATCAAGCCAACGGCCAGACACATTTGTATGCCATCGTCGGCAAGGGAAACCACTCGACCGGCCATGTGCAGAAGATCAAGCCCAAGGTCGAGGAGCTGTGCCAGGAGCTCGGACTGCGATACAAGACCGATGAGGAGAACACCGGAAGGATCATCATCAACCTCCAAGGTGGGGAGCCTCTTCCGCCTTCGCACTCTGGAGGCTATGGCGGCCATCATGGTGGACAGCAGCAGCACGGCGGTCAGCAACATCACGGCGGTCAGCAACACCACGGAGGGCAGCAACACCACGGAGGGCAGCAACACCACGGAGGACAGCAACATCACCAGCAGGAGCAGCAGGACGACGGACCACTGCCATGGATCCTGCGAAAGCTGGAGAAGGCGTGCTGCACGGTCATGTAAAGGACTGGATGTACCGTTATGGGTTGTCATTTGTGGAAAGCATTGGATGGATTGCTTGTTTGACGCGTTTATACCCTGACTGTTGAGGGTTGGAAAGGTTTCGACTTTCTTGAATCCGTGTTTATGATTGTTATATCTGGCCAAGCATTCTGAAGAGAATAGATGATTAGATGAGAGATATGTGAGATGTACGTTCAAAGAAATAAACTGTCTGAGTCATTATTGCTATGCTTTGGGGAAATGAACAAATATCGTAACCATCAAACCACATCTATACCAAACGCCTCTTGAAGATATATACCAAACCCATAATATCACACAACTTGGGCCTCCTGTGTCGAAGCCTTTCAATCTGCATCTCCAGTTCATGCTTCGTTAGAGGCAGTAGTCTTTGCCTGTTCGCTCTGTGCGGGCTTCTGAGTCTTGCGAAGAGTGAAACCGACAGCCTCGCAGATGATCACTACTACCATCTCCATGATGACACCAGCACCAAGATACAGCCAGACCTGCTGCTTCTGGCCACCTAGAATGAGAAGACAAGTATATGCAAGTCGAACGACAACAAAAGGAAGAGAAGCACCAACTGCGATGAGAAGTCGGCGCTCACCGTCGGCGATGTAGGACCGGTTGCGGAGAGCGAGAATATACTGGCCGACGACCAGCACGAGAACAACGATCATGAGGGCAACACCAACTTTGCTCTCAGTGCTGTACTTGATAGTAGGCGAATCCCCATCAAGGGTGTAGTTGGAGCTGGCGCCGCCAACGGAGAGAAGAATGACGGCAACAAGCATCATCAGACGGATGCCACGTTGGTAGAGAGTGTTGATCGCAATGCCGCCTTGTTGTTGAATACACTGGAAGCATCGATCGAGAAGGCCCAGGAGAATCAGGATCAATGGACCAAGACCGATTCCGTTAAGTGTGATCCAACCGATGTAGAGATTTGTGTTGTTGGGATCGCTGATAGTAGCGAGAAGCATAGAGGATCCAATTAGACGGGCGAGCGAGAGGATGATGATGTAGAACCACCCAGCGTTTCGTGAGAAGCCGTGGGTTGTGCAGAGGAATACTGCTCCAAAGAGGAGGAAAGTGTAGATGACGATCTCGGCGATGGCAATCTCATCATGAGTATCAATAGAACGAGCCATTGTGAGTGAGTGGTGTTTAGGAGAAGTGTTGACTTGTAAGTCAAGTTGGATAGATAGTTGTAGAGTTGGAGCGAAGAGGTGAGTGAATTGTCTTATGATATGATGTTATTCTGGATATTTCCTTAAACTCGTGAGATACGGACATCTTTATATATGTTGAGAGAGACCCTCATCCTCAACTCGATTAAAGAGATGCTGTTTATTCGGCAGCACGGCAATCATCACAGCCTCGAGCTGATCCCACTAATGATCAACATCTCGAGTGAGTTTCCCAAAAGGGACAAATTAATTCAGCCAATGCCTAAACCCACATGCCGTTACTACGTAGTAGGACAACCTTGTGGTCAGGTAGAATTGTAAGAGAATGCGACAGCCAGAGAGAAAGGGCTGTGTTGAATGGCGGCAAACGCAACTTCGAAACGCATACCAGATGTGGTTTAGCTTGAGATCTGCTCGAATGGAATTGCAGGGGTTTGAGAGTGGCTGTAACTTTACTTTACTTTACTTTACCCTGTAGGGCTGTTGATTCGAGTGCCGTGATCCGTAAACTCGCGCTGTGCACTCGTGGGTAGGAAAATAGTCGGCACACTGAAGCTCTTTTACCATATAAAGTTAGGCATAAAAACATAATAAACTCGTCAGATTTATGAGGAATCTTGACTAAACCTTTCTGTCAACTCGGCCTGGTTTTCTTGCGACCCACCTGACTCTGTACTAATAAACGAGAGCGACAAGACACTCTCAACGACGATGGCTCTAATGCAATTAAGAGCGTGGCTTGTTTGTAACGTCAGACAGCGACTTTGAATTCCATTTTCGAGAAAGACCTAAGCCAGAAGTGTCGTTGACCATGACCGTTGCCGCTTATACTATCTTCAACGCGAATGAGAAGTTCCATGACTGCCTTTGAGCCAAAGCGGTTCAACATTGGATCCTGGACCCTGGCCATTCTCTATCTGACAAGCCATTCGAGTACTTCAACTCACACTCAAACTTTGCTCTGTTGATCAGATCCAAGGGTCTTACAGGCTGACAGGTATGTACCGATTGTAGCGGAGCTAAACGCAAAATCCACACACAAAGAACCACCAAAAGTGACGTCGAGTCTTTAGGTTCTGAAATTCTCCAATCGATAACCTCAACCCCCGCTAACTAACTACCTCCTACCTACCTACAAAGACTTCTTTACTATGAAAGAGGCCTCACAGCCGCGTATTACTCACTATTGCAGCGACTTCCTTTTATCTTTGTGTTGATCAAGTACATCTCTCTGAACTAGACGATGCCTGTATGTCACTTACATCAGGCGCCGACTTCCATACTACCCCTCAGCTAATACGATCGCCCGCCAGCTCATCATCATCTCTGGACTGCCCACCTCGGGCAAGTCAACGCGCGCAAAGCAACTTCACGACTACCTCTCCAAGCGAATCGCTGACACAAAGTACCGTCTACACCTCATCTCTGACGAGTCCCTCTCCATATCTCGTGTCGTCTACGACCTCTCCCCCGATAAACTCCCCGCACATACCCGCTCTGCGAATGCCTCTGAGAAGGATGCTCGCGCTGCTATATACGGCGCGGTGAAGCGCGTACTTAGCGACAAAGATATTGTTATCCTTGACGGATTGAACTACATCAAGGGTTGGCGATATCAACTACACTGCGAATCTAAAGCTGTGCGCACACCAAGCTGCATATTGCAGATTGGGTGCGCAGTAGATAAAGCAAGAGAAGTCAACGAGACCAGGCTACAAGAGAGGGATACCGAATCGAACAAGACTACAGATGAGGCAGCCCCTACATCTATGGAATCCAGTGACCCTATCGTCGATTCCACGGAACCCTACGAGCCAGGCAACTGGGATAACTTAGTCTTCCGATATGAAGAGCCCAACCCGATGACTCGATGGGACAGTCCCCTCTTCACACTTATCTGGCAGGACGACGAAGCACAAACGACAAAGGTTTTCTCCGATCTCTGGGACGCAATAGCGGGCGAAGCCCGCAAGGTTGTCCGTCCGAACCAAGCAACCATACAGCGCGGCCGCGAAGAAAGCGGCGACTACCTATACCTCCTGGACCGCGAGACTTCGGACGTTGTGAAGCGCATAGTCGAGGCCCAGCGCGAAAGCGACGATGTTGATGAGGTGCGGATACCGTCCGGCTCTGGGGAGCTTGTGATACAGCTGCCGGCGGGTAAAAAGGTTGGCCTTCCACAGCTGCAGAGGTTAAGGAGGGCGTTTATGGGGCTGCATAGAGGTGGTATTGGATTAGAGGCTGCCGGCGATATGAAGTCGTCCAGGCTGAGGGATACCTTTGTAACGTATCTCAATGATGCGTTTGAGAAGGATGAGTGAGTGTTCTTATGTCGGCGAAATTCGAATAAGAAGGCTCCAACCTTATTAGGAGTTCTGAATAGCAACAGAGCTTGTAATCAGTCGTCTCAACAAACACTTTAGGGTAGCGATTCCGCGCTACAAACTTCAGATTAGCACTTGTAGCTCACCCTCTTATGTATATGAAACATGAGATGTTGTGGCCAAAAGATCGCGTAATGTTACTGCTTGAGCTAATTCAAGGTGCATCATGTTGGCCTGTATTCGTAACTATCGTTGAGTCCACGGACTGCGGGGAGTGACATATACAGCTGACTCGTGCAGTCAAAACAGACCGCATGCAGTACAATACAGATCAAGAGTCCCACGGATAAGAGGAAGACAAACGGTTGTATAATAAACAATGTCTAAAGTGCTTGGATCATTAGATGGTCCAGACTGCAAAGCAACAAACACCCTTGTCGTTAGGTATTTTGTCGAGATCCCCAGTTACAAACATCTACGGAGTAATCTATCATGCATGTTTGTGATCTGCTCGCTAGATAGAGGTTCCACGATGGTTCACGATCTGGAGCGGCAAAGAGGCAAAACAGTTATTAAGCCGTTGCAAATAAACGCAGTAAAAAAAGAGTATGAAAGAAAAGCGGCGAGTGAGTCAAGATCGTATCACCGCCATCCGAGACGTTGTCAGTTGAAGCAGGCAACTGGGGCCGCGCAACAATTGGATCTGCCTTTGATCCGCCATGACCGCCATATCCAATGCTGGGGCTGGCTAATACCTGTTGAGACACGCCATGCAGGAACCAGATATTGAATGTCCTTGCCCAGGCCAATTCCTGCGTGGCAATCCAACAAGGTGGCGGCTTTATGAGAATATCAAAGTAACCACCTTAATAATGATTATAGGGTAGATTAGGCATGTTTGCACACCAAATGGAAGCTTCTGCTGGCTTCCACCTGCTTTGTCTCTGTGTAGTCGTCACTCGCTTGTGTGCCTGTTGCTACCGCCTCGCGCCCGTGCTATGCTGCATCATAGGTGCCAGCCTAGAGCCCCACCACCTCGAACCGGCTGAGCTAAGCTCCTCACCCCTTGTAACATCATTGTTCCGCCCCGATTCAGGGCATTCGGTGATATCATTGGCCCACAGCTGTGGCGGTCGGCCAGTGAATCGCTGTCAACAGCCGTTCCGGTGGGAGGAAGGTGCCCTGTGGCCTTTGAACAGCTCGAACCTTCGTTGTCTCCGATCCTAAACCTCACCTCTGCTTTAACTCCTGCAACTCCCAACCTTTGACATACAACTCTCTTTCTACATATTCCCCCTCCCACTCCGCAATTTCTCTTTGAGCCCCGCATACCGCACGTAAAAGCCATCGCCTGGCTTTTTTCCGCAATACTCACAGCTCCCCCTCATTTCGTCATCACCGAGCCAGCATCAGCTTCAACTGAAGCATCCAGATAATCATCATGGCTCCCCAGCCTGACGAGCACCACCCCCATAAGAAGGTCAACTTGACGTATGTAATTTCTCATCCCCAGATCAAACCGAAGTGTTTGCTTTCTGGCGAGAGCAGACTGGCTGACAAACTTACAGCGACCCTTCCGGCGCCGAGATCAAGACCGTTCGTGATATCCGATCTCTTGAGACCATCCAACAGGTAACTGACCTTTTCACAGGAAGATGATGTCGCAACCGCGATTCTCAAGAAGAAGAAGAAGCCCAACCAGCTGATGTAGGTGTTTTGCGCTGTGCAAATAGTAGACAATGACTAACATCACCAAGGGTTACTGATGCCGTCAACGATGACAACAGCATCATTGCTCTCTCCGAAGCCACCATGGATCAGCTCCAGCTCTTCCGAGGTGACACCGTCTTGGTTCGAGGCAAGAAGAGAAAGGATACTGTTCTCATCGTTCTTGCCGATGATGAGCTCGATGATGGCAGCGCTCGCATCAACCGAGTTGTTCGCCACAACCTCCGAGTCAAGCATGGTGACATGATCACCATCCACCCTTGTCCCGACATCAAATATGTAAGTACTCATATATGTGCACGCGCAGGTAACATATCTTCTAACACATGTTTAGGCCAAGCGAATTGCTGTTCTTCCCATCGCTGATACCGTCGAGGGTATCACCGGCTCTCTCTTCGACGTTTTCCTCGCTCCCTACTTCCGAGAAGCTTACCGCCCTGTCCGCCAAGGAGATCTATTTATCGTCCGTGGTGGTATGAGACAAGTAGAATTCAAGGTTGTCGAGGTCGACCCCCCTGAGTATGGTATCGTCGCACAAGATACCGTTATCCACTGCGAGGGCGAACCCATTCAGCGAGACGAGGAGGAGAACAACCTCAACGAGGTTGGCTACGATGACATTGGTGGATGCCGAAAGCAGATGGCTCAGATTCGAGAGATGGTCGAGCTTCCTCTCCGACATCCCCAGCTCTTCAAGTCTATCGGTATCAAGCCTCCACGAGGTGTTTTGCTCTACGGACCTCCTGGTACCGGTAAAACATTGATGGCCCGAGCTGTTGCCAACGAGACTGGCGCTTTCTTCTTCCTCATCAATGGTCCTGAGATTATGTCCAAGATGGCTGGTGAGTCCGAGTCAAACCTGCGAAAGGCTTTCGAGGAGGCCGAGAAGAACTCCCCCGCCATTATCTTCATCGATGAGATCGATTCTATCGCCCCTAAACGTGAGAAGACCAACGGTGAGGTCGAGCGACGTGTCGTTTCTCAGCTCCTCACCCTCATGGACGGCATGAAAGCCCGATCCAACGTTGTCGTTATGGCTGCCACTAACCGACCTAATTCTATCGATCCCGCTCTCCGACGATTCGGCCGTTTCGATCGCGAGGTTGATATTGGTATCCCCGACCCCACTGGTCGTCTCGAGATTCTCCAGATCCACACCAAGAACATGAAGCTTGGTGACGATGTCGACCTGGAGCAGATTGCCTCCGAGACCCACGGTTACGTCGGTTCCGATGTTGCTGCCCTCTGCTCTGAGGCTGCCATGCAGCAGATTCGTGAGAAGATGGATCTCATTGATCTTGACGAGGACACCATTGATGCTGAGGTCCTCGACTCCCTTGGTGTAACCATGGAGAACTTCCGATTTGCTCTTGGTGTTTCCAACCCCTCCGCTCTTCGCGAGGTTGCTGTTGTCGAGGTTCCCAACGTTCGGTGGGAGGACATTGGTGGTCTGGAGGAGGTCAAGCAGGACCTCAAGGAGAACGTTCAGTACCCTGTGGACCACCCCGAAAAGTACCTCAAGTTCGGCATGTCTCCTTCTCGAGGTGTACTGTTCTTTGGTCCTCCTGGTACCGGTAAAACTATGTTGGCCAAGGCCGTCGCCAACGAGTGTGCCGCCAACTTTATCTCCGTCAAGGGACCCGAGCTTCTCAGCATGTGGTTCGGTGAGTCTGAGAGCAACATCCGAGACATCTTTGACAAGGCTCGCGCTGCCGCTCCTTGTGTTGTCTTCCTTGACGAGCTTGACTCCATTGCCAAGGCACGTGGTGGCTCCATGGGTGACGCCGGTGGTGCTTCCGACCGTGTTGTCAACCAGCTCCTGACCGAGATGGACGGTATGACTTCCAAGAAGAATGTCTTTGTTATCGGTGCCACCAACCGACCTGAGCAGCTTGACCCTGCTCTGTGCCGACCTGGTCGTCTTGACTCGCTCATCTACGTGCCTCTGCCCGATGAGCCTGGTCGTCTCAGCATCATCAAGGCTCAGCTCCGCAAGACCCCTATTGCCTCCGATATTGACTTTGGCTACATCGCCTCTAAGACACACGGCTTCTCTGGTGCTGATATTGGTTTCATTACACAGCGTGCCGTCAAGATCGCCATTAAGGAGTCTATTGCTTTCGACATCGAGCGCACAAAGGCTCGTGAGGCTGCTGGCGATGAGATGGACACAGATGAGGACGCCGAGGATCCTGTACCCGAGCTGACAAGGGCTCACTTCGAGGAGGCCATGCAGTCGGCTCGCCGATCAGTGTCAGACGTTGAGATCCGCCGGTACGAGGCTTTCGCTCAGCAGATGAAGAACGCTGGCCCTGGTGCTTTCTTCAAGTTCCCCGAGGCCGGTGCTGAGGCTGCTGGTGGCGATGCTGGCAACTCATTCGGTGATGCTGGCAATGATGATGATCTCTACGACTAAGGACGGCAACGACTCTATGGACACAAGTCCTTTGTATTCTAATAATTTCTCTCGCAGATCTCTGCATTGGCCTGCGATATGCTAGATCGTGGTCGATATGGGAATGGGACAACGTACAACGGTAGTGGTAGAGGCGAGAAGAACGGGAACCTGATCCTGGTATTTTTTAAAGAGTCAAGATGGCATGATTGCAGTCACGATATGACTCAAGATGGATTTGCGTTTTGATAGATGATGAAATTGATTCCCTAAGCTTCGTTTAAAACAGAACTGCGTCTGAAGTGCCATTTCCATTGTGCATGCAACTACGTCTTTGGCTCGTATTTCGAGCTTATTTACATGAGGTCTCACTAGCATCTGCTAGCTCTAGCACAATTGAAGCAAGTATAGCTTCCAAAGTGCATTCTTGTGTAATGAAAGAAACGACGAGTAGCGGCTTGGCCTACAGAGGGGGATGATGGATAATAAACAACCTATCCCTGACCATAAAACATGCTGTCACATTCTCACAAGTCTAGATACACCAGGCATTTGGGTGCTAGTTAGGTACTTAGTCTCGGACATCTGAGTGATACAAAATCATTGTATATATATAAAATGTCCATTCGTTCGGTTCGTACGTAAATGTTATTCCATAACCATGTTTTCGGGGTTGGCATCGTTCATCCTGATTCCTTATTTGGACCCCACGTCTGTGAATATGTCGTATGTATTGTATCTGGCTCTTATCCAAGAGAGGCCCCTTGTTTGCATGCCTTCTGGGGCGTATCCTGGTTTGGTCCAGAATCACCCTTTACCGGACTTGGTTATGTCGTGTGGTGGTTTGTTTCTGTAGCTAGGGCCTTCTTCGCCACATGCTAGGTATTTCAGTTGGAACGGCTTTCGTTTGGCATCGCCTGGGTGCTATGCTCCGTTCTGCCATGGTGTTATGGTGCAGCGCACGCTTCTGATACCACAAACGTCCTTATCTTGCCCATCTTCTCTCTTTCATATGTTGTAGTGTTATGAGCCATCTAGGCGGCCCCTTCATCTTCAATCTCGCAAACAGCCTCTAGGCTCTCTCTAGTGACACGAAGGGCTTCCTCAACCACAGACTCCGGCACCGCAAGGTTGGGCTTGCCATCTGCCGCGCCGTTGGCCTTGGGTCCATCTCCGTTGGCGCCTGACTTAGCGCTAGTGCCGTTAGAACTCGAGGACATGGGGTTGAGGGCCGAGTCGTGGCGAACGTCTTCGAGGACGCGACTGAGAAGGGCCGGGAAGGTCGTTACTTCGCCGGAGCGTAGAAGGTTCAGCGCGTGCGTTTGAATAGCGGTGGGCCAGTTCGTAGAGTGCGAGTTGAGGGCGTGGAGAAGGGCGTCTTGTATCCTGGAGCGTGTTAGTAGGTTGCCATGATGTAGAGTGTGAGCGTAGGGGACGTACTTCGCAACGTGGCCGTCGCGTAGAAGCAGAGTATTGATCTGTGAACGAAGGTCGGGGTCTAGGGTCGCTTGTGTGTGGTTCGCGGCGCTGGAAGGCACCTTGACTGGTGTAGAGGGTGTGTTGCTGGACATGATGGCGAGGGAGGTGGGTAATATGTTTCGTTCCCTTTTTAGGAAAGGTCTTTATAAGCGGTGAAAAGAAAGCCTTGTAGGATGACTGAGATCGATCGCTCTATTCGCTTTGTGCGTCGGGGACGGAATATGCAGGAGAGGCTCAAGCAAGAAGCTCCCGATCGGCAGTTCCGAAGCTCAAGTGTCGCAGGCAAGGTCAAGCACAGCTCAAGAGCGTCGCCTCTCTTTCTCCAAGATGACGATTGAACAACTATTCCAAGATTAACAGTGTTTATTAACGATGATGAAGTTCTTACCCGCCCGTGTCGTGTCGATGGAGCTTTACTCAATATCACAAAGGTAAGTGGCTGATCGTCAGAATGTAGTAGCAAGGCTGAGGCTGGGGATGGAAAGATTCAGGGTGCACAAGGCTGACAGATAAGATTAGGACGATTTAGCCGCTAGACCCCACTGGTAATATAATGTGCTATTATTGACCAATCCGGATGACAATAACTCCGTCTGTATAACGTACCTACAATAAGAACGCTTTATATATCTTGATGATTGTTTAACTCGATGTCAATGACCAGCAACCTTATGAGCACACAATATGGCCTCCACTCGCTAAGCCATAGTGGATAGACTTTTCTGTCATTGACATATTAGCCCGCCTTGGTTTGCTTTTTCCTGGCCGGAGATCACTTCGCTTGACAGGTGGCTTGTTTACGACATTGATTTAAACCATCCATCCAGTCTCAATATAGGAACCTCGTCAATCTTACCTAGGCCATTTCATTCTCTGTTCTTAATGAAGAGGACTAGATCGACATTTTGCGTCGTTCAACACTGGCAAGTTAGCTCAAGCTGTACTTTCTGGTTGACATCTACATCATCCACTCTCAATGAATATCGTTCGATTTTTGTAGCTATTATCCTGGACTAGAAGGAAGAATAGTTGCATATTGCAAATAAGATCACTTCTATCGTACTGCTTTGTTACTTCACATTCAAGTTTGATGATCATCTAGCTCATGATTATAATGGTAACTAGATCTCAACATAATTCTTATTTAATGTCTAAAAGACACTCAAAAGAACCCCATCCTAGCGGGAGAGGGCACGCGAAGCCATTCATTATTGTAGTGGGAGAGTAAGCCTTCAGATATTTGGAAGACTGTGTATTGTCTAAGCATGGTGCCCGTGATACTCAAATGTCTATGACAAAATAACAGGCTGTTGCTATGAAGCCCTTAAGTGTTGTTGCAAATGGCGTATTTGTTTGGTTTGTATCATAAGAATGCGAGTCGCCTTCCCAAGGCATACACTAGTACTTGTAAGTGACACTGAATTATCCCGTCATGGGTGGCCTGCGATCATGAGATGTTATCATGGTATAAATCGAGATCACGGGCTAACTTTGCCAGGAACTCAGCCGTAGAAACAACTAGATAGCGAACAACTAACACCAGAAACGGGATATATAGCATGGCAATGTGTTTACGAATTAACGTGGTGAATATCTGTTTCAAGATCCAGCGATTCTGATAATCAAACTTCAATTTTTTATGTGTACATTTACTAACTAGTGGCGATTCCCGACGTATCTTGTAATGGATGCTGCTCGAATTCTTGCTACTTTTTGCTACCTACCCATTCCTTTCAAGTTATACTTTGGAGGGTTCGAGCTGAGTTCTTTCATGCACATGTCATGCTATCATGGCAATACTACCAGTTGACTGCTGCAGTATACATTACGTCTGGTCAATCAATTGGTTACTCGCTTGGCAGGCAGGCGGCAACGCCGTGGCTTGAGGTCGCTATTCAATATGGCCAACTTGGGATGCCGGCGGCGGTCGCGCAACGAGTACAGTTTCTCGTATTTGGATGCTCGACCCTCAAGACCATGTGTATGTGGGACACAGCTGTAACAACGGGTTTACCCTACGTGTCGTGGACGGTCAGTTCGACCTGAATTCTTGAAGGCAGCTAACGCTCGTTCCGGGGGGAATCCTTTTCCCCGCCCCGTGTTCTAGTGACGGCACTGGTATATGATGCAACCATTCTCAGCCAACAAGGACAATGCGGATGCCACCCGGGAGCACCCACTGTTAGGCGAGGGACTCACGGCACACAATGGCAGTACAAGTGGCTATCGGGCTGATATTTGTGCCCATGTCGACAGAACAAACATACACCAAGTCGACCAACCATGGCCAGTAGCCTAATGATGCCGCGCCCTGTCATCGTTAGTCCGCAGTGCGTGTTTTGACGGGTACATTACCCCAGGCACGGCCACGGGTTGCATCCGAACTATCCATGTAAGCCATCCACACTGGAATCCTTCCTTTGCGCTGGAGTTGGACCGACTTTACGGCCCGACCCGTTGGTAAACCCGGTAGTGACGGTTTCCTGACAGTGAAGGCATGAAGCATGAAGCATGAAGCAAGCACGTATTGTACCTACATCTCACACCGACATGTCGCCGTTTTGCCTCTTGATTTGTACTTTGCACCACACCACACCGCAGTCAATGTGAATTGGCCTTCCTGGTGCTGCTTAGCAAAGTTTCTCGGAAGCATCATTTCCTCGCGCTGCACCATTGCGTCTCAAACCATCACATGAGCTCTTGCTGCCGCGAGATAGAATATCTTGGGGAAGTCACTCGAATGTCCTCGGCCGGGGACATTGCTTGTTTGCTCCGTAGCTCGCTCACCCTGGCAGCCGCCCCAACCTTCCGGCTGTAAGTGTGCAGGCGGTGAAGAACAAGTTGGAAACAGCGAAGACGTCCTACAGACGAACCTGATCTCACCGGCATCGCAATCGCAGGGAAGAACAGCAAGAGGAACTCGGGTTCTCAAGACTCCACACCAAAGGTCCTCATGTGCTTGTTCCTCCCTTAGTCGAAGATTTCGGCGGTAAGACCCCTGCGAAGGCTGCTAATTGTGCCAGACGACTTGTAAGTATCACTTAGATAACCATCGTCTATCGTTACTTGTAAGCGTATAATGCAACTAATATTACGACCCTTTGCATGCTTCCTGTGATAATCAACAGCCAGTCCCACTACTTGATACCGAGTAGGGATGTACAATTGGTCGTCTGATATTCGCCGTATTGGCCAGCTTCTCAGAGCAGCATCGCAAACAGCAGGTGTGCATAGTCGTTAGGACATAAGATGAAAGATTATGATACGGTGCCAAGTCTGAAACGGACACACTGATCAGCAAACATAGCAGTCAAACTGCTGTGCATACAACAGCCCAATCGAGTTCGGCTACTGAGCGGCACTCTTTGGATCATCGCATCAAAATTCATAAACTCTTGTATGAAAAGTATACCAGGCGAAAAAAGAGAGAAACAGCCGGTTCGCCTAGGTTATCACAACTTTTGCCTGGCATCTTGCGACCCCTCAATTCAGGTTTGCTTTTTTCTTTTTCCATCAGCGTTTTAATGTCTTATCTCCTCGAACTCTCCCGGAAGAATGACTCCTGTAAAGGTGTGGCTTCGATCTGTACATCAAAGCCCTGGCAATGTTTTGCAAGGGGTTGAGAATCATCTCGCCTCGCGGTGAAGTTAGTTGGACCCATCGGAGCGGAAACCTGCAAGCTTGCTTGTATCACAATGCAACCGTTATCGAAACTCGGGACGAACCCTATTTGCTGAGATGGGCTCTTAATAGCCCTCAGACTTGTCGGTGAGCCAAATTTTGAGGTATTCTACCCAAATTGATAGCATGAGCCTTGTATGCACAAGGATTCGCGTAGCCGACCCGGCATGCCTAAACTTGCTGCAGGGCGGTCATTAGTTTGTTTGAGCCAAGTCTCGCTGGATTCGATTGAGGCTGAAGTGCCCAAGTTCTGGATTGGCGATCTTGCTGTTTAATGTGGGGGATGATCCCAAGGTTTGAGTTGAGGGCGTTGTGGGCCGTCTCCAGGAATTCCTCGTGGTCGACCGGTCAAGAGAGTTACCGTATAAGGTCAATGTCCCACACCGCGCACCCACTCAAGATATGACACCGCCGCAACGCACATGCTTCCCCAGAAAACCAGAACAGGTCATCCCGCAGCCGAAGTAAAGATGTCCAACTAACATGACTATGTGTACAATGACGTCTGGAAAGCTATGTAGGCTTAGTCAGGGCCATTGTTGACTATGCGGGATGCCATTTGGCTGAAGCGAATTGCAGTGAGCATATCCGTACATCCATGTCTTGGGTATCAATATGTCATACAGAACGGGGGGCATCCTGGATAAAACGACTGACTCGCCTAATGCGCACCAGATACAACCTCGGACAGACAGTTCAAGGAGCAATTACTTGTATGTATCGTGCCGTGTGCATAACTGCCCGTGGACCTATGAAACATAACCCGATGGCGAGCCGCATACGGATATGGATGGAGGTATTGCTGGGCCAGGCCGAGACCCAATAAAACCGAGTTTGCATGAAGCTTGTCTCTTAAGCTGCTCCCATTGAACGAAACATGAGGCCTAGATTCATACCATGTCAATTCAAGACAGAAGAGGGAAGCTGAACCCGGATTCACAACAGGCTAAGTAAGGAGGCGAGCAGGGACAATGATTGAGGGCATGGATCATACCATAAGTTATTCTGCCCAACAACATCAAGAAAATCGAGCTGGTCAGGCCAGACAGGCCTATGAGGTTCCAAGCCGGATAACTCTGGCCTCTCGTAATCATAGCCCTTGCCAAAAAGCAAACGTGCGCCCAAGATGCTGGTATTCTGGAGTTTCGAAAAAGCAAACAGACAGGATAAGAAACGATATGTAACTTGAAACTTTTGGACCCAGTAACAATAGTCCACTAGACGGATTGCTTAAACACAGGCTTTGGCAAGAAATCTCCAGGTAAATGTCCATGAGCAAGGAGAGTCAGCGTAACCATTGAGTTTGACGTGATGGTTGCAGGACGACTGGGTAAGCGGCCAATACGAGAAGCACCTTTGAGTCTGTGAGCAATAAGCAAAACATGCCACGCGTAAACAAGACATGAGGAAA